ACACACTCTCTTGTGCATCCACACATTCTGCAATGAGCAGATGCACTTCACGTACAGAAGTGTTGAACTTTGTGACACCCCCTTCACTCAGACAAGTGCTTGAACTGTCTCTTCACACTAAAAGAGCTTAGCAGTTATCAATATTCGTGTAGACCATATCAAATATCATCCAATGGTAAACAAAACAACAACATAGATATGGGTTTTAACAAAGTAGATAGCTGACTCTTGATTTATTACAACTTTCTTCAACATATTTCCTTTTTCTGGTCGAGCCTCTGTGAGCAAGAGGAAGTTTTGGTACAAAGGGAGTCTCAACCACAAAGCCCAAAGAGTCAACAATCTATGACAGTGAGTGTCCACCCTCATTTACGGTCCATAACTCTTCGAAGAAATGTCGGATAATGACTTACACGAGCGCTTTCGCCACAACACCGGAGGGAAAAAACAAAGAGAATTGTTATGACATCAGTTGTGTCATCACAAAAAAATGGAAGTAGATTCCTTTATCTAAATCAACATAATCTTGGACAAATCCACCTTGTCAGATAAGAGTATTATACTGCTGATGTTGCACACTGATAACCTTGGCCAGAGAGGCAGACAGAAAATGTTTCTGGTATCTGATGTTCCTCTGTTACAACATTTCTGGCCGCTTTGTTAAGCAGAACAGTTAAAATATATCGCTGTCGATGATAGTTGCTCAAGTTTTAATCTAGAGGCAGCAATATTTTAGCTTTCGTCAGACCGTGTATAACATTCTGCTGATTTAACATGTGTTTCTGCACGTCTGCACTTATATTTGATTTGTTTAACTACAATGTGTCTACAGCAATTCAGAGACGTGTTCTTCATCTTGATTCTTACAAAAACATGTAAGTCAGTTTGAGTTTTCCTCAAATTATTGCGGCAGTTTCACTGATGTTGCCATGAATTTTTTATGAGGAAGCAGACTGGATATTAAATAGTTCGAGGATATTTCCATCTGAGGGGGTGTGCCTGTAAAATCCAGACTGATAGAGCTAAAAAAATATATGCCTCAGTCGAGACAGTGGTACCACCAGTTACCCTTCTTTCTTATCCCAAGTACATCACAGCTTCTGGGGTGGTTGTATGAATGAATGTTGTAAAAATATAATTTATAAATTTACTACACAAGGTATATAGAGAGCCCCAATTTGGCTGGAGGAAGGCCTCGCAAGTACTTAGAGTATATCAGTACACATCTTGCCTCCCAGTGAAACGTGTTTTTGCCAAGAATCCATCAGGCAGTGAGTTTAAAGTTTTGTCAAGACATCATAAATAACAGTAAGTGCTCTGTTTGGAGTAGAAAGATCACCCCACTGACTTCACTGAAAGCAAACCTCAGCAGGTGACATACTCCAGCTGCTGTTTCAGTGCAAAAAAATAGATTATACATCGTTTTATACCTCTAAAAATTGTCTCTTTTGTACCTATGCACACCTGCTTTGTTTAATTTACTCATTTTTGTTGAAAGCTGTGTCTTACATTTATTTCTATTTTGTTATTTTAGCAAATATAATCTACATACAGTTAGCTTTGTAGACCATCAAACATCTTTTAACTTATAGATCAAGGGATTTTTCAATATATGAGAACATTGGAGCTGGGAGGTCTGTAGAAGCAACCAACCAATATTGTCTTATTAAATGGAAGATTCATCTGTAGCCGTATAATTTCTATGTCTTTGCACATTAAACCAGATTTAAGGGTTACAGCAATGTTTTTCTCAACAGAAAATGCAACTCCTCCACCATTTGATTCCTGTCTCTTCTATATAGACTGTATCCATCAACAGTGAGTTGGGAGTTCTCAAAACTGCTGTCTAGGTGTGTTTCTGACAAGGCCAAAACATGAGAATTGCCTATAGACAGCAGATTCTTATTTCCTGAATTTCGTTTCTGAGATTATATATTTAAATGAGATAAAACTTATCCTTAGTGTGGCCAATTTACAAATAGAGATGACATATTTATAAAGGTAAAACTAATATAATCTGAATGAGAACTGAAAGATTTACAGCATCAGTTACTCTGGTTGTTGCCCTTGTCCATTTACAGGCCAAATGATGAGTTTATCTTACCTTAAACTTGCTCTTTCTCCTTTTCTCTGGAGCATATGTTGATGATCTTTGAGTTTCAGAAACTTCACCACTGTCTTTCTGGGCTTTCGGCCTTCCTGGAAGTGTCCCACCTGGTGGGCCCTCTCCTCTCAATCTCAATGTTTGATCCATCAAGACCCAAGTTTTCAGACAGAACGTGTTGAATCCTCATTTTTGATCCACTTTTAGTTTCTCCTTTCTCTTCTGCAATCCCATCGATCAAAAGATTTGATCTTCTCGACTGATTTTCAGTGTAGTCCAATTTATTGAAAAAAGTCATCCATTTCCTGCTTTGTCTTTGCAATTGTACTTTCAAATGATCTGATTTTTGAATCAATGTCTTGATATCCAGGTTTCATATCCTCAATGATTATCCAGGTGAATTTTAGGGATGTTTTTAGCTCCTGAACATCTTTGATGACTCCATCCAGCCTTTTTGTATTTCCATCAAAGATAATGTGAAGGAAACTCTTGAAGTTTTCTTGTTGTTGTAGCATTTCCTTGTAGAATTCCCTCTGTTGATCCTGTAACTGGGTTAGTGTACTCATGGTCAGAACAGCATCATCGTCAGCCACTGTTTTAGCTTTTGGAGGCACCACAACTCCCTCTTACAAGGATGTACAAAGGCAGATGTTGATGTGAGGATAAGGAGTAGGTCTCAGGCCTAGCAGGCCCAGAAGCCTCCAATCTGCAGTTTGAAATGTTGCAATTTACAGATTTCCTGACAGCACAAACTTTCTCAGAATGCACTTTATACACTCCAGACTTCTGTATTGACAAGATTTCAGTGTTGATCTCGTGGTTCTGTGTGCGATTTATCAGATTTTTGTTAGATTGCAAAGAGCAAAAAACTCAAAGGAAAGGCATGGCAGCCATCTTGGTTTGGAATGGTTTAAAGGTACAGTCTGTAGAAAACATTTTTGACAACTTCTAGCAGTCAGGTTACAGATTGAAATGCTACCTTTTCACCATTCTAGTCAGTTTGCTGTGGTGGCTCTCAAGGACAAGAAACGCCTGTGTTTCTCTCCTGTTCGCCCACTGCATGCAAAAATGTCAATTTCATGAGTTCATCCATTCTGTGCTTCAAATGAAAGATGGTGGCCTCCATGAAGAGAACCCACCCCTTTAAGTAAAAGACTTGGCCATTATTAACAAAAACAAAGATATTTGTAGATGCTGTTCATTAAACACTAATTAAAAAAATACTTGCATACATTATATTCCATTTCTGCCAAATATGTTCTATTAAATGCCTCAAAATGACACATATCACACCTATATGATCTTACACATTATAGTAAGCCCACAATTATGATCATTCAACCAATTTTTGATAAATGGCAGCTTGAAAGGAGGTTGAAAGGGAAAGTATGGATATAAATCTGGTCCTACTTAACATATAAAAATATATTTTAAGAGTTTCCCATCAACAACAATTACAAAAATGCGAGCAATGTTTAGATAACCTTATGATAGCTAATATTATGTATTTGTAAAGCAAAATTTTAAGTTTAAAATCAGTTTTAGGTGTTAAATCTTATTATTATTATTATTATTATTATTATTATTATCATTTTTTAATGTTTTTTTGGCCTGGGATTAGTTATCTGTTCTGTCTTATAAAACTACCAAAAAGTACGAGGTTTTCTGGGTCATGTACTCCAGCGACAGTTGGAGTATTTTATTGTTTTACTACAAGTTAAACATACAATGATAAGTTTTTTTGGTGCATGTACTTACACACATATCTAACATTTTAATATGCCTACAGTCTTGGTCAGTGTTTGTAAATCAGCTGCACATCTGTGGTAAGCATATCAACACAACACAATGTTTACAGCTTGTTTAAAAAGTGTTTCCAGAAGTGATTTATCCTAATGTGGTTTTTAATGCGGCACAGATGTGTGGATAAATCAGTTTCATCTCTTGCTGACTATTCTGTGTTCCTGCTGTTACTCAACAAAGATTGCAAATAAACAAACGCATCACATTTTCAATCAGCTTCACAAGGGAGTTTTGGGCTGCCAGTGTAATATTATCTATATTAGATTAAAGCCAAGGATGAGCCAGCTGACTGTCCAAAGTCCACTCTTATCAGTTTGCACTTTCATTTTATTATTTTTTATAAACTTGTTTTGTTATCCCCACATTTCCAAGATGGCAGCTGGCCATGAAGTCCCAGTAAAGTTTAGTGTTATCTGGGGCAAAAAAGGGTTTTATAGGGAGAGAGCCTCAGTATAAAAGTCTGTGTTGTTCTTCAGAGTGTGAAGCCATCATAAAGTGTGATGTCGGCTTGTGTCAATAAACGAGAGGATATTCTGTTACTTTTTAACCATCAAATGGATTTATTTTTCACACATGATGTTTCATGACGCAAATTTTTGTGAGGGAAAATCTACAGATCAATTTCGAGCCGAAGATTTCCTGATCACTGAGTTAAACATCGGGAAATAAATGACGCAGCTGTTCCCTTGAAACCCTGACTTTGTAGGTCAAAAGGGTCTCCTTGGCGAAGTCTACGGCGTAAAACATGACATGGTCTGTAGAGCGGGAAAAAGTCTGTAATGCTGGATCTGTCGTCATGGCGCCGCAGACCCCCAACCAGGCTTTTCAGAAATGTTTTTGTAGAGTTTTTGTAGAGGTGGGTGAGAGGCTTTACAATGGCAATAAATAGGCAGAGAGCCAGGAGCCGCACGCAACAATTGAGGGGAACTGATCCGCCTAATAAAAGACCCCCTCGTGGGTTTGTGGGTCTGCCTTGCTCAAGAAAAAACACACAGAATGGGAATGTAAATCTCCTCAGAGACGATAATTTATTTGCGCCAACCGAAAAACCTTATTGCAGGGGTCGATCCAATGTACACAATTACGCACTTGTAACTTCACATAGTAGAGATAAATCTGTATGAGTCTCTTCACTTTCAAGCACTAAAAAGATGCATCTTAGATAGAAATCCCTTCAGAGGCTTGTCTGTTACTGTACACTTTAATGCTGTTGCAGTTATCGTAAAACAGTCAGAGACATTTCCTTGAAAGACATAAAACACATGACGGAGAATTAGTCATAAAACAACTATTTATTCATACAGCGGGCACACCAAAATAGACTACATTCCAAGTAGATTTGCATTGTTGACCTTAGTTGACCTTAGACCATAGTTGAGTTCATATCCTGCCGAAAGTGCTGATCAAGGTTGTGCGGACGCATAAAAATTCACAACTGTTTTTCTTTCACAAGACACACGTAGAATAAGAGGATATCCTATGATGGCTGTTGCAAAAATAAACAGTTTCACCTTATAACTCACTAATTACTCTCCCACTGTGGAAGTCAGATAAGCCAAAAACCATTAAAGCGACATTAGACGGTCCTAATGCTTCCTATCCCGAGCAGCCACACCAAACACTACACCTTGGGTATTTTATAAACAAATAAAAAATGACGCAGAGGAAGTTCCTGGGGTGTCATAATTTTACCTGTCTTTTCTAACAATATGTGTATGTAAACAGCTATTTAGCACACTGGTTCTGTCAAGAAAAGATGATCAGTCATGAAGGAAACAAAGGAGAGATCTTTAAAAATAGCCCGAGAGTGAGAATCTGATAAATCTGAAGTGAAACTCCGGGATAAACTAAATTTACCCCCTCGATTATGAAAAGGGTGTTGGTTACATAACAGACAGTCCAGTCTGGGTCATCCCACCAGCTCACTGACCCAAACCTGCCAAGTGGCAGCAGTCTCATGACAGTGATTTGCAAGCTAACGATACTGTCTCATGGGATGGGATAGGAGCCTTTGAAGGAAGCCGTTCACTGGTGATGATTTCAGGGCATGTGAGGGGTGTGTATTTGGGTGTTTCTGTGTTACCAAACTCGTGAATGTGAGCCTTGGTGAACCAGTAAATTAGTCATTCAGCTACATTGTCTAGCTGAATGCTTACTGATCATTTATTTTGCTTGTTGGTGTGAGGTCTTCTGTAAGAGTGACCTCTCTTTATCCCAGTTAACAAAACATCTGGTTCACAACAAGTTTGTCACGCCTCCTACCGAGTTTGTTTAGTAGCCACAACAGAACTTAAATCGATTTCAAGATCCAAAGGATACGTGGAAGTGATGGCGCAAATGTGTCGTGTTTGTTTTGCTCTGACGACTATTTTCCTTTGCACACTGAATACCTTGGGACCAAACTGTAATTAGATAAATTTGAGCAATTAGTAAAATGAGTTTCTAACTGTCACAAGCGGTTTCATGGGTCACTGCATTTCTGTGCTGTCCATGCACCACAACCTATAACCCATTAGTCTGTTTGTTCAACCTCAGACAGCCGCTTTTCCTCACAAACACTTGGAGCGTTTGTGTACAGTATGGTTTGTTTCTATATTTTCTATGAGGAACTGTGCTCTACTTTCACAAAAAAAGGGAAAAACAGTGTGGGGGGGTGGGTAGACTGACACCAGGAAGTGATAAAACAAGCCCTGCTATCGTGGCTCTTTCCTGTCAACTGTCCAATATTTTTGTGTTGAAGTCTAATCATTTAAACTGCAAATATGAGCTGAAGCAGCTCTGATATTGAATAGCTTTCCCTGAGAAAAAAATAATGTAAAATGTTCTGCTTTCATTTGTAACTAAAGAGAAATGTCTCAACTTTCCTCTCTTTTGTTAAATGAATATTTGACACATGCACATTCTTGTCTTGCTATTCATTTAAAATTGTCATTTCTGTAACTAAATAAGTAAGAAACTCTAAGAAACCTTGTTCACTCTTGCATAAATCATTTGGAGGAAGAAAAGGCCTCTCATGTCCACACTGCGGTGACTTTCAGCTGCTATCAGTGGACTGCAGATTCACATTTTGTAGCCCAAACGCAAAGAGTAAGACGCTGGAAAATGGAGCCGTTTCTGCTGTGACTATTTTCCATTTGAATATGAAAAAGTTTCCAGCTGAATTCACCTCACTGCTCTGCAGGAAAAAGGTATGCATACCATTAGACAGAGGTGGTTTCATTTTGCTCTTCTTTATTGCTTTTACTGCAGTCGTCCGGGTACTTTATGCCTCTGTGTTCAAACTGCATGCATGGTTGGATTATTAGTCGTGACAGCGTCGACCTCTGTGTAAGGCATCTGTCAACTTTGACCCCAACTATCAAACAAACTCATGTGATATCAAGCCCACCGTGAACTTAACATTTACTTTCTGCTGCTCTCACATCATAAAGTTCCATTAATGAGAGATTTAGAAGGTCTTCAGAACATTTTTATTCACTCTCACATAAATCACACATACAGAGTCTCACTTTGTCTGTACTTTGTGTATTTTTGAGCATTCTCCACATTCCTCAACAAGTGGTCTCACGATTCAGTCAGATGTGAAGACCTCCAGTGGAGGTATGTTTGGTGAAGATAGAAGCACAGGCTATGCTGAATGGGTCTGATAAAATGTAGAGATATTAACGATAACTGTGTATAGTTTGAGGTATCAGAAATATTTTACAGTGCAGCAGACAAACATGAGAGCAGTCAGAGAGTAAACGTTTCTAAGGATTCAGCAAAGACCATGTGAAGGACCAAGACATAGGTGTGGACAAAGATCAGATTTTGAATTATCAGTAACTAAAAAAAAGAAACTGAATGTAAAAAAAAAATAAAATAAAAAAAACCCTAAAACTCCATCCTATCAGAACATAATCAGACCTAACTCAAGTGAGATGAGACAGAAGACCAGTCAAACAAAAGCCCAAGGGGACTACAAACTGAACATCTAAAAAACTTAAAAATACACCTTTTAAAAAAATCTATACTTATAATAATCTGAATAGTGAACAATGGAATGCTAACATAAGGTGGCAGCAGGTCACAGCCACCACAGACCTGATAGTCAATGAAACGTTGATGTTTCTGGAAAACTTGTGTAACAGGGATTGTGTAACAGATGATAATTAGCTCAAAGACAGCAGCTTTCGAGATACTCCATTAATCTTCAGGTAATGGCTAATCAAATCATTACAACTAAAAGGCTCCAGTGAGATCCCTCCTATGTCTGTGTTTTGAAAGTCAAGTACCTCCGGTTGTATTAGAGATTTCAGCGAGTTACAATGGGACATCTCATCGTTGGCACACTACGCAGCATACCAAAACAATCAACAAACACATTAATGTAAGGCTAACTGGATGTATGTTTAACAATGAAATCCAATATATCTTAATAGCTCTGTACCTTTTGTTTTTTTATACCCCTATATATAAAAAAGTGAGGCAAATACATGGAAAATCTATTCCTGACCGCATTATTTTGGTTTGGTAGTAAATGCGAACACATTTTCAAAAGTCCAAATTGAGCCGGACTCACACACCGAATTATTTTATTTTTAAACCATCACCTGAATGTAATGTCTGTGGCCCCTAAAACTGTGAAAAGCCAGTCTCCTAGGGCCTGTTATGAAAAAGTCATCTCTAATGACTCCCCTTAAATCTGCTTAAAGGCTGCAGGCCGGATCAATTTCATTAAACAGCCTGTTAAAATAAATCAAGGCTGCTACTCTTATCAAAGTAGATTGTAATTCTGACAACAGAGTGATGACTGAGCAGGCTATCTTGTTAATCCAGAAAGTAAAAACTGTATGCAGGACTTGATTGATGTTTTTAATCAAACACAGCAACAACTCAACTTGAATCAGCCAAGTTGCACAAGCAGCTCACGACTAATCACCTGTACTTAGTTTTTCCTTTTGTGAAGCCTACAGTGAAGTGTGAAGTCTGACAGGGCTGTAGGAAGTAATCACTCAAAAGGCTTAGTAATTCTGCTAATTACTCTGTATGCAAACGGCCAATTCATCACTTCAGGGGAGACAGTGAGGCTGTGGCACATGTACACATACGCACATGTACAAAATTGTTGGTATCCCCTCTGTTGATGAAAGAAAAACCCATAAACGTCACTTAAAAAAACTTGAAACTGACAAAAGAAATAATAAATAAACCATTAATTATTACTGAAGATTAACTAATGAAAACCAGATATTGCTTTTGAGCTGTGGTTCAGCAGAATCATTGAGAAAAACAAACTAATGGTACAAGCCTGGACAAAAATGATGGTACCCTTAACTTCATATTTTGTTGCACAACCTTTTGAGGCAATCACTGCAATCAAACTATTTCTGTACCCCCTCATGAACAAACTGCTCCACTTGTGTCAGGTTTGAAGGGTGCCTTCTCCAGATTGTGTTTCAGCTCCTTCCACAGACGTCCAATAGGATTTAGATCAGAGCTCATAGCACTTTGAAATAGCTGAGACCAAGCTTTCTGACACTAGACAGCACATTTTTTGAGATAGTCTTGAGATTTCATTATAACCTGCACAGATTCAAGACACCCTGTGCCAGGTGCAGCAAAGCAGCCCCAGAACATAACCGAGCCTCCTCCATGTCTCACAGTAGGGACAGTGTTCTTTTCTTGGTCTGCTTCATTTTTGTGTTTGTGAACATAGACTTAATGTGCTTTGCCAAAGAGCTCATCTTTTAAAAGGACAACCTCCCCTAACTTTTGGGGCTTGTCAATAAGCATTGAAGCAAATTCCAGTCTTGCTTTCTATGATTTGCTTTCAACAGTTAGCTATAACGATAACTGATGGTGCGATCTTTGACTTTGATCTTGACTTTTAACATTCTTGTCTATAATTAGGGCCACAAGACAAACATGCAAGGCGCTAATGTTAAATTGTGGATTTTTTCTTATTCCTTTTCCAAACACATTTCTCTTCTTTACTAGTCCTACAGCTTGATGAGTTCTAGGACAAAACTATATGTCAAAATGTTTGGTTTGATCAGGATCAGTGTGCTATTACATTCTCTATTGTATATTAATTTTTCGTGACATAAGTCAAGAAAAACTGCAGGAAAATTTTGCATTAAAGTCAATGAGACAAGCCATAAAATAGAGCAATTATTGGAGTTTTTCAAACATCTACTGCTTTTTTTTTTTGTCTTTTTGGATTATTAAATACTTGAAAAATGTTACTAGTATTGACTTTTTTAAATCTCTGAATAATCTCATCATAACAGGTAGTGGCCCCCATGGCCCTGGTCAAAATTTCCCAGTGAGAATTTTCTTGTTTATCATGTCCTCATGGTCAAATTATTTTCAATCTTTTTACCATCATTTTTGTCTAGGGCATTTTTTTTATGATTCTGTTAAACCACCACTCAAAAGCAATGTTTGACTTTCATTGGTTGATTTTCAGTAATATTTTATTTATTATTTCTTTAGTCAGTTTAAAGTTATTTCAGTGATTATTGTGGACTTTGATTGACAGTGGGGTACCAACAATTCTGTCCATGTGTTTATACAATACTTTAAACAACTGAACCACTTTGATATTCTCTACAGCACACCATAGTTACAAAAATGCGCATTGCAGGTGTAATAATAAAAAAAGTCAAATATCCTGTAAACTAAAATATAAAAACACTGTCACGTTATATACTTAAAAGTAGACATTCATATCAGTCTTCAGTTTCTTTAATATTTTACCCAGAGATAACCACTTTAAAACATTTTGAACTGACACACAAGGATTATTTAATTCCAAACAGTCTTATCAGTGCCTGAAACTGACCACAGCAAGCTGACTAGACGGTACTGAACAGCTTGCATTAGTCTTTCGAGCATTATTCATGTTGGTGTACAAGCAGAAGGACACATAAGAAAGTCTAAAACAAAGGTTTTATTTGTGTCACTCTGTTCCTCTCAGTGTCAGGAATGTGCCAAATACGAGCTCACGGAGCAGCAGAGAGTTCAAGCTGGCACAGTTAATAATTAAAAGGTCATAAATTCGTTTGAGGACAGGACACTTTCCCTCATGTGCCTTTGATGCTCCTAAAATACACGCACACATCCTGTGTTGCAATGACAGAATTAGTCACAACTGAGTGTACTCTGTGAGCTGAGTCTGAGTGTCACACATTACACCACATCCATTACATTTATCTATCTGTATTGAATCACAGACTCAAAATCCTTAAAAATCCATAGCAGACATATAAAAGTATCCAACAATGTGACCACACAGAGGCTTTAAAGACCAACAGTAGTTGTAGTGTAAACTCTTTGACATTTGTTGCAGCAGCCCTGTTGCTGTTTGCCGTCACACCCCCTTGAATTCAGAGCCAGGTGCAACAGACATCTCATTTCCCAAAGTTTATGTTTCACCCAGCTCTCAAATACATCTAATAATTACTCAGACAACATGCTTTGAGTTAATGAGTTATTGTGGCTAAAACTAGAGCATCCCGAGGGTGTCTCGTATCTGAAAGTTAATCTTCTCTTAATTAAAAGAATATCAAATTAAATGTCACTTGGTTAATTTTGTTGCTTTTACATAACAGGCAAGTTTAAAGTACAACTTGGAGTGTTTTCTTAACTTTTACTTGTATTCTCTTCCTTTGCTCGGGGCATTTCTTTCTTTCCTGCATGTGAGGAGTCTGCTGGGTGGCCTTTCTCGTAAAAGCTGTATAAAAGGAGTGAGATCTAAAATGAGTATTTGGGAGTTGTCTGCCTGTACTTTGGCTCTCCCTCTGTGCTTTCAGTCATTCATGGAGTGATTAAATGCAGAGGAGTAAAAGAATATTATGCAAAGTTCGATTTTTGTAAATAGTTGAATCACAAATATGATTTAAAATGTTTGTAAGTCAACTGGATTCATGGCAGAGTTATTTTCAGACAGAAAATTCTGCACCGAGCTTTAAATTGTGGTGCAAGTGGAAACTTTTCCTTCAGTTACAGCTATTACTAAACCCAGTTGTGTTCCTAACAGAAGTCCAAAGACCAGAGCTGGGTGCACAGGGAGGTACTGGGAGAGGGGCCGGAGGACAGAGAGAGGAGGAGGGGGTGGGGGTGGGGTGGGGGGGCAGAGGGAGGGAAGCAAGAGACCAGTCTTTTGGATTTCTCATTAATTCAGTGTGGCCCTCTCTTTCAGTTTTTTAAAGCCCGCCCACTGACCATTATCAGCCTGGGCCTTATATATGCAGCCTGTCACTGTTGTTTGTGAGTACACACACTTTCCACAGCTCAAACCTGCAGCCGTACAGCCCTCACTGCCACCAACATGAGAGAGTTCAAGAGCAAGGATTTCTGGAGGGCCGTCCTGGCCGAACTGGTTGGCATGACCCTTTTCATTTTCCTCAGCCTGGCCACAGCTATTGGAAACACGAACAACCTCAACCCAGACCAGGAGGTGAAGGTGGCTCTGGGCTTCGGACTGGCCATCGCCACGTTGGCTCAAAGTTTAGGCCACATCAGCGGGGCCCACCTGAACCCTGCTGTCACCCTCGGGATGCTGGCCAGCTGTCAGATCAGCGTGCTCAAGGCTGTCATGTACATCATTGCCCAGATGCTGGGTTCTGCTCTGGCCAGTGGCATTATGTATGGAGCACGTCCAAGCAAGACTGATGCACTGGGGCTCAACGCTGTAAGTGGAACTTTTTATTTCACTGTTTTTTAAAAGGACATGAGACAGTGTGCGCTTCTTTTACATCCCATGTTTTGTATGTAAAAGGTTTTTGTTGCCTTAATTTTAACCTGAAAGTCAAAACTGAGGGCTTTAAAAAGATGCTAGGTTGGCACTGTAAGCTTTGGACATTTTGTCATTGCTGAATATTTAATAGTGATGACATGTTGATTTAGCACAGAACATTGCAGCAGCTGAATGAGTCTGCAAATTAAAACATGCAATGTCAACTTTTTGACATTACCCTTCAGCTGTTTTAGTATTAGTATAAACTCTCCTTTTCTTTGATTATCTGTTGTGTTGAACACCAGCTGACATATGTACAAGCTTAAGAGGGTCAAGATGATATCTGCTCACTGAGAGAAACTGCACTACTCCACACACAAACAAACCACAGTGCAGGATACACTGAATAACAATGATCAGGTCTTGTGAAAATTAAAATTGAAAACTGCAATGTGTCACTTTAGAGGCTCTGCCAAATTTCTGTCAGCCTTCAAGGACAATAGTGCCAGCAGCAGCAGCAGCAGTGGTGGTGGCTGCAGCAGCTAAATGGGAAGTGGTTGTTATGGGAAACAGTCCATCTGACCGTCACAGACTTACAAACTGTTGTTGTTTTGGATTTTCGCAGCTCAACGGTGTCACTCCCAGCCAAGGCGTGGGCATTGAGCTCCTGGCAACCTTCCAGCTGGTGCTGTGTGTCATTGCAGTCACTGATAAAAGGCGGCGTGATGTCACCGGATCAGCACCCTTGGCCATTGGCCTCTCGGTCTGCCTTGGGCACTTGGCAGCGGTAAGTTTCAACCCTCACAACTAAACCCCAATACAGCGTAATGCGTATATCTGCAAACAAACAGCAGATATGTTTCAGCCCCAAGAGTAACAGAATTCCATGCCCCCTTCCCTCTTTTTTTGTGCTGTTTCAGTCCCTTCTTACCCCTGTCTGTTTCAATTAAACCAGCAAAGCATGTAGCCGAAGATATCCTCTTATGTTGTCTTTTTTTTTACCGATTACAGATCAGCTACACGGGCTGCGGCATCAATCCCGCTCGCTCCTTTGGTCCAGCTTTGATCCTGAACGATTTCACAAACCACTGGGTGAGTAGAGACAGAGAAGCTCAGAGGATTTTTCAGCTTACATGCAACATGTGGAGCTTCAATAATTCATTAAGTATAACAGACAGATGACTCACGAGTTAGTCAGCTGTAGCATTCCTGTACTTTCAAATGAGTAGATCTGAGTTATTGACAAAAAAAGACCTTTTTAAACTGCTTTGTCTGTTAACAATGGCCCGAGATTGATCAAAGTTATCCATTGCAGGTGTACTGGGTTGGACCCATGTGCGGCGGAGTAGCAGCAGCCCTCATATATGACTTCCTGCTGTCTCCAAAATTCGACGACTTCCCTGAGCGTGTGAAGGTCCTTGTCAGCGGCCCAGCTGGCGACTACGACGTCAACGGAGGCAACGACACTACAACTGTGGAAATGTCATCAAAATAATACCCCCACTGTCCCAGCCACTTAGTTCTACTGAACATGTTTATACTCCTGTAAAAAGAAAAGATCTCTTGAATGTAGTGTAGTGTTTTTGTGCTATTCTGAAATACCAATGAGGATTGTGGTAACGGGTCAGTTAGCATCTCTTTCTAACTCACTCCTTGTCTTTGACCCCCCGCACACTTTTATTCAAACTACCACTGAAGCATACGAGCCGAGGTTGTGAGAATCTTGACGGAGCAGTGTGTTGAATTTTTTCCCAATATCAGTATTTCTTGATGAGCCATGTTTTTGTATACTCTATGTACTTTGATCACTTATTTTTTTCTGATGGGTAATGTATTATATGTACACTCTTGAAATGTCTGTCACTTTTTTAAGTAAATAAAACACTTGTTGTTAACAATGGTTGCTTTAGGTGTTTTGTAGTCATATAGTCAAGATAAATATTTGCTTTTTTATGTTATAATTAGAGTTTTTCTCGGACTATAAGCACAAAGCACATGCATACACAACCTTTGAATAAGATCTATTAAAATACACAGGTAAGTACATGGCCAGATTAACCATTTATAGGGGCCTGGGGCCTAGAGGACCCCTTTAAACCCCTCTGGTCTTTTGTGTACTTACTTCCTGTGTCCTTCAAATACGATGCACTCACTGCACCATTGTTCACAGTGTGTAATTTTTGTTACAACAAATTTTTAAAGCTGGATTTTAACTTTTTAATTTGTTGATACTACTTATGAGTTAGGCAAATGTCAACATGAAAGGAAATCAGGGGTTTTAAAGCCTCCTGGTCTGAGGAAGGTAAAGTCTGCCCGGTTGGTAATCTAATCATCTGATAAGAAAAGGAGTTTACAACAGTTAGAATTCCTGAGATAACTGAGCAAAGTCATCTCATTCATTTTTTCATAGGCCAACGTATTTAATCTTGAGTAGAGAATTTTCAAATACCAGGACAATCCAGAAAATAATGTCGTAATAAGTAAACTGTCAGCGTGCATTTAGAGTTACATAATCATCAAATAGTGTATTACGTAATATACTATAACAATGAATTAATCAGTTATTTCATCAGAAGCTTTCCACACTTTGTTAACCAAATCAATGTAGCATTAAAAAGTCACGAGCAGAGGGTAAGTTCAGAGGAACTGCCCTAAAAAACAAAGACAGAACAGATTTTTCTCAAGTTTCTGGCTGACGCTTAATGACTCAGTCTTTCAGTACTATAATATTAGATACCTTTTGTCTTTTAAAAGGTAAATATTACATCATATCAAATGGAGAAAACAATACAATTAAAAACAATATAATATTACATTCTCAATTGTCTCAGTTGACCCAGACTCCTACTTCTGTATATGTTCACTCTGCTGTATTGTAACCCAACACAACGGAACCTAGAAACTGAGCTTGACCTTGCGCCCGCGCTAATAATCAAGAATAATTGAATATGGTCCATGATTGAATGATCTTAAACAATTTTTGATTAGGTATTCATTATCTGGTTGTAAATTGCTGCTGTTGTATCTCCAAAACCACTACTTCACAGAAAGTTGAACACTGCCAAAGACCAGACCATCCCCTGTTTTATGTTTGCTCTGTCTGTCCTCTTCAATTTCATCTGTGACTCTTTCATTAAGTAACGCTGTGCCTTTGACCTCATTTGGTGAGTCTGCTGTGTTTCCACCTCTCTTTACTTTGCTTTGCCGACTTGTCAGCCATTGACCAAAAGTCTCTAAGTTTTGTGCTCACCTGATAAATGCAAAGTCAAAATATCCTCAATATTGGTACTAGTTTTTTGCCGAACTCAAAATGTCGAACTCAAAAAAAAACAAAAAATACACTGGGGGAAAAAACAAGAGGAGACACTGGAGACGGACACATCGACATCGACATCGACATCCATTCACACACAATGAACCACAAGGAACAGGGGAAGGCAGGGACTATATATGCACACAGGGAAATGAGCAACGAGAGGCAGGTGAGACACTGAGACACAGGTGCAGACAATTACAAAGGAGGGGAAACTGAAGAAGTAAAATAAGACTAGAAACACAAGGATGAGCTACTACAAAATAAAACAGGGAGAACTGAAACTGATTAACAGAATGAAACACTGAAAACATGAGGGAAACGGGGTCAGACACAAACTAAAAACTCACAAGACAGGACGACAGGGAAACAGGAACAATAGGTAACAGAAACACGAGGGAAAATACAAAGAAAACACACTCCAGGGAAACACAAAACCAGGGAAAAAAACTAAATAAACAGAACATATCATGACACAAATTGCTTTTTGCAGATTGAAATAATGTGGCGTGTGGATTCAGGTATATTGACTGACGTTTTTGAATACCCATGCAAAGATTACACAAGAGCTGTTTTTACCACTTGATGTCAAAGATTAATGAAACTAGAGCATGTAGATTTAGCAGTGAAACACTAAAGTCTTACTTCAAAAGTGATTTGTTTAGAGACAAAGAAGTTTATAATGTTTATTGTCGATGTTACAGCAAGCTCTTCAGTTTTAGTTGTTGATGTAATCACAGTTCTTACGGTCAGACATTGCTGATTCAGGTTGGGATCTGCATAAAATGTAACAAGAAATATTCATCTCACATGAGACAGATCAATACCTCTATGATTCACCTGGTGATAATTGAAGTTATGAGAAAAGCTCAACAGCTTGGCCAACTCTGTAGCAGAATAAAAACATTGGGTACTCAGTTATGCTTCCAATCTTCTTGTGTTTTCTTTTTACCGCCCAGCTGTCTTTGCTGATTGATGAATAGCTGCTCTCGCTCATGTTTTCATCAGGGGAAGCACCAAAAGGCAGATTGCCAAGTTGATGAGAGTTTCTCCTTGGTGGCCAAGGAAAGGTGTGTACAGGAGGATTTTCTGGCCCATCTCTTCTCTGAATCCTGGAGTTTTTGGGGTTAAGTGTTAAGGTCCATTTTGGCTGAAATTGCTTGAGCTTTTGACCAAATTTTTGCAGGTCGAATCAGAAGGTCCAATCCAATGAAAGTGCTCTGTGAGAGGAAGCTTTGGATAACAGTTTGAAGCAAAAGCAACTTTTTGGATCTGTTTGAGTGTAGCGCTCAAATACAACGGTATGCACAGCGTGGAGGCTCCTTTGCAGCTATGGTGCTTCAAGTAGCAGGACAATAAATTGAACCATGAAAAGAAAAATTCCGTCATCGGTCATGGGACAGCTGGATCATTTGTGGGATCCAGTCTTGCATAGAAAAAGCAGCCGTCTTTCAGCGGTCTTCTTTTGAATGGAGCCAGTCTGGTGAGGGAGCAGGAGTGCCAATGCAGTGGGCTACAGCAAAAGAAAAAAAAAATCTGGGTTAGCCACCCAAAAAATGGTGTGCGGCTCAGCATTTGCTCAATGGCAACATGATGTCATCTGGAGAGACTCTGCTGTGGCTGATCAAATCCACGGAGGCACATATTCCTGGTGGCTTTTATTACACTGTTTAATTTGCAACCACTGAGGCAAGATGATAAATTGTCTCTGTAATATATTTCCAAAAGTGTACACCCTGAGTCATAGTAACCTACTCTACAGCCAAAACACAAGATTTTCTGCTGTTCTTGCTTTTTTTACGTCATCGTGATCTTCATTTATTTTAAGCAACAGAAAGTCAAAAACCTTTGAGGTTTCAAGTACCATTTAACTCTGTTTAACAGACCAGCATACATATTGATTATATAGTTGACTTGCTTCCATTACTGCACGGTTGAATTCTCTAAGCTCATCCTATAATCCCATCTGTTATTGCCTGAACACAATACACCAAATCCTCTTCTTCAGGACACCTGCAGCCTCATGTTATCTCCGTTTCTAGACAACTAGATTTGGGAAGCAGAAATGCATTTGTGTCTTTTTATATCGCGAAGACAACGGCTTGAGTATCACAGATGAATAATAGATGTTTTCCTCAACCTCAGATGATCGAGGGAAGCTTTTGTGTGCTCTAAAACCTTCCTAAACCAGATTGAGTTTGGTCAATTAAAAGCTTTTTCTTTGTACTAGCAGGTAGGAACACTGCTTCACCCCAAACCACTCACTGCATGAATTGGACTAACTGAGTGAGACCCTTTTTAAGGTTGCGCTTCTATCTTTAGTTTGCTTTTTATCTGTACAAATAGCAAATGATTTTCTAAAGTGTAGCCTGAAATATGAATCTAATACTCTGCCTCAGTTATTTACCTTGGACTTTTCAGGGTTTAGGCATCATTAAAGGTGATTTTATGACACTTGTTTAGATCATATGCCCTCCTGCACTCTGCTGTCTTATTATGAGCCAGTCCTGCTGTGTATTGATTTACTGAGTGATGTGATAATTACCCTATAGCTCGCTTTTAGTCTGCCTCCTCATGTGAAAAAGATTATGATAGGAGTGTACAGCATGTACAGAGCTGGAGTTTTTTGCGTTGCAGCTCTGACCTCTCCGTTCCCTGAAAGGAAACCGTGAGCTGAGCACAGCGGGGGGACGTGCAGCATGATAACAACTTCCCCCCCTATAGGCTCTGAGTCTACACGTGTGAGCTGAGGCGAGGGGCTCCTGAAATCCTCAACGGCTAAGACACATTATCAGACATGCACGTAGCAAAAATTATTATCCAGCGAATGAAATGTGGAGGATTTGCAGGCCCAGAGAGCTGCTTCAGCTTAGAAGATTAGTAATCATGTATTTCTTGTCAGCTCCCCTGGATTATCCCTCCTCTCTTGTTATCATATTTATTTTATTATGGGCATTTCATTAATGGCACAGCTCAGTCATAAATCCTGCATCCTCTAATATATGTTACTCTCAATCATCTCAGGTGCCTCAGCTGTAAATGCTACCAAGTCAAAACTGTTATTTCTTGGTTTTAGAGGATCAAACACTTTCAAACAAATCTCTGTTTGATGATTTAAACAGCAAAGTAGTGGTGCAAAAGCTGCACCTCTCTGATAGAGAAAAAATGGAGATCTTATGTTCTCTTTAGGTGTTGCCAGAGTCAAAGGTAAAGCTTTGTCGGTCTCCTCCTTTTCCCCAGCTGACAAGGAGGCTAGAAGAAGTGTGACCTTTTAACCTCTCGGTCTGTTCACATAGAAAAAAGGCAGAATGGGAAGCTGGTTTCCTTGCCGTCAATTCAAAAGGTCCCATTTCCTTCACAGCGGCGTGCGACTGATGTTCACTTCAATGCGGAGGGCCCTGCTTGACACATACTCAGAATAGAAGACGAAGATTTACAGATAGGGATACCATTCTGTGAGTGCCCTTCACTTATCTGATGGATATGTCACACATGTTTGATATCTTGTGTGCCAGATTACAGTTGATATTTACTTTTTCTATAACCTAAATGTTTCTCAATGCTTTTATGCACATAATCATGTTAGATAAGACTCACACGAACATATTTAAGATCTGCACTCATGTTTCTGTTCACTCAGAGTGAGCATTTGTACAGGAGCAAGTCCCTGCTGTCTTATACTGCCATGTTTGTAAAGTTGCACAGAACAAACTACTGAGCAACAGACGGCTATTAGACGTCTAGTTTTTTTTTCCGACCTAATTTCAAGCATCTAGATTGTGTTTATTTTTAGACAGAATTTAGACGTTGCACTTAAACCCATTATTCAATAACTATTTATTTCAAAACTAATCTACTAACTAATCTACAAATACTTAACCAAAATATTTATGATAGCCATTGAGCAATATACAGTGTAGTATAGATATAGCCCAGATTTAGACTTGGTCTAAATTTAGATGTCTAAAAAAAACCTTCATTTTTAGACCTGTGGTAGCCTGATTTTAAACCAGTCGTCTAGGCTACATTTAGACCAAAAATGCTCAGTGGGAACATTCACATTTTTGTATTTAGAGAGTAGCTGCACAAATTGTAGTGGTTGGAATACAAAGAGGAAAAGAGTGGTTGTTGTTGTGCTCCACAGACTCTGTTTTGTTAGTCTTTTTGAGGGTAAGATCTTCACAAATGGAGGCTCGTATACTTATGCATCACAAACACAGCTTGTCCTCAGGGCTGTGGGTCACTATAGCTTCACTGATGGGAAGGAAGTGAGTCATACTAAAATCTGACAGCTTGATAATGCTAAATATTCCTATTTCTGCACATTGTACCTTTGAAAATACTTCACATGTAATTGTTTATTTGTGTTGTTTGGTGGATTTTAGACACTCTCATGATTAAGTTGTAATATATAAGAAAAACATGAATATTTTATGAAACTTTAACTCTTTAACTCTTAATGTAAAGAGTTTTTCTACATCACTTCCTCTTGCACAAAGTCACAGTTTGATGTGTTGCTCAATGAGTTGTGAATAAGCAGCACCGCCTTCTGTTAAACTGGAAAAGCACTATCTGAGAAGGAGACTCTTTGAGGTCATGTGTATCTCTCAGCTGCTTCTAATCAGGCCTGATTTTTAAAGCCACACAACAGCACTCGACCAAAATCCTACCTGATCTACAGCTCTGGCCTAATGCTGCCAAAAAAAACTGCCTCTTAGTAGTTATGGCAGAGATCAGAATGTGGGCGTTTTGGAGGGCCGTCCTGGCAGAGCTCCTGGGAATGACCATCTTTGTCTTCATAGGTCTGTCAGCTGTGATCGGAGGCAAAAATAACACTTACCCAGACCAGGAGGTAAAAGTAGCATTAGCATTCGGCCTCGCTGTCGCCACATTAGCACAGTGTTTAGGTCACATCAGTGGTGCGCACCTGAATCCTGCTATCACCCTGGGCCTGCTGGTGAACTGCCAGATGAGTGTCCTCAGAGCAGTTTTCTACACAGCGGCTCAGATGTTGGGGGCAGTGGCTGGCAGTGCCATTGTGTACAGTATCAGGCCGAAAAACATTGATTCACTTGGTGTAAACAAGGTAAGACTGAACCCGTGTGTGTGTCCAATTCTTCTGGGAAATGTTCTCCTTAATGAAGCACTTGTCCTGCTCAGATTGAGTGACATCTGGGAAATTGGCTGACGAGTTGTTGTGTAAAAAAAAACTGACATTAACAATCCCCAATTTGTGCTCTGAATGCAGAGACATATTGCTACAGCTTCTAATCAGCTAAATTTAACTTGAGCTCATGAATGATCACTCCTGGACCCCTCTCATTGGGGTGTGTTTATAGGACGAATAGGTGTGAATTTTCTGCATGATGAAACATGGTCTGAATGTTTCTCCAAGCAGCATATTCAGCTTCATTTCTCGACTATTTCACTGTTTTTTAATGATGCAGTCATGCTACTTTTCACTTAACCTTCCTCCTGTTAGCTTTTACTACGCACCCACTATGTTAAAGGTCGATTTTGTCCCGTGTCTTAAATCAGCTGTAAATTACACTAAAAACAATTCTCTATTATCCAATTTTGTTCTCATCTCAAGGTTATCTTGTTAGGCTTCATTATCCATGAGAATATTGCTTATAATATTTTTGTAGTAAGCCTCTGGGCCTTTCTTTGTCAGTATATTCCTCACACAGACATCTATACTGAATTGATCTCACATGTCTGGACATGCCTGATGTTGTTTTCAGTGCAGGGAAAAAACAGGCAAAATGAGAATTTCCTAAACTAATTATTAGATATTAATCTAACCAGGTCAACAGCAACCCTAATCCGACAAGTGCCATAATTTTAAGAGCATTTTCTAATTTAGTCAATTTATTTTTTTTATTTTTAATTTGTTGAATTAGAGGTTCCTGACAAAGTCAAAAAGTCTTGATGTGAAAAACCTAACTGATGTGGTTCTTTTAAGCATTTAAAAACAAAAATGGGTCGGTGCAGACCCTAACACAGGAGGAGGGTTTTAAAGCCGGATCTGTTTGTCAAAGTTCGTTTAAAGTTGATTTTTTGTTTTACAGTATTTTCTTTGCGAAAGTGGAAGTAAAATGATCCCTCTCTCATCATGATCTGTTGATCTGCAGAGACAATACCAGAGAACAGAGGTAATCAAAGGGTTTTTTTTCTGCCTTATTGCAGCTCAATGGAATCACCCCGGGTCAAGGATTTGGCGTCGAATTCCTGCTAACTCTCCAGCTCGTCCTCTGTGTACTTGCTGTAACCGACAAAAGACGTGATGTCAATGGATTTGCACCCCTGGCCATCGGACTCTCCGTAGGGCTGGGGCACCTTGCCGGAGTGAGAATACATCAAAAACATTTCCTCCCACGTTAATTTGGAAAAAGGTTTCTCCATCGGGCTGGGGCCAGATACAATGGATTGGCATAGGATGAACTGGTTGTAAATCAGACCTGCATGCAATTTGCTGATGCACAGCCAAAAGAATTAAGCGGTGTTTTCCCCCTAATATGCTTCACAGATCAGCTACACAGGATGTGGAATCAACCCTGCTCGATCATTTGGGCCTGCGGTCATCCAGGACTCCTTTGACAATCACTGGGTACTGATTTTGACTTTTATTTTGCAGCATTTGAACCACAAAGTCATCCCTGTTCACATTCCCTGTTCTTTTATCAGGTATACTGGGTGGGACCAATGAGCGGTGGAGTTGTGGCGGCTCTTCTGTATGATTTTCTGCTGGCACCCAGAGATGAGCCTATCAAAGAACGAACAAGAGTCCTGTTCTGCTGTAGCTCCATGCCAGATGATGAAATCTGTGAGCCACTTCTGGAGGAGGTTTAAGACTGGTTAAAAGGAGCCAGTCTGAGAGGAAAATTACTACTTTATGCAGCTTCTTTTGTACTGAGTTAAAATATTTTTCAATATAACCACTTCCACCCTCTCTTGAGTGCTCAAATGTGTGATCTGAAAATTTGTGCAGCACGTCCTTTTTTTTTTTACTGTGTCATCTCTTCTCTCCTCCCACTACACAGACAAAAAAAAAACCCTTTCACCATAAATACTGCAAACAAATGCACGACACATTTGGAGGCAGACATGGCAGAAATCAAAAGCTGGGTGTTTTGGAGGGCAGTGGGTGCAGAGTTTGTTGGTATGCTTCTCTTCATTTTCATTGGTTTATCCAGCATTATTGGGAGATCTGAGAAAGATCAGGTCCCTCAGGAGCTGAAGGTGTCTCTAGCCTTTGCTCTGGCCATCGCAACATTAGCTCAGAGTCTGGGGCATGTCAGTGGAGCACACTTGAACCCTGCGGTGTCCCTGGGTCTGCTGGTCTGCTGCCAGATCAGCGCCCTCAAATGTGTTTTTTACATCCTGGCCCAGATGCTCGGGGCGGTTGCAGCCAGTGCAATAGTGAATGGATTGAGGAAGAGTGAATCTCTCGGTGTCAACCAGGTAAAAGGTCATTCTTGGGATCTTTGACATTTTAAAAAGTTAAGAAAATAACCCCATGCATTTCCATTTTTTCATAGAGCTGTGGTTCTGTTTTCTCTCTTGCAGCTGTCACCTGGTGTGACCTTAGAAAAGGGCTTCATCATCGAGTTCCTCACCACCTTACAGCTGGTCTTGTGTGTGATAGCGGTGACGGATAAGCGACGCAGGGATGTAACAGGCTCCGCGCCACTGGCCATCGGTCTGTCAGTGGGACTCGGCCACTTTGCTGCTGTAAGTGAATAACACTCCTACAACTCAGTGACTAAAATGAAACTCGAGTGGATAAGTGCTGAGTGACAGAGAAGGTTCTGTTGATGGAGGCCATTCAGAGCAATATGATCGACTGGAAACTGCAATTTTCAGTGAATTTCATGGCTGGATTTTTAAGACTAAGACATGTTGATGCCTTAATTTTTCAAGCGATATCAAGAGATGTGCTTCTCTGTGTTTGTCAGGGTCTGTTAAAGACCACTCTTCCTCTTTGTCAGTACACCCTTCCTCTTTGGCAAGATTGAAGTCTTTTCCATCATGCCTCGTCACATCATTTTGTAGATAATGTGACTAATTCGCCAGCCGGTTCAGGAAGCAGTTTTAGCAAGTCACAATTGCAACAACAGCTGCACAAGAGATGAAGTTAAACATTCTGTATATTACTGGCAACTTTGAACATCAGTGGGTGTATTTTTCTGTCAGTTACACTTACAAAAAGTAAACTGCCTTCAATGCAAATGTTGATGAATCTTACAAAATGCAGCCCTGGAAACAGTTTCTAAAAACACAAGGATGGATGTTAAAGTAAAGAGACTCAGAATTAGACTCGATATTTGTCATTTTCTGTTTTACCATTTAATTTAGTAGTCACTTCAGTCCAAAATGACATATCTGAGAGTAAAAACAATACAAGCATAGAACATTCATAAAACTGTAGATGTAAAACACTAAACCACTCCATTTAATCAGTCTATAATGCCAACCCTCATGGATCTACAAAACATCAGAAATTCAGCTCTAGTGTTCCAGAAATTGACCACGTGTCATCTCAAAGTTGCTTTTTTCTTTTACGACTTTATCTCTAGAAATGTATTCTGCCTTTTCACCCAACCTTCAAAGACTAAATCTGCTACAAAGAAGTTCCTTCTCCTCTGCACAACTCAAATCCTTATATGTATCTACTCTTGCAATCACAGATCTCTTTCACTGGATGTGGCATTAACCCCGCTCGCTCTTTTGGACCTGCGCTGATACGTAACGATATGAAGAACCACTGGGTAACATCACAAGACAGTTCATCTCTCTAACCTCTAACTTTATATCTCATGACGTCAAAGACAATCATACCTGATCTCTACTTTCCTTCCAGCTGTACTGGCTTGCGCCCATGTGCGGCGGCATAGCTGCGGCTCTTCTCTACGATTTCCTCCTGTATCCACGAATAAACAACCTAAGAAGACGCAAAAACATGCTGCTTTATGGTTCAGAAGATGGAATTGATGCGGCTGAGGTCACTGTAGGAGGAGAAGGAGGCAGCCCGGAGCCGAGTCAGTGGCCGAAACAATAAAAAAAAAACATGCAACCTTTTAGCTTTTCTGTCAGCCATTGTACCTTTTAAAGCTCCAGTGAGGAACTTTAATTTATGTTGATTTTGGCGCCTCTTGTGAACAAATCGAGACCCCTTGTGTCTTTGCTGATATTAATTTTTTTTTTTTTTTTAACTGAAGTCATATCTTGCCTTTTTAAAACAGCATAAAACAAATGTAAAAAAAAAAAAAAGACTGCTGTCACTTAATGTGTTTCCAACTTCCCTGCCTGCTAAATAACTTACAGAGACCAAAGTCCTTCACCAAGTTACCCCTAACGCCCCCTTTCTTTTCCAGTTTCCTGCTCTCCCCGCGCTGTCCAAGAAATCATAAAAACCTAAAGAATACAGAAACAGTTTGACTGGTGATCGTATTTTCTCCTGTTAAGAGGTACGCATTAAAAAGATTCTCCTTTATCAACCAGCTAAAAAAATTCCTTTTTGATATTTTTTGTCAGTTGTATTTTTGTACTTTTTTTTTGTCGAGTCGACACTTCAAATAAAGACTTTTCAACCACTTCCAGGCCTTTCATCTCAAACATGTCTCACATTGTCAAAGTTCAAACCAAGGACAAAATTTATGTGTACATTGTTTACTAACCGGTAAATACAATAATGTATATACATATATATAGATCTGCTTGACCTTGACTTGAGTGTCTTTATAATAAATCACGTCACTCTATACAATATCATTGTATTCGGGGTGTTTGGCGACAGTCCCAAAAATCTCTCTCTGCTGAAACAACACGAGGATGTGGATCAGGTAATTGCACATAAAAGCATTTCATAAGAAAAAGCACGATTAGACAAGATGTAGCCATCATGGAGATTTCCTGTTTGGCTGTGTCACAGGAATGTCCTTTCTCCAATCTACGCACACGGCCCCCTCTCACATCCCGTTTTATGGCTTATGGGTATTTGATGATATACACACACACTCACACACACTCTCCCTGGGCTAATCATTGAATAACCATCGAGTGACTTTAAACTCACTACCCGACGTTTCTTAACAGACATCCCGTGGTTTGAGGGCAGAGCAGCCAAGGTCCTTTAAGTAGATGCGAGTTATTGTTGGCTCAAGAACCAATCAGGAGCAGGGTAAGTGCTGTGGTTGGGTGCACATCCCCTTGTGGAGCGGTCCCATTATTCTGCTCTTTGTGAGATGATCATTAACGAAATGTCTCTGTCCCAATTTATAATTTTACAATGTCCTCGGAGGGAGTGAAGGTGTACGTTTTGTTTTATTGTCACGTCTGAGCTGCGCTTATTGCCCCATAGATCTGCAGGAGATGGAAAATCACCAACATAAAACAGAAACTTAATGCCACAACTACGTGCAGAGGAAAGAAAGTTAAAGCTCCTGCATGAATCAACATATTTCCATCTATTTAGCTTCTCTGGCTGCGTCAGAATAAAAACATTGATCTATATTCAACATATGGATCATTTTTATTGCTTTCCTCCCTTTAAGGAGGATTATTGCTCTGATCTGGTGTATGTAAGCCCGACTCTGCCGGTCTGCAGCCTCATGAACCTACTTTGTTTTTAAATTCATCAATGGGGGGAGAGCGCTGCTGATGGCTTTATCTCCTTTATATGACATGACACTTCTTCACATGCTTTTTTATGGTGGAATTTCAGAGGGTGGTCATGTGACGGCGGCCAATCTAAAAATCTCTTTCCTTTGTGTGCATAACCTCCGAGGTCAGAGCATTGTGTTTAGCCTCTTGTTTTGAAGTTTGTCCTCACAATGCTCTTTTTGTTGCCCCTCGGTCATTTTGTCTGCAACTGTCCTTCATCAAATAATTTGGCTCTCATGTTGAGCTCGGTTATTCCCTGGCCTTGGCATGGGAGAGCGTTCTGTGAACTTCTCATTTTATTTATCCAGGCAAAATAAACAAAATGGGAATGAACGGTTTGGACTTGAACAGTCTTAAACTGAATTCAAAGTTAACTGTGAACCAAGAAACCAATGGCTGGTATCTTGCTAACAACTTGCACAACTTCAACAGTTTCTGAGAATGAAATGGGAACTATTTTTTCCTTCACTTATCAAATCTTAGACAAACAAAAGAATGAGATGGCTAATTATTTGCATAAAAGTGTAGTTTGTTCATACTGCACAAAGGGTTAGCTCTTTCTATTCATCTATTTTAATCACATTAAAGCTAAGATGCTTAGATTTGCACAATTTGGAGCGCAGCAGACTTGATTGACAGATGGGCACATTGTAGCTGCAGCCTGTGGGCTACAAACTCACCTCAGCTTTTCTGTTTCCACAACTGAAGGTGAAGTTAACTCACAATTTCCACTATGGTGACTGTGTTTATTATTAACTCAAATACATCTTCAGGTGCACAAAACAGAAAATATTCACTTAATACTTGAAAGCAATTTCTACTCTGTTTGTTGAATTTCAACCAAGCAGCAACCTTAAATAAAGCTAAATAGAAGTGTTAAAAACTACACTCTTTTCTACACTTGCACACACTGTAGAGGGGTTGAATTTTTGGCAACACATACATTATGAAGATTTTAAGGTTACCAGTTTTGCAAAATTATAGGCACAGGTGACTTGACTTATGCGGGGGAACACAGTGGTTGTAAAAGAGGAGGGTAAATGACTGCCTTAACCTTGCAACTTTGCTTCTAGTAAGGTCATCCAAGAGTTAGATTGAGTCTGCGCTGCCGATATAACTACTCCTGCCATCAAATTTTGCTAAGCAAGGTATTGACTTGGTGATCACCCATCAAACTACTGATCGAGGCTGAGCAGTTATCAATTTTCATCAGAATTGACATCTTACTAAACAGCCAATCGACAGACTTGTGTAAGGCATGCCAAGATATATAAAAGCTGTAATTAAAAATCAGTTATTTCTGAACTTTTGACAGATCTTCAGGTCTGAAAAATGTAACATCACTTTTTTCGATCTTCATTTGTTGTGATTTTCTGCAAATAAAAGACCTGATGAGAATATTTTCTTTGGCAGCTGGAGTGCCAGAAAAAGGTTGACTGCAATGAAACAATAATGCTATACTCAATCAAACAAAACCCTGAATAATAAAACTCTAAACTATTAAAGACATATTGATAATTTTCATTCATTTCAACAGAAATGTGACATAGACTGACACATTGCTGGGTTTTATTTATTTCAAGAATTACTAGACAAAAATCTAATAGAGCTGCACCTGCATAACAAGCCGCACTTAGCATCTATATCTATCAAACACGTTCTCGGGGTTGAGGACCATGTGCCCTTAACCTTCACCTTAAACCCTCTCTTTAGCTTTCTTCACCCTGTCTAAACACACTGACTGATGCAGAGCCCTTATCTGCTACCCCCGCGCCACGCTCACTCCCTCTCTGTTTTTCATCAGTTTTTGGCATAGGTTCAATAAACGCTGTGCTGGACAGAGGGGCTGTGGGGGGTTTTAGGGGGTGGAGCACAGAAAGATATCTGGCAAACTGTGTGAAAAACTCCACATACGAGAAACAAAGTGCCAATCAAAAGTGCAGGGTAAAACAGTTCTAGTTTCCCCTTTTACGACCGCCGCGACCAGGCAGATGTTGTGAAAATCACCTCTCAGCTCTTTCAAGTTGACACTACTGGCCCACATTTTCACAACTTTATTGTTTTTCTACAATCATCAGCAGAACATCTTTACGATCAGTTAACTGCCTTCGTAACTGCAGGGCTGTAAACACTCGTCAAAGAATGCAGAAGGTGGATATTTCCACCGCTAGGAACAACCTCAGAGGTCCTGACTGATAAAGGTATGTGGTAAACATGGATCCAAACAGGGCATCATGTTCACATAAGCCCTGCCAAAGTTGAAGCAGTGTGCGTTGTTTTCCGAGTCAACTGAACAATGTCCACACCATCATTTAAAGCAAGGGATTGATGATTGACGAGCAGGTGTTTTAAAGCCCAGGCTCATCCTTGTTTAAATTTTTTGGCATCATTATAATTATTATCATTCTAAATACAGCCTTTAAAATCAATTGATGATACTGTGTGCAGCTAAACAAATAAAATGGTAATCAACCCAATTATGGCTATTTCTTCAATTCACATGTTAACAAAATATTACAGATGGGTCCTTTAAAGGAGTAACAGTGTTTTGCTACACTGGTTTGAATGTGCTCTGTGACATTGTTGAGCAATCAATGTTATCAAAGAATCAAAGCCCTGCAGCTCAATGGTTGGAATTTAAATTATATACCCACACAAATGATACACATATACACAAACTCACACACAGAGGAAGAAACCCTATTATTACTGTTGTGACCTCTGTGAAACTTTTCATATATCTAGAAGCCAAATGTCAAATTCAATTTTGACCCTGCCTCCAACAGGAACTACTAAGAACGTGTACAGCGCACCTCTTGTACTGAAATATTTAAACAAAATAAACTCAAATGTAGTCAGCAGATATTTAATTATAGCACAAGCAGTATATGTTACATAAAATGCTTGAAAGGTTATCACGAGGAAAGGGTGGATTTCAAGTTTATCCTGCCATTGATACAGTACTTCGACACTCATACACATACACTCACTTACACTGTCTCTAACTACATGTGTGTAAACAGAGCTGAGAAATATCTGCTTTTCTGACAGAGAGAAATAGTGTGCAACACTACCACCTTCTGGTAGGAGCTGAGTTTAGGTCTGCACAATCAGTTTGAGTCTCCCAAGAAAGTTAAATCTGCAACACTTTGTAAAGACTATAAGCAACAGTAAGATGATGGATAATTTACTGTACTCAGTGATAGTTAGAAATGTTAACAAGCAATAAGTGGAGCTATTGATTACATTTCTCTGTCATATGAAAAATATTACTTAATACATCTTGACTTAACAGTAATACCTGATTGTTTAAACGATCATATTTAGGTCTATAAATCGTCTAACACTGCACAAATAGTCATTTTGTTTTTGCGTTAAGTCTTTGAAATTTTTTTTACATATTTAAGGCTTGAAGCAATCATTTGTACAGCAGTTCTGGTCCATCTATTATGTCCTGAATAGACTTTAGACTATCAGCAAGGAACAGTAAATTGATGGATAATTCACTGTGTGCAATGAGAAATGTTAACAAGCAATAAGTGGAGCTATTGGTTACATTTCTCTGTCATATAAAACATATTACTTACTACATCTTGACTGCACAGTACCAGATTGTTAAAATATGTAGGCTATTTAGGTCTGCAAATCGTCTGTCACTGCACAAATAGACATTTTGTTTTTGTTACGTCTTCGAAAATGCTAAATATATCATTTAAGCCTTGAAGAAATTGTTTGTACAACAGGTCTGGTCCATACATTATGTTCTAAATATGTTAACCAGATCTGAGCTAGAACTATAGGCCTACTATATTCTTTGTATGATCTACGTCCAGAACTGAGTAAATGTAGTGAAGGAGATTCTTAAGACAAGGGGGAAAGGAAATTAGATTTCCTAGTTTCTTACAGATAAAGTAAATAAGTTAGTATTCTTCCTTTAGTATTATGCTTAATTATTATTCATTTTTATGGTATTATTCTCCAAAATTGGCCATTGTGACCTTTTGAAAATCTGAACGCACTTAGTTCAATTTCAACACAGACTGGCGGAAGAGTTTAAACGTCACTTCCTGTTGCAACGGAATAAAGATGTCGCCGACCTTATTTAATTTTCTCGACGCTAAAGACAAATTTACAGTAAGAAATCGATTCTTTTATTACTTACACTTCAACTCTTACTCCACATAGCATATTTTAAGCATGTTTTACCGGTTAGCGGTCTTCTGCATGCTTTAGCTCTCTCGTGTTTATATCAATGGCAGATGCTAGCTAAGCTAACAGGAACATTATCTTTCGTGTTATTGCTCGTTAAACTCTCTCTCTTTCTCTTTGTTTCTCTCTCCCTCTCTTTCTCTCTAAAAGACGTCTGCCAGACATGCTCTAGCTGGGAAAACCGGCAAACATTTGGTGAACGCTTTCAATCAGATTCCTGGAAAGTAAGTGTGTTAGCTCCCTTTCAATAATGTGATACTAATTTGTGTATTTGAGTTTAATATTTAATGCTTTGTGTTGGCTATCACATACATTTGATATTCATACTCAGAGGGTTCAAAGTTGGCCAGAGTTAAAGTATTACTTGTACAGCACAAGATAATGTGATAGTGATATGAATGAATTTGCTACCAAATCACTAACTCTTTGTTTTTATTGATCCTGCTGTGTTACAGTGAGACTGAGAAGAAAACCACTCTTGATCAGGCTCTGCGGAGTGTTCTTGGTGATCAAATTGTAAGTGAACCAGCATTTACTAATGTTTACCAACTAATCTGTCCATTAAAATCTGAAATTCTTGTTTTGTTCATGCAGGTGGAGCAGAAAACAAGCTGTGATGATTACTTATCCCTCATCTACTTGAGTATTGATGCAGTAACAGAAGGTATGTTGTTCAACATGCCATACCGTATTTTCATAATTCTCTAAAGATCTTTAACTTTATTGCACAAATTACTTTACCTGTGCACTATTTTAGCTGAGCTCAGTTAAACCCACCATCAGAGTAGGGGGCTATACTACAAGGAAAATTTGATATATGTCTTGTACTGTGAGCATGTTCACATAGAGGGAACAGTGTTTGTTATATTCAACTAATCACAGACATGAAGGAGTTCACTGACACAGAGCAAAGTGTGGTATTAATGGAATGAGGAATGTAAACACATAATTCAGAGTAAAATATTCCCGGCAGACAGAGCTGTCAGATTAAAAACATATCTATATATATATGTACAGAGTGACTGAGCAACATTGAATTCATAACATTACTTTCCCATCATTAGTGTGCATAAGATCCAACAGCAACAACTCCCACTGATTCTCTGAAACTTTTTCGCTTCTAGGCAAAAACAGAGTGTATCAGTTCAGTCCCATGTGGAGAAACTAAGTGTTAACTTTCCAACATACTGTTTACTTCACCACTGTAGTCCTGTGTAAGTCTTTCGAGTGATTATTTGATCTCACAAAAAGCACAAACCTTTTATGTTCTGTTCCGCTCTGTTCATGCAGGTATCTGTTCTGCTACAACCCCTTTCGTTCTTTTGGGAGACGTACTGGACTGCCTTCCTCTTGATCAGTGTGACAAAATATTCACCTTTGTCGAGGAGAATGTTTCTACCTGGAAATCGGTGAATAAGCTACATCGTCTCAAAGAGAGCAGCACATTTGTAAAAGTAGCACACCATAGATCTTTTCATCACTGTGTATGTACTCTCCTTTCACTCAGAACTCTTTTTACACTGCTGGGAAGAACTACTTGTTGAGGATGTGTAATGGTGAGTGCAATATTTTGCTGCTGAACCAACCTTTGTGCTTTAAAAAGCAAAGCTGTTTGTAACTCTACTCTCGATTCGTGTAGATCTTTTACGGAGGCTGTCCAAGTCACAAAACACTGTCTTCTGTGGACGGATTCAGCTCTTCCTTGCTCGTCTCTTCCCTCTATCTGAAAAATCTGGTAAGTCTTTGGCATTATTCCTCATATTTAATCACGTAAAGCAACCGTCTACATATTCTGCAGCTCTGTATGTTTTGTCATTTGTTTTTATTTCAGGTCTCAACCTACAGAGCCAGTTTAATCTGGACAACATAACAGTCTTCAACAAAAATGAACAAGAGAGCACTTTTGGCCAGAAGGTAAAATGTTACAGTTGACTGAGTGAGCTTTAAATTTCACCTGAAGGTTTTAATTTAACCTTATTTGATGGCTCTTTGTAGCACACAGAAGAAAAGGAAGATGGTATGGAGGTAGAGGAGGGAGAAATGGGAGAGGATGATGCTCCTGCACCTTGGTAAGTAAAAGTCATGCTCCGAGTCCCACTATCAACTTTGTCCCTGATGCTTTTGCAAAGTTTGTGGAGTCTAAATTCAATTTTACTTTCAGTTCCATTCCAATTGACTACAACTTGTATAGAAAGTTCTGGACTCTGCAGGACTACTTCAGAAACCCTGTGCAGTGTTATGATAAATTCTCCTGGATGACATTCTTGAAGGTAACTGATCAGCAGAGAAAATGCTGGACCCTTTCTGTCCATTTCTCAAAAGCGAACACCAAAGTGGAGGCCAAAAACATGGATGACTCACCGTTAATGTGTATCTCCTCTTCATGCTGTCCAGTACTCAGATGAGACCTTGGCAGTCTTTAAAAGCTACAAGCTGGATGATATGCAGGCATCTAAGAGGAAACTGGAGGAGCTGAGAGCATCTGGAGGAGAGCACGTCTACTTCGCAAAGTTTCTAACAAGTGAAAAGGTAAAAAAAAAGTCAAGGTTAGTATAATTCTATCCAATTTGAGACTGGAGGAGCAACAGTCAGATGTTCCTTTCATAACAGTAAAGCTACAGGTCAAAAAAGACATAAAAATGAGGGATTGATGCAGCACATTGTGTCCTAAAACGGTAGAGAAGTTACATTGAATGTTGAATATCAGCTGTGACACTATACTGAACAATCAAAGGTAGATTTTTCTTTGGTTTACGTCCCCAGTCGTTCACTTCAAAACCCCTTTTATTTAAATGGATATAAAAAGTCTACACACCCCTGTTCAACTGCCAGGTTTTTGTGATGTAAGAAAATGACAACAATATAAATATTTTCACAACTTTTTCCACCTTTAATGTGACCTATAACCTGTACAATGCAATTGAAAAACCGCTCCAAATCTGACAGATTGTGAGGGCATCTCCTATGCACAGCCCTCCTCAGATCACCCCACAAATGTTCGATGGGATTCAGGTCTGGGCTCCGGCTGGGCCATTCCAAAGCCTCAGTCTTATTCCGGTGAAGCCATTCTTTTGTTGATTTAGATGTGTGCTTTGGGTCATTGTCGTGCTGAAAGATGAAGTTCCTCTTCATCTTCATCTTCAGCTTTCTAGCAGAAGGCCAAAGGTTTTGTGCCAACACTGACCGGTATTTGGAACTGTTCATAATATCCTCCACCCTGACTAAGGCTCCAGTTCCAGCTGAAGAAAAACAGCCCCAAAGCATGATGCTGCCACCACCATGCTTCACTGTAGGTATGGTGTTCTTTTGGTGATGAGCTGTGTTGATTTTGCACCAAATATACCTTTTGCAATGATTCCCAAAAAGTTCAACTTTGGTTTCATCAGACCATAACACATTTTCCCACATGTGTTTGGGAGATTTCAGATGCTGGGCTTTGATGTTTTTCTTTATAAGATAAGGCGTCCATCTTGCCACCCTACCCCATAGCCCAGACAAGTGAAGAAGACTGGAGATTGTTGTCACATTTACTACACAGCCAGTACTTGCCAGAAATTCCTGCAGCTCCTTCAGTGTTGCTGTCGGCCTCTTGGTAGCCTCCCTGACCAGTTTTTTTCTCGTCTGATCATCAATTTTGGACCGACGTCCTGTTCTTGGGAATGTCACCGTCGTGCCATATTTTCTCCACTTGATGATGACGGTCTTTACTGTGTTCCATGGTATATCTAATTCCTTGGATATCCTTGTGTAGCCCTCACCTGACTGATATCTTTGAATAATGAGATCCCTCTGATGCTTTGGAAGCTCTCTGCGGACCGTGGCTTGTGCTGGAAGATGTGGCTACAAAAATGTCAGGAAAAGCAACTAGAACAGCTGAACTTTATTTGGGGTTGATCAGAGGCACTTAAATTGGTGACAGGTGTGTGCTGACTCCAATTTAACCTGAGTTTGAATGTTTTTGGTTAAATCTGAACACAGCCACATCCCCAGTTATTAAAGGGTGTGCACACTTATGCAACCACATGATCCCAGTTGTTTATTTTTACTTCACCTCCCTGAAAGATTTGTTTTTGTTTTTCAATTGTGTTGTACATGTTATAGGTCACATTAAAGGTGGAAGAAGTTGTGAAATTATTTATCTTGATTTAATTATTTTACATGACAAAAACCTGGCAGTTGAACAGGGGTGTGTAGACTTTTTATACCCACTGTAACTCTCTCCTTCTCATCTCTTGTCTCACCTCTCAAACTTTTAGTGACCACATTACACGTTCAACTAAAATTGATCTTTAACACTCGTTAAGTTTTGAATTGAGGTCTTAATGACATGGGATGTAAAAATCAAAGCTAATTGCCAAATTCTGTCCACACACACGAAATTAAAAAAAGTCTTAAGCTTAATTTCTTGTTTCTTCTTCATCTCCAGCTGATGGACCTGCAGCTCAGCGACAGCAACTTCAGACGGCACATTCTCCTGCAGTACCTCATCCTTTTCCAGTACCTGAAGGGTCAGGTCAAATTCAAAAGGTGAGGCATAGATCAGCTCAAAAATCAAAACAAGCACAACAAATAAACAGTTTTTTTGGGGGGAAGTTTATATCATGATATGTTTTACCCTTGTGCAGCTCTAGTTGTCTTCTCAATGATGACCAGACGACTTGGATTGAAGAGACAACAAAGATGGTTTATCAGGTCAGTCGTAAGCCACTCTAACAGTATAACATTTGTACGAGAAGCTACTATAATGCCTAAAGAAAAAAAAATACTTTACAGTTTTCATGCCTGTTTTGGTGTTCAAATGTGGATCATAGCAGATACTACCACATTGATATCAGTGATGCTAATATCTTTGTTCCCCCTGTAGCTGCTGAGGGAAATTCCTCCTGATGGGGACAAGTTTGCCACCATGGTCGAGGTACGTCATTTACTTTGAGAAAGGAATACAAAATCTAATATAAAGTTTGCCTGCCAAGGTTGTTGTTGGAGATTTCTGTTGATCTGTAACATGAGAAACTCTCATCTCCAACAGCATATCCTCAACACAGAGGAGAACTGGAATAGCTGGAAAAATGAGGGATGCCCGAGCTTTGTGAAAGAAAGGTACGAGTGCCTGGTTCAAGATGTGTTTTTGTTTATAATTAAAGACTGTGGTGTGTGTTTGTGTGAGCTGTGGCCAGAATGTAAAAGCTGATCTCACTTGTTTCCTTTTGTACAGGACAGTAGATGACAAACCCAAACGACCAACCAGGAAGAGACAAGCTCCAGAAGACTTCCTTGGAAAAGGGCCAGACCGAAAACTTTTCATGGGAAAGTATGTGATCTAATCCAGGAGGGAGGAGTGACAGAGCGATGCAGATATGAGATCACAGATTTTAACCCTGTGATTGTCAGCTGAAGCTTAACTTGATTCAACATCAAGCTTTGGGGTTTGCCTCTGAAGTTCTCGCTGTCCTCTGCTTTCTTAGTGACGAGCTGACTCGACTGTGGAACCTGAACCAAGACAACATGGAGGCTTGCAAGTCCGACAGCAGGTCAGTGGTTCAGCAGCTCCCATCTACCACCAATACCAAGCCTCTAACACATGATTTGTGTGATTGAACTTCTGATGTGTGTTATTCAGGGAGTTTATGCCATCGCTTGATGAATTCTTCGCGGAGGCCATTGAGCAGGCCGACCCCGTCAACATGGTGGAAGACGAGTACAAGTAAGTTTGCACTGAGATGTTTATCAGATCTTCTTAAGCCAAATTCATCACTGGCCTCTCAGACAAAACCTCCTCCAAGGTATGTTGACTCTTTTTCTTCCTGTCAACTAACAGAGTCGTGCGGAATCCAAACTACGGCTGGCGCGCCCTTAGGCTGCTGTCACGGAGAAGTCCACACTTCTTTCAGCCAACAAACCAAAAGTTTAAAAGCTTGGCAGACTACCTGGACAGCATGGTCAGCAAGCTGGCCAAAGAACTGCCGGTGAGTTTTTTCTCTTTTTTCAAAAACGTGTCTTATACGGCTGCTGGAAAAGCTTTAAACAAGTGTTGGTATGAGGAATTTATTCCATGCATGCAGAAGGACATCCCCTCTGAAGAGATCAAGACAGGAGAAGAGGATGATGACGATAACGGAGACAATCTTCTCAAAGACAGCAACGACAGTGAGTCAAAGGATTTCCTGAACCTAAACTTAATGTGACATACAACTTTCCTCTAAGTTAAACCTCTGTATTTTTAGTTTCTGCTTTTATTCACTCGCTCTCGTTGCTACCTCTTTCCATTCTCCTCAGATCAACAATCTGTTTTTATCCTCTTTTTCTTTCTTCCAGGTCCAAGCATACAGAGCAAGCTGGTAACAAACAATCAAATGGATGATTTAGCAGCCAAACTGGGCGCTCAGTGGAAGACGCTGGCCTCCCATTTGGAGATGAAGGCTGCTGATCTGCGAGAGATTGAAACGGATAGCGAAGACGTGGACATGCAGGCCAAGCTGCTGCTGGTGGCCTGGCAGGAAAGAGAGGGACCACAAGCTACCGTGGAGAACCTGGTCGCAGCTCTGAATGCTGCAGGGTTCTCCCAGTTCGCAGACAGCCTCAATGAGGCTTAGAGCAGATCATTTGTTACAAAAATAACCAGCTCCTCCGTCAAGTTGTTGCATCCCTTTCATACCAAAAACAACTGGAGGAAGAGTTTTTCTATGTAGTTAAGATTGAACGTCAAGTTTTTCACTGTCAAAAATCCAATAAATGTTTTTCTTTTCTTATAAATCACTTTGAGATCGTTTATTTTGAACACACACAAACACATTGAGGAAGCCCACATTTTGGTATAACAGTTTATTTTCACCACCTATGAAAAGCAATCAGTCAATAACTTATTACAGAGTGGTGATGTTAGGTCTTACACATGGTGGCAGGGTGATCAGGAGGCCGGCGAGGAGAAACAAAGCATAGCATTTTAAAAGTACAGATGTCAATGTCTGAATCAGTGTCGGCAGGAACGATATTCAAGGCTTGTCGAGTAAACCATCATCACGGTCGAATCTCAGGTCTTTATTTAACTGTGCACAGTTCACCGCAAGTGCAACCTGTTCTGAAATAGTTCCCCGCACACTTCCCCAAAAAGCATCAGATTTTCAAGATCAAGATTTGGCAGAAAGAAACCCCATTTGAGAACAATTCCAGGAGATGATGTGAGCCAAGCACTTAAGAAAAGACCTGAGATTGAACCCGAACTTCCCAAGGGGCCAACAGGTGAATAAGGGCGAGTCTTTACAGTGTCGAGTGAGAATCTCCGTTATACATCTGAGAAGATACGAGCCAGCGTCAAGGACGACAAGTTGGCTAGGCATTTTTATACAAGTTGATTAAATGAATAAAGAGAAATACTTAACTTTAATGATATGAGCACCTTATCAAAGGCTTTAAAAAATATACAATGTGTATAAAACATTTAATGAAACTGCAGAGCTAGACTTAAAAACCTCGTCTGAGGATCCAGTCCAGAGATTGCCTCTTGTCATATCTCCATTTTCAAAGCCCACCGTGGTTGAATATTTAACACCATTTGACAGAATTTGTTTTACAAGCATCTGTGTTGGTTACAAAAACAGAAAACAAAAAATTAAGGTCATCAAATCTTTAAAGACACCAGTTTTATTGCACATCTATGCAGACAGTGCTTGGAAATGGCAATTCGTACGTGTTTGATGTTGTGTTTGTCTTCCGGGAGGTTCTTCCACAGCTACTGATCCTCTTCAAGTATTTCCAGTCTGCGGGGTCCGTACAGTAGAACGTACGCTATATGCCAGTCTCCGCCCCCGGACAGTCGCAGGATATCCTCTGGAGACACCACGCTCACCTTGTCATCGTCGAACTTGATCCATTCATCTGAGCGAGGCCGAGAGCAGAGGAAAGAGAAGAAACTATCAGTTCCTGAACATCTGTGTGCACTCGGCATCGGGTTCCTGCAAGATTTTGGTTGATTTATGACACAAGTTTGCGACTGCTTGAGAAACTGCCGTTACCTTCTTTCCTCTTGACCCATCCCACGTAGTGACCTGAGGAGCTGGAGCGGCCTTGGTGTGTCAGCACAGCCTGCAGGTCATAGTAGCCGCTGTTGTTGGAGCCCAAGTCTGAAGGAGTGACAGGAACACAACTTTAAATCACTTAACAGGAAAGTCCAATCCTGATCGAACTGGACTGAAGTTGGACCTTATAAAACTTTTAACATTGTGTTCTTTTTCTCCTTATGAGTTTGCATTTTCATTGTATCTTATTATTACATGTTTGATTACATTTAGTTCAGTATTGAGATTCATAAGCATCACATAAAGCGCTTGAAACCCTTGCACTTTTCAAAGAGAGAGATGTGCACAAAGCCATGTTAAAACATACCGTCAGGAAATGAGAAGGGCTCATATTTCACTTCTTTTGCTGCGTCTGGCTTCTTCACCATCTGCTGCAATAGGAAAAAAAAGCTTTTAGCTGCAACACAGACATTAAGAGTAACTGTGGCATGCAGGTATCAATTACTGAGTGTATTTGAAGATGGACAATACATGTCCACCTACTCCCATATTAAAGCAAAACACTCTCCTGTGTACTGAAGTCCTGCCTCTTCTGCTAAGCTAAACAAACATTAAAATTCATGCTAATATAAAAAGGAGTCTGCAGGAGAATAGCTTTTCAAGTCTCTCATAAGTGAGTTTTTCTCTCAATACATCTGGTGCACACAGCACAACAGGAACCTCTTAACAACTGAGCAGACGACAATCACGGTGTTAGGCTCTATTTTGAGTCAACTAACTTATCTAAACTGAACTTCTCAACAAAAATTACTGTATTTTATCATAATTAGCTTTCTTACAAGCATTGCAATCCTCTAAAGCACACGCTTGTTGCGAGACTGTCCTCTGTATTTCTCCTCTATATGCTGAGTGTGGCCTGCATAGTGGTTCTCCAGGGGTGGAGCTTGGATTGGTTACATATGAAATCTCACTGTTTCTGAACCTGCCGTTTGGGTCTGTCAAAGATTGACAGCGATTTGAATGAAGAAATACTCAGAAAAGCAATTTCACATTAAGTTTTCTCGTGATATGTCCTGTAGCATCAGAAAAACGCCATATGGACATATAAAAAAACAAGAAAAACACGATTCTCATCAGAGTGGGTCTTTAACCCTCCTCCTGTGTTAGCGTCTGCACCGACCTGTTTTTGAGTTTAAATGCCTAAAAGAACCACTTAAATTAGCTTTTTTGCATCAAGACTTTTTGTCTTTTTCAGGAATCTCCATTTCAACAAAATAAAAATGAAAAAATTAAATTGACTTAATTATAAAATGCTCTTATTAAAATGATGGCACTTGTCGTGTTAGGGTCACTGTTGACCTGATTAGATCAATATCTAATAATTAGAGCAAAAACTGAAATCATAAGTTTACTGTCAGGCACCGCACAGACAGTCAGATCCTCTTCCAATCATGTGAGATTTAGGAAATTCTCATTTTTCAATGTTTTTTCCTGCACAAAAAACATTGTTGAGCTTGTCCAGACATGTGAGATCAATTCAGTATAGAGGTCTGTATGAGGGCTATACTGACAAATAAAGGCCCAGAGGACCACAACAAAAACTATTATAAGCAATATTTTCCTGGATAATGAAGCCTAACAAGGTAAACTAGAGATGAGAACCAAACTTGATGATAGAGAATTGCTTTTAGTGTAATTTACAGCTGATTTTAGACACAGGTCAAAACCGACCAACTGTTACCAACTTTAACATGGTGGATGCGTAGTAAAAGCTAACACAGGAGGAAGGTTAAAGCCCTGTAGATGAGAAACTACAGCTCACTCTTACCTTCTGCTGCTGTTTCTCTAGCTTTTTGTCCTCAACTTCCTTGAACTTTGACCTGATAGGCAGCATCTTCTCCTGGATCTCTGCAGTGCACAGCTCGTAGACGTCCAGCATGAGCGGGAACTTGACATCCTTAAAAAAAGACAAAAACAGGGCACATTTTAGACATGGAAGCAAAACATGAGGTTCCAGTTAATATGAGAGGTTGTTCCGGTTCAGGACGAACCTTGAGGACTTTTGCGTTGACTGACTCCTTCTCTTTGTAGAAAAATCGGACCATTTGAACAGTCAAGTACGCAGGCAGACGGCTGAGTTTTGACTGGAGGGTTAACAGAGAAAACGTGTTTGTGTCCGAGTTTGAAAGAATGACTAAAGACTAGCTGAGGAAAAGTAGAGAAGACTTACAGATTTTATATACAGGGCGTTTCTTTCCAAGGTTGTAGACATTTTTGTGATTTCTTCCTGCAGTCTCTGAAGTGATAAAAAGAGGCACAAGTTTACTTCCAAGTTTTACATGAGTGCTGGTGTTGTCAGACACAGTAGGATCTCACTGAGTCAAAAGAAAATTATATCAAACACGTCTGATGCATACCAGCCTTAGTCCTGTTGCAAGGTATTTGACTTCTTGGTTGATGAAGCAACTGAGCTGGAGTTGGCTCTCCTTGCCCTTGATTGGCTCTTCCTCCTCACTCTCTGTACATTTCATACTGAACAGCAGAGTTAAGAAAAAGCCTCACAGAGAAACAACTCAACAGGGAGGACCTTCAGTCAGTCTTCTCCAACAATGTCTTTCACTCAAACCGTACTGAAAAGAAAGTAGGTAAGCTGCGGAAAAGGATACGAAGTTTCAAATTCTACACCAAAATACTGGTCGATGAGGTTCTTCTTTGTAGAGGCAGAGGCTGCTCCACTCTCAGAGTCGGTCTGTAGAGTTCAAGAGAAAAGGCAAAATCAGAGCGTTTCTTTTGTGCAGGACTAACTCATCGATAACAGATCAAAACACCACATGCACAAAGGTTTACCTCCATGGGAGTCTCCGGCTCTAGTGGCTCCAACTTTTGCTGGAGTACTCTCATCATCTGCAGCCAGCACTCATTGGCATCCTGGGGGCGCAGAGAACACTTTAACACTTAATTTTTTATTTTTTTTTACAGTGCTTTCTCTAATGGTTTTGGTCAGTGCATGGCTGAATTTCAGTGACGGTCACTCACCTGCTGGAGGTACTGTCCCTGGTCTCCCTTCTCTGCAAACTGTGGAAAGGCCATGTGGAGGAACTGCAGCAGAATGATGGGCGGGAGGCTGGATGAGGTCTTGTCCATGGTCTCATACAAGTCCCTAAGGGCTGAGTTTGCATGAACAGACAGATACATATTAATCTGGGGTGGGGTTTTTCCAGATTTGAGATGCATGCTTGTTTGGAGGTATTTCCCAACTTCAAACTAACAATGATGCTTCGTACCTGCTGTGATGTACTGTGAGGGTGCATTCGCCCCAGATGATCGCAGAGCACCTGAATACCTAAAAGGAGGAGAGACGAAAAAAAAAGAAACCCAGGTAAAACACAGTTCTTTAATGAAGGACGAGTCGATGGTTTTAGGTAGCACCGCTTAAAAATGTAACAAGCTTCGACTCAGGGCGTGTTAAACCTCTGAAACAAACTCACCTTCTGAGTGCAGTTTTGAGCTCAGGCACAGAGCGCAGACACTGCACTGTGGCGTTCATGTAACAGGTGTTGCCCAGGTTTGTCAGCCCACAAGGCAGCTCCATCTGAAAATGTCAAAATATGGGATTTTCGTGTTAAATAAAATCGAAACTCCTCTTTTACTCTTTTACTGCTGTCATGTTGGGCATGTTTGCCGATTTTGCACAGCCTGACTTTAATTTTTTATCGGCTTTGATACAATTTCTGTTTTGTCCTGAATTTATCGATACCCTAGAGCTTCTAGCTACGGCGAGCCATCCTGCTGTGACACAGAAAACTATTATATTTGGCAGATTTCAAAGAAGAGCTGGCATCACTGCAGAAAATAAAATGATCTGCTCCCTTTCCCGTTGAAACAGGACTCTTTCTGTGGGCTTCTGCCAGTCACTGGCTGAGATGAAAAAATAAGAACAGCTGCATACTATCAGGTGACTCAGCAGTTTTTTGTTTGCATATATCAAATCTTGGTGGCACATTTCAACACTCATCAGCAGAAATGTGGTTAAAACTTGGACATAAAGTCAATGAAACATCTCAGCTTGCATAAGTAAAGGGATATGACTCTCAGCTCCCAAAAAATGCTGACCTGACATAACCTTTCATTTTCAGAGGCTGATCTTGCAATATCAGGTGTCGAGCATTCTCTATTTAGTAACATTCAAACTGAGGAGACCAGTTTAACTAGCCGTGTCAGTGCAGAAAACAGTAATCTGCTTTTTTTTTTTAAAGTGTACTGGTAATTATCTGGCTGACTCACCGCTGAGGCCAACTGCTCCTCAGTCATGTCCTCCACAAACATGGGCCGAACAGCAGGCTCCTCAGGCAGGGCATCAGCTGAGCCAACCATCAGCAGAGTCATTCCCTGTGGAAGATTTAGAAACGTGTTCAAGTCCACCAATTTATTTGGTAAAAGGCTTTTGGTAAAACAGCTCTGTGTACTAAAAAAGGCTTTTAGATGAATAAAAACTGAGCTTAAATACTCACATTTTTCAGTTTGATGTTCCCCCACTCATCATCCTAGGAACAGGACAAGACAACAGTTAGCTTCTTAAACCAATATTAGTTTCCTGATAGACCCCACATGTATTTTATTGAAATATATGTATATTTTATTGAACATTATAAGCACCACATTTTTATCAAACAGTGCATACATTTTTTTTCATTAGCACCCAATCCCCAAAACAAAAACAAATTCCAACTTGATCACAGCACAGTCCTGCATAAACATGTACAGTATCCGAATGTTGAAACCTTACACACACATACACATCATGATAGTAGCAAAACAGATAAAAGAGTCTCCCAGTTCACTAGCCGTCTTGTCCTGGTTTTGGAAGAGTCCTCAAAATATACTGTATATCTTTGGCCCCACATAATCAAGAAATGGAGTCCATACACAATAGAACTGTCCAATTTTCCCTCTGGACCAGACCTGGGCATTTTACGGCTACAGACTGTTTGCTTGTCCGCCTCAGGCCCTGAGCTCCTTCTTCTCTTAGGTTCCTCCGGACTGTTGCAGCAGACATGAACATCAGCCTCACTGACATTAATAACATCAAACTAAAGTTAACTACTATTAGGCCTGCTGACTGTAATCACATTAAATTAATTTAACATTGTCCATAATTACTCATATCCTGATCCTGTAAAATGAATTCATTTTGTTTTACCATTACATGAGCTGTTGTTGTTGTTTTAATGTTGCTGCTGTCCCCTAACTCTCTTTCTCTCTCTCTTACTCATTCTCTCTCTCCTTCCATCTATCTTGTTCTGTTTCTCTCCCCCTGTCCTCTCGCTCTCCTCTCTCTCTCTCTTGAGTCTGGTCCTGCTCAAGGTTTCTGCCTGTTAAAAGGAAGTTTTTCCTTGCCACTGTCACTCATGTTAGATGAGATGGGCCAAAACCCATCTTAGGTTGGGTCTTGATAATTCATCAAACAATACGCATGGTCTAAACCTTTGGAAAGTGTCTTGGGATGACGACTGTTGTGAACTGGCGTTATAAATGATTTGATTGATAAATAAAAAAGTTAAGTTTAAAAAAATTACATATATTTGGTTTATAGCCTTTAAAGAGACTGTAAAGTCAATACCGTAAAATGTCACTGCAGCATTTCCTTGGCAGACACCAAAAAGTGCTTATTTGGGCTTTTTCACCCAATTTGTTGCCAAGGAGACAGTCTAAACTAGCAGAACCAGATGCTTGGTTTTTGTTTATATTCGTACCTTCAGTGTGCCCCCCTTCACCATGACCTTCTGTCTGTCGGGCTGAACTCCTGTCAGGGCAAAGAGCTGAGCCTTGAACACCATGGGTGGCTCCTCGGTGTTCAGCTCGACTGCATCAAACTTCTCTTTGCCCCATTTCACATTTACTGAAAGAAACAAGATCAATAAAGGGAGGTGAGCCTTTACAAATAAGCAGAAAGAAGCCCTATCAGTTTGTGTATGACACAGCACCATCTACTTAGCAACAGTATAGGGAGCCCTAAGGACTCAGACAGGTAGAGTCCACCTGACCATACTGCTACAGGAAAAAGCAGCAGCAGCTAACATGCAGTTTGGTTTTACCTTCTTTAAATAGCAAAACACTGAAGATACTGCCATGATATAAAGATAAACCCTGGTGTCATTCGCTTTAATTGTCTTTTAAATGAAGTAAATGCAACAAGAAGCATGTTAAGTGTTGAATCATGACTTGGCTATCGTAGCAAGCAAAGCTACCAATGCTAACAGAGAGTGTGAAACTCTTTCACACAGACAGTAATAAGCCATTACAAGGGATTAAACAGTAAACAGTGGAGCATCTATGACTTATCTTCTGTTTCGAGTAATGATATGTGTGATATTTACAACAGTGGCCTAACAATGTTGACAGTCTGCCTTGAACCGTTAGCACGCTAACAGCGTAGCATGCTAAAGCTATGCTAAATTTACGTTACAGCACTAAACACGTGCGTGGATTAATATGTCGGTGTTTTTTTCAGTGGTAAATGATAACCACGAAAATAATAATGCCATACCTGTAAACACCGGCATATTTGGCGACCCGTTGTTCCTTTAACTCTTTGTTTTTCCTGTTTGGATCCACCGGGGCGCGAATGAAGAGTTGGCTAGTTGTCGGTCTGAACTTCATTCAAACAGGATGACGCTGCAACAACACGCTGGGAACTTATCGATGCGCTCTGACATCTGCGAGCCGGCCTGCCTCATGTGAGCTGCTGTAATACCCAAACAACACAGAAGACCATCATGTTTGCTTGGTTCAAGTACAGTATTTATATCACAGTGAGGGTTGTAGTTATCGAGGTGTGGTCAGTCCACAGAATCACACCAACCAGCCATGATATTAATATTATTATTGTTATTAAGAGCATCTGGGCAATTTAAGGCAGGCCAGACCAACAGTTCCGACTGCGCAATGCGACGTCGAAATTACGTCAATATAACGTAATTTTTCGACGTCTAAATCATGTCTCCTGAAGGTGCAAAATGAAAGTTTTTTTGACGTCTGTTTTGGACTTCATTTCGACGTCCAGTTCTGACGTCTTGTGGACGTCCAAATCGGACGCTGACATGACGTGCAATTTCGGTCCAAATTGGCCGTCAAAATCAGGTCTATAAAACGTAATTTTTCGACGTCTAAATCATGTCTCCTGAAGGTGCAAAATGAAAGTTTTTTTGACGTCTGTTTTGGACTTCATTTCGACGTCCAGTTCTGACGTCTTGTGGACGTCCAAATCGGACGCTGACATGACGTGCAATTTCGGTCCAAATTGGCCGTCAAAATCAGGTCCATAAAACGTAATTTTTTGACGTCTAAATCACGTCTCCTGAAGGTGCAGAATTTTTTCGCAACTTTTTCGGACTTCATTTCGACGTCCAGTCCTGACGTCTTGTGGACATCCGAATCGGATGTTGACATAACGTGCAATTTCGGTCCAAATTGGCCGTCGAAATCAGGACGTCTAAATCACGTCTCCTGAAGGTGCAGAATTTTTTCGCAACTTTTTCGGACTTCATTTCGACGTCCAGTTCTGACGTCTTGTGGACGTCCAAATCGGACGTTGACATGACGTGCAATTTCGGTCCAAATTGGCCGTCGAAATCAGGTCTATATAACGTAAATTTTTGACGTCTTAATCACGTCTCCTGAAGGTGCAGAATGAAAGCTTTTTCGACGTCTTTTTCGGACGTCATTTCTACGGCCAATTCTGACGTCTGGTGGATTTCCACTCACCTGACTACCAGACTAACAGACTCAAAAACAGCTTCTTCCTTCGAGCCATCACCATCTTAAACCCCCATACACCAGCTCCAGCCCTCAAGATGAGGTAACAGGTGCAATATTACCAATGTTACTGCTGCTGTGTTGATTATTATATCCTTAACCTGTGCAATACATGTCCAAATACATATAAAAAATGTACATATATACATATATTCAAACACATATAAATATTTATTTTTGATAATTCTCTTTAGTATATATCTTTATATTTTATTCTTATACATGTGTTTTATTTTACTGTACTGTAGAATTCTCATCTTGTATGTATAGTACCTTCTTTCTTCCAAATATTTGTACTTTTACTACCTTATTTTTACTTGTCTATTGCACTGGAAAAGGAGAAGCTCTTCTATCTTGTTGTACTTTTAGTATGATGACAATAACTGCAACATTTTAAAAAGACAAACATTTGGTATCATAGCTTTGAACATGCTGCATTAAAAAAATATGTCTTATTCAATTAATGTTTTTGCTTCTGTGTACCTTTATTTGAACATATGAACCTATTAGTGTACACAGTAATGTACACTTGATTTATTTTACTTTTATTTTATTTACCTGTTTTATTTGTATAAGATGACTCCTGAATCCCTTGCCTTTATAAGATGTTTGTCTTTTTTTGTTTCTGGAAAATTCAATAAATATATATCCAAAAAAAAAAAGAAAAAAGACAAACCGCTTAGTCCAATTTGGCTTGCCAATTCCTCCCTTTCTGTTAAGCATTCCCAGTTTGTCGATGCCATAATGATATCTGGACCAGTAACTACTTCTTAACTACTGCTGAAAAATAAGTCAATTTCTTCCTTCAAGCTCCAAAAACTACTGCCAGATACAGTTTTTGAAGCTCTTTTGATAGGGCTCACAGATCGGAAAGTAAACAGGGCATAGAAAGCTCATGTTTACAATCTGTGCAGCCCATTTCTGAACAAGGTGGGCGACTGTAACCAGAGATCATCTGAAGCTGCTGGGGCTGTTTTCCTGAGACCTGGTTGGTAATCCAGTTTTAGGATTGATCATGTAACATCCCAGTAATTGAATCTGAAGAAAACCAGCAAACAGTGAATGATAAAGATATGTTTATTGACATATCCCTCAGTGCGGACTCCAATGCAATTAACCATGCAAATTATCCAAGACAAGAGTAGATCATAGTTCCAGTGCTTTTTTTAACTGAACAAAAAGTTACAAATAAAAGATTGCGGAGGTATTCCATAATCCTCATGTCTCTCTCATTATATACACTGTTGGGGGGTTTGCATTAACGGGACATTACCGTGTTAGAGGAACAAACTTGTAGCTGTTACCTTTGACAATCAATGACACAGATAGGCTCCTTTAGGTACACCATCCCAAAATTTGTCATGTGATATGAATCAAGTGTGGGGACTTTGTTTAAACACGCTAACTCTATTGCATGTGTCCATAAAGATGTAACCTAATATATATACTTTATATACTCAAACCAGAAAAAAAAAGCTCAGATAAAACCACAAACCTGTGGCGATTTTTCTTAAAAAATAAATGATGGAAGAGTTAAGATTTGTCTTGTTTTGGAGAAGGAAAAAAAAAAGCAAACAGATATGGCAGTAAAATCAAGATCCAAACGTTAAGGCACTAGGTGGGCCAAATGCTACACCTGTTTAGTCTTCTACAAATAATTTACAATTCAAACAGTGCAGGTTTACATTTGTTAACTTAATGTTTCCTTTTGAACCATTTATCTATGAATCAATGTAAGGCAATACATTACAAAAAATAAACAATACAAGAAAAAAAAAATATTACAGAGACAATGTACCAAATAAACAGAAAAAAATCAATTAAGTTTTATGACTCCTATATGCCATTACAATGGATTTTTCCTTATGGCTTGGAGCAATAAAAATAATTATAACAATAAAAATAATGCATAGATTTAAATGATGATCTTGCATGCTCCTCACTCAAAATACTCCAAAAACACATCTAATACTTAAGTCCCAATACTCTGTCCGAAACCTGATAAGTGACTTGTAGAGTGATAAGATAAAGGCAAAAAGGCCAAAGATATTAGATAAAGGCATCAGTCTTATTTTTTCAGCTGGAAACAGAACTATGCATGCATTTAGCTGGAGTATCTGTCACATGGGGAAAGAAATGACAAAACAGATATTCGTTTTTCCACCCCTGAGACACAACCACTCACTGCAGATCTGCGATCCCTGTATGACAGTACCTTTAGCTGAACACATACTTGCAGGAGTCCCAGCAAACCCCCTTTTACCTTTTTCACTGTGTGTCATTCAGTTTGATACAGAAAGTCTCCATGACATGAGTCCCTCTATTGCTCCACAGTCAGACTTGAGTTCAAAGGCGAGGGAGCCATCTTCTGGTAGAGATGGAGCACTGCAAGTTTGATGAGTCGGATGACAGCAGTCTTCGAGGAGGAAAGGCTACAGAGGGGCTCTGAGGATCAGGCCTCTGAATGTCCACAAAAGCTTGTGTGTGGCATGCGTTGTAATTTCCACCGTTGGGTTTTATGTCAATATACTTTTTCTCTTTTTTTTTTTTAAATGAATTTTAGACAAAAAAAAAAAAAAAAACAGTTATCCGTTTTTTCAAGGGTGAGGAAGGACAAAAAGTTCAGAGTCCAGAACTAAATCCAAATGATTCAGATGGTTAGCTGAAAGACAGAACAGAGACAGGTGTCCAGTGAAAGAAAGACAACATTATTACCTCGGTTAGTAACCCAAACTGAATCAACAGAGAAGCTGGTTTACAGACACTTAACATCTTTCTGCATTGTGTTTGACAGGTGATGTCAGAGTCCTTCATGTGGACTGTCTGATGAGTTGAATAGTAAATCAAATGAGTTAGTTACTGAGCCCAACAACACATTAGTGCTTATTAGAAAAGTCCCACGTGTCAACTGGAAAGAGCCCAGGAGCCAACAAACCAACAACCAACCAACCAACCCGGAAGTGTCTGGTGTTAGAAACACCCAGTAACAAAATTAATAAATAGGTAAGTTTAAAGCTGTAGAGAAAAAGACTAAAAAAATGTATTAACACTTTCTGAAGAAGTTCCTGTCAACAAGTGCTGGATGTTGTGTCTGCATGGAGGCTGGACTGCGCCCTGCTACAACACAGGAGACAAACAGCAGGTCACGCCACTGACTTGACCACAGCTCAGCCCAGCACAGGGGATAAAATAAGACTTGTGACTGCTGCACACCCTCACTTACTGCCTAAAACAACATCACAGTGCCTTATTCTATTTCATGCAATCGTCTTATTTCAAAAGGACATCTAAAAAAGAAATGCAGGGCCAATGAGTCAAAGATTGTCGAGTTACCTCAGCTTTCCTGTATTGCTTTTAGGGTTCTTGCGGAAGGACTGATTTGGTCCGGAGCGAGTGGACATAGAACGAGGTGAAGCTCTTGAAAAAGTGGATGGCGGGGTCTTGGGGATTTTCTTTCCGAGGTGACCGATCCATTTCTTCTGCTCGTCTTGAGTCAGGGCCAGCAGGAGCATGTCCCGGGCAGAGGTCACATCGTAGTTTACTGTAGGAAACATCAGAAATAACGCAGGTCAAGAATAAAGTCTGATAAACATGATCCGAAAAATAGCGCATCTTAAGGGTGACCCATAAGATGGGTTACATAGGTTACAGCTGTTGAAGAGAAAGTAAAACTGAAATGTTGACGGTAACTCAGACTTGTACATGTTCAGCATTTAAAAAGACTATTTAAAACAACATTTTAGCCTGTCTCTGTAGACGACAGAAGAAAAACAAAGTGAAAAAAAACATTTAGGGAGCTCGATCCAGCAAATCTTTGCCAATTTGAGCTAAAAAACATCAACAAATCCTCACTTATCGGAGAAATCAGCTATTACATTTCAGAACTTGATGTCTTTCACTCAGCGTGTTTCACTCGGCTGTTTTTGCTCCTCCTTAAGTGGAGGTTAAGTTAGCCAAAGGTGTGGCTGTATTTACTGTATGACGGCAGAGAATATCCCAATAATGTGAATTAACTGGCGAGCACCTGTAAGAGCACGACAAGCCTTGAGCAAACCCTCAATCTTGACCCTGAACATTTCAGCTCAAAGCTGTAACAGGATCGTCTAGAAAAGGCTTTTTCACCTTTGCAAGGAGCGATAACGTCCTCCTTTTTGTCGAGGTGGTCCTTGTGGCACTTGACGTGGCAGCGGCGACACTCCAGGGCCGGAGGCGGCTTGAAGACGTGCCACAGAGGCTTGGCGCAGGCCTCGCAGTTGGAAGGGAAGTGATAGAGCGTGGGGATGAACTCGTGGCCTTTGTGTGGGAGACAGTTGGTCTTGTCGCCCTGAGGGACCGTCTCCATGTCTGCCTCCTTCCTGCACTCTCCCTCATTGGCATAAAGGATCTAGAGACGGAGAGAAAGAGCCAAGTTGAAAAAAAAAGTTGAAAAACAGAAATGTATGAAAAGTGAGAAAATCACACGGATAGGGAAAAGCTTCCAACCTGGAATATCCTTGGAATCTCCTCTGTCTCAGCCCGGTACACGTCTCCTTGTGTGACTGGTCTCACATGGAATAATTTGCTGCACAGAAAAGCATAAAACCAACAATGACATATGTCCAACAAAGTGACCAAACTCTTAATCAATCAAGAGTTTTATCAGAGACAGAGGACAGGAGGAATACTTACTCAATATCTAGTACCATCGAGGGGTTGGACTGCTCTTTATCCTGCTCGTCATTGTAGAACAGAATCTTCTTACTGCTCACCACCACATACTGCAAATATTTAAAAAGGACAATGAGAGGAAGGCGGATACTGCCCTCAAGGGGTTGGTAGCATTCTTAACAAACCGAAGCAGACTTGGAAACAATGCGGGGCACAAAAAAAGGAAGCACCAAATAAACACAGCATACCTGCTTCTTCCATCCGTATCGCTTGATATTAGCACGGTTCGGAATGGACAGCCAGCCCTCCAGTCTTGATTCTATTCAGAAGAAAGCAGAGTTAAAAACCTACGCTGTGACAGACACGCACAGGCCATGCAGTGCTCAAATCCAAACTTAACTGAGGGGGGAAAATAAATCAAAAGTTAAGTGATAAAGGTCATAGATGTTTCAAAACACCAGGTGAACCCTTCGTGGAGTTCTGCTAGCGTTACAGGAGCTGCACTGGAGTCAGCGAGAAGAGGTGAGTTTAGAGATCCCCATGCTGAGACTACACACTCCTCATGCAGGAGGGACATATTAGCCTTGTTGGAGTTCTTTAACAGCATGTTAAAAGACACTTTACATAGTTCCAGATTAGGCTAAAAGCTTCTCACAAAGATGATCAGAGCAGAGGTTAATGTTTATTTTCTCTCAGTTATCTCTGTCACTCACTCTTTTCAGAGAGATACCATGTGCGTTTGCAGGTTAAACACATTATTCAAAAGTCAAAATAACTTGGAGTGCATGCAGCTGAAACAACACAAGTTAAAGGGGGAGCAGTGAACTAAGAGGGGCTTGTCTACGGTGTGTGTGTGTAAATGTGAAGGAGGTCTTGGTGTCCAAAGGAGCAGTGCTTCTGGGTGAACATGCTGACAAAAGACCCAAAACAATAAGAGTGTTATGTGTTTTCAAACACACAGTGCTATGAACTACAAAAACAAACAGCTTTTTCACTTTTGAGACACGTTTTGAAAGTTGCTGAGAGTGAGGGTGTGGCCTCCTACTGTCTGATGTGGTTACTTTACCGTTAGGGCTGAACTCGTGTGACATGAGACAAATTCACCAGCAGCCTCTTTAGATTCGTCTTAGAAAACTTTGTTGTTCAAAAATCTGCTGACATTTTTGGGGGGAATAAAATATCATCTTCAGACCTCTTTCAAAAGTGTTTCCCTCCCCCAAACAGAGATGGCTTTCTCACCTCCGGCAAAAGAAAACTTAAAGAGGCAAAAAAGACAGAAAACACACAACAGCTGCAGCGCAGGCCAGGCAAGAGGGGCTTGTCCTCTCAGTTACTCACAGAGGGAAAGGAATAGAAGTTACAAAGATAAGAAGGAGAGGAGAACCGGCTGGACATGAGGGGGATAAAGAGAGAATGATTTAACCACAGCAATTATCAACCAGTATCATGAAACACACCTAGAGTAACACATATTTGTCCACTGATGTGTGTTAGATGCTCTGATTTCCTTTTGAATGAACCAAATCTGGATTCCTGGGCGCCTGTTTAACAGTCTGCTCAATATGCACAAAGTTTCTCACGCTGCGTGGAAACTTCTGCCACACAAACACGCGACTAAAACGCTAAACTGATTTCAATAAGTAGAGAAGATGTCATTCAAAGTCAGAATTCATTCAAATGTTTGGCCAGTGAAAGCAAATTAAAGGGGAATAACTTGACAATATGAACTCAACATATCGTGCCTTACTTAATTCTATCCGCTGTACTTGATGCATAATTAGGTTGGTAGTGATTAAGGAGTGCTGTATTAGGGCTGGGCGATATGGCCTCAAATCAAGATCAAGATATACTGGGCAGTTCACCTCGATAACTATAAACGGACGATAACTACTCCACAAGCTGCTCACCCCCTCCCACATTAACTTCGTCTACTTCAGCCGCTGCTACAACTTTTCAACTGTCCTCCATCTCCTGTCTTTCCCTCTTAGTTACGGACTGGATGGGGTGGAGTCACGTCTCAAATGTAGGACAGCGTCTTAAAGGGACATGAGACCATAGCCTACCTACACACATCCAAAACCAACTTTTAGTTATTTGGTTTTTTTGACACCGAATATACCGGTATGGGCAAAATGACGTTGGTTATTGTTGTAAATTTCGGTATCACTAAATTTTTAGTTTGACGCCCAGTCCTATGCTGTATGCTCCTCCTCATTTTACCTGAACTCCACCTGCATTCCTATCTAATTGCTATTTTACTATGTTTCCAACATTTAAAAATACAGCTGACATAAAGCTTGTTGAAGCTGTCACTGTGTGTGCATAACTCATGTGCGATTTTATCAGCCGTATCAGCAGAAATGATCATGTCTGATACTCATTATTCACTTTTTTAGGGTTTTATCTACCAGTGTGATATTATGTCCGTTATCTCTTATCATACATCCCTAGTCCAGAAGCATCCTTAAGAAATAAAGAGTGTTTTTTTACAAAGTTTGCCGGTTAATTCCTGTTGAAACATCCAGGAAATAATACAAACAGCAACCCTTGAACCATTCAGTCATTCTTGAGACAAATCTCCTTGAATTCTTGGTTTACGATTATACATCTCAGGCTCTTTACAGACGGTTACATTTAATTGCTAGACTTGTTTCAGTGTGTATTTCATGTTAAAAGTAGGAAAAGTGGTGTCCAGGTGACCCTACCTGCGATATTGCTGTCTGTCTCATCTGTCTGCAGGCTGGTGACGCTGGAGTTATCCATGCGCTGCTGCAGGTCATTCAGTTTCTCCCGGAGCTGCTCGATGTCGCTCTCCTTGCTGTCCAGTTGCATCTGCAGCTCATTACGATATGTGCATTCCTCTACGAGTTGCTGTTGTTAGAAAGTCCAAGAGATTTTGATTAGGAACAGGAATTTGGGCTGTTCTAACACGTTAAAGTATCCTACAGATCCCGTTACTCACCGCCTGCATCTCGCTCAGCTCTTTCTGATATTTGATGGCCATGTGGTTAAACTTCTCCTTCTCCTGGTTGAGGTCCAGCTGAAGCTTGCGGTTTTCTTTCTCCTTCTTCCGCAGGTCAGCTGTGCTGCCCTTCTTCTTCTGGTCCAGCTTCATGTCCTTGCGGTTCATGATCTCTGCCAGCTTGTTCACCGCCTGATCAGTTGGACAGATGAAGAAGTGTCAACCATCATTTCCAACAGAGCAGAGTTTGAGGATACCTTTAAGCTAAATGAGGTGCATCCATACCTGAGTCTTCAGTGTGCGCTCTGTGTTGAGGACCTTCTCATAGTTGGCCTTGATTGTGTTTGCAATCTCCTCCTTCTGAGCTACATACTCTGTCGAGGGACAAAAACATAAGTCTTGTACAAAGACGTGACTTCAACACAGCAAAGACTCAAACATGCCAAAGTCTGGGCCGTACCTTCTTCCTGAGTTTGAATCTTCTCACTTAGCTCAGCCTTCTCTTTGCTGAGGTTTTCTACATCTTTGGTCAGAGTTATATTGGATTCCTCGAGCTGTAGACACATAAATAAGAAGGTAATTGTCTGTACTGTTCATAGAGATGAGAATTTTTAAAAATGGGATTAATTCAGACAATTCAGGCTGTTCTCACCCGTGCAATCGTTGCCTCCTTGTCACCGATCTCCTGCTTATGTCTAGCTGTTGCCTTCTTGTTCTCTTGGCTGAGCTCAAAGTATTGTTCCTCCTGAAGCGCCCGGGCGAGCTGCTCTGACTCTGCCTTAGTCACTGTCAGATCCAGCTGGGCAGACAGGGAATCCCTTTGACCAGGAAAAAAAAAAGCAGTTAGATAAGCCGTGGCACAGTTTTTAGTCCCCATACCAGAATAATACTGACAGGAGAAGGATACGTGAAACACTTGAGTAAAGTGAAATTCGGATGAGTCTCTTACCTTTCACCGCTCAAATCTTGCACCTTTTTATGAGCGTCTTGTATCTGCCGGTTCCTCTCTTCAATCTCCTCTTTGAGCTCCTTGACCTGAGTTTTATAAAGTGTCTGACAGGAGGAGGAATACAGACAGTTAGCCTGCAGCTTTCAAACCACATTAAGAGGTCTCGGATTTGAGGACTACTTACAGAAAAATACTGTTCGGCCTCAAGCTGATCCTGAAGTTCCCTCATCTGTCCCTCGTTGCCTCTGTATTGTCTGTGAAAACACAAAGAATCAATCAGGCACTTTGTTTCTTCTTTAAATCCCCGAGCAAGCTAATTGTCCCCATTGCCCAATTTGAGCACTTTCAAAAACAAAAAGCACAAAAAAACCCTCTTTGTCAGTCCTTGCTTTGAAATGTAACCAGCAGCACTGGCTATAGCACTAGCCAGAGGATTAGCAGCAGAGTGCATGGAGCTGGACACAGAGTAAATCCTAATCCTCTGATGTAAACACCGTCGCAGACCAGCTTTGGCAGAGTCACTGTCTAAGCTGCAATAATAGTACTAATTTGAAAATCACAGGCAATTGTGGGCCAATTTACGCCTTGACTTCCAAAGAGCATTACTGGCCGGTGCAGGAGAAGCAGAAAATCAAAGCTCCTGGCTCAAACTACAGCCTGTTAGTATGAGAGCAAAGATAAGTTACGCCGTTACTTTTAAGTCTCCCTCTTTTGGAGTAAACAGAAAGTGAAGTATTTCACATTTGTGGGTGTAGTTTATGGTTTTCTCTTGAGTTTATTAAATACACAACACATGATCACTAAGTGTCACAAGACAAAAACAAGTCCATTCCAGTGCAGAATGCCAACTCACTTGGTCAGCTGAGCCAGCTGGAACTCCAGTGAGCGTTTACTCTCCAGCGCCGTGTTGGTCTCCTGTTTGAGCTGCTTCTCTGAAACCCTCAGACGGTCCACCTCCTGCGTGCGGCTCTTCAGGTCGTTCTGGGCCTGCACACGCTTGCTTGACTCCTGCTCTGCCTGTATCCTCAAATTCTTCACCTGGAGAAGAAAGATGTAAAAATTAGTTCTATGAAGCTGAATATTAAAGGAGAATCGCAGAAGCCCAAGGAAAAAAAAAAAAAAAAAAAGAAAAGAGAAGGACTGCTTACCTCATCTTCCAGCCGTTCCTTCTGCTTCATCAGCTGCTCCATCTTCTGCACAGACTGCTTCAGGTCAAACTCCAACATGGAGCACTGCTTCTCAACCTCCACTACCCGGCTCTCTGCCCGCATCCTCGCTCCGTTCTCCTCAGACATCTTTTGCTGGACAGCTGGTGTGGTAAGAGATCCGAGAAAGATCGTGTTTAGTTGTTTGTTCTGCTGCCAGCTGAGTGAACACGAAAATCCAACAAGCCTACCATGATCATATCAGTGTGCCTGCTACTTTGGAAAATCCATCTGCTCAAACTGCACCAATTCTGAGAGTTTCTTTATAATCATATCCAACTAACATGATGATAAAGACATAAAGCAAAAGGTCAAGGCTGGGAGTTGAAGAAACCTCTGTACATGTGGTGTGTGTTGAAAACAAGATCAACCAGCGCCTCAAACTTTTTCTAACAAAGTTATAAAGTGCTTCACAAAAAAAAAAAGCGAAAAGTGAAAGACAAGCAGATGGAAAAGAAGCATAAAAAAGACAGATTAAAAAGTGCTGGAGATTAGAAGTCAGAAAGTAATAGTATTTTTATCTGCAGATAATTTAAGAACTTAGAAAAGCTTTCCTCTGGGAGAAGATTAAAAAGAGACTGAATATGTCGACTGTCACATAAGTGAAGAGTTTCAAAGTCTCAGGGCTCGAACTCTAAAGGCCTCGTGGTCACCTTGGGTTGGAAACTAGGATCTCAAAACGTCCGATTGAGCTGCATCCTCTGATCTCAGGGTAGGGCTGGGCGATAAACCGAAAATTTACAGATACCGAAATTTACGACATTTTGCTGATGTCAATATATTCTGTGTCAAAAAAATTAATTAAAAAAAGTTGCTCTTGGATGTGTGTAGGTAGGCTATGGTCTCATGTCCCTTTAAGACGCTGTCCTACGTCAGAGACGTGACTCCACCCCATCCAGTCTTTAACAAAGAGGTAAAGACAGGTGAGGAGATGGAGGACGGTTCAAAAGTTGTAGCAGCTGGAGCAGCGACTGAAGTAGACGAATTTAATGTGGGAGGGGGTGAGCAGCCTGTGAAGTAGTTATCGTCCATTTATCGTTAAGGAGGTGAACTCATTATATTGTGATATTGATTTGAGGCCATATCGCTCAGCCCTATCTCATAGTCAGAAGATGGTATCAATGTACAGCTTCGAAAGCAATCAAAAATCTGAAATCAGCCAGTGTAAGCTAGCAAGGACAGAAGGGATCTGTTGGTATTTAGTGGTGTCAGTTCAAATAGAAGCCTGCTGTAGTAGGTGGAGGGATTTCAGCCTGACACCAGTCAAAAGTGCATAACAATAATCTAAAAAGTAAAAAATAAAAGTTTGAAAGAATCATTAGACAATCAAAATGATGAGTCATGAGTGGTGTTTTTATCTATTTTGTTTGTGTTGAAACTTGAATTAAAAAAAGTTTAGAAACATCAAAAAGTACATCAATCTACTGAAAAACTGCTTTAAGTCTTTCATATGTATGAGGGGATGTTCTGACATGCTGACTGGCTTACACTCCTTAAATTCCTCTAACCCAAATATCCCCTGCAGGATTCTGATCAGATGGTAGGCAGGGACAATGAAACACAAAGACAGGGTCAGAAAGAAGGTTTTAAAAATAAAAGTGGGAAGGCTATTCAAGAATGAAGACGAGATGGTTTAAGTTTGACAGAAATTAAAAACTCAAACTGGAAAACATTGAGTTGATAAAAAGCAGAGAAGGGCATGCTCCGACACAGAACAGACATACCAGTCATGGCAGCTGATTTGGCTTCTTCGATAGACTCATATTTGTCAGTGAGCTGTGCCCGCGTCACCCTGTGCTCGGTCTGTTCCTGCTCAAGACGCTGCTGCAAGGTCTTCAGCTTGTAGTTCAGGTCGATCTCCAGGTTGTTCTTTTCCTGCGGGGAGGGGATGAGCGAGGAAACAACGTGAAGCTGCTATTATCCAATTAGAGACACAAAATAACTGCTATCCCCTTCAATTCTACTGGCTGGAAGCACGTTCGTATATGCTTAAATACTATCATTAGGTATATAGTATATACCTTCTCCAGGTTGTTGCTCCTCTCCTGGGACTGTTTGCGTTCTCCTTCCACTTTGGAGAGGCTGAGCTTCAAGTTTTTGTTGTCTTCCTGCAGCCCTGCCATCCTCGCTGGAAAGAGAATATTTTGCAAAAATTCACTATTACGCCTTGATATTGTGAGATTGTGTTTTGTCATTGAAACCTCATTTTTATTGTAGAAAATCAGATAGTTCTGAGTGTCTTAACCATCCAAAGAAATGCAGTTTTACTTTAAGGAAATCAACTCTTCCATCCAACCGCCTTCTCCTCCTCCAGTTCTACAACACTGATAAGCTTAAATCTGATATTGTAAATTATAAACTAATTTAACTGCTGTGGGCGCCACCATGGCTTGATCATGTAGGATGGTTTTTAATTTCTGCAGCTGTCTAATGACTGAGCTCAGATGTCTAAATGAGTGAGATAACAAGCCTTAGAGAGTTAGTTTAAACTTACAGGGATTAATTAGCATTTTAAAGTCTTCTCTGTAAAGTTAGCTAAACATCAAACTAAGCTGTTAAGGATTTTAGAGTGTGATTTGCATTCGTCTGTGTCATCCTTATTGTGAGTCACCTTGCAGCTCCCTGATCTCCTCTGAGCCCTGGCTGTAATTCCTCCTCTCCGAGTCCAGGGTGCTCTGCAGAACCAGGAGCTCCTTCTCCAACTGGGCCTTCTCTGCGTCCACCGCACGGCTCCTCTCCTGCAGCTCCCGGTTCAAGCTCTCCAGCTGGCTCACCGTCTTGCCCATCTCTGTGTGGCTCTTCCGCAGCCTTGCGGCGGTGTCTGACTCTGCCCGCAGGAGGTCATTGGCCTCTTCCAGCTGTTACATCAAAACAGAGAGGGAAATTTTGATGCTTTGCCCTCTAGGGGTTGTCCTAGCTGTATGTGTGTATGTGTGATTGAGTGTGAATACCTGATTCTGCAGCTGGACGATCTTGTCATTTGAAGCCTGAGAGTTCTGGCTGATCTTCCTCATGTCTTCAAGCTGCTCTTTTAAAGTTGAAACTTTGAAAACACAGATGGGAAATCAGATTAATTTAAGGTTCTATCAAACTACCAACATAAGTTAATCCAATTGAAAATATTCACTCAGTGGCCATTTTCAGCTGACATGCGCAGGGTGTAAGTGCTGGCAGTGAAAACCAGAAACTTACCACTTCCTGATACTCTTAACACACACAAAACTGTTCAATAGAAAAGTACTGACTGAGTTTACACCTTTCCAAGTGTTTCATGTACCACTATAATCGAAGTAAAAGTGGTAAAACACTAATGTTAGCTTTCAACAAGCTCAGAAGTAAAGCAATAATTTACGCTAAAAGAGTAAAAGTCAGAGCCTATTGGCGATACTGGACCATTCATGGTCTCTTTAATTGACATTTGGCAGGGGGGGAGCCATTAAATGATCATTATTTATATTTCCACTATTAATATGATTTTAAAATCTTGTGCTCAGAAGTGCAAGATAATAAACTGCATGAAGCTTCCTAGCCTGAGTGACATCTGAGGACAATAGCCGCTGTGTAAATATGAGCCATTTCCTGATTGAAATGATACTAAACAACACGCGGGTCACACCTGAACACAGGCTGTTTATTATGGGAATAAATGCTGCGAGGATGAGGGATTAACATATTGCAAAAACATTTCTCAATGACTGCCCTCCTTCCTGCTCCACTCTGCAATTAGACCTTTAATTGCAAAGTGTCTGAATCACACGTCTGCAGCACCTCATTATATTTACCCTCGTTCTCCAAATTGCGTCTCTTCTCTGCCTCCTGGTCAGCTTTTCTTTGGTACTCGGTGAATCTGTGCTGCTGCATGATCTTGTCCTTCTCCAGCAGAGACATGCTGGCCTCTGTGGTCTTCCTCAGGTTCGCCTGTGGCAAGGAAACATGAGAGCTGCTGTGGTGAGGCGGGAAGAAACCCATCCTTGATCTAGCCTTAAATTTTAAACACTGATGTTTTTAACTACTTTCACATTCTTTTTGAATGTTCGACCAAATTGCCAAAATAAAAGCTTCTTCTTTTAGATATTTTTGCGAACCAAATCAGCAAGTATCAAGGATTAATAGATTGAAACAAGGAAGGAATTTAAATAAGTTTGCTGTTTACCTCTTCATCCAGTTCTTTTGTGAGTTTGTCAATCTTGGTATTTGATGTCCTGTGGAGAGAAGACTTTTAGTGACCCACATTCCCATAACAAATCTGAAAAATCTCAATAGCTTTTCTGTGCACAAAAATCAGTTTGACCTAATTTGATCAATCAAAGTTTCTCCTATCAAGCTACAAAAAAATACTGGAACCAACTTTAAATAACTTCGCCACAGTCCTATTTCCAGTCCAAACATATCAATTCAATGAAGACACAAGACACAAAACAGGATTTGATATGTTGACATTTCACTTGAGTTCATAGTTGTTTGGCAGCCTTTCTATGTGACCAAACATTCTGCTTCCTGTATGTATTTTGTCTCTGAAAGCATCTCATTTATTGTGCAAGAATCAACATCTTCCTCCATACCTGCATCTCTGCTCTAACTCATCCTTAAGCTGCATCTCGCTGTGGAGCTGCTCCTCCAGCTGGTAGATCCTTTTCTGCAGGTTCTCCAGCTGACACAGACAAACAAAAAGAAAAAGATTTTTAGATCATACCCGACGAATAAAGGGTAAATCTCACAGACTTTCTTTGTAAGTAGGTAAAAAAGTAGTCCACTTACATGACTCTTGTCTTCCTTTGTGGAGCTGCTACGTTTGTCACTGGTCTTTGAGGAGGAGCGCAAAGAACTGCAGGAAAAAAAACCCCACAAACTTGATTTTTTATCCTTGAAAAAAATTATATGTAATGAAAAATACCAGCTACCACAATTTCTCAAGGAAGAGGAATGTTACAATGAAGAGTAAAACAGAAGAGTTCTTCAATCTGTGACATTTTCTCTACATTTAGCTAGTAAAACATTATCTGCTGTGACAAATTCATTTCTACCACGAAGGCAGCACAGTCTGTAGATTTATTACGATCTCACAAGACTCTTTATGATGTGAGATATGGACTAAGAAGCGTGCCATTTCATAAATAATTCTCAGTACAGCTTGAGGGGGGTGGGGGGGCTGTCACACTTGACTTACTGCTGGTTGCTGTAGTAAGTGAAGCCCACAAAGGGGAGCTGGTTGCCCACGAAGGCCTTTGGTACAGGGAAGGTTTCCTCCTCGCCCCGGTCTTCCTCAATGTCGTCAAAGTTACTGGTGTCTATGTCGCTGCTCAGCTCAGGCACAACAGGGGCGGCCGCTGCGGAGGACAGAAACACATCCCAAAAGAGGCTTGTAAGTGTGTGTGTGTGTGTGTGAAAACAGGCTTCAAAACACACCTCTGAAATGAATACTGCTTGCATTCACCATAAACAATATGGCTGAATTCACATGTAGCACACTGGCATCCTTTGCAGCCTCCATTATCTTAAATAAATACAGTCAGTACCATCCTTTAATCATGTATGTATTTTCTGAGGTACAGCAGATCACCTTCAAGATGGTTCAAAGTCAAGACTCTAACTTTTTCCTATATTGCTGTTTTTTTCTGGATCACAGATCTCTTTTCAAACTGTCTTTTAAAACAAGGGAAACCAGCCAGTTAGCAGAGCGGCTCAGCCAGTGGAACGGCACCAAAGTGCTGACATCAGCCTAGTTAAGTATTAAATATAAAGCCACTAAAGAACTGACTGCAGCTCCTGGATTTAGCTCTACTTTTAAATCTCTCTCTGCTCCAGTGTCAATCCTGGCGCATTAGCGTTCGCTTCCCCTGCAGTTGGCCTCAAAAAGCACCGCACTGCCAATTATGACTCCGGGCAGGAATCACGTTCGGTCTTGGAAAGGATACTGAATGAATGGCTCGTCCACAAGAATTTCCTGCAACTGTCTGTAGTAGGTCAGATGGAAAACATGATCGCTGACTTAATGACTGCGGTAACAGCGAGCGAGCTGCCAAATGAAACAGGAGGTGTGAAAGTAATCAGTCATCTTACTCTCTCTGATGTTCTCCCACGTCCACTGGTCATTCTTGAAGAAAGGATGCCGCTTGATCTCGTCTACACCGTTGCGGCCGAGTCGGACTTCCCTGGAGGGGTCAAGGAGGACAAAGTCAGTGTAAATTTTTTTTTTGTACAAATACGAGCAGAAGAAATTCTTATATATGTACTGTACATACAAGAGGCACAATGTCTGTGTTTTAATTTATCTTTCAATTGAGATTCCCCCCACTGAGCCTTCTAAGCTAGAAAGCGATCAATGCCTAAACAGGGGAAAGGTCTTAAGAATCCAGTATGGAGCTTGTCCCCTTCTAACCTGTCAGTCAGGAAAGCACAGATGAGATTCTTGGCGTCATTGGAGATGTCACTGTCGTCGGGGAAAGTCAGGGCGTTCTTGTGGTTCATGATTTTGCTGTAGGTCCCCACCAAGGAGTCTGCATAGAAAGGAGTGTCACCTATGCAAAAAAACAAAAACAAAAACAAAAACAGGGGTTACTTTTATGTCCACAGAGAGAACATGAGACATGCGTACAAAAAGCAAAATATAAGTTCTCCTAAGCTTATTTTTGTGTTTTATATCTGTCAGACAGGTGAAAAGCAATGTGTAATAAAAAAACTCACCAACTAGCATTTCGTACAGGAACACTCCCACAGACCACCAGTCGCACTCTCTGCCGTAGTAGCCATCTCCTCCTTGGGATTTCAGTACCTCAGGTGAAATGTAGTCTGGAGTTCCCACTGCTGTGTCACATCGTACCATACCATCCTGAGGCGGAAAAAAAAATCATCCGTTTCAACACAATATTGGCCTTGTTTAGCCCTCAAAGTATGCCTAGTAAGATTTTTACAAGAAAACATAAATAGTTAATTAGAAATACCCAGGATAATAATGTTTGCAGCTGCTATATCTTCATAATACTGATGGAAACTGAATCACATACCTTGTTCATTTTCATGCAGGTCCCAAAGTCTGCAAGTTTCAAGTGGCCTGTTTTGTCTAGCAACATGTTATCAGGCTTCACATCCCTGAGGAGGCAAATACAAAGTGGTGTTAAACACGTGTTTGACATACAAACAATACATCAAACTCACAAAGAGAAGATTCAAACTGGCACTCTTAACATGTGTGAAAGTGAGCAGTTTAAAGTAAGAGGTGCTTTAAGGTGCCCGTGTGGAAAAAAAAACTGCACTCCAAATCAGAGCTGTCTGGAGTTGCCAAAGCGTTCTGCTGCGATAGGTCAGATGTAATGAGGTGTAAAGAGAGCTGGAGGCTGAGGGAGTGGAATTTATGTTTTCTTTAAATGTCCTTTTACTGCAACATTCAGCGGGCTGATGGGGAAACAGCGAGAGGACAATTTAACGTAGCTGTCATGCTGTGAATGTTCCACCACTGCAGCTGTGCGCGTGGGGCTGAGAAATATCAGTGTTGAAATATCAGTTACTGTTTTATGGAAATAAAACTGTATTTAAGGGCTTCTGTTCTGTGTCAAAAGAGTGCAGTTAAGACCACGGCACTTAAATCTAAAGTTTATACTCATCACTCCTGCAGAGACTAAAGACCATATGATAAAATATTAAATATGAATTTTTCACATATTTTTTACAACAAACCGGAAATTGGTGTCTCAGTAAACAGGGCCCCCTGCCTTTGAAATGAGTAGTAGTTCAGACAGACAGCTATACTTAGAAACAAGCAACCAGCACTTACACTCAAAAACAGTACCTCTGACCCTGAACTACTTCCTGCATTTTACAAAGCCCCATTAGAGCATAGGTTGCCACCACACCTTCTAGATCCTTCCGCACAATCTCAGTTGTCAAGAGCCATAAAAGATAGATTATTTTACACATGTGCTACAAATATTTTATTGCAGGTGAGTGAGGCAGACCAGCAAACACAGAGAGAACGACTGGTTACCTGTGAATAAAGCCCATGGCATGGATCCCGTCTAGAGCCAAGACCACCTCAGCTGTGTAAAAACGAGCCCACTTCTCTGGGACGTCATAGTTGCTCATCAAGTTAACCAAGTCCCCGCCGGGCATGTATTCCATCACCATGTAGAGGTAGCGGTCATCTTGGAATGCAAAAAAGAGCTGCGGAGAGGAAATGCAAAGTTGAAACACAGAAATAATGAAATTTTAAAAAGGTCAAAAGGAAACTGGGTTTCCATTTATGTGACCAAAACTTCATTTTCCCACTAAGTTCAGAAGGTTTTCGAAAACTTAATTTCCTATCACATTATATCATACCTGCACAACCCATGAACTGTTGGCAAAGGCCATGATGTCTCTCTCTTCCCAAAAGAAGGCAGAATCCGACCTCTTGATCATTTCAAACTTGCTCAGCAGCTTCATGGCATAAACCTTGCTTGTGGCCCTATGTCTTACCTGAAAGAGATCGAAAAAAGAAGTGACGTTAGCCTTCCTAAGATGTAAAAACCTTAGCAGTTTGGGCAAAAAATTACTGTTTTTCAGGACAAATAAAAACTAAATACAACAAACTTATGGTGATATTTAAAACAATAGAAATGCATGACATTCTTACCAACTGCACTTCTCCAAACGCTCCTCTACCAATAACTTTAACCACTTCATAGTCCACCGCTTTCATACGTAGATCCCGAATATTACTGATGGTTTCCTTGTCTGAAAAAAAAAACAAAAACAAAGACATGTTGATAAAAATCAAAAGCTTGACAAAAAAAAATCAACTTTGTTTGAAGATTTAAGCTAATTTGAAGTTCATAACCTTACTCCATTATCTTTAGGTCTTTTACCTGACCTTTTTCACTCACTGTGCAATAGCATAACGTTAGTGTCCCAGTGATTTGCATTCATAACATCCAGACTAGATTACTGCAACAGCATCCTATAAGGCTCATCATCCAAAGTCCTCAATAAACTCCAATACATTCAGAACTCTGCTGCCCGCCCGCTCACCCGCACCAACTCCCGGTAACACATCACACCTGTCCTCCAAAAACTGCACTGGCTCCCCATCTCATACCGCATACAATTCAAAATCCTCCTGCTCACCCACAAATCACTTAACAACCTGGCCCCCACCTACCTCACAGACCTGCTCCACCACTACACTCCCTCCCGTGCCCTCCCATCCTCAGAGGGAAGTCTCCTTGCCCTAAACCCATCCGAGACTGTACAGACCCCCACACTTTTAAATCACTCCTAAAAACACACTGTTTTAAATTGGCTTTTAACCTGTGAACTGACAATGACGACGGTTTGTGTGCATTAAAAGTTTGCTAAACATCTTTGTTTTAACTTTCCTCTGTGCTAACGTAAGCTACCGGTTGTTTCCATAGTTTCACATGTTTATCTTATCGCCTCTGATTGGCTATAAGTGCTGACCATTTGGCTTGAGCGTGTGATGACGTTTCCAGCTTTTCTAGCCAATCAGAGGCGAAGGAGGCGGGACTTTCCCCGGCAAAAGTCTTCCCCAGGATGCGTCTTTTCCCCCCGGAAAGTCGCATTGCGCTTGGTGTTTATAGTCAGGCACGTCAAAATTCACCTCAGAATATTTCGTGGTTCCGCGTTCTATATTCGTCGGCCCCGATGTGTAAGGACCTTTAGTCCTGCAAAACCCAACCCCCATTTTTCATTACAGAATAGTATGTTTCTGCAATTTGTGGCAGAGTTTTCCTCTCATGACTAATTATTGCATCTGTCAGCAAACAGAGAAGAAAGCGCTCCTGTGCACAGCTGAGGGATGCCTTTTTGGAAAAAGTTTGTTGGCCTCTCCCTGATGTAACAATGCTAACTCGCTCCCCTCTGGGAAGTAGCATTCACTGTACAGCCAAATTTGGTCATAGCTGAACTATGGGGATCATTTCCAATTCACATGGGTCAAAACTGGCACAGGACTACATGAGGAAGGGGGGGTGTATCGGGCATCAAGTTCAATTGATCTAAAAATAAAAAGCAAGGCTTGGGTTAGAGGAGAAGAACATCTTTGGGTGAGTCATTTCCACTTAGAACACAAGTTCCAGGGATCATGATCCCTACTTGGACAATTCCCAGAGGACCTAAAGAAGCGAGGACGCCATGTTTAGAAGAGGTACAAATAGGATTTCATGTTGCTTCTAGAGATATACTGTGTGTGTTTTTGCATATGTGTAGGGGTAGGATTATTCCAGTGGGTTCCAGTGATTGGGGTGTAAAGCATCAATGCACGGAGGAAAGAGATTTAGAATTTAGAGCCCTTCAGGCAATGCATGCTACTTAGGAGCTGTGCCTCACAAGACAGCCAGTCCATTAGTCTATATCCATCAATGCAGCTCAAACACTTGGCTGCTACACACTGAGGTACTGTAGCAGCAGTAATTGAAGAAATGTTTAATGGCAGGTTTCGCCGCAGGGGTTTACAGTAGCTTGGGCTGTCTGTCAAACATGGAAAACTGAAGATCAGGTTCTTTAAACGGATCAAAAAGTGGTTTGAAAAAGTCAGACTGTTTGTGTATGTCAACTCTTTCTTTCAACCAGCCATGACGACAGATTATCCTAACTAAATCTATTCTTCAATCATGAGAATTTTATAGATTTGAAAGGTTATTACTAAAGGCATCAGTGCAATGTTGATCTTTGACAGACCACAGGAGGAGAGGTCTAAATGTATCCTTCCCAGTATTTCAACATAATTCAGTGCTACCATAGTGCTTCAAGCTGTCACTTTATAGTCAATACTGCATATGAATACTGATTGAAAATAGATTTTGATACCACATTTATTTAACGGAGAAAAATCCTTTGAGAAACCAAAGAAAATGAAAAGTGAGGGCCGTAAAACATGCCCGAAAGGGAGGGAAATGTGCAGTTATGACAGAGACGGTGGGAGTAAGCGATTGTTGCTTAATTAAAGTTTTTAGGTTAAATTATATGTTTGTCCGTGTGTAATCCAGGAAATTAAAGACATGAAGTTTATCCCTGTGATATAACATCCATGCCCTGCCCCCCACCGTGAATGCTCTCGGCTTTACGAGAACAGGTCCCAGCATAAACCCTGCTATATGATCGTTTGTATTTCCTATAATGTCCCTGCTGTGGTACCTATAACCTCCTTGGTTGTTTTTCTTTATCTGCTGAAAATGGAAACATTATATTGAGACTCATTTCATTGTATGCGTTGGTATGTCTTGTTTGTCTAAAACATAATTGTGGGGTTCCCTGGTCTGAGGACACTGAAAAAAGAGAAGCCACCACGATAGGCACCATGTGGGTCACCAACCATTTATGAAAGCCTCTTTGTTGGGGACACTAAGCAGCAGACACCTATTGTGTCCAAGCCTACATAGAAGCGGTGACCCAAAAACAGCCTTCTTTTTCTGAGCCCGAGCTTATATACCCGTATGTAACAGGGTCTGTAAACATAAACACGCAGGGGCAGATCAATGCTGAGGAAGGGGATGTGGGGAGTAAAGCACGATGGATGCTACTTACATCTATTCAAAAAGTTGTCAATGCTCTTGTTCTTCCTCAGGGCAGGAAAGTCGAGGTCATACACCAACGCGTCCAAGCCGTCCTGAGAAAGAAAGGGAGGAGAAGAGTTAACAAGCAAGAAATCAAAGCTTCGGTCTTCTACGACTAGAGTAATATCACGGTCAGCGATTACAGAGCGCTGTGAGGATGTCGTCTCTGTACAGGAGTTTGAAAAGTGTTGGAAGAGGGCTGGAATCAGAGTTTTTTAAAAAAGGACCCCCCTTCCACAGACACAAAACCCATTACAGAAAAAATGTTCTGTTACATTAAGCACACAATTTAATCTTAGGCTATGTTGTTCACACCAAGGTTATAATAGTTTTGGATTTGTCATCATAGTTTAGTTTTAGTTAGTTTTGACATCTTTTTTTCCATTACAGTTTAGTTTTAATTAGTTTAAGAGCGGGCATTCTAGTTTTTATTTAGTTTTGATTTTTGCGACAAGGTTTATGTTTTCAAGCCCAACATAGTGCTCACTGCTCAGTCAATGCTAATACTGTACTGTTGGCTGCTGCCTTAAGCACAAGAAAATAATATAAATAATATAAAAAATATAAACATACAGGCGGGAGGCGGGACACTGCTTCCTCCTCCCAACTTTAGCCATTTCTTCCAAGTTGTTCCAACAACACAAGCTCCGTCGCAGCACAGCGCACAGCCAGTCAGAGCAGTAAACAAGCACGTCCCAGTACGTCGCTATGATGGTGCTGTACGGCGCTGATAACTGCCGAAAACTGTCGTAAAATTGGTTGGGGAAATGTGTCGGATTAATATGAATCCTAAAGGCTAATAAATATTGTCAAAAACGATAACGAAGGACATTTTGTCTGTAATCTTAGTCAGCTTCTGTTAGTTTTGTGAACATGAGACACAGTTTTCATTTACTTATCATTTCTTTTTTCTTTTCTAGTTTTTATTAGTTTGAGTTAGCCTAAGCTCTAAATCAATATAAATGTGCAGATGCCAGCTAATTTCCTCATTTTAGTACATTAACAAACATCTGTTTCAGGTGTATTTTGGTCTAAGGTCTATTGCTGTTGACTGCATGCAGGTGGGTCTATGTAGAATTCATGAGTTTTCCGTAACATGACTGAAAAGACCAATTTTGTTTTGTGCATTTACCAGAAAAGTAAAAAACTAAATCTAACCGAGCAACGACTCTGTGTGACCAATTTCTGTAACACACTGTCAGAAAACACAGTGTCGTGGAGAAGTGATTTTTTTGCTAACCACAGAATTTTAATCTGATAATGAGAGAGAGAGTGCGAGAGAGAGAAGGGGAGAGATAGAGAGTGAGTGAGTTGCAGTGCAGCTAAACCAGCAATAAGTGACTTGATTTACAGTTATAGTGCTCATTTTCTAAATTTGGAGAGAGCGGCCAAGTACTGGACCTCGGTGACATCAAAATTGGTCACAACCTCATTTACAAATGGAAACAAATTGATCTTTTTTTATAGAGCGTGGTTAACTGTGCCGTGAGCTGGCAGCATATGAAGTACGTGTACAGCCTGTTAATAATCACAAACAGCCACCACAGCTCACTGCTGTCAGTTCATAAAAAGGTTTGAATTTAAGCTTTCACATAAACATTGGCAGGTATCCTACATTTTCATTCAATTTCACTCAGCACCTTGTTAACCCAAGCAAGACTTAGTGTTTCTATATGAGCCTTGAGCATCAGAGATAAATGAAAGTAGGTCTGGTTTTATTATTGTCAAAGTTGTCATCCAGGCAGTAGCAAAGGTGGAGGAAAAAAAAAATCTATTCCTGTGAGTGTAGTGTAGTCATTCTGAGAGAGGTAGTCGACATCTGCAGGCTTCAGTCAGCTGCTGACCTGAGCTGCATTCATGAGTCATGCCAGAGAGCGCACGGCTGGACGACATAAACTGAAAATCACAAAAACATCTGACTTATAATTGAATAGATTCTAAGGGAACTAACATAATCTGCTTTAGACTGACTTCTGCAGCTCTCAGCTCTACACACTTCTCCCATACTCAGCTGTGTGCGGCTGTTAAAGATACCAGCAGAAATAAATCTTCAAACATGGGAAAGTTCTTGAATTTGGATGCTAAAGCTGACTGAATTCAACTGTTCACTGACTTAGTATTTGCTTAAATGCTTTCATCCTTGCACTATGAACACTGAAGAATGCATTTGTCGGATCATAAGGTTATCAGAACTAACTATGTGTTTTAATTTTGAATATTGTTTAAAATTGAACATTCAAACTCTGATAGAGAGTTTTAAAACATGGACAAAAGTGTTATTTAACAGTTTTGTTTTTGTATACAGCTGTGTTATGATGTTTAAGAATGGGCTGATGTTGATTTTGGCTTCGTGACCAAAAGCAGGATTTCCCATCCTGTTCAGTTTCTTAGTCAAGCAACCAAAGACCGTAAAGATGAATGAGGCAACAGGGTGGTGGCTACCATGACCATACAGTGACAAAAACATTACAGTACAGGGCTGCAACACCGATCAGAGTCACTCAAGTTCTTTCCCCTCTATTTCACCAGTATCTGACCCCTATCAGAATCCTTTTCATGTATCTTGCGTACTGTAGTCTATTAACTTCACAATGAGATTTTAAGCAGAAGATGAACAAAATTGCAAAGGCTCTTAAATCAGGATGCATCTCTGGAATTCCAAGAGCTCTTGGGTCAGGCATATAAGTGCTACTGGTGGGATTTAATCTAATCTTCCATAATCCACAATGGCTAAAAGAAGACGCACACACAAACACTTGAAAACAGCGCTGAGTTATGCATTTCCTCTCTTCAGCAGGTGTGGGCCAGATGTGGAAACTGAGCATCTTCTGGGTCTAACCAACATGTTTTCTCCGTAATATTAATAAATCTATATTTCATCTGAACAGGCTAGGAAGTGTAAACGTCATTAATCACATCATTTGTAAACAAATTATCCACTTGTTGATATCAGTGCCATCCCTTATGAATTCACCAACACATCAAGAATCTGGTTATTCCTGCATCCGGAATGATCCTCTGTTAATAGCGGCGGATTCCCTTTTGCATCTCTGAGCAAAACAATGATGACACATGTTGAATCAGCAGCTCAGACATGACCAGGAATCCTCTTAAGTAACTCTGCTGCTTCTGCTCAGCAGTGGAGGTCAGGGCCAAACCCCCCCTACCACCACCCATATGAGACATTAAACAAGCCGTCGCCCTGTGGGATGGGTGGGAGCTGGAAGAAAAGCAGAAAAGGGAGGGGGGAAAGAAAAAAAATGGGAGGAGAAGAATGGCTGGTGGGCAGAACAAAAGCAACTTAGACATTCATAGAGAAAGGGGGGAATTAATGATAGAGCAAGGTTGTGATCGGCACATGAGCTGAGCAGAGGCATCATCTGTTCAACTTAAATATTTCTATACATGAAGTCAACTTTCAGGGGGTAGAATCCACAGCCTGTGAGACAAAAGGGACCTTGATGGCCACAGCCTGGACTGGAAAAATGACGCTAAAGCACTGAGTCCTACAGGACCCTAATCACAAGGCTCTGTGCTCTGCAATGCACGTTTGCATAACTTCCTGCCGCAGAGAACTCTGGACAGCCACAGTAACATTCCTTAACAGGACTGTACACGTCAGAGAGCTATTTTAGGTATGTGGCCAAACAAGTTCTCAACAAAAAGTGAAGGAAGGGAGGAAAAAAAAAAAATCCATCCCAAGTACAGAGTCACATAAGTGAGCTTTATGTTCAATCAGCATTAGTGCCTTTTCCTAACAGGGGCGGAAAGAGGGAGGAGGGAGTGGAGGAATGGTGCATGTGCGGCTGGCAAGTCCAACAGAAGAACAAATGAAGGAAAAAACAAAAGAAGAGTGGGGAGATTTTTTTCGACTGAGGCACTGCTGTGACGAGGACGAGCAGGTTTAGCGTGTAAAAAATAATGTCAAACATTTAAAATATGCTTAATAGATTATACAAAGCAGGTTAGGAGAACAAACTGTAAACATGAAATCAGCTTTTGTGTTTTGTGTGTTATTTAGTCGAAGTCTTTTAAATCTCAGTATTTGAATCTCATGTAAAGATAGAGGGGGGTTGTCATGAACTGAACTGTGAGACCAGAATTATTCACTTTGACACAACTCTAATAAAAAATTGATGATATTGATACATGTCATGATCAAAATTAAACTCCTGTGCATCCACAGAACACACACACACTCACAACCACTGAACCACCACTTACAATTATCTACAATTACATGCACTTTATACCTGTGATATACTCTCTTTACTCATGTATATCTCCTTCATACCATGTACATATGTTAATATATTTATACTTGCTAAGCACTTCTGGGTGGATGCAAACTGCATTTCGTTGCTCTGCTGAACAGAGACAAATTCATTCCATATACAGATAAATAACATCTTCATTGCTTATTTTTCATTAGCAGTATTCACTCTTTACTTGATCTCCAAACATCAACCTCCTCCCTCTCTTCAGGTTCCAGGGCTGAAAACGTGGCTGCAGATCAGGGATGCACTATATTTGATTTGCCAGTTCTCAACGTCTCTGAACTCATTTCTGGCCAACATTGATACTGATCCAAGTGTATCTTTAGTCTGTGGAAGATGGCATATTCCACCATTGTGAAAGGCAGGTCATAGAGAGAAAAGAATCCAGTGATTTCAATGTCACCATCACTGCTGTACATCTCCACTGTGTTGAATGGCTAAAAAAAGCAGCTAACAGGTTTTTGGTTCTTTGCAGACCCTCTTGATGCAGCTCAGAATGATAATTCTGGAGATGCACTGTTAAGATAGTATTGTTATATCAGAACTGTTTTGTTGCTGCTCCCAGACTTCATCTACAGAGAGGGCCAGAGCTTGCTCTTTTGCTTGAGAAGACTCCGATCAATAGACATCTGTAGTAAGACGCTGCAGATGTTTTATCAGTTTGTGGTGGCGAGTGTTCTGTTCTACGCTGCAGTCTGCTGGGGAGGAAGCATTAAACACAAAGATGCGAGACGTCTTAACAAACTGCCGAAAAAGGCTGGCTCAGTGGTTGGACTCAAGCTGGACTCAGTGGAGGATGTGGTGGAGAGATCTACACTGAGGAAGGTGGAGACTATTCTAAAGATCACCCACTTCACATCACCTTGATGGACCCAAGGGCCAATGATGGTGGACGGCTCCTCTCTCTCTTCACTGCAGGACAGAAAGAATCAGAAGATCTTTTGTACCAACAGCCATCAGATTTTATAACTCTTGTGTAAATAGTAGATAACTTTTAGAGACATATTATGTGAGACAGCAGATAATTGAATTTCCCTTTGGGGATTAATACAGTTCTTCTTATTCTTATCAGCTGTCCATTACAGAGCTATTTTGCCCTTTTCACGACATGCACTTGAAGCTCATTGTTAGTATGGCCACAATCTTCCCTGCATGCAGATAACTACTTCATCTCCTAAAATGTGCCATATAATTATCAAGACTCTACTTTCTGCTCATGCAGTAATATAAATTTTTAGCAATTATCTATCATGGGAATAATGTGCTGAATATATTCTGCATACCTACTGTAGATTTATCTTTTTTTAAATAAGCTACGGTACTTTTCAATGCTTTGTAAAAATACTGCTGACTTTAGTTTTAAAGGAGTCAGCACTGGAAAATATTGGACATTTCTTCACATAGCATTATATGTGCAAATCCAAAAATCTGCACCTAAATGCCTCACACATCAGCATTTATGCGTCTGTGTATGTCACTAACCATAACTGGATTATGTTTACAAACACCCAACGCACACAGATGCAGGGTCATGAGGGTTCAAGTTATAAATATGACGCGTTTAACCGAGGATGACTTTTGGCTTGTAATCATCAAGGTTGAGGGTTAGTAGCCACAATCATCCTGCTGCCCTAGTTTTAGCTATCAGACCGCTGTGCCGCTGGGCCAGATGGAGCTGCCAGCCAGCCAGTCCCACTGACATAGCTCTTCCCGAACTCAGCTCCAGGCTACGCTAACAAATTTAATGCTAATACTCTGGGATCACTGACAAAGCTCTTTTTGTAGCCAGTATTGCAGAGTAATTTGTTGAGGTGATGCTGCTGCTAGATAAGCATCAACGCCAGCCCTGAAATTTCCATAAGGCTCCTTTCTTCTTTCCAGCCAAAATGAAGGAAAAAAAGTGCAACACAAAAGGGCATGAAGAGAGAAAAACCACTTCAACAGTGTATGTGGTCTTAAAATTTAGCTTCTCAGATCTCTTCATTTACGAAGAAAAGCCCTGAATCCACCAGGCAAGAGCAATATGACAATTTAAATCCTTTTTTTAGAGTTAGCGGGACAACATATTGTTAGAAGGTACACAGATTATAATCTAAAAACCTAGTCTAAAGAAACAGGGACAAATCCTGCTTAAAATTCCCTGAGTGTAACAAGTATTGGGTGGCAGCACAGCGCTCCACGGGCTATGTCCTACTATGTGGCAGTCTTTGGAGAGAAAAAAAAGAAAAATCCCTGGGAAAACAAACCAGAGCTCGCAGGACTCCATGTTATCCTATTTCTGCTGATGCTGCTTCAGCCAGAGGGCGACACATCCCTGGGATTACCGAATAATAATATGTAAAACCATCTCATCACCCTATTAATGAAACGTGGTGGTTAAATTAAAAAAAATGTGTAGTTGTACAAAACGCAAAGGCCGGTGGTTGACATCACATATGGTAATTATTTCTTTAAGCTCAAGGGGAGAGAAATCCACACGCAGACGCACACACACACACACACACACACACACACAAGCTCTTTTCCAGACATCAAAAAGTCTGAGTTAAAATTTCCATGGGAGACTCAGCCACATCATCCCTTTCTGCATGCCAGCGCGAGGCATGTGGACCGGTCTGAGTAGAGCCCTGCTCCTCACTTCCTTTTCTGCCACCTCTTTGAGACAATATGCTTTCCACATGTGAGCAATTGTGCAGACAGGCGCTCAGTTTGCCATGCAAATACGGGCCGTGCCGTTGCAGGTTGGGCCTGTGGAAAGACAAATGTGATCATACAAACCAGTGAAGTTATTCAAAGCATGACGCCGCATTGCTTCCTCACTGCTAGCTCTCAGGTAGAGACACAGACGAATACAGGGAACCTCTCTACCTGCTTTGGTTTTTATGGATAATGGTGAAATCCACCATCATTACAAGACTCATTCAAGTTTTTTTTTTACCAAACACTGAGTACAAACTCCAGCTCTACTTAACATCTACTGACAGGAGATCCCATTTACCTAGAAAGAGTGCATATCTAACAACTCTACTGGATAAACGGCAGCGACAGTGAACCCAGGGGTGGCAAAACAGGGGCATTCCATTTCCTTATGAGGTCCCAGCGAGCGAGAATCACTGTCACAAATGCTTTCATGTCAAAATATAATTGAGTCATAGCAACAGTGGAGAAGCACTCACGAGTTTCCACTGACCAACCCGGCTCCGGATTCTCAAGCGAAACTCTGCTATTTCTGCCAGCTCTGCCCCGGATTTCTGACCTCATCCCAACCAATAACCTTCTTATTAAACATCATCTGACTTCACTTCCAACATCTTCACCGGACACGGGTCGTAGAGGACTGTCTAAGTGGGACAAAGTCACAGGAATTGAAGCCCTAAAAGAATGAGATTAAAGACAGAGCAGGAAGCTATAAAGTTCTGTGGGCGTATATCAAAGCAAACGCGCATCATTATTAATAGAGGATCATTTTAGTTTGCATTCCTGCACATAATCAGCCGTTTGAGGGACTGCGGAGCTACAAATAACTCGGCCAATTGTTGCTCCGCTCGCTGAATAGCTGAGGAGAGCAGTTTACTATGGAACAGGCCTGAACCTTACTGACAATAGGGATGGATCCAACGCTGACTACAACTGCTGCAACAGATCCATGTTCTCAGCTCAAGGAGATGCAATTAGGAACAAAAGAAGCTAAATTCACAGTTTTCCTATGAACAAACATCCAACTGTGAATAACATACACATTATATATTTCTGGACTATTCCCCAAAGGCTTTTGTTGCTGCTACGCTGCTATGAATAAAAAAGACTTGCAGAGAAATGAGACACACCTGCAGGAGATAATCCCAGAAGATGACTATTTTGTCACTTTTAATCCTTCACAGAGTCTGAACTGAGGCTCAAGGTGAGGAGTGTTAGATATCAACAAGAAAAGGAGTGTTTCTGCAAAGAAAACGGTACACTGCATTAAAGTTTGTAGTGCATTCTACCTGCAACTAACTTCAAGTGCATGAAAATACACACTGTACAGCTCAAATTAGAATATTGACAAAATATTGATATCGCTTATCTCTTGTTGACTGACAATCTTGTGTATTAAATGATCAATTTGCCCAGATTGAGGCCGAGTCGTTTGATTGAGCTAAATGTAGGGTTCAACTCTTGACTGACAATCATTTCTGTACGTCTCCTTGAATCAAAAAGAGACCAACGGCTGCATTATCAGCGCAAACAACACCATACAGTCAAGGCTGGTCCATTCAAGGCAAAGGTCGCTGAAACGAGGGCAGGCGCTACACAGAGCTGAAACAAAGACTGACTTTGCTCAGGCTGTTTCTTAAGCTGTGCCGCGGCAGAATGAAAGAAGAAAAGACCGTTCTACAAATCATTCTTGAGTGGGGAGTCTGAAGTTATTGAGGCGGTTTTGAATGCCTGGGATGACGCCTGAGCTTTGCACCTTGGGCTGAGTTTTGCTCTAAGGAGAAAGCCTCATGCATTATGACTGCGGGGATTGGCATTATAATTGAAAAAAGCAAAACTATAAAAAAGTTTCACATTTATTTGCCAAGTCGCCCCATTAAGTATTCATAATGAGATAAACGCTTGCTCTAATTAGTCATTATAGACATTGCAGTGGGATGAAATCTAATTTGGGTGGCAAACGTGTGTATTCATTAACCTGCGAATATGATTTTAACACATTCAACATGTCATTCATTGAAAAGACTTACATGTGTGAAAAACAAAACAGACTGTGCTCCGTTTTTCAAATCTAGGAGAAAAAATAACATCCATCCAAGTCATACATGCAGCTTTCACTTCATTTATAATGCTCTTTGAAACTCATTTTTGCAGCTCACTTTTATCCATTCTTATTAAAGATTAAGAGCCTGAGTAGCAGATGAAAGACGAATCAAAACATGAAGATGCCGAAGTGAACCCCAAGTGTCAAACTAAGAACAAAGACTGTTCCAGGAAGCAGTAATACACCCTAAATAGAGGTAGAGCATTTGCAAAACAAGTTCCAACATATCAACCCTCTCTTTTTGGATTACAAAATGACACTCCAGTGAGGGACTAAAGGGAGCAACAAAAACTTTGACAGCAGTTTTATAAATGTACATTTGAAGAACCTCCAACTGAGTCAAGGGAATGAATTATGTGATAAGAAGATCCGGTTCAAGATAGATAAAACGCATTGAGAGAAAATCCTCAGTCTCTTAATGTCAGTGAGCTTTCACATCACAATGTCAGGAATTCTGTCTCCTCACATTGGCTCTTAGAAGCCTGCCTGGAGCACAATGATAGAGGAGGGGGGCAGCCAATCCAGATAAAGTGCTCTTCTCTCCCTGCAGGATTTATTTAAGGGGTGAAGATAAGGGCGACAGGCCACTGCGCTCAACAGGCCGGCCTGGAGCTGAGTGTTAAGGTGCGGGCCAAATGTCACCATCACACGACACAGTCCAGGCTTCTTTGGGAAAAAATGTACAAGCCCAACGGAGCTCGAGCAATGCCAGCTCAAGACCCAGGTACGGAAACATAGCCAGTAAAAGGCCTGCATTGTATATTCTGATGGAACATATTACTCATAGCCAAGCATGTTGGCTGCTTTATGAGTTAAATGTCCTGATTCACGGCCTTCAGAAACATGAGTCTTCGGTCCACATAATTTTGGTTTATGGGTAGAGAGTGGAGCCCACACCCAGCTACCTCAGAGCTGCCTGCATGGCTTCAACTCTCTCCAGACGTGCAGAATGGCTTTGGGACACACAGGGAACTCCAGGCCAGTCAAAGACAAGAGGTTATTTGATTAGCATGGAATTTTATTAAGCTGTGGGTGGAGTTGCATGGTCGCTGAGAGAGCCTCAGCAAAAGGCCTCCATTCATTGATCAGGCGAGATTGCAGAAAGGGGGGAAAAAAGAGAAACAACACCCTTGTGTGTGAGGCTGCCAGCAGGAACAGTCCCCACAGCTTTCTGCCATTAAAAATGCAGAGTGTGTGCACTTTTTAGGTGAGTTTAATTGCTTCTTTCTGTAGCAGGATGGGAGGTCAAAGAGACTAAGCAACTTTTCTTTTGGAAAGCGGCCTATCTACAGCAGCCTCTAAAAACACTAAACAAGAAGGGTGTGTGGGTGGTGTATTAGGTCAAGCCCCCTTCCCGGAAAAGCTTCCCTGATGTTCTTTTGCTGTGTTTGCAAGTCTGTTTTTACCTAACATAATATATCATACAATTATGAAAATATATATATATATCTCAATGATTCAGAAGAGGGGTAGACAGATTATCTGGCTGTTTATTTATATCAGCCTTTTATTTACAAGCATTATTTGGCTCTGCCACAGATGTCTCTATTCGTCTGGGTCTATTTTCTTGCACTTCTTCGACTCACCTAATGTCCTGCCTGCAACACATCTCATTTGCAGGATATCACTCGATCGTATGAGGTTACTGTTTGTTATCATGGCACATTTATTTACTTGTAAACAATTACATTTTTAGGCTACTATCAAGTTATTCTTACATTGCTTGATCACATCTCATACTGCCTTTTTAAGCAATATCATATCAGAAAGTCTAGCCTCGTTAAAACTTTACAAGTTTGTGAATACATACAAACAGCGTCTTAATGAAGCTCAGCTGTCATGATGCCATTGAACTTTATAGAAGTGTAACTATTTCCCCTTTGACTGACAGTGTAAAAGGTTTAATTAGAAGTACAAGGTACGAAAGCTCACCAGTGCCTGCATGTGAAGATGATGTGGGATATCAATAATATAAAAAAGGTACAACATATGTAAAAGAAACATACAAGAATACAAAAATAAAGAGTGCATATTTGCTTGAACTCACTCTTGTCTTTCTGCTGTTTTGGTTGTTTTACACAGCACCCATGTTTGTGATATTTTTCTTTGATTCTAACATGAACCCCAAAGCACTTTTACACCACTAACTTGGCACCAATAATTCTGAGGGAAGCTAATTGCTAGATTGAATTTCATCTGATTGCATCCAAATGGTGTTTAATTATTGCCACAGCTATCACAACTCCATGCGCTGGGAACACTATGATCATGTTGTAAAACTGAGTATTACCTGCTCAAACTCAAACTTCGTTCGTTTTTGGTGTAAATGCTCAAATTGTGAATAACAGTGTTTAGAAAGATGTCAAGCCCTGTCCCAGGAATCGCTGGCAAAATATTCCACTCATTTGCCCCCATGACTTCTGGTTTTGTTGCCCTTATATAGGGCAAGGACTGCAATGAGTCACAAAGGAGCAAATCCCTCTAACAATACTCACTGCCACTGTCACCCAAGCTGAGAGGCTACTGATATCAACAAACACTTGACACAACAACATCCCCTTTGGCATCTACTCCACGGTGACTCAGTCCCTGGGATTGCCGCATGTAATAAGAACCTGTGAAGGTGTTGCTCTAGGGTTTAGCACGTGGCAGCAGCAGCGCTTTCTTTCCACAGACAGGAGACTCACTTCATGGAGCCCGACAGGAAGCAGCCAGGGCAAACTTCTGCCAACAGGTGTACTGATGCAGCTGCTGGAGGCCTGCAGGTTACAACAGGCATGCGGGCAGGCTATCACTTCAAATGAAGCTTGGATAAGTAAATCTAGACTAAACAGCACACCTTGCTACTGTTTCCTAATGATCTTAAACCACAACAGTCTTTTATGAGTTGGAAATGAGTGAAGGGATCTCTTGATATCTGTGGGAGGACAGACACACGGCTGCCATCTGTCAGTGCATTTTGGCTCCCATTGCTTTTAATGAACTAGACCCCTATCTCAAATACTAAATATCTACCCTAATGTCTGTTGCTGCAATTTTATACAACATTAGATATCAGGATTACAGGATAATTAAGAACATATGGGCGACATAATGCGGCTTTGATACAACAGCTCTACCTTAAATGTAACTTCTTCAAAGCTTTCACATTTCCAGTTCTGTTGACATGGTCGAACAAGTCTTTGAAACAACTGTTTGAGTCGTAATGGGTGGTGGCAGTGGACCGGAGTGCATATGAAATGTGCTTTAATGCTCCCTTCATGTTTGTTAATGGAGTGGACAACACATACGGTACACCTCCCAAAGTAATAATCCAGAATACCACCAACCATTGAGTCTTCAACAATACATCTGTTATACTGAATCACCTTTCTGATCATATCAACAAAATCAGAAGCTTTCTGAAACAGCAACTTGTGGTCGAGCCGCTGTGTTGGATTGCATTCGACTGCCCTTATGTTATGCCTAGTCAGTGTATGTTTGTATTGTTTGAACTTGATCAAGTGTTAGAGACAACATGGCCTGTCGGCGTTAGGATCAGCACATTCCTTCAGTGACAATCGAGACGACTTGTTGGACTCAAAAACACTCTCTGCTCCAAGAAGTAGACAGATCCCAGTGGCTTAGCATAGCCACTTTGTCAGCTAGCAGGCTACAAACTTACCAGAAGACAATCCGTGTTTACTTCTGACTTCGGGTCCTTCAACATGGCATCGATTTTTTCAAACCGAGCCCCCATGCTTTCCCCAGTGGACATTTTTGCTGTTAATCTCAGTCCCGGCGATGGGTTATGAACAATAATAGCTCACTGGCTAGCTAGCTTTAGCAGCCAGCGGTAGCTAGCTAGCCAAATGTTTCTTTCTTCGTGTGAACTTTCCGCCGCACTTCACAAAAAGGACATCGTTCTCCTCGAGCTTTCACAGACGATAAAACGTTTAAGGTTGCGTTGAATGTACAAAAGCCACATTTCGGAGATTAAAGAGGTTTTTTTCCCAGTCTGAGTGGCGTATAACTTCAGTGGCAAAAGATAAATGAGGCGACAGATTAGTCAGCCTCCGCAGGATGCCACCGGGGAGAAGGGCTTAAATGTTACTGCATCCAAACAAAAGGAAGTTTTAACTCATCTAATGTCTTCGTAGAGAGCACAGTTTGTTGAGAGGTTAGTCCAGGCCCGTTCCCATAGCTGTGCCAGGCCCTTGTAGAAGCGACAATATTATCTGACAGCTCAAAAGTAGAAGTGGTGGGAAAAAAACTTCTGCTTCTTCCAAATTTCGCTCGGTTTAAACACGGACTCGTTACAACGTTTAACGGCTGTCCTTCCGCCGCATCCGGGCCATTGTCACTCTGCGTCGATAGTTTATCCTCCAAACGGTTCACTTCCTCAAATCGAGGACGTTTTCATTGGGTTTAGATATGTGTTAGTTTTCGAGAAAAGAAAAAAAAAACAGCAGACGATGCCCGATTTTCTCCCACAGCCTGACCAACATGTCCGCCTTCCTGTTGGTTTCAAACACCCGTAGAGACAACTTCAAAATGTCAAGTACTGCGCATGCGTCTTGTCGAGGCGCATTCAGGAGTTCGCAGACTGTTGATGGCAACATGTTGCTGAATCCAAACAACTCAAAAACCGGTGAGAATTCTTTGTTTTATGGGTTTTTACGTTTACAGAACTTCACATGTTTAATTCCGGTGTCTTTATATTGATAACCATTTTGTTCTCTACTATCTAGAGAATGAATAAATGACCACTTTTGACAGTGGAAGCATCTGCTGTGGTTTGGACACTGCAAGTATATTTCACTACCGGCTATCTTGTAAAGTTGAATATTCACAAAAGACAGAAAGAATACATGAGTCATGCATATATTTGGTTGTTGGTCATATGAATATGTGGCTGTATCACACTGTGCTACATGTTATACACAGTGATGTTATATATGGGTGAAAGACAGCCTGTTTTTGATGGCCAAACTGAGACATAGATAGATAAAACTGAGACATAGATACATAGATAGATAGATAGATAGATAGATAGATAGATAGATAGATAGATAGATAGATAGATAGATAGATAGATAGATAGATAGATAGATAGATACTTTGTGAGCTTACCCATAATTTGGAGGGTTATCTTTTCTGCTTGCATCCATTTTGTATGGTATTTGTATGGTATGTATTAAGAGGGGAATGGAATTTAAAACAACCAGGCGTTCATACAACACTAAAAAGCATATGTCTTTGTGTTATGGGGTGAAGCTGTGGAACAGCTCGCCCGATGAAATGAAACAAAGCAAAACTATTGCACAGTTTAAAAGTAAATTAAAGCAGAGTATGATTGAAAAACACTTATATAAGTGATTTTCGTTTTGCCACACTTATTATATTGTATATGGGTATGATACAAATGAGAGATTTGAAGTTTTCTAGGTATATATATGAAGTGCGCATTTGTGTGTATACGTGTAAATAGGTATGGGTGTATATATGTATATATAAGGGCTTTGTCTCAGTATTAATGATTTGTTACATATTCATGTTAGACTTTGGAGCTTTGGTTACTTTTTGGCGACTTCAGAAATCCTAAAAATCTAGAGACATGTAAAAGGTCAACGATTAGGAAGGAATGAGGTTATGTACAAATAAGCTAAATAGCTTCTACCTACTCCTTTTCCATCTACATAAAATAGGGAATTTCTTATCTAAAATTGTACTGTATGTATATTTGATCTAATAAACAAATATATCTCTCTCTAAACATTCCCTGCCACCCTGACTTTAAATTGTCATTTTATGCATAATTTGTCTTGAAAATACCACTTTTGTGAACCTCCTATTTTATTCTACTTTTTTGTACTATTTTTATTGTGTTAACTTAACTGCAGTCTTTGTGTTACTGCTTCGACTGAATTTCCCCTCTGGGGGTCAATGAAGTGGTATCTTGTCTTACCTTCATTCAGCACCAGCAGAGGGCGCTGTTCTACAAATTTTATCATGAAACTCTATGTTCTGGAACTTGAGGTCCAAAATATCTTTCATAAAATTCATGAAATAAATCATGAAATTTTTTTTCGGTTCTTTCTTTCTTTCTTTCTTTCTTTCTTTCTTTCTTTCTTTCTTCTTTATTTATCTTAAACTTTAAGAACAACAACAAAACAACTAGAAACAAAAACACCAAACAAAATACTGCATATGTACACCAAACAACTGTACATGTAAAAAATAAACTTACACAACATATGTATGTCAAAAATGAACAATTTGAGAAGGAACAGAATGAAGCAAAGAGCTTATCTAGTCCCGTCTCTTCCTTGCAATTTAGAGTTTTAAAAAAAGTAAAAGTGTATTTTTAATTGTATTGCGTAGGCCTATCACAAGGTTAAACCACAATTCACACTGCTGCGTGAACTCATCAATGCAGTATTTCCACCAACAGGGGGCGATGGTCACTTTATGAGTTAAATCCTTGAACGCTTCAAACGAGTAAAGGGCTAAATCTACATTATTAGGCCTTTTTAAATGTCTCCGTATAAAACAAAACAAACAAAAAAAAAAAAAAAAAAAAAAAGGTTATGCCTTGGTTTGTTTTGGCATGCATTTCCTGTTTATTTTTTTTGTATTTGATTTCCTCGGTTTTGCTTTTTGTATTTAAATTCATATTCCCGAAAGAAGGCCTATTTTACCGTCTTGAAATCATGTTTTACGCAGTTACAAGATATAAAAAGTCGACTCTGGATGGCATATTTGGTTCAACGTTGTTTTGTTTCATAGTGCCTTTTTAAAATGGCGGGTCAGTTAACTGTTCACGACTTTTTATATCTATGACTGTTGAGTGTCTCCTCTTGTGTTTTCATCCCTCGTTGGGTCCCCAGGCTGAACTGAACTTTCTTCCCTCCCTGTAGGGCCCACTCCACTCCACTCCACCAAACGGCACGGGGACCCACAGTTGTGCCGTGACGTCACTTGGCGGCTCGCGGACCGTGCGCAGATCAGCTGTGTCGGAGCAGAGAGAGAGAGAGAGAGACCAGGAGCAACAGCGACGGCGGCAGCAGCAGCAGAAGCTACGGTGGAGTTTTTATGTTTTTAGTATTTTTTGAAGACGTGGAAAGCGAATTTATCCACCAAAGACCGGAATCCTCGTGGGTAAAGGTAGGCATGTCCCTTGTTGTCATTTTCTGTAATGTCACGTGCGTTAAATCGCGTGTCACGCTCATCATAAACGGGGTTAAACGCTCCTCGGAGGAGCGTCGCTTTGCGCAGCTTGGTGTCCGTACGTCACAAAAAGATGCCTAAACTTTGTTTCTCCGTTAAATGACATTTTGAGTTAAAACTTCTTTAGAGGTGTCAGTGTTATTGTACAAAAATAAAAATATCAAGTACGAGGAGAGGCAATTTGCAAGCCTGTAATCCATTTATATACAAAGTTGGTGGGCAGGCATGTTCTAATGCTCTAAACTCAGTTTTAACCCCTTTCTTCAAATCTTTTCTTCACATGTTATGAACTTATGGTCATCATATGCAAGACTGAATTTAACCTGACAATCTGCAGTAGCCTATTTAAACTGGTCACTTAAATGTGACTGTCAGGGTGTGACTGAATCCAATCTTATAAAAGAATAAAAACAGCAATGACATTTGGTATTAGGCAAACAAAAAGTTGATCTTAAATGTATTTTCTTCTCCCATGAAACGCCTTTGTTGCATCTTTCATTTTCTCAAATGTCACTTAAGCTGATTAATCTTGCTTGTAAGTCAAGTATATCTGGAACCAGCCCAGTCATTTACATAGCCTATTCGTCTGTTAAATACCGTTCCTGTTGCCTAAGGCTTGGTGTTAAAACAGGCTTCTGCAGCCCAGATAAAGTCATATCAGATAAGAGTGACCAGGAGATGTATTTGGTGGTTTGTCATTACATTTACAGGCAAACCAGTCTGTCGTGACTGTTTCTAATCTGCCTGTCCTCATGTTTCGTGTCCCAAAGGTTGCATTCCTCCTGACTGGCCCCCTGCCCCCTTCTTGTACTTTCAAAATGTCATTACAGCCAATGAGGATTTCATTCACATTACAAGATCCTTCAGTAAAGGTCTTGATCTTACCAGATTAATAGACACTGTTGATACGGTTACTGTAATATCTGTAATTCATATCTGACCTTTTTTAGTATAAACAGTATCAAAGTATCAGGTTAAGTCAAATTAACACTCTTAAGAGTCATTTTAAATTTTAGGGCACTACAAATACAGCCCTAAAACCTATTTTTTACATACCATTGCATACATCGCAGAATCAAACCATTAAAACATTCATTGTAGTCTAACACAACACAAGTGAATATTTGCCTAAGTAATGCATCACTTGCTTTGAGGTATCCTGAGTACAGTATCATGTGAGTCCACGCTCTGTTCGAGGAGTGTGGATCATGACTGTGCTGGGTGGCCTGTCTCGCCCGGAGCACGCGAATCCCTGACAGAGAGGGCAAGGGCTGGAAGGGTCAGGGGGCTCTGAACGCTGACCATCTGGCCCTTGGGGGGCTGGTTTCCTCACTGGCCGCCTTTGTTCAAGGCAAACAATTGGGACTTAATCTGGGAGGAGATAAGTAAGGCCCCCGTGACACCACTCCTGCGCTCAGACAGGTTTCCCCCTTTAGACTTGAAGGAGACATCTCCTTTTCCTCAAGCTGGCAGAGGACATCTTCTTTATTAGATCGTGGAAGGGTTGTCTCTTGCGCATCAAATCTGGAGTGAACCTCAAATTATGATTTATTGTGATATTAGAAAAGCTTGTCAGATATCAGAGATGAGTATTGATCGCATGATGCTTCTTTGCATTTGGGAGATAGAAGCACATTGTTAGAACAACAGCGACCTTCATCCAACTAGATTTTAACAATATGATGATGGCTTACGTTTTTTGTCTTGTCCAAAAAGACGCCTCCTTGTCTATTGTGGGTCTCATACAAGGATATGGTGTGTGAGTCCTGCAGTGAGATTGAGAAGATTTCCAAAAACATGCAAGTTCTAACATGAAAAGGCCCCACCATGACTTATAAAAGCTATTTTCATGCTGTAAATAGACGACTGTTTTGCATCAATTTGTGCATGAGGCGATTGTCACCGGGGTAACAGATTGATTTATTTCCCCCATTATTCCCTCACTATCATTTCGAGCACATCATGACTCTTCTTTTGCATTTTTTCCATTATGATCGGCTTTTAGTGTTTGTATTTATTTTCAGAGGGAACACAGAACATGCATTTCGAGGGTATTTTTCATCCACATTTCCCTCCATTTTTCTTCTCTGTTATGACAACCCGGTGTGTGATAGATCCAGCAGCCCCGTATTTGGTGTCATAACAACAAAGCATAAATAACAATTGATTACCAATGCAGTTAGCAACAAAAAGGTTTCAGTTTCTGCTTTGGCTACATATCATTTTAAACACTGATCAATGAGGCAAAAACCTTTCACTCTAAACACCCTCACATTTTCCCGATACAAACTCAGATACAAGAACACTCTGGGAATAGTCAGCAGTGCAGGCAGATGCTTCTCTTGATCCTTTCAGAGGTTCATCCAAGTGATTGTGGGGCTCTGTGATCCTAAGTACAGATGGTATGAAGGGACCAAATCCCATCTTCATCTTAAGACATCAGAGCTTTTGTTTTGCACTTTTTGAGAGCCTTATGTGAGTGGATCCAGGAAAACAGGTGGCTCTCAAACAGCTGTCAGCCATCAAACTGTGGAGGCAAATTCAGGGCCATTTTCAAAGTTTTGTTTTGCAGCCTGTTTATGTTGACAGGAATTGAGGCACTGAAACAACATGGTGTATTCATCAAACACTAGTGTTAGAAGAATTTGGCTCTTTAAAAAGTAATATTATGATAGTGAAAAATACTCCTACCAATCAAACCAACAAACAGCAGAAACTGTCAAAGTGTTTTATTAGACTAAGAATGGACTCTCTCAGGATTAAAGTTTCTGTAAGGAACTTTCTGTTTGTGTCAATTGTTGCAGCCCTTGTGTACAAATACTACCTCAAGCCTTGTTTATCCCGTCCTGTACAACATCTCATCGTGCAATCTTTGAAAGCTCAAATGCAACACTCATTTTGAAAATTTGCTGTGGACAAAAAGTAAAAACTGAGGTTTACTTCACTGTTCTGCACAACACCTCAACGCCTTTGCCAATGGCTTAGTTTTCTCTCAGAGGTCGCGTTAATTACAGGATAAAAGTAAACATTGCACTGGATACAATCACATAGATGCAAAAAAAAAAAGCACTTCGACTTTGCATGTTTTTTAAAGTGCCTTGCAAGATAAATTATGATCAGTTGCAAGAAAAGTTTATTGCTTTGGCAGTAACAGTCTGGGATATAAATCAGACTCAATCTGGTCACAATCTGGAGCAGAATTTTCAGAATGAGGTGTTTGTCACAGCGAGTTGAGTGTGATGTGAAACACAGCTAATTACTCATGTGAATTGAAAGAACATCCCCGTGCCAAACCACAGATAGGTGTGTTCTGCCTGGCTGCTTGTAACCTTTTACCCTGTCCTTTTTATTGAGGGTCAGGAACACTGTGCTCACTGATAGCGTCTGGATCTACATAAAAGACAGAAATAAATAGTCACACTCTGTAACAGGCCTGTGAAGGTTGTGTGCTTTTCTGTGTGTAGTTTGTAATCACATCCTCCTGAGGTTAAGTTAGTACAAAATGGTACAGAGGAAGTCATTTGAATCAAGAACCTATCATTCATCCAGATTAGATGTATAATATCACTCAGCCTTTGTTGCTTTTTTCATTATTGCTATGAAGAGGAAAAAGCATTGGGGTAATATTTCCTTCCTTATTTTTTAAAGCAACTAAATTCCTCCTTAGTGATGCAGTGTGAGACAGGAGGGAGGAAAGGAGAGCATAGATAAGGTCTGCAGAGGAGCAAGGGAGGATAACAAGAGAAGGAGATGGGAAGGAAGGTTAAAACAGATGTAGGAGTGATGAGGAGCGAAACAAGGCAGCTGGATGCAGACAGCAAGGAAGATACAGGACACTTTGAACGTCACAGTGGTGACTGGACGGTATAGAGGGAGAGGAAATACAGCACAGTAATGTGGAGAGGAGGGGAGTGTGCACAGCACAGCAGAATGTGTAACAAAGTGTGTGTACTGTATGAAGGTGCATGACACAGTCGACAATTGGATCATTAAAGCCAATCTCTCAAAGGCCCGTGCCCCTCCCCCGGCTGAAAGGAGATGTCAAAGGTCTGTGACCTCTTCCATTTATGTGCATTGATCCCTCTGGTGGGGGTGGGGCTTCCTCCTCAAAGCCCACCACCACCATCAGCTGTTATATCTTAGTTTCACCTGCAGGAAGCGGAACAATCATTTGACTTCAGTCTGTTCCTCGATTTTTTTCCCCTGTAAATTTGTATGTGATGTATTCTAGCTCTAAAGCAGTTTGACTATGAGGGAAAATAAAAATCTGTAATTTTGTGTAAGTGATCTAAAATTAAGTCATTTACCCAGCAGAGATAGCCCAAAAACATTCAGTCCCATCCTCTCAAATGTGCATCCCTGCTGAAATTTTTAAGCTAAGTTTTAAAACAAGGTTAATATTATTTAAAATATGAGACATGAATGGAATCAGTCAACTTTGGTATCAGACAACTTGGTTATTTTTAGAATGAACTCGCAATTATTGTTGAAGCAACCCATAATCTAGGGCACAAAAGATAAAGCAGCTACTCATTTATGAAAAGAAAAAAAACTAACAGAATTATAGACTTAGATGTAACAGATGTGGGAGATTTGGCAATTAAGGGTGCAGTGCATCAGAGCAGTGCAGCTGTACTGTATCCTAAAATGAAGAAATAGCTTTATGACAAACTTTTACAAAATGAGATTTAACTTAAAACCCAAAATCTAAATCGTTTTTGTCACATTTTCTCAGGTGTTTCATATATTCAACCCTTCCACTCTTGCAAACCTTGAGGGCTTCTCTCTGCAGCAAACTTCTCATTGCTTAGAGTCTGACCATGAATTTGTGCGGTTGTGTGTCAGTCTCCTTTACGCCTCAGTGTTTATGGCTTTCTCAGGGGGGGAAGGAGAAAGGGAAAGGTTAGAAGGATGAAGTTTCTCAAAGCTGAAGAAAGCTTTTCTTTCTTAGTTGAGAATGAAGCCTTTTGTGACTGAAGGGATATACAGTCGGGAAGGTAGAGTCTGCAGTATGTCAGAGCGCAGCCAACAAGACCAGCCTGAGCATCCTGCATGGGAGGCTTTAGGTGCAAATTGTGTGTTTTTATGTTTTTTGTGTGTACATGGAACACAGCCCTTCAAATTTTCACCACCATTGCACTCTTTTCTTTCCTTCTTTCTCCCCCCTTTCAGATCAAAGTTGAAATAGCTCTCTGACAGAAATGAATGGAACTTATCAGGATGTGCCCTCAAGTCGTTCGTCAGGAAGCGTGTCCAGAGCAAAGTCAAAGGGTCACCAGTAGTGTTGTGGATTTGGGGGAGTGTTGGCATGTCAAGGTTGAGAAAAGGGGGGATTTCAGTCTTTTGTTGCTTCAGCAGAACTGTTTTATTTGTGGCTGTAGTAAATAGATGAGGTCAAAAACCTTTGCATTGCATCACAGCGGAATCATAGTTTAAATTGCTCATCCCACGACTCTGGTGTTCCTCCTTTTTTAGCTCAACCTCTTGTGTTCTTGTGAGCTCCATTACACAAACGTGAGTTCATAGAGAGCAAAGTGTGTGTGCGGCCCCGCAAAGAGCACTTAGTGATGATATATCCTCATTCAGCCATTGAAACCTGGAGAGCATCCAGCTGAGAATCCTGTCTCACACAGTCCTGTGGTGGAACAGTGTGTTCTCACAGGCTGTACTTCTGTAACCTCCTCCCTCCCTCACTCCAGTACACAGATTCCAAACCCCAGTGAAGTGATACAGTACCTGCAGCCAGAAATGACTGCTTGCAGGGTACGTGTTGTTTTTAAAGAGTACAGTGTGTGCTGTGCCACAGGCTGCCGCTGGATCATGGTTCAGTAGTCTGGAGGAGAGTTAATGTGTTTTGGGTTGAATTTTATTGTTTTAGCATCCACTTTGAGTCCAATTTTTTCTCAAAGGTAAACATGATTTGGCTGATCCATCACAGTACAGGGGTCTGTTTATGGATTAACATGCTGTTAGACACACATGTCTCCCTTTTTATTGCTTTTAAAAACTGAATAATCCCCCTTCATGTGATATTAAACTCTGTCTTTGTCCACGGCAGTGTCAGGCAGGAAAGAAAATGCCAAAGGGATCATATAAGTCCGGTGCTGGTGGTCCAATTTGCTTTTGAAAGCATACTGAAGGCATCAGTATCACTTTGATCCTGTTTCTCAACCAGGTTAGAAACTCCCCACATGACTAATTTAATGGTGCATTTAAACTGTCATCCTGAACAGCATCAAGAGTGCATATAAAGTACAAATGAAAAAGCATCTGTACCACTAAAACTCTATCAGCAGCCTCTACTTCAGTCATATGAGTAACCTAGGAAATGTTGCAGCGACCACCCAAAAGTAAAGGAGCTTGCAAAATATTCTTTAATTCACTTTCAAGATTCAGATGTAGTCTTCTCCAGGCCAACGGTGACCTCTGTAAGCCTTGCTACACATTGCCGAGCCGGCATAATCCTCATAAGTAGCCTTACCATAACTGCAGTCGTCTTTAGCTCCTCACTGATGCCAGCATCAACCCTGATGTCTAGACATCCAATGTAAGCCCTGCTAGCATGTTGAGTCCCACAGACCGGTGGATTGACAGCTTGAAAAAGAAAAGAAATGTGGTAATTAATGGTAGTTTTTCAGTTGTACAGGAGAGACTTGCTTTTCTTTACAATAAAAAAGAGTGTGTAAATATATCTGAAGGAAATCATGCAATTGGGGCTGGGCGATAAAACCATATATCAAAAATCAATTTCCCTCAATATCAGTATAAAACATGGTCAGTATGCTTTTCAGTAGTCGGCATTCTGCTATGTTTTGGTAGACTATACAAATATTTGGGCTAGGACGATATGCTTTTCTTCCTATTCGATTCCTCTACGATTTTTTGGATGCCTATTTGATTTAAATTGCGATTCTACGATATTGTCGATTTTCTAATTTTTTGGCCTCATTTTTACACCAGTGAAACAGTTGAATGATTATGATTGTCTACTGACTATTCCAGGAACATGTAAGTCAGCTTTTAAGATTTATACTTAAATTTGAAAAAAAGGGATTTTTGAACATAAAAATCTATTCAAAAATTGTAAAACTAAAAATCATGATACTTATGTGAATCAATTTTTTTCTCCCATCCTCTTTTCATTGGCGAGTCTCCAACGAATAGCCAATGAAAAGGGAAGTTTTTCCAGGTCCACTTCACACTGAACCAATCATGTGCTGAATTAGCATCAAGTAGCAAACAACTGCATAGTAGCAGGCTGCAGCTACACACAGATGCAGTAGCTTATTGTATTGCAAAAGACATGCTACCAATAAGCACTGCTAAATTTCATTTTTATATCGTGATACATATCGATATCGACTGATGTGAAAGAAAAATATAGTGATATATCGCCCAGCCCTACATGCAACATGTCACTTTTTCATGGCTATAATCATGCTTAGAGCTAATGGTTATTAACTGATTTGTGATTCCATTGTCTTTCCAGAAGTTACAAAGCTTAGAAACATCCCACCATGTTGTGTATTAGTGACAGATTGTGTGCCAATAACAACTGGAAACACTCAGGCAGATGTCCCACATCCTCACCACAACAGCATCACAGCCTTCGCTGAATGTGCTGTCCTTCTTCATGCCCACACACAAACACTCAAACACACAAACAACATCCCAAAGAGAACATTCATCTTCTCACTCTCCCCCCTCTCTCTTTCTTGTCGTATTAAACACAAGGTCAGTGAGTGTGTGTTGATGCTGCCAGGCATTGCGGGGGAGAGAGCTGTCAGTAGCAGTAGGCTCTTTTTTTTTCCCATATAGGCTGTCACAGATTGTCCAAGGCTACGGTCACCAAGACCTCGTCCTGTGTGTGCTGCGAGGACTCGACGTTCCTCTGTGGCAGCGGAGGTCATTCTCTCCCCCACTCTCTGTCCTTTTCTCTATGTTCACATTTGCAGCTCAGGCAGCACAAAAAAGTCAGCAACACAGGCATATGACTGCAAAATCTGAATAAGTAAATGAAGTAAGAAAAACATGGCAAATGTAGATTTTATACAGGTAATAAAAGGTAAATGATTCATAAACATAAAAAAAACTATGATTCATTTCCTGTCTCTTGAAATCTCATCATCTAAACCTTGATATGTGACTCAGCAAGGAGGATACCAGAAAAGAGAGTGAGTTTGAAAGAGTGCTTTTCATTCTTTAGCAGATTTCCCAAAATGTATTAGATGCTGGTCAAGGAGTTACAGCTGGTCTCTGTGTGCAAGTTAGAAGTTCTTGCATCACACTCGACTTTGGTGATTCATTTGGCATGTGTTCAAGCTGACCCTGCCTGGATAGTGTAACAATCATTTCAAATCAATCAAACGAAAGTGTCAGTATTGAAGTTTGAAAGTTTATTCATTCATTTATCCATTACTTTTTAGCTAACTACCTATTACAATTATTCATCAAACACTTTCATGCATTTAATTCAACAAATTATTCATTACTTTTATGCATAACTTTGATTTTGAAAGATTCCGGTTCCAATTCCTCGTTTCCGATTCTGGTTCCCAACGATTCTCTGCATTTTATTTCTGAAAATATCATCGAAAATCGGCAAGTTTTGGTCTATTAATGATTAGTCTCAAACGGGCTAAAATTGGCCGATTTATGTGCCCTACTAACTTTCGTTGGATATTTAAGTTGACCCACCGAGACAGAAGTAATTTATTGCTTCACTTATCTGATTCTGGCTGGTTAGCGGAAGACCGGCAAAGTGTGTCAAAGACGGGCGCTCGGGTATTTCTTCTCTATGAATCTTTAGGTGTTTAATCATGTTGGTCGTTGACCCTCCTTTGCATGATATAACTGTGTTGCTAATGTTGCACTGAGATAAGAGTTCATTCTTCCTGCTAAAGTTAGCCAAACTTTTGACCGCAGCTGCTGTGGGTTGCAATGCTCTCTCTCTCTCTCTCTTTGTCTCTCTTCTCTCTCTGTGTGGCTTCGTCTCATACTCTTCGTCCTTATTGGTGTTCAATGGCTTCTTCGTCGTTGATGTTTAACAGCGTCTTCCTCGTTGGTGTTCAGCGGCTATTTCTGCAGGTCGGCGGAGTAAGGCATTGAAACTTGGAATCAAAATTTTAAAATTTGAACAGTTCAGAGAGAATTGGAATGTTAGTCCCGGTCCCCATAGATGCTCGAGACTCGATGCCAAACCCTATTTATAACAGATTAACCATTTCAACTGTTTATCTAACCAATAGGGCTATTTATCAAATAGTTTAATCAGTTTCATTAAACATCACTGTTGGCTGGCTATTACTTTGAACTAGCTATTTAAACAATTAATACAGTATCTTCTTAGCCAACCATTTTGACCTGTCCTCCATAGCTAAAGGTCAGCTAGCAAAATGACTCTCCTACTAAGTTTTTTCATTTGATAAAGTAGCTTATTTAGTCAACTCTTTCCACCATTTGCTAACATCTTAAGATGAAGTACCAAAATAATCCATCTACTGCTGTGACTCAGTGTTTATACCATTGGACCTCATCTAAGCTAACTATATCAACAGTTTTTCCGTTACTTTTAACTATACTGTTTATACTCTCAAGTTGTATGGGAAACACCTGGTCAGTCGCTCTATGTGAGTAAGTGTTTATTGCAAAAGTGATTTTGTTACAAACTCATACCCAGGTCTTTTGTAGTCGTATTTACAGTGTTTATGCAAAAATCCTCCGTATATAAGGGAGACTGATTTAGAGGGGATAACACAGTTTTTTCCACGAGTTAGTTTTGAAGATACTAGGGATGATGTATCCATGCAGCAACAACTGAAAGATGAAAAGATATCAACATTTTTTTTAAAGTTTAATCAAAGTTTATACCACTGGGTGTCTTCCTGTCAGTCAGTCCTGCCTGCTCCAACACATTGTTTGATATCTTTGTCTTTCGTGTCACATCTGCCAGTCGGTAAAGTATCTCATCTCTCAGACAGATCAGTGCGGGATGATGTGTAGCAAGCTTGAATAGGTTTACTGTCACTTTTTCTCATCAGCAAGGTTTGCATGTGGGGTCAAACCCTCAACAAAGGGTGGCTGTGCCTCCATTGTCCCATTAAGACAAAAAGAGTCCTGCTGATGCCGTGGCTCTTGCCGCAGTAAGAAGGACTGATGGGATTTAAGTGTGGGTCCTGTCACCGACGGCAACCTGGTGCTTATTAATCGAGAGGGTGGGGGTTTAATGGAGGGGATGTTGCAGGAGTGTGAGGGGGTGACGGGGGTTGGGTGCTGCTGATGCAGCAGTGCCGCCTGGGGTCAGGAAGAGGGGCATGATGGATACAGCTGATCGCCCAGCAAGGAAGTTTCGAGGGAAAAGGGAGGAGGGTCCTTCGTCAGGACATTAAGAAGCCCCTTTGTCACGCTGTCACTCAAATGGATTCAAGTTGGCCGGGACTTTTTTTCAGGAGGAAAAGAAAGGAGAGGTCCTATTGTAAAAAGTTGGTCTCTTTCTGGATGCCTGATAAACACAACAGGACTCTTTCTTGTGTCCTCTCCGTGAGTGCTCAGCTCTCCTGCGTGGTTAAATTAAGTTAGTGAGATGATTGTGTGAATATTTGAAATGACACTTTGGCCTTTCTTTGAGTGTCCGTGGACTTCTTTTAACAGTTTCCTCAACATTTCTATTGAAAAGAGAGGGTGAAACTGGTGACTGTTTTCATCTGGTTGGCTTATACGCTAAAATATTTACTCAATTGATAATAGATGAAACATTTTGGGTGAGCCTTTTTGATGGTGAATGGGGGTTTCTTAACCCCAAAGGATTCAAAGTTGTTTGAAACCGCCAAATATGTAGTTCAGACATAAATTTCAAAATCCTTTATTCTCCTTATATGAGTTAAATAGTCAAAGTTCTAGAGAGAGCACAGTTCGTTTTGAGTACGAGTTAAAGTACAATGCAAAATGTTTAGACTAATGGGCTGATGAAGATCTTCAAATGTGATTTAAAGCTCAGAAAAATCCTCGTCTGATGTGCCTGAAAGGTATAAACCCCTCTTTAGTATCACATTATCATCCTCCCGTTTTAAGAGACATTTGCTGTGGAGGCAGGGTGAAGTGCAGCTCAAGTCAGCTCCTGGAAACAGAACCTGACCCCCTTTGCTCTCTCTGTCATCTGATAAGAGCCACTGTTTTGATATGTTGGCCCTCTCAACGTGATCCATGCCTCTCCTTTTACACCCCATAACAAATAGGGCTGTCTAAACAACAGTTTACGGCCAGGACAAGGCCTGGTCAACTAGCATCAAAGATCCACTCTGGGATAAGCCATTAGGAGTGGACCAGATGTTAAATGAAGCTGTAGTGATTGTGAATGATCAATCTGTGAAAAACAGGCCAGGAATAAATCAATTTGTGATAAGCGGTTCAAGTGAAAGGATCTGAATTCTTATCTTTTTAAAACAAAACTCAGGATATATGTTAGGGAGGCTTATGGGAAATCTGTATTTTTATTTTTTTTTAACTGGTAAAAAAAATATAAATCTTCAGAAAATGCATTTTCACCATATAAACTTGTTCTCATGCCCTGAGTTCCCTCCTCTTGCCCTTTACCATTGACCACAGTTTGACCACAGCGAGTGACAGCTTTACTGTATGAAATAGAACTCATTGTTGTCTTATTCAATATGGCGTCCCTGAATAAGTCCATAAATGTATTAGGGTCCTGTGTCTCTCCCTGTTGTTCAGTCTTGGGTGAACTGGCGTTCAACCCCACAGAGCTGTAAAATGCAGATTGGGTTCACTGACAGGCCTCCACTTTTATTACACAGTCACGAACAGCATTGTAAATTGTCACTCGTCCTTCACTTTCATTCTCTCATTTCTATCAGGAATAAAAACGATTAGAAATGATTCATATGCTTACTGCTAATATTATCTATAATTTGGCTTTTTTAGTCCATTTCAGTAACCTCAGTTTTGCTGGAGTCCATCCCTCGCAAAACATGAAACGTAGGTTTAAATGAAGTCCATTAGCTCATATTTGTTATTTAGAAGTAAATAATAAAAGTAGGAGTCACTGAAAATTACTCTGTAAACATATTGAACTGTAGGTAGTGTCTGCTTTGTCAAAGACTTTTGGAAGGGCCTTACTTTAATTTCAGACAACAGCCACTTTATTCTGCTTGTAAGTTTAAGACATTTTAAAAAAAATCTTCTCGAGCTGTGTAGAACTGCAAAGGAAAGTTTTCAGAATAATTAAAATCAGGAAATAAATGATATTGACATTTTATTAAAGCATCCCAATGCTCTTTATGTCATGAAAACAAAAATGGATTACCCAGAGGTCAGTGTAAAGCTCCTGTGAGGAACTTTTGCTTGCATTGACTTTCATGCCTCCTGTGGACAGAATAGCTCTCTTTTTATGTGCTTATTTTGCCCCATCCAGAAGCAAATACTGTATTGTTTGTTTGGTTTTCTCTTCATAAAATCCTCTTTTTTTCTTTGGAAAGCATTCGGAAAACAAGAAAAAAAAATGTTTAGGCCAAAAAAATTATGAAGTATCATTTACTGTAAAAATGGTCCAAGGTTTGATGTTCCATGTTTTGGCTTTCATAGAGCTGTTCCTTAAAGTGATTCTGGCCTTTATTTGTGTCTCAGATTTAGTTTAAGGTTAACCGCCTTGCCCTTAAACTCATCCGCCAGGCCAGAGTGTGTGGCAAGGTCACCACTCCAATCAACCTGGTGTTAACACAAAGCCTGCTTGTCCCCCTAATGAATTAGCGCTACAGTTCCTCAGGCCTTAGCAGGACTTTCCAGCCCTGCTGCCCTTTCACACGCACCCCCTCGCCCCTCATTTTGAAATGACTTTTATAACTGGACAGTAAACTTCCAGTGGTTTAATGATGATGACTTCTTCATCTGCCCAAATGCTCCTTTTGTCCACCCCTCCTCAGACCAGGGACCCTGCCCCCGATCCCTCTGGTCACACCAGGCCTTAAACCCTGGTTCACCCCACTTTATAGTTCCACAGATAATCCTACAGGGCACATACACACACACACAAACACATGCACACACATACACACAGGGCTTCAGGCTATTATCTCCACTTAGCCCTGCCTGGTCTTCTTCTCCATCTCTTTCTCCACGTTGCTGTCGACTTCAGCAATGGCATTCAGCTGGAATGTTTGCCTTTGTTTTTGTGGCCCACTGGAAAGCCATGAATGACCTCAGCTCATCTGCTATCCTCACTAGCGCCGATTTGCACTTCAGGGCCCAGCAGGTAGCCACCAGGAGCGGGGGAAGGTTTTATCTTTTTTTTTTTACTTGGAGAAAGTTGTGGGGCTTTTTATAAGGAAATTAGAGCTGTGGATTGCCAAACAGCAGCGCGAGTCTTCGCACCCTTGGCGTCAGGTAACTCACATGACACGGAAAGAAAAGGGAATCGTGTCACGGGAATTTTCACAGGGAGGTGTGTTTGTTTTCTTGGTTTGTTTTTTGACAGTTGAGCTGCCAGATTGTTTCTTATTATAAGAGTCAGACGTGACGTTTAGCACCTTTGGTCACTGTACTTCCTGCTCACCTGATACTCATCTCTCATTTCTGATTTGTTGTTTCAACCATCTTGAATTTCACAATCTGTAAACTTTATGCTGCATTCTTTTATTCACCAGTAGATACAATCGTACTATAAATGATTTGTCAGGCGGGTTTCTCTAAACATCCACCGAATTCAGCAGCTTAAACAAAGCTTCAGCTCGAGCCAAGCTGTGTCGCTCCTCCGGGAATCCAAAGAGAAGAAGATCCCCTCTCCCCTACCCTCTTTACATTTAAGATCCCAAAGCTCAAGATTTCCCAGAAGCCCCCCCACAGCTGGTCATGTGGCTTGTCTTTCCTCAGGTGGCGGCGGCAGGGATACTTCCCCTTTGTCAGGGACTTTAGCAGGAGCTCAATGCAGCGGTGAAGGATGGGCTTGGGGGGGCGGGCGAGTATTCAATCCACACTCTTTTGTTTTTCTGCACTGTGTCATTTGAGGCTAAAGAAAATGCAGGGTTTACTCATTATCTCCATTTTAAATGGCCTATTTAAGGCAGGCCATGTCAAAGTCAGGGGCTAAGAGATAAATCACTCTGACAGCTCTTTTCCCCCAGTTGAACTTGTAGCTAAATGCAGATGGATCATTAAAGAGGTTTCACTTTTGTTGCACCTGACTAAAGTTAATTCAGTTCATTCCTGTCATTTAAAATATTATCTTTCATTTAAAGCACCAAGATCACAAATACATCCCAGGTGTGGCCTAAATCAGCGATAGCCGGACACATTTCACAGTCAAACTCAAGCCCAATGTTTGAACAAATGTGGCTGATGGAGAGAAATGAGTGCATGAGAGCGCCGTAAGGACTAATGGAGGCCCTGATTGGCTGTCATGGTGGTTTACAGCAGCGTTCACACCTACATTACCCTAATATAACCATTGGAGAGGAGGTGAGAAGAGCTGCACATGACTTGATTAAAACAACTGTTGACTGTGTCTGTGGTAATGAACTGGAACATCAGTCACACAGCTCAGTGAAGCCGGAAAATCAGTGCAAGAGAATATCTAGTATCAGAGAGTTTATTAAAAACATTGATATCTATCTATATATCTATTATCTGCTCACCTCTTTAATTTATTACAAGTTTGTTTGGGTTTTTTCCAAGAGTATTAAGGAGGGAGCTCAAAAACTCCACTATGGTAAATGCTGAGTGAGTTTTCCCTTACTGTCAAGTAGATGTGAGTTTACCAAGACCTTTCATTTGCCTGAGAAATTCTTGCTGACTTGACTTGACATCAATTAGTGGGGCAGGAAAACAAAAGTAGAAGCCTTCAGAGGTCATCCGGTTTATTATTTAAAGTCACACGGTGTAAGGACACAGTGAATTATTGATTAACTGAATGGAATTAGTGTCAGATACATAGTGTCCAAACGGCGTCCTGACTTTACAGTTAGACTTGGCAGTATACAACAGCTGGTTGTGTTTACTTTACAAAGTCAGGAGATGGCTCACTAAGTATCTCAAAACCTTGACTATCCCGCGAGGAGATTTAGACGTCATTCTTTTAGTGTTAAATCTTTCATGAAGTCGCAGGTAAATTTAGACACGTGCTTGTCCTATCAGTGATGTAACTCCAGGATTGTCTTTATCAACACCGTGTAAATGATTACTCTGTGTTTTTAGTAGTACATGATATGTGGCGATAAATGATAAGGTGCTGGCTTTGATCACCGATGACATATAGTCCCTAACATCTGCCCACGTCTGTTGATTTGTGGTGCATTTCTGTTTATTTATTTTGGCCAGATGAGCCCCTGGTATTTACAGCCGGAGTAAAAGCCCAGTGTGGTGGGGTCAATCCCGGGCAAGGCTACTGAGACAAAGTGCTCAAGCTGACCTGACATTCTTCTCCCCGGTTTTAGCTGAACTGGGATTCTCCTGTTCCCCCCCGATAGAAATCTGAGTCCAAAACTCTGATTCAAAGATCCCCGGGTGCACCTTTCCTTGTAAAAACTTCCACCTGACTTTGTGCCCGCGGCGGACGCCTTGGCGTGCTGGGGGTCACGCGTGGCAGGGCGCCGGGGCTCGCGAGGCATTGGGGTAATGCAAAGGGGGGATTCTTCTTTGTGTCTCCCCCCCCCATCCGCTCTGCAGGCTTCCAAGAGCATCTGTCACCGCAGGGGGTCAGCAGGGCCAAGATGAATGAGCCCCCGGTGGATTCCCTCCCTCCTTGGCAAATGGCACAGGACAGAGGAGGGCACTAGGTCTAGGGGGAGGGGTCAGTGTGTGTGTTTGTTTGCATGCGAGTGAGAGAGAGGGCGAGCGAGAGAGAGAGAGAGAGAGAGAGAAGGAGGGTTTGTGCTGTACTGAGGGGGAGAGTGGGATTCCCATTTCATTCTATCATGACAAAGGTGACCTGAGACATACCAGAGAAGAGTGAAACTCCATATGCTGCCTGGATATTCTGTCCTCGAGGATTTACTTTCTAACATGGACTGTATTTGAGGGAAGGCTGCCTTCATCTTTTGGGATTTACTGCACTTCATTTGGATTTTAAGGCTTCATGCAGCAACTGAGCAGCCATGGAAGGTACAGGAGAAGCTTTTTCCTAGCTGTGAGTGTCACATGTGGCCCTGATGTAGCATTAATGAGATGGGCTCTTAGCACCTAATTTAGAAAACATGGAGAGATGTTTGTCTTTTTTTTTCCCCTCTATCCCATTTCTGACCCCATCCCCCTTTTTCTCTCATGTGTCTTTTCACTTCAGCTTTTCTAATGTTAAGAGTGTGCTGAGGCTCATTCCCGCATTTTAACTACTGGCGTGGACCTTAAATGTCTAAGCATAACAATGAGGTGAAAAGGACTAAGATATTTATCAAATTTTCATTAACATTTGATCTGCACTGATTTCCATGGCTTATTTAAAAACAATTACACCTTGATAAGCTCGTAGGTGGGTTTACTTTTTAAGCAAAATTCTGATTTAGTCAAAGATTTACAGTTTTTAGATATTTGTTCAGATGTAAAAGAAAAGTAGAGAGATTTTATCACGTGTATGTGTAAAAGAAACTGCTGACTCAGAGGAGATCAAACTGGGTGAAGTAAGTTTAACCCTAACCTTCTCTCTCTATTGTAAACACTGTAATGTAATTATACAGTAGAGTAAACAAAAGGCAGACTGGAAAGAAAAAAAACTGTTTTGTTTAAAGTAAAACCAGAACATTTGGATGTAGGAAAATATCTTAAATGTGTTGGGAATAATATTTATCTGTTGCTCTAACACATAAAATGTTCTGAATTTATTTTGCAGTTACTAAAAAAAAAAATTTTTGACCTAAATATTTAAACTGTCATGTCATGGGAATTTCAGAACTATTTTCTCCTTTATTACCCGTTTATATATCTTTATATCCATTGGGCGTGTGTGCATGCACATGCAGTTGCACTTGCATCACAAAAAGCATGCCAGAAATGTGTGTGCCTTTTAACTATCGCCCTGAATCCAGTGTGGCTCCGGCATGTCAGCCCAGAGCTTCCTCTAAACGTCATTACGGGAAAAACAGGACCGTATTAAGCACCTAAGGGCACGCTCGTGTTGGTGTCTAGATTTACGGCTCCTCCATCTTCATCTCAGCAGCCATCTGCGTCTTCTTCTGTGTCGTCTGTCCTTCACAAGTAGATAGGCATCAAAATATTCCAAGACTCCACTCTCGAGGTAATTAGCAGAGTGTGAAAGCTGTGGTTTAGATCTATACTATTGTAGGGTGGAGGGAGAAGAATGAACTTGTGGTATGCAGCTGTAGCCAGATTTTTTCATCTTATGCCACCCTAAATTTTCTTAAACCCTTCTTTTAAATCTTTGTCCACCCAAAGGGTAAAGTAGCGTGTGTTTCTGTTTGACATATTGACATTTCTAACCCTTCACTTTGATGAACTGGCTAATCATTCACAAAATAAGCTCCACAGTAGTCAGTAAATGCAAGTTGAACCAGCTTGTGTACACTTGCTTTTTGAAGGACTTGGACCCCAGAGAGGCCTCCCCCTTTTAACAGAGCAGCGCCACACACTCAGTGGAGATTGTGCTTGTGTTGTATCTGGGCCTGAGTGGCTAAACAATTCCCAGTCAAAGGGTCAAAGTAACGGGCAGATCCATTCAGAGAGGAGTGACTGTGTGTCCTGAGTGCAGCTCCAAACTAAAACACCCAATTGTGTTCTATGAAAATAGCCCCAGGCCTGCGGTGTCACATATCGCCTTTTAAGGCCTCATAGTAGCCGGTACATATGTCATGTTTGTGGCACTCTTAATGTTTGAGTGGCCTTAAAAGGAGCCGCTTATTCTGATGAATGGGTATGTTTTTTTGTAGAGCTGTGACCTGGGGTTACACACTTTACATTGCTGTCATGTTTAGCTACAGAATCAATCTTAAATGTTATTTTTTATTCTATAAAAACTACCATAAACATTATCCAACACTGCAATATCTTGATTTAAGTGAACAATGCAACTTTTAATTAAAGCTCTCTAAATTAAAATAACTCCTGAAACTAAAAAAAAACTTGTTAAGGTTCTGCCGCTGACTCTCTGTCTGCTGATTTTAACTTTTAAACAGAAATTTTTGGATCCTTCTTGATCTTTACTGGAGAAAATGTAAAAAACGGTTCATTTAAACCGACACTTACTCCCAGCAGCAGTCTCACACATTGTAAATACCAATATAAAAATGACCAATTTGGAGTATTTGGGCTTGTTTGCTCTTTTAAGTTAAGTAAAAGCATCAGGATCCAAATTATTTTGTTTTATGACCAGCTGAAAATCCTTACTGGAGCTTTAAAGTGGTTTGTTTTGTGATTTCAAATCCTGAATTTTCCCCCTTAAAATTGTGCTTTAAATGATAGTTTTTAAAGGTTTAGGACTAACATCGCTGACAAGAACATATAAGTCCGGTTACGTTCAACCCCAGTATGCTCAAAAGACAAACTTTAACGAATGATTGAAATGTTTAATTTGACATTTACTGCATCTTTGACTTAATCACTAATGAGAGGTCTCTCTGTTTCCCCTCAGGTCTGGGAGCACCGAGGGAAATGTCTGCTGAAAGTTTCTGCTGAGCAGTAGAGATCCAGCATGTAGCAGAGGTGAACAAGTCCCTTCACGCCTGGGAACGATCCAACAATGCAAGTGCCTAATTTTCTTCAATCCATTAGAACTTCAGCTCTTGTTTCGGACCACATGTGTATCATATTTTGTCTGCTTTGGAGTGGAGATGAGACTCGCTTATCGTGACCTCAGGGTCACATTCATGCAATCTGTTGATGCCACCCAGGAGGAGTGGCCTTGACTGACCATCTGAGCCGTTGAGAGTCTGATTTTAAGTCCCCACTCAGCCACATGAACTCCCCTTTAAAGCCATTAGTCTTTGAACATTAAACCGCCTCTCCTCTGCTCATTATGTTTGACCATCCATCAAGCAGCCACAGCCGCTGACTCACCTGAAACACCCCCCTCCTCCTCTCACCACTGCATCTGACCTTAGCAACCACCTAAGTCACACCCCAGAACCACCATTTAGGTGACCCCTTCCCCTGCTACGCTTTGTTTTAAGTCGTGCAGGTGATAAAAGGTCATTCTCTGTGTTCACCTCCGGCCTGCGTGAGGTTAATGACAAATCTGTCCGTTGAGGCTTCAGGGTCAGCCAGTCAAAGAAGCCTCCGGAGCCTCCTTTGACTTCACAATCGAACAGGCAGCGGCTACTTAAAATCACCCCCAGGCACTCATTTCTTCTCCCTCTTTTTTTTCCTCCTCTGTCTTCCTTTGTCTCTCCTCTTCCATCAGTTTAGCAAGAAATACTGTAGCTTCATTCTGTTAAGCTTCTTATCTCTCTGGCAGCACAGTCAGGCTCTGTTAATCTTGTCTTTTGTCTCGGCTGGTCAGATTCCTCCTCAGGAAGGTTGTTAGGTAAACATGGAGTCTGTCCAGGCGTGGGCAAAATGAGACCTGCAGACCCAACTTGATTTCCAACTGGCTCATTATTGACAAAATAAAGGTTCAGGGTGTCTTTGTAACCGAGAGACACAGTATATCTGGTGAACATTGATCCAGCGTCTGACACATTCAGTGTTTGCTTCAGAACGAACAATATGACCAACGTGGAGATTATTGATTTCATCTTTGTCACATATGTTCTTTTACTGTTATCTTGGACTGAAGCATCTCCTGTTACCTATTAAATACAATGAATGTCTTCAGATATGGTTTCTATCACTGTCACAGTTGTTATGGATATCGACTGTACTCAATTCCATGAATTTGATGGTGACATAATCATCCATTATTCAATCAAAGCAAGAGTTTGGTACTTGTGATAAGCAGAAAACTGATAGTTTTTACTCCCTGGCTTTGCAGTTTTGTCTTTAAGTGGACTATCTTTGGACTGGGTTGTTGAAATGCATTCCCTCTGGGGAATTTGAATAGTCATTGTTCACCTCATGTGCTGAATTTGCATAGAAAATGGCAAATCAATGAAAGGAGGAAAATATCTGCAGAGTCGTCAATGATGGAAATTAGCTTCTTAAATGAAAATTAAAATATTAAATGATTGACACATAATAGATTATTTCATTCAATAAGAAATCATGGTATTTAGAAACCTAGATAACGTAGAGAAGCTTTAATAGTTTGAATTGTGTTTTGTCGGTTTTATTTCAGTCGTGTCTCTAATCAAACGTTGTTCTCATCTCTTCATGTTTTGGGGTCATTGCATAAGTACAAAAGTGAACTCAGTCAAAAAATGACAACAGCATTCGTCCTGCAAAAACACTCCCAAGACACACTGCAGTATTGGTGCGGAATGAAAATGCCTCTTTTGTGCTTTTATTTAATTTTACTCTAATTTGAGTTTTTTTGAGGGACAGTTGCAGTTTTCATCTTAAGCTGTGTTTACTTTGTTACTGTCACAATCACCCTGTCACATGACTCATGTAGCACATTAATCTTGAAACACCCAAAGCGCACCTGTATGTTATTGATACAGAGACCCAGCTGTGCTTCAACATTGATTACCTTTGCGTTTTAAAGATTGAATTACGATTGAGTTGGAAAAGCTGCCTCTAACGCTGAAAGGGAGAACTGATTTGCACACACGTGCGCTTCTCTAACTCGCTCAGAGACTGTAAGCTCAAGTTTAGGTCAGTTACTCTGTTGTCACAGCTGGTGATGAAACACATAACCTTGTCATGTATGAGCCTGAGCAGCTGTGCAGGATCATTGTCAGACTTGACTGAGGAGTTTGAGCTCTTCCCAAACAGCTGAAGGCTTCAGTCAGGGCCTCCAGTGCAAATGACGCACATTGATTTTCTGCTCCAGTCCAATGTAGTCCAAGGACAAACATGGAAGCCTTTCAGGCCAAACTCATGTTTCAGGAGAGCAGCCAAAGCTCCCTTTATTTTCTTTTTCAGCAGTTTAAGCAGTTTGGTATGAAAAACAGTGAAGTGTTATGACAAACTGAAAGCTGGGAGTTTGTGTGTAACGAGTTGACACCATGATGGACTCAGCTGTTGCTTTTCACCACACTTGGATCTTTTTCTCTTCCTTCTTTTCGCTCCTTCTGTTCTTTTCTGCCTCTTTTTGTTTCTTTATTTCTTCCCCTGTCTCTCCTTTGAGCAGAGAAGCTAAGCCCTCTGTCCAGCTGCCACCTGCCACCAGAGAGCTGGCCGGCGAACCTTAGGCCCACACAGCCGACCTCAGCAGATGTCCCTGAGTGGACACTGGGGTGGAGGGGGCGGCAAGGGGCAGAGCAGGCAGAGTGACACAACAGACTGAAGGAGAAAGAGGCAAAAAAAGATGAGCAAGAGCCATTAGCTTTGGTCATTGTGTTTAGGCTGACACAAGGAAAAGGCATGTGTGTGTGTTTGTGACTGTTGCATAAGCATACATATTTTTCAGACAAGCATAAGCACTGGTCATAACCGCAGCTAAAATGAAAATTAGAAAATTAAAAAATTAAAAATTAAAAAGGCCAATTTTGACATCTTAGTGTGGCATGCTTGAATTTAACTCTTTCAGTGGTGTAGTCAAGCTTAAGTGAGCTCTCAGCTGGAAAAGAAATGTTATTTGATTTTCTATTAGATTCAAGATGGACATGTGTCTAACTTTTCTATGTTCTTTAAAACTCTCATAAGCAACTTTTGGTTTGTGTTGATTCTGGCGCCCCTTGTGGACAAATTAGTATGTCCCCTCTCTTTGCTGATTTGTTCTGTCTGTGAATAAAGAGTATTTTGGGACAAAAATACCTCAAATTTTTCTTTTGATCTTTAAAGATATCAGTCACTGTGAAATGTAAAAAAAAAAAAGAAAAAGCTATAAACAGTGTTGCCTGACACCAACCTCTCAACAGCTGTTTAGCTTCATTATGGAAAAGTCAACTGTATCACAGCTGGTCTGGTTTGATTTTGCAGGTTTTATAAAGGCTGCAGTATATGTTTCAGTCTCCTCACAGGGGCTTTGATGTTTTTTTTCTCCATCTGTTGCTCTTTAAAGTGTTGTTGTGTTGGATAATGTATAAGCTTATTGCCTATTTTTCTCATCTTTTTGTGTTAAATCTCAAAATAAGCTAACCCCAAGTCCATAATCCAAAGACGTCCCATTTACTCCAATTCTCCTTGTGCTTCTAGTGCATTTAAGTACAAACAAACATTTTATTATGGTAATATTGCTCTGATTTAGAAAGCTGTTACCATTGTCAAACTTCTTATCACTGAGATTCCAGTTCTTGTTTACAAAATCTAAAGCACAGGGGGTCAACAATTTTATACATATAGTTTACATGTAAATCAGAAGGACACTCATTGATAACTTCACAGTTTTCATTCAGCACATCCATACACAGGCATGGAAAACATGACTGAGTTTGGGTTGAAACCTGTTGTTTTTTTAGAGCTGGCATTTCTCATGTGAAAAACTAATAACTTGTCACCGACTTAAGATAAAAAGCTTCATGACCGAACTTCTTTACTTATCCTCATTCTCTTTTTGATTTCTCAGAAAATGGGGAATTCATACGCCGGGCAGCTGAAGTCTGCTCGATTTGAAGAGGCTCTCCACAACTCCATTGAGGCTTCGCTGCGCTCCAGCAGTGGAGACCCTCAGCCCATCTTCACACAGCTCTACCTGGACCCTGAGCCGTATCCTGGAAACATGGAAGGTGGGCCTGCAGGAAACTTTATCAACTTAGAGAATATACGACAGATTTTAAATATTGAAATGTAGAGTTTCCTGCTTTTTGATGCTACTTTTAAAACAATGAAACTAAATTTTCTCAGATGTTTCATCTAATAAAAGTGCTACAGTTGAGTCAGTGTTGGAAATGTGCCTGTCTCATATGATAACTAGATTTTTTAAAAACGTGTCTTTCAAACATTCTATCAGTTGCAATTTTCTACGTTAAAAATTAAAATGAATTACATATCAAATGACTCTGGCTCTTGTGATATTGATAAGTTTCTCACAAGCGCTTAAATGTATGATTATATTTCACAAAAGGTATCAAAGACAAAGGTCCTGCATATGACAAAATCTGTTTTACCAAAATTCTGATTAGTGACTGAGAAAAATGTATTTTTTAATGTCCGTTAGATGTGAAGCCAAAAGCCGACCTCCAATGTGGAGAGCCACCAGGTCATGAGCTCACAAATGGCCACTCATCCAATAGCATGGAGGAGTTGGAGGATGATGATGACTCAGACAGCAGCAATCCTCCTCTTCCCTACCTACAGACCCCTGCACCTGACGGCAGCTGCACACTGGACGGTAAGCCCCACTGCTTTACAAACAGGGGAATAAAGCAAAAGCCAAACTTTTACTCAGAATGAGTTGTAAGTACTTGGTACTCTGTTTGGAATAATAAAATGAAATGGATGTGATTATGGTGTCTTTGATTTCATCACCTATTTAAGGAAATGTCAGCTGGATCAACCTGAATGTCATCTTTATCTCTTCAAAAAACCTGTTTTATCCTCTGACTGAAATATCCTCTCTCCTCAGGGTTCTGTCAAGCCGGTAAGGACCTCCGCCTGGTCTCCATAGCAACGGAGCCCATCGACGTCCCTGCAGGCTTCGAGCTAGTTGGCGCCAAGTCCCCAGGCGTCCCAGAGCACATCCTGGTGTGTGCCGTGGACCGCCGCTTTTTGCCTGACGAGAACGGGAAAAATGCACTTTTAGGTCAGTGTGTTCCTGTAGTCTGAGGTTAGAGTGAACAGACAGATGGAGTTATTATATTTAGTCAGGCAATATCCTCCTCTATCATTTTCAGCTCCTGTAACAGTGAACACTCTCTGCTTGCTGACACTGGACCGTACATGATGTCTGTAAAGTCAGCGCAGTCATGTCATCTTTGTACAATCATTTACAGGTTTTTCAGGAAACTGCGTGGGCTGTGGGGAGAAGGGTTTTCGATACTTTACCGAGTTTTCCAACCACATCAACCTGAAGTTATCCACGCAGCCCAAGAAGCAGAAGCACTTAAAATACTACCTGGTGAAGAATTCTCAAGGTGCTCTGTGCAAAGGACCCCTTATCTGTTGGAAAGGTAGAAGAAAATCTCTGCATAAATCTCGGTGTCATTACAACACTGCAGGAGGTTAGTCTTAGATTAACTGGATTTAATGTCTCTGTATCTCCTCTCTGTTTTTTCCCAGACTGTAAAACCCGTCAGTTATCCAGCAGCACGTCAACATCCAAACCCAGCTCATCCTCCTCCCTCAGTAGCAAAGAAAACGGAGGCACCAGTGGACACAGCTTATCTCCCTTTTCCCTTTCAGGTGAGTCTGAACACACCATGAAGACGAAGCTTTAGATTTAGATTAATGTGGATTAATTTAAGAAGTTCAAAGTTCAAAGTCAGGTGGAACCCATTCCCCTCTGTCTTTCTAACATGACACCTGTCTGTACACACTTTACATTTCACCATTATTGGGCAGGTTGTTATACACTGGCAGGTTTATGTTGTTGCCATAGAGACATGTGGTGGTGGCTAAGCCCTGAAATGTATTAGGTGAGCATAGCCTGATGCTTGAACTGCTAGACTGCGTTCAGCTGTTTATTAGTCAGTGCACGACAATGAGAAAGCTTTGTTAGTGTGATGCATGTGTGATCAGGGACGAGTGTCAAATTTAGGCCAAAGGTTGACTTGGTTATCTAAGAAGCACACTTATTACAAAGCAACACCTCATACGATTAATGCCATTTTTCAAAGACAGGTTCTCTTTAAGAGGATTTAGTAATATGTGACCTCTTACACCATCTGCACCTGTTTCCTCTCTGATTGGATAAAAAAAACTCCCAGGCTTATTTTATTGATTTGTTCTGAGCCTGCTTAAGCTGAAAGGCTCATTGTTGGCATAAACATTGCTCCGCATCACCTGGCTGTGACCTTTTGGTACATCCTGCTCCTGACAAAGTCGCTGACATATACTAAAAGTTTTAATGTTTCACCATCTCTGCTTCTGCTTTATATGACTTAACCCTGAAATGATGAGTGAAAAGAGGAGTCATGTTTTTGTGTTTTTTTTTTGTTTTTTTCCCCTGCAGATTCTCCACCCACCAGGGCGACACAGACATCGTCGGCCATTTTTGGGAGTCAGGACCCCAGCAGAGAGCTCAGTTTCCTCAAACCTCTGGCGTCCACACCTGGAAACAAGACTCTACCAATAGGTTAGGCTCATATTTAATGATTTCTTGTAATGTTTTGAGCTAATTACCTCATTACGTTACTGCTGCTTACTCCCACATTCCTGGCTGCACTCAGGCTTTGACACTGACCCAAGGGTTGCTTAGCTACAGGTGGTTTTTATTTTCTGTGGTTCACCATTGGGTAGATGGGTCTGCTGCTGACCGTGGAGCCTAGATTAACGTTCACCACTGTCTGCTTACACATGCACACACGAGCAAACACACATGTGTTTGCACTTGCATATACACACACTAATCAATGCTGAAGGAAGGAATGCTGTAATGACTTTTTAAGGCCTTGCTATCCATTAGCCCCTTTACAAGGTTGTGATATTGACAGGCAAAGGCTGCACATACCGATCAATGTTTTAGCGTATTGCAAACACAGTGAATATGAGATTGGAAAATGACCAATCCGGTCATCGGCAATAGCCAATCAAGTAAAGGAAATCAATATGCCGCTGTTAGAGCGGACTCATTTTAATGTATCGGTCAGTTTGTGCAGAGATTGAGATAATATTTTTGTATTTTCCTTAACAGTGTGAGAATTGATTGTCCTTAGAGGACGTGTTACCCTGAACATGAAAACATGAATAAAGTGGTGTTTTGATATTTTCTCCCTCCTATCAGGCTAAGATAAGATTGTTCCAAACCTTAAGTCCATGTCCAAGAAGAACTCTCAGTTTTAACTCTTTATTAGAGCAAATGTGTTTGTGTGTCATCAGTACCGACAGCTCTGAGGGTAAGCTTGCCAGCTAACGGCCTGGGTAGTGATGGACGCCCTCCCTTACTGAGCCCCTCCCAGGTCCCCGTAGGGCCTCAGGGTCAGGGGTATCGCACTGCTGATCTAGGAGACAGACCCAGTAAGTGCAAGTCACTTAAGGGAACATCATATAATATATCCATCATTCTTTTGGCTAACCTGCATTGACTTGAACTCTGTTCGGTTTTGATCTTCAGTATCTTCTGCCAGGAACTCTGCTCCTCCGAAAAAGCGCCACCGGAGCTGGCACCCCAGCTCGCAAGTACCTGTTCCACCCACAGTGGTCCCAGTGCCAGCCATCCAGTCCATAGTCTGCCCTCCAGGTCAGTTCCTGAGTTATAAAAGACAGATTTCTGAGCCTTAATGTGTCCCAATATATTAGTCAGCATGAGATAGGAGCTTTACTGCCTTCACTGTGTGTAAGTTTATGCACAGAGAGCATAGCCTGTTTTGTTTATGTTTTATGAACTCTTTCCTCTGGTTTTGGGATGAGTGTGCTTCATCACTGACGTCTGGTTGTCAGGGGTGATTCACTTAGCATCTCCATGGAGATAGAGCCGGAGAGTTTGTGGACAAAATGATTTTAAGGAATCATGTGATTGAGGAAGATTTCTGAGACATCATGTCATGATGATTAAACATAAATACCATCATCATTTCAAATTGTCTGCCCTGCTTCTTTCAAATATGAGTAATGTAAAACACCATTGCTGTATGTTTGAGATTACATCAGCCATAGCGTCCTTATTGTTGTACTAACTTGCCGTTTATTTCCCTCCGGGCTCTGGGAATAGGAGTGTCCTCTCCTCAGCCACCAGTATCAGGAGTCATTCAGCCTCAACCCATCACAGAAACAGTCATTGTCCCTGACAACCTGCTCAACTTTTCAGGAGTTCGCCCTGTCATCCTTATCGGTACAAGTTTGATTTCTTTTTTATTTATTTTATGCTATTTTTAAAAATCTATACATTAAATGTTGCTCCCATTCCATTTTTTTTAAATGCATACCAAAATTACAGCAAACAGCTTTTAATTATTTTTACAGATGAGTAGTTTATTTATCAGAAGCATGCCAATTTACAATCCTATTTGTTGATAAATTGAAATTAAAGTGTATTAAATACAATTTATATTTACAAAGTGTGTAAAAGTATCAGATGCAATGCAACTTAAAGTCACTAAATACTTCATTTTTTTAATCATGCTGATGTTTCTTTCCAGGGCACGGCACTTTACCTTATTTCTATGGGAATGTTGGGGATATAGTGGTGAGCCCCCTGCTGGTCAGCTGCTATAAGAGCAGCCAGCTGCCAGAGAAAACCCTGGAGACGTTGGGCCTCAACAGCCGCCAGCTTCTCTGCGTGGAGACGATGATCCTGCTCACTTTGCAGTATCTTGCACGTTTAGGTGAGCATGAAATACAAACCCACGCTGTCAAAGAGACCTCCTCTTTAATGATATGTGTCCTTGTATGGTGACGTCTCACGTTAAAGTAAAACATACATAAAAGCTTTTATACTCAGTTGTAGGTTTTTATATTTAATTTGTCTCATTCAGGCTCGGAGCAGATCCCTCTGCGGGAGGAACTGGAGCAGATCGTTCTGAAGGCCATGCTGTGTTGCCCCGGGGGTCCTGCCATCTCCCCCTCCCAGCTGCCCTGGTTGGCCCGGCTCGAAGCCAGTGTCTCTGGTGGCAGCGTCCAAGTCGTGGTCACCCACAACTCTTTGGGAGAGGGCATCTCTGAGTCACTCCACTCTCTTATCGAGGGTCCTCACCACCAGCAGTGCCTGCCCACCTACGTCGTCATCATATGTGCCTCCAAAGTCAGCGGCAACGAGTTCTGTGTGCTTGTTTTGGGTTAGTACAACTTGCTCATATCAAAAAAATAAATAAACTTGAGCATGTTGTTTTCTTTTCTTATCTGAAATCGTTATTGTTTTTGTGTTGGTAACAGGAAAGTACCAGGCACGGGCATTAGCTGAGGGCATGCTTACAACCAATGAGTTTCTGAAAGAGATCAGTTACGAACTCATCACAGGGAAAGTCAGCGTCTTGGCCTCTCACTTCAAGACCACATCACTAGGTGAGTGCTTCATTCATACAACAAGAGTTTTTTTGGCTTTCCTTTGTTTTTTTTAAGTAATGTAAAAAAAAAATTGCCTTCTTATGAAAGATTTAACACTTATAGCTATCGCCTATTAATGTAATTGATCTCAGGTCGAATTGCTAGGTCAATATCTCAGTGAGTTGTGATTTTCTTTAAACATGTTTACGCATTCAGCATGGTAAGATAGTTTAAAAGGATGCTCAATTGTTGGCATAAATGAGCTCTTGTTGCCATGATGTAAAAGACCAATCACATGTTGATATATCAAAGATGTGTAGTTTCATACCCGAATGATGGGTTTGTGTTTTACACCCACTGTCCTCTGCACAGCTGTGTAGCAGCAGCTTGTTTGTCTGTGTGTGACGCTGGTGTCTGCTTGTTTTTCCAGGGGACAATCTGGACAAGCAGCTGGTGCGATACCAGCGCCGGCGGAAGGGACAGGTCATCCAGCCCTTCCAGGGTGATGTCACTGACTACATCCACTCCCAGGAGGCTGCCAGCATGTCACCCCCCTCAGGCAGAGGTTAGACTGCTCCCCAACGTGCTGACTGTCTAATCTGACCTGCCAGGGCCACTTTTATTTACCAGCCAAAACAATCAATAGATCTTCTACGAATACAGCAAGTCAATATGTAGCTGAGCCCTGTGGTGATTTATCTGCAGTCCAAATGTTACTGTAACCCCAGTCACACGTGGGCTTTTATTCTAGTTCACAGTCTCAGTCCTTTACACATTTCACTTTTTGATAAATATATGTTGTAAGAAACTATAAATGATAGTTTATGTAGAAAAAGTTGAACTTGTTGCATGAGTCTCCACATTTCAAAAGTGTGACTGACCCTTTTATGGTTGCATTTTAGTTGACAGTTTAATTGATGCTTGTTCTTGGTCCTCCCTCTTTTTGTTTTCCTGCAGGCGAGGTTTTAGATAAGGTCTTTCAGATCTATCCCAACCAGCTGACCGTAGCTCGGAGCCTCCTCTCTCAAGTCTGCTCGATTGCGGATTCAGGAACACAGAATCTCGACTTAGGGCGTTTTTGTAAAGTGGACTTTCTGGTTTTGGTGCCTCCATCTCACATTCTAGTGCACCAGACAGCACAACGCATCCGACAATCAGGTTTGTACCAAAAAGCAAATTTCCCAGATGGATTTTTTTTACCTGCTTTGGTCTCTAACCCAACATTTTTTAAGCTTATTTTTAGTCATTGCCCATTCTTTCTTTTTGTTTGTTTCACCCAGGAGTGCTTGTGGATCTGGGAATCGAAGACGCCTCCGCTGCCCTTCAGAAACCTGACAAGTATGTGGTGCGTCTGGATGGTGACGTTCACGCCAAGATGGATGTCTTCATGAAGAAAGTCAAACAGAACCCCTACACCCTGTTTGTCCTTATCCATGACAACTCACACGTAGACCTCACAAGGTATGCAGAAACAAAGGATGTTAGAATCTAATATTATGACAACAAACTTTATTTTGCTCTGCTAACAATCTGAAGCTGTGTGCGAAAGGATGAGTTGTTTTGACTGCAGTTCCAGCCTTGTGCTTTTGGTTCGACACTAAAATCGGTGAGAGGAGCAAGTAAAAACAAACTCAGCAAAGACTATCTGGTATCTTGAGATTACAAAAATGTAGGTCACAGGGTTCAGGATTCTTGTTTTTATGTCGTTGTTGAGAATCTTGTTCGTTCATCAGGATGATCTGACATTTATTGTACAGCTACATTTTGTGTAGATGTAGTTTGACATTTTACGGGCCTGTTCAGATGATTGCTGCTGCCTCCAGCTGCCAAAATCATCCGTCCGTTCCAAGTAAACTTTCACTGCCAGAAAAAATGTATTAGATCATTTCCTGTTTTCCAGAGGAAAATTTTTCTGGGAAAAACTCATGCTGTAGTAATGAGTTGTACATGTCAAAGCTTTCATGTACCCTGCATGACAAGTTCTCCTATAATCATGTTAAATGCAATCCAAAACCACGGTATGAGTTGTAGGGTAATCTAAATTGCAAATGTGTCCCTCTCCCCTCTTCAGTGCTCTGTCAGGCTCTGTGTGCCATGGGGAGCTGCAGGGATTGGCTGACCGGGTGGTGAACTGCCAGGAAGTCCTGGATGCCATGAACCTCCTGGTCCTACAGGTCAGCTGCTTCCCACACACACTGCAGACAGGCCAGTCCCGCATCAGCATCCATAATGAAGTTCACTGGCCCTCCAACGAAAGTCTGGTAAGTGTGGTGACTGAAATACGGACAAATTTCACAGTTGGCAAAAAAGGTTGAATATCTAAAATATGTTTAATGCTGCAATGAAAGTTGTTGAAATTAAACCACACACTATATTACTGTAACATTGTTAACCTTTTTTATGAAAAGACATGCAGATTTAGTTTATCTGAGTTAGTTTGAGGATGTTAGTTTGCCTCAGTTTCAACCCTGTGGCAAAATACATAGATCAGTTTGTCCCACCTGAGGTTCAGCTACTCCATCTAGTGGACTTAAACTGTACTTAAGACTTTAAGGAGAACTTGATCCTCACTGACTTGAGACGTATTATGTGAAGACAGATTTTTTTAGCCACTTTTACCGTAGTAGATAGATGATATAAAAAATAATTGAGGAGAAAAGGAAGCAAACGGTTAGACAACAAAGTACTTGATTTATTGGGCTTCTGAGCCTCTTAAAGAACTTTATCAATAAAACCTGTTTATGAATCGTCTGATAAACTTCAACAGTGTGTCTCTATTAAATTAGCAGAACAGTATTTGGCCCTGTTTTGTGTTATTGTGTGTTTTTTATCAATCCTGTTGATGTCCAGCTTCCTCAGAAACGAGGATAAGATCAGTGGTTATAAAATTAAAGCTCATACTGTACATCAAAGAAATTAAAAAAAACTCAGGATGATTTTAATTTCTCTAAGGGCACTTTTTCTTTTGCTAGAACATCAAAGTTTGTTCAAGATTACCTCATTAAAATGTCCTTTTTTTACAGCAGTGGTTCTTAAGTCCAGTCGAGGCCCTCTGTCCTGCATGTGTTGGATGTTTCCCTGCTCCCTGTGTTTCCCTGAAACACACCTGATTCAAATGATCAGCTCGTTAGTAAGCCATTACAGAGCTTGATAACGAGCTGATCATTTGAATCAGGTGTGTTGGAGCAGGGAAACATTCAAAACATGCAGGACAGTGGGCCTCGAGGACTGGACTTGAGAACCACTGGTTTACAGTGTGTCATTTTCACCGCCTGTCAGCACTCATCCTGCTATTCTTTTCTTCTTCCAGCAGGGGGAGCAGTCTGCCCATGAGTTGCTCTACTTTGGCCTGAGGGACTACAGCAGCTCCCTGCAGTGGGGCGTGGCCAGCCCCATCCTGCGCTGTGATGATGCCTTTGAGAAGATGGTCCACACACTGCTGGAGAGGTCAGCATGGTGTCAGCGCTTCAAAATCAATAACACAGAGGGCTGTTTGGAAGCGAGTCTCCTGCCCTTCTGAAATGGCGATCACTGACATTAAATAGAGTTAATGTGGTATTCAGCCTGTCTTCATAAACAAACACTCTCTGCTGTTTTGTGTCGCAGACATCCACACCTACACAGCATGGTGATCCGCAGCTACCTGCTGATTCAGCAGTACACAGAGGCCATGATGGCGCTGACCTCCTCCCCCTCCCTGAGAGACCACATAACCCCAGAGACTCTGGCCATGGTGGAGGACCTAATCAATGCTCCCAGCAGAGAGGGCTCCCAGGGCAGGGGCCACATGCTGCTGGTTCGAGTCCCCTCTCTTCAGCTGGCCATGCTGGCTCGGGAGCGACTGGAGGATGTAAGGGATAAACTGGGACTCCAGCTGTGCTTCGCTGTGCTGCTGGGAAGCCCCGCCTCTGAACTTAACCTGCCCAGAAACTTCATCAACCGCCTCAGGGTGAGAATGTCACATGCATATTTTGTTCTTGTTGTGCTTGCTGAGAAACATTCGAAGCATTTACATTATGTAACTGGTTTATTCAAGCAAAGTGTGCACACTCACCTCTATTTTAGGTTTTCTCTTTTCAAATTTATAATCTCAAACTTCATTATTAGATGACTAGTTTGAAATCAGTCAATCATAATTATTCAGTACTATTAAATTTGCAAATTAGACCTGACAGAAATTAAAATAAATCTTATCTTTCTGTTGTTCTATTTGATGCCTTGCACTGAACTTGTCGAGCTGTAAATAGTAGTCAATGATGGTCAAAACTAACTTTCACCTGATTGTCACTTTCCTTAAGATTGAAAGAGGCTCCTCTATTTAAAAACAGAGAAAAACTATAAAAATTAAAACCCAGAAGAAGGATACTGAGCCAACGTCAAAGATTAAATCATGATTGTGTTTTTTTGTTGTAGGCGTGGAGAGGCTGTGAGAATGAAGAGTGGGTACCGCACACGTATGAAGATCTGGAGGGGCTGCCCTGCATCGTCATCCTCACAGGGAAGGACCCTCTTGGAGAGACGTTCCCCAGGTAGACTCATCCATCATGAATTATCACCATCATTACCATGAACAGTCGACACTGTTCCCTGTTTTTTCGCTCTGGCTTTGCTCATAGTCTCAGTGTTGTCTTACATATCTGCATTCACACATTGTATTGTCTTCTCAACATGAGGTCAGGTTACATTTTTGTTCTGCACACAGTGTGTCATTCCTCAGTCAGGCGTGTGCGTTGTGTAACATCACTGAAATGCAAACAATTTGTGCAGAGCATAATAAAATGAATGTACTATGTGTCAAAGCAGGAATTAAAAACAGACGGTCACACTTCCTCTCTACTTGAATGTTTCAAGGTCTCTGAAATACAGCGACCTCCGACTGATAGACTCCAGCTACCTGACTCGAACAGCGCTGGAGCAGGAGGTTGGATTAGCCTGCACCTACGTGTCCATGAGCGTCATCAAGGAGCCCAAGCAGGAGACGGCCCCTCGAGAATCAGACGGAGAGAAGACTAACACCAGTTTAAATGACGGAGATGAGTTGGAAAGACCTCAGAGTAATGGCAGCGCTGCAACCAGAACTTCTGGTGAGTCTGCTGGGATGCTGGACACTGTGGTGGAGCATCTTGTATCTTGAAATTACGCAAGAACTTCTGACATTTAACTCTTTATATTTCCACTCAGGTTCTTTGGCAGAGAACGGTGTCAGTTCATCAGATGTTACAGAGTCTTTGCAGAGGCCCTCCACCTCCTCCTGCCCACCAGAAGGTCCCATCACCTCAGACATGGGCTCATCAACAGAGGGCTTCAAGCAGGAGTGCGACTCTTTGGGAAGCCAACTTTCCTCCAACCCCTCCAAAACCTCCAAACCCCCTCCTTCTCTTTGCTCCAGTTCCTCCTCCTCCTCCCCCTCGCCATCGTCATCCACCACCCAGAGGCCCAGCCAGTCCACGCACTGCAGTCGAGACCCTAAACCCGCCCGGGTGGCACCGCGGACAGTCATCATGTCTCGGGCGGCGTATAACCTGCTGGCGGGGGAATCGGGGAGTCAGTTGAGCTCCTTCTCACTGCTGCCTCATGCAGATGTGGCCTGGAGCAGCCCGTTGAGGCCGCTTATCACCCCCAACCTGCAGGGGGCGGAGCAGAGCATGTACTACCGACAGTGGACTGTTGCCAGGCAGCATCACGCAGACTATGAGGCTCCACCTGTGCCGCATCCACGCCGCCTGCTGCTCAGCGGACCTCCACAGGTAATGAAACACAAATATTGTATTAGATTTACTTTCTTTTGTGTTAAACTTTGAAAATAATATCAGGATGTATGATTTTATGTGATCAACCATACAGCGTGTAATTGTGATCACGTGTGGGCGTCTTTTTTTGCTCTCTGCTAGGTGGGAAAAACCGGTGCCTATCTGCAGTTCCTCCGTATCCTGTTTCGAATGCTCATCCGACTGCTGGAGGTAGATGTGTACAATGAGGAAGAGGAGGAAGAAGAAGGTCAAGATCATTTGACACTTTCTCTCTATACTGTTGATACTCTGAGGAACATCATTTCTTATTTATGATGGCGAGTTCGCTCTTCTTCATATCTTTTCTTATTTTTTAACCTCTACAGAAACATCCGAAGTTACAACCGCCAATAATACCCAGTGGCCTGACATTGAGGAATTACGAAAGTTGACCTTCGACCCCTATCCCCGGGACCCTAAGTTCAGGAATGCCAGCCCTGTCTACACTGACAAGATGCCAAAGTTCTTAAGAGGTGTGCCAGCACACAGCCAAGTCAGCCCCTGACTTACACATTTTGGATTTGCGATCATAAATAAAACATGGTTGTGGTTTTAATATCACATAAACAAGCTTCTTTTAGAAAGTCAGCATGTTTCAATTCTGCTCCCTGCAGACTCAATCAAAGAGGAAAACGGCCAAACAGCGACCAAAAGAGAAACCAAGTCCATACGTCTGAGCAAGTTCGCCGCCCACAATGCCTTTCATCACTGTGAGCAGTGTCAGCACTACTGTGAAGGAGGCCCAGCCACACAGGTGAGCGCAGCAGACAGACTCAGAGAAAGCTTTTCATCCACACAGCTACAGTCTAACCCGTCATAATACTCTGACAGCTTTTAACTCAGTGCATTAAAGCCGAATGGTGGTGTGTCCATGTTAATAATATTAATAATGCATGTGTGTGTATCTGTGTGCTGCAGCTATTGGAGTGCACCTTCCATTCCTTCACTTTCTGCTCATCCATGCTGGGCGAGGAGGTCCAGCTCCAGTTCGTCATTCCCAAAGCCAAAGAGCAGCACTTTGTCTTCAGTCAGCAGGGCAGCCACCTGGAAAGCATGCACCTGCCTCTGGTCTCCACAAGGGTAAGTTTACTCTTGTGTTTTTTTGTGCAGCTACCTGGAAGATCTGCAGCTCTGTCTATAACTGTTGTTCTCCCCTCAAGGACCCCAACCTCTTAAAGAGCCCGATCTTCACTCCGACCACAGGACGCCAAGAGCACGGCCTGCTTAACATTTTCCACGCCATGGAGGGTGCCACTTATCTGCACATTCTTGTGGTCAAACAATCTGAGATGCAGCTCTACAGGAAGTACTGGCCTAACCACATCCTGCTTGTCCTTCCGGCGATGTTCAACAGTGCAGGAGTTGGTAAGCAGATTAAACTGAGATGTGCTGTAATACCAAATATTGTGAGCTATCATTTTTGGCCATGGATACACTCATTTTCCTTCAGGACATTTACTTATAAGTTCAATAAAAGTTACTAAATTTCACTAAAAATTTCTAGACTTAACTAAAATCCAGACATTGACTTTTGAATTGAGTTTGAAGTTTTGTTTTGAATTTGTAAAAGAGCAGAAATATGGAGAAAAGTGAAATATTAAAATATTTGAAAATAAATCTTTTGAAAAAATTATTTCAAGTCAAAAATAAAGCCTGAATTGCTTGAAATGACTGAAAATATCTCTTCAATAAACTTACTACGGAACTATTTTTAATATTTTCTAATAAGATTTACAACTGGACTTGTCAGGTAATTATAACTTAAATTAAGTGTAATAAGACATTTTAACTAGAAAGGAGACAAAAATAAGTGCTAAGATTTAAGTTAAAGCAAAGTGGAAACCGTCCGACTTGTGCCCTCATGCTTTTATTGAATTAATCACAGCCATTTGATATAATCAACATGATAATTCTTTTATTCTCTAAAAGATCTAAAAAACACAAATTTAAAGGTGTCTTTTGAAAATTTTCCGCAGCTAGCCCTTTATTGCCTGACACCACAAATTATGGTCAGAAAAGTCAAGTTTTTTTGGGCTTAAATGTTTATTTCACTTACTACTGAAAAACAGAAAGATCAAAACGTCCTTAAAATTTAACAAATATATTTATTTTTCTCGTTTGATACATTAGATGTTTTTGGAAACTGATAAACTACAAGAGTACATTTTTATTATTTATCAGACTGAATTCAGGTGTTTTTTTAGGAATTTGTTGTTCATATTGATTTGATAGAAGTATCATAAAAGTTTGTATCAAATATGATACAAAAGTCATTCATGGGTAAAAGTTAACAATAGTTTTGTTCAAATATTTATTTTTCTAATTAGAATCAAATTAGAAAAATTGCATTTTAACCTGTTTTTCCCTCTAAAATGTTACTTTATTTTCTAAAGGGGAATATTTTCAGTCCTAATTTGTTTTTCAGCCTACGAACTCTTTTTTTTTGTCTTGCCTGCGTCTGCACATTTCAAGGATTCCTTGTTTGTCTCTGCCACCAACCACTCATCCCAATGTCACAACATTCATGACATCATTTCTGTTCAGCACTACCAGCTGTCAAAACCTCTACAAGGACATTTACGTCTTTCTAATCTCTCTACTATTAACAAGAGATTTATTACAAAGAGTGAGACACCATACCTCATGTTTTATTACAGTCAAGCAGGTTTTTGTACAGCAGGTAGAAGGTTCATGGTGGCCTTAACAATTTAAAGCGCCCCTTTGCGTGTAAACGTGTGCAGCACTAAAGTCTGATCTGTAAGTAAGCCATTTAGGTGTGTGTGGCCTGTCTGTAATGAGTTTAACTAAAGTCAATAGCTCTCAATTAGATACCAAGAGGGATGAGTGAGGTCGAGGGACCATTTAAACTTTTACCCACTTTATTCCAGGGCGTCATCCTGCTGAGTATGCTGAGGATAGACGGAACAAGAATAACCTTTTAAAAAATTAAGCAAATTAAATGTTTATCTTTTTTTATTTGACTTTCACTGCTTCTTTCTGCAGCCCTTTGTCTCCTCCTGAAGGCTCAGTTTTTTGAGGTTGAGTGAAAAAAAAAAAAACACTGACACCTGCGCTGTTGTCTGTTTAAGGTGCCGCGCGCTTCATGATCAAAGAGCTGTCATACCACAACCTGGAGCTGGAGAGGAACCGACTGGAGGAGCAGGGTGTCAAAAGACAGGATGTATGGCCTTTCATCGTCATGATGGACGACTCCTGTGTGTTGTGGAACGCCCACCAGCCAGCAGACAGCAGGTAGGAACCGTTTGTCATTTGTCAAATTTACAGAGAGGAGTTCTAGACTGTTTATTCACACTGGTTATCTTTTTTCTTTTGGTGTACTCTGATAATTCTACTTCTTGGGTTGAAAATGTACAGTATACAGTATTATAACCATGTCATAAATATACACATAACTTTGAATTCCATATAATAACAATGTTTTTATGATCCTGTCCCTCTTTTTCTCAGTGATTCATCTGACGGAGGCTCGGTTGTCACTGAAGTATCTCTGAAGACAGTGCTGCAGCATATGGAAACCACACCAAAGATCTCGCTGTATGCAATGTGCAGCATTCGTAAGTGGAACAGCAGCCTGGCTCACAAGTCTCCCAGTCGACCCTTCAGCCGGTGTCACCTCCATGACTTTGTCATGCTCAACGTGGACCTGACGCAGAATGTTCAGTACGACCTAAACAGGTAAATCACTGGATGAATGTGTTTGTTATTCTCAGATTCAGTGTTTTAATGTTCCGGCGTTAACGTTGTGTTCCTGTGTGCAGGTATAGCTGTGAGGAGGTGGACTTTAATCTGCGCGTGAACAGTAGTGGGCTGCTGCTGTGTCGCTTCAACTACTTCAGCTTCATGAAGAAACACATTCCAGTTGGGGGCAACAAAGATTTCCAGGTCAAACCTAAACTCATGGTGGGTGTCATGTTGATAAAACAGACCCATTGTTTCACTGTGCTTTTTGTACTTTCAGCATAAAACAGTATCAATAGTGTGTGATTAAACTGCTTTCTCCCTCTACAGAAAATTGAAAACCACGCCCTCATCAGCCCGTTACAGTACGTCTGCGCTCCAGACAGCGAGCAGACCCTCCTGGATGCCCCGGCCCAGTTTCTACTTGAAAAATTTCTGCAAAGCTGCAGCCACAGACTGTTTCCAATGGCTGTTAGGAACAGAAACAACCCAGTTCTGTCCGTCGACAGCTACCTCAACATCAGCCCGGAGGTAAGAGGTCCCGGGAGGTTGCAGTTGCATGTAGGACTGGAGCTTATTAGCATTTTGCTTGTGACTTAAAACCAGACTTCTTTAACCAAGTCTTTTGAGATGGAAGTGCTGCATCTTTATACCTACTTGCTTATTTTAACATACATCTTACTGTTGAAAGGGGACCTCAAAGTTCATAACCATTGCAACACTTAAGTGGGAGTTATGCTCGGATGTTTATAAAGACAAAAGGATTAGGTTTTTATTTTCGATGTTGCACAGTTGTACCATCTGTTTTGCTCAGAACATTGTGACCTGCATCCACGCACATGTGCAGATCTCAATGCAGACTGTGCACATTTGAACCGTTTATTTGTGCGTGTGAAGACATACTGTTTTGTTCTGTACGACCTCACTGGAAATAAATTAGGATGCACACACTTACAGAAGTGCAACATTTGCCAGCCCTCATCAGCTGCACAGAGGAGTTCTTGAAGTAAATTCAGATTATTTAGTTCGTCGTAACCTCGATGGGATAATGAGTTGTCCTCTGTTGCAGATTTCTGTATGCTACATCAACTCTCGCCCACACTCCACCAACCTGAAACATGAGGGTCTGCTGTTCAGTGGCCTCCTGCTTTACCTCTGTGACTCCTTCGTTGTCTCTGGACTCCTCAAGAAATTCCGCTTCCTTAAAGGTAAATGATTGAGTTACCACTAATGCTTTCTGCGCTTGTTTTATGCTCTCCTGTCTTATCCTGAGGGATTCTTATTTAACCGCGGTTGTATCCACAGGTGCCACTCTCTGCGTAATCAGCCAGGACAGAAGTTCCCTCCGTCAGACCATCGCCAGACTGGAGCTAGAGGACGAGTGGCGGTTCCGCCTGCGGGACGAATTTCAGACAGCCAACTGCAGCGAGGACCGGCCCCTCTACTTTCTGACTGGCCGCCTTGTTTGAACCTAAACCTCATGCTGCTGAAACACAATCAGAAAGGAGAGAGGCGAATCCAAATCAGCCAGCATTCACGGTTCCTGTCACTCTGATGGAAGGTCATAAAGAGATTAGCTGAAGTGCCCCACACGTGGACACCTGATATAACTTTCTCTACACCTGCACCACCACAGTGCACTATATCCAGCTCTGAAGGGGGTCAGGGTGGGTTTTAACCCTGGCTTGTAGCTGGGCTTGTTTTCCTTGAGAGCTTCTACTGAAACGTCTTTGCTGTGGAAGAAAAAGCACAGCTGAAACTGAACTTTATTCTTTCTTTTGTCGTATTTTTTTTTTTTGCAAAAATGGGCACCGTCCCATTGATAACGTGACTGTTTGAAGATTGTAACGTGTATATGAACTATGATCGTATGCCCCAAGCTGGACATACTCGTTTTTATCTCAGGGTTTTAAAGGGAGATCCAAGGGCGGCTGCTGAATGAGGTACAGCTTTTCTCCACTGCATTAACTTATGTTAGCACCAAAGACATCCTCAGCTGCACGTCGCCTTTTCCTTTTGCTTTCCTTCACACCTGCTCTGCCTCATAAACTCTAAAACTCACTATCACTATCGAAGACGTTCGCCTGTTTCAGATTTCACCATTAAGACTAAAATTATTCTATAATGCCGTTAAAAACCAGCACATTCAGGATTCGTTTGGACTTTTTCCTTCCTGAAACCAGAATCGGAAACACAGATTTATGTGTTTTACTGACAACAAATACAAAATACAGAAGTGAAAACACAAGTTACTAACATTTTGCTAGCTTCGACTTACATTACGCTCCTCGCTAGAACCACAGTAGTCTTGTTTGTTAGTCTGAAGACAGTTTATTCACTCAGTATCTAGAAAAGAAAAGAATATCTGAACATTTTCTGACTGGATATCTTATTAGACGGTATCAGGGGCCAAAACTGATGCCTGTTTCTGAATGATGGAACAAATCTACATTTATTTTACTACAGATCAGACTCATTTTCTGCCGTGCCTCTTAATATTTTTAAATGGCATTGATAATCCTTTAGGAGTTTATGAGTGTGGTTAATGTGTCGACATGATTCGCACAACAATTTATCCAAAGATTTCATTCACAACTTCTGAAAGTAAAGTAGAGTATCTAGTTAATCATTGTTTCCCTATAGCTTGTATAGACAAGAGTGAAGGAGGTCTGTAGTCCAAAAACAGATTGGTCTGACACGCCACAGGGTTTTACTCCTCTGTTTCAAGCTAACCAATCTAATCAAGAAGAAATTACACAAATGTGTTCTTAGCGACATATATTTTTCCATTGAGGTGTTTTTGGATCAAAATAGCAGGTATTTTAATCATACAATATCAGTAAATGTTGTTAAAAATCCCTGCCAAATATCCTGCAGCTCACTATGCCTGGATTCCACCTCCTGTTCTGATGATTGTTCTGAGTCCTGTCATCCACACATGAAAGTCCGAAACTGCGACTTAACTCTGCCAAAATGAAGTGTAATCAAAAAAAGAAGAAGAAGAAGAAGCCAAAAGCAGCTGACCGTATCATTTCATGTACTTGAAATAAGAATGTTTTTATATGTTTCTGCACAGGGTTGTCCAAAGAATATGCCTTAAGTGAGGTTTCAGACTGTCACTGCTCGAGTCATTACTTTTTATTTTGACCAATGAGAATGAAGAAGCCATGTAACTGTGAGGGGGGAAACACAATGTTGTTTGAGTTGAGCAAATGAAATAATTGGATTTTTGGACTACTGTACTGTTGAAAGCTTTGTTTACATTATTAATATATTATATGGTCCCCTGAACCACTGATGGTTACTGATGTTTTCTAGTCTTGTGTTACTTTTGCCAGTATATTTTGGTCATTATGTCTTTCTGCATTTTTGTGATGTTTGCAAAGGCAAGAAGAATCTACCTAGATGTGTCTTTACCCCATATGTCTGTCCCTTCTTGTACTTGTGTTGGGTTTTTGTTCAAAGTGAAGTCAAGTCCATACGGGGATTCTTATTTATTTGACAAGTATTTTTTGGACTGATAATCATATTGATGTGTAATATTTGATTGCATGCTGAGCTCGCTTTAAACAAGGGAATGTGTCCTCTTCAAAGAACATCCATAACGGCTTTGCACAAGACCCAAAATGAATGATACTAATGATCTACTGAATGTCATGGGGGGCGGGAAATGTGAACTTGCACTAAACAAGTTGCCAGCTGAATAATTTGTTTCCCACTGTTAAATGAAACCAAAAGTTAGTCCACATGTAAGACTGGTGATCAAAAGTGTAACTTAAACTCCAAAGGTCCAAAGAATGTGTCTTTCTTTTTGATAATTTAACACATAATATGCAACTTGCTTTCACAATCTCCACTCAAGTGTGTTTGATGACCATGTGCAGCCAAGTGGTGGCCGTGGTGTCTGGGTGATCTACCTCATGTTTACTATTGTGGTTGCAGCCTGTGAACATATGACATCAGTCATGCTATTGTTGATGAAAATTTATGAATGTAATAAAGATTACCTTTAAACTAACTTGATCGTTTGTTTGAAATCTTTATATTATCAAGTAGAAATCAAGAAGATATGTGATCCTGCATAGATACAGTTCATTTTATGAGAGAAAGTCTGGTTCTGACCCCTCTCTAAACTTACTGCATTTGTGGCAGATGACTGTCTAATATGAGTCAAGTTCTGCTCAAAGTTCCTGCCTGTTGAGAGGAAGTTTGATAAGTTGATAATCGCTGCAAAGTGTTATTCTCATGTAGTTGGAGAAGGAATGACATGATGGTGTAACGTTTCAGGGTGCAACAAAAAAAGGGAAGGACCCAAGTGCAGAACAAAAATGATTTATTCAAAATGAACTAAATAAAAAACAACAAAAACTTACTTTAAATGTTCAACAGAAAAAAACTCCCAGAGGCAAAAAACACGAGGCAAAATAGACTCACTGGAGACACAGGTATACACACAGAGGCATCAACATACACAATGAACCAACAAAGAAACAGGGGAAGACAAGGACTATATATACTATATAGATACTAACACACAGGTGCAGACAAGCACAGAGGGGGGAAACTAAGGAAGGAAAATAAGACTAGAAACACAGGCTGTGTCTGAAATGAATCACTCAATCCCTGACCCCTAACCCCCATATGGGGTTTTACTATAAAGTTGATTATGTAGTGAGCTCAATCACTGGAAGTTTCGGACACTACATGGCAAGACGCAATGCATGACGGGAGGCCCACCACCGGTGAGTGACCATCGGATGGTCACTACATTTTGCAATGCTTTATGGGAAATTTTGAGTCACCTATATAGCGCACTGGAACTGATCGCTCAGGTTTCGGACACCCCTCAAAATGGAGCTAACCTCTATATAATCGCCTATATAGCGATTAGGGATCCATTTCGGACACAGCCATTGGGAATAAGCTACTACAAAATAAAACAGGAAATGCTGAAAACTGATGTAAGAATAAAACACTGAGAACATAAGGGAACCGGGGTTAGACACGAACTGAAAACTCACAAGACAGGACTACAGGGGAACAGGAACAATAGGGAACAGAAACACGAGGACAAATCACAAAGGAAATGCACTCAAGAGAAACACAAAACCAGGGAAAAAACTAAAAACCAGAACATATCATGACGGATGGGACTCAGTCTTCTCCCATCTTATGTTAGTCTTGAAAAGTATGATCTAGACCAGCTCTTTTAATGAGAGTCTTGACACTATTATATGACTAGCTTGAGTGATCCACAGCACTACAGCTTGATAGGAGTCGATTTTGCCCAGCTGTCTCGGGGGAAGACATATAAAGTCAAGAAGATGACGAAAAACGTTCTGAAACGCACGGACAGTTTATTCCTTTTATTGAAGATGCAAATAAAATCGGTGACTAATTCATAGTCGGTGAACCTTCAGAGTCAACAGTGAACAAAGGCTTAGGCAGCAGCTATGAGGCTTAGTGCATTCAATCAGCGTTAAGTGCAACTGTTGTAATTTCTGTGTGGTCATCCAATGGTGGGTCCATCCATCTAATGATAGACTGACTCTGGCTGACTGAACAAACTGCCTCTCTTACTTACCTGTAAGTGATTCCCGATGAGCCTTACATACTGCATTGACCATCATTGATTCTGAAGATGTACTGACACTGAAAATCGCTGATTTGATTTGCATCTGAAGTAAAAGGTATAAACTGTCTGTGAGCTTCTTGACACTATAAGGTGATGTGAATGTTAAAGTGGAAATGAACATTTTGTCATGTAGTTAATCTGCATTTTATTTGAACTCTATATGCTACAACTAAACAGGAGAGCATACAAATGATAATGAATTTCCTGCAGTAAACAAGAGACTGTATGTATGCATAATAAAAGCTGTGACTGTTGAAAATGTAAACTTCGATCACAGACCAAGAGAGCCCTCCAGGTTGTTTTCTACCAACTTCAGTAAGCCCCCTCTGCTGCCACAGGAGTCATTATACAACAGTTTCCAAAGGCCGCTTGTGAAAACTAAAAAATTCTGGCTTTACGAGCAAGCTCTGATTTTCATTTGCATGATGAGTTCTGCGTTATTTTGGTTTGCTTTCCATGTAGTTGCTGAGTATTTTAAAGTGGGTTGCAAGTGCTTTAATGCAAAGCTTAAGCAGTGTGGTTGAAATTCATGTGCAGCTCTGCCTTTAGCCTGTGATTGATAATCCTCTCACTCCCCTCTGCATCCATCCAATCCCACATCCTTTAATTCTGCTCAAGAGCCAAGGACCCTGCTCATTTCCCAGTCAAGCCGTCCCTGATATTTGTTTCACATCAACACCTCTGTAACCGTGCTGTGACTATATGCACCGTGACCCCCTCCCCCACCCCATCATCAAGAGGAGAAATGGCTCCTTAATGGATGCTTTGGGATCTCCACTATAAGGGCACAGGGGCATTGTTGGTCCAGGGACAGTACTATTTCAGCTCCGGCGAGGTAATATTAGAGCACACTTTCCATCAACCTACAGCCCCTGTGTGATATAACACAAAGCTATTTTCAGCCAGCTGCAGTCAGGGTAGGATAAGGAAGAAAGGGCACCAAAGAGTGAATGGCAGGCCGGCTCTCGAACCTCATTACTGCTGCAGTTTTTAAAGCAGAACAATGATGCTAATGGAGAACAAAATTCGTGATTAGAAAGAGTTTTCAGATCCTAAAGTCAAACATTTGTCAGTTTTCTGCTACCAGATTTCAATGCTGGGTTTGTGTTACTCTGATATTTCAAGAAAACCTTTTAAGGAAGATGAGAAATGTCTCCTGATAATTCCCTCTGACACATTTCTCTCATTACAGAGTCCTCAGGCAATGCATACTTACTATTAAACTACTTTCAAACAGTGATATGATTAAAACTTTTACTGCACCACAGTCCAATCCTTTTTATCCCCTTCTATCATGTAGAAACGTCTGTGAATTCACGATAATTTTGCTGTTAAAATCCTCATATTAGCAGATAATAGATTGATTCCTGCCACATAATATCAATTTTCATAGCTGGTAACCCTCAGTAAATTACTCATCCTGCTTGGCAGACTACTCTAATTACTCTCAGGCTTCTATAAACCATCCAGCTAAAACCAAAGCTCATCTGTCTGAGGGCTTATTGGAGGGGGTTGGGGTGAAGGTAAATGGAGTGCCGGGGGATTACAGTTTGCCTTTGGTGGATCACATCCACCACCGCTGCAGCAATGCATATCCTATCAGCAGCTTAGCCTGGGAGTGTGCAGTGAGAGTCAATTCCAGTAACCAAAACCCAATACAGTGATGGCAGGAGAGTGGGAGCTTGACCCTTGCAGAGGGGGACGTCGGCCATGCGACAAGAGAGATGCAGTGGAGCTGTCAAATGTTGTGACTTTAAAGAGCAAGACACTGCCATTAGATGAAGTCATTAAAGAGAGCTGAACACCTCGGGTGACTGATGAGCTGCTGTCTAAGGATTGTCAATATTTTAAAAAGGGGGGAGGGAAGTAAATATACAGGGAAAAGTCAGAGATAATAGTTAAAGTAAAAGACACGGAAAGAAAAGGGACAAAATATCAGACAGAGACAAAAATATAGAGGGGGAAACCTAAAGAGACTGAAATACAGAAAAGACCAATTCAAAATGACAACAAGGGAAGACAAAAGTAAGGTATAGAAAAGAATAGAGAGAAAGAAAAAGACAAAAGCAGATAAGAAAGACATAAATGCAAAGAGATATGAAGTTAAGACAGTTAAGAGAACCTTTAAAAGATGGAGGAGATAGAAGGACAAACAGAAAAAAAAAAAAAACTAAGACAAAAAACTGAAAAGACTATAAAAAATTTAAAAAGATGGACAGAAAAAGACAGATGAAAGGCGTGAGGACAAAGAGCCAGGGAGGGATGACAAGTGAGGGCCGCGGAAAAAGACAAAGACAGAAAACAGAGATAAAGAAAAAGACAGGCAGGAAGAAAAGACAGAGACAAGCGAGGGAATATGGAAGAGAGAGGCTTAGAAAAAAGACAAAGACGGAAAGGAAAGACTTTGAAAGAGAGTGAACTGCTGACACAAGGCGGTTGCGGTGAATTATTCTTACCTGCAGTGCACGGTCAGTCCACTCTGTTCACAAAGTGCTGGACAAGCAGAAGCACTGGAGACAGCACACAAATTGACCTAGACTCTGTTTAATAATTTATTAAATACAGCATAGTACACTCATGTTGATAATGTGCATATACTGGTATACTTCTACGATAGAGACATTTTCTTCATTTAAAATCTTATTGCTGTACATGTTAAACAGAATGTAGTCTTTTACTTCATCTTTACACAGCGGTGTACAAAATGAAACTGCAGCATCCTATGAGTGAAACAAACATGTCCTTTGTGCTACAAATAACGACGTGATGTTAAGGTTGAGGACATGATGACGCTGATGATGAGACACATGCTACTCGATGGACACTTGGCAGAACAAACAGACACCAAAATTCCACAGGTGCGTTACCGAGAGCCGGGCTGACAGTCACGTCTGCTTGTTTCATAGGTGCCAACTCATACACGGTAGCCAGTCCCTTAATCATTGTTGGCGAAACAAAAGCACCGAACTGTACACTATTCATTCACATCACCATCTCTCGACTGACACACACGAAGAACCGCCGACGTCTTCACAAACAAACAACCTCATGGAATTTACATGCTGCTCTGCTCAGCCTTTGGGACATACCTTCATATATGGATGAAATAATGTGCGTTGCATTAAGGGGTTAGAGGCATGATAGTATCAACTAAAATAGTGCAATTTCACATTCCTTGTCATTAATGAATTTTTTTTCTCTGTATTGTACATTTTTAGAAACTATTTGGTGCACGTAAAGGTAGAATGTGTGAAAGTAAAAGTGCATGCAGAAGGTAAAAAGAAGAAGTGGTTCGACATGGAGGGAAATACACTCATTCGCTCATTTGAATAAAAAGATCAGCATCACTCTTGGAGCTTAATTAGCATCAACGAGAAACAGCTGGCTTAGTTTTGTCCAAAGGTAAACCAATCAGCCTTCTATCATCAACAGGCTGGATTTTTGTTAAACTCTCAGTCAGAGCCAAGCCAGCAGATTCCCCTTGCTTCCAGTCTTTATGCTAAGCTAGGCTAATTAACAACAACTAAAGGGATATTCCGGCGTAAAATTAATTTAGAGTGTGTGGGTGTGTGGGTGGGAGGTTCGGGTTTTATTGTTGTTAATTGTTGTTTTTAGCCCATATGAAGCACTTTGAACTACATTATTTGTCTGAAAAGTGCCATAAAAATAAAGTTGAATTTGAATCATTTTGCACTGCAGACACGGTAGTTCTTCTGCCTTAGCATCTCGGTCTGATCACATTTCCATGAAGAAATGATCATAAATGTTCTTCCTTGAGCTGCACCTTCCCGCCTTAGTCGATGACGGACTGGTCGAGGTCTCGCTACAAACAAGCGGCTGCTGGAAGAGAGTAGGTGAGTTGTGTTTAGTCTCTTTGCTATAGAAATTAAGCAAAATAAGAAAGCTGTTTGGTGGCTAGTGCTATGGCTGGGACCCTATATGTACTGTTGATGATGTTAGGTGCTGTTCTGAGCATTATTTGTTGCTATAGAGTGGTGTTTTGGTTGAGGTTTGTTGATGGTTCCTTAAACCTCTGTGTATTGCTATGTTGCCATCATAACTAAAGTTGGTATAACTAAAGAAGCAAGCAGTCAGTAACATTTATCTCTTGACGGGGAGTCTAACTCGGTGTTACAGTGCGTTTGACCTAAAATTAATTTCACACCAGAATACCCCTTTAAGTGTTGCTGATCTTCTTATCTAACTCTCCACATAAAAAGAAATGACAAACAGTTAGGCGTGTTTCCCATGATAACATTAAAACATTTGAGAAAAGAAACAAACTTAAATACTGTCTACCTTTAAACAAAATAAAAATACAAACTGAAAGAGTATGACTCAAACAACGAAACTACACAGGACTGGAGGAGGTAAAGGAAAACAAAGACAATCCCTGAGGGCTAAAATCCTACTAAAATGAGCACTAAAAGACGCTTCGTGAACACAAATGATTGATCTTCATGTACAGTACTTCTGTTAACTTCAAATAATTGCACAAGATAAAAGCAGATTTTTTTTTTTCTGATAGCTAATGCAACTAACCGAAATGGGCACAGACTCAGCTTTTCAACAGTAACATGAACAGCTTTGCTTGTTTGTTTTTTTTAAAAGCATTCTATGGTTACGTACAATGAGCTGTTAGCTGTCTGGAATAAATAAATGAATTTTGAACGCAACACAATACAATGCTGCATTCGAGAAAATGTGCCTTTCAAACAAGAAAGAGTGTTTTTTTTTTGCTTGTGGCAGGAGGAAAGATTGAGAGGAAAGATAAAAACGAAAGTCAATGGATGGAAGGAAATAAGCAGAAAAGGATCAGGTAGAGGAGGAAGGCACAAATGATGGAAAAAAGTATGAAAGGGAGGTATGAAAGAAGCTCAAAAGGTCATAGGAAGGTAGGAATCTTACATGGACGGAGTAAATATGGAATGTAGCAATAAAAGAAAGATGGATGGCATAAATGGAAGAAAAGATTCAAGAAAAGAAGGAAAGAGAGAGGAAGTTAGGACCAGAGGAACACGTTGTTGAACTCTCATATCAGGAGAGGTCCGTGAGTCGGCTGCCTTGTTCAATCACCGCTTTAGCAAACTGTTTGAAGACTCGGTCCATGTAAGTGCTCTGACGAGGCCACAGGCCCTCCAGGAAACCAATATGGCCGCCGTGACAGGTTATGAGCAGAGCCAGGTTGGGATTCTGCTTCACTGTCTCCACTGGAATAGCTGCAAAGGAAACGCAACATTAAACTAGGCCCTGATTTTTTTAAAAATCAGTATGTACCACATCTCTGTCAAGCTTTGCTGGACTCACCATGGGACGGAGAAAAGACATCATCAGCAGCATTCAAACACAGCATTGGCACCTGCACAGATTTGAGCCTGTGGACAGGACTGGCATCATGGTAGTAGTCGTCATTGGTCGGATAGCCAAACATGATCGAGGTGAACCTCTCATCAAACTCTCGAATGGTCTTTGCCTGTAGGGACGCAGTAAATTGATTCCATGTTGGCTACTTTGTTTAATTAGATTAGCATTTGTGGCTGAGGGTCACTGAAAATAATACCGACCTTCATGACATGATCGATGTCGTAACACTTTTCAAGCACTGGTCTGTGTCTGCGGGGGAGATTGAATTTAAAACCGTCAATGTTTCTGTGAAGTAAAACGATTAGTGCCTGAAAATGTCCCTAAAAAGCTGACCGGGCTGAAACAACATTAAAACAATCAAGCTCGGCTCCTCAGACAACTCCATAACAGTGTTTCTGTGTATTTCAGCTAAGCCTATTGTAATGTACAAAAACACAGTGTGTGCAAAACACAGAAACTGACCATTATTTGTTCCTGTAGCAGCTAAAAAAAAACACAAATCCTCCATCATCATGTAAAAAAAAAAAACCTTAAACCGAGTTATCTAAACTCTAAAAACGTCTAGCATTGAATCCGCGCCCATGTTAATCCCGCCCTGACCCTGGCTGACCTGTGCACAGAGGCTTGTAGGCAGCTTGTGAGGTAGGAGTTGAAGAGGAAGCGGTCCAAGGGTTTTTCCAGCGAAGCGGTGCACTCGAATACATCCCAGCCCGCCGAGAAGACCACCACCCCTTTCAGACAGGTTTCCCGGCCCTTGCGGCCCAAGTAGTTGGCGAGCATCATCCTGAATTTAGAGAGAGAGGGTGAGAGGAAGGGACAGATGGGTAAAAACAGGGATTGGGACATGATCCATTGCTGACCAATCCTTCACTTCATAGGATTAGTGCAGCGCAAAAAAAAAAACACCTTCTCTGCTGACTGGACCAAATTTAAGCCCAGCCAGTACTTGATATGACTGTGGATATTTAGCATTAGAAAAATCTGACACATGTGTAATTTTATCATGTCATAGGTATAAAAATGTGTGTGCTTAGTTTCAGGTTAACAAATGTTTGCAGATGTCTCATAAAGTTTTTTGCCATATTCTGAGATTTGTTAGCATTTTATTCTTCAGCACATTAAGTCCTAAGCAGCTGGAAATGTGCGGCTTCATTACCCTCCCATTGATACTCCAGCAGCCATGATGGGAGCAGCTTCATAATTCTTCTGGATGTGCTCAATGACAGTCTCCAGATCCTCTATGTTGGCTGCGCAGTAGGTCCTCGGGGTCTGTGTGGGACGGTGAAACAAGAAAGTTACAAAGTCGAACATGAATTTTTCTCATTTTTAACCAAAGTATTTAGCTGAAAATTACAATAAAATTTAATGAGCATGGCTTCTATTTAGACGACTTAAAATCTGGGCAATTAAACCTCTTAAAAAGTATCAGCTAAACTCAACTTCGGTTTGGAAATGTAACATCTATGTCGTCTACCTCTGAGAGAAACAGAACAGCTTAACCTTTATTGTACTTTTGGACCATCCTGGTTGATTATTTAAAGACATATGTTGTAAAAAAAAAAACTATCATAGAGTAGACAGGTGACATAACGAGACATATAGTATCTATAGACACACACACATGTTCACAATGAGCTTATAGTTCATCATGTAACAGACAGTCTCTATTTGTTATCAAAAGACAAATAGAGCAGACTGGCACATTGTGTAACTTTAACAACAGTCAGCTTCCACATGTGCACATTCTCAGTTTATGGTGATGTCTTCATAAGAGAAAACTGCTTGAGGAGAACTTCTCTGCACCTGGCTAGACGACAGGTGCATCAGACAAAAAACTTAGGCCCCAACTACACGAATGCGGATGTATTTCAAACCGTACATATTTATGTCCGATTAGGCCTCCCTACCACACCAAAACGGGAGTTTGGAACACTTAAACCGGATTAATATGAATCCGAAAAAACAAGTGGAGAAATAAAAAAAAATATCCGTATAAGTGGATTCGTGTGGTTGAACTTTTACGGATCGATGACGTCAAACCGCAGTTCGCGCATGCGAATTAAAAAGAAAAACAACAACAACGATGGCGGACATACAGGGTATTCTTTACGTTTGTTTTGCCCATTTGGGGCCACTTTAAGCCTTGCAAGTGAACCTTGTATTATACAATTACATTCACCAGTCAGCCAGCTCACAGAGGCGTCTGCTTTGTTATAGCCGCCACACCAGCACATAGACCCGACGCACAAGCGTAGCTTCCGCAAACAATGCATGACGCATCACGCTGTTACGATTCATCGGCCAATCAGGTAGCTTTGTTCCTGAATTTTTTTTAAGCGGCACAAGATATGATTGAGTTTGAAGGCTACGTGTGGACGCAGATATTTTTGAGAACTAACACGTGTGGACAGATACATTTATTTAGACGGGAGTACAAAAATATCCTGATAAATAATTATCTATATACGTGCAATCCGGGCTTTAGAGTAGAAGGAACTCCCGCACACAGTCTCACTCAAGCTGGAAAAAGGATGTGTTTGTATCTTTCTCCCAAATAGTACCTTGTCATTCTTACTGACACTCTTTTTAGGATAATTGGATAATTGTTTAAGGACAATTTCTGACTAATATCTGATGTTACCATCATTTGCATCACTCCAGACATTTACTGAACTTCAGAGGTGTGTACAAAAGCATGATCAGACTCATTTTACTCTGTAACCTGCACTGATTTTATTAAATCCTTTTAACTTGCAGTGTAAATGTTCCTCTAATGACACAAAGCTGCAATTTGTTTTAGTGTATATGGAAGTGTATACAGATACAAATGAAGACCTTACTCTGTCTGCGGTTAATTAGGCATAGCAAGTTACTTTACATTACAAAGCGCAGCATCTTAAATTCAAAGCAGCCTGTGTAACAAGTCTGGTTTTTCAGGATGCTGTTGACTCTGCAGCTTTTTGAAACCCTCCATTAAGATTCAAGCAGACACCCGGGCAAAGTAAATTCCTGTTTTTCTTTGCTCTTGCCAGACCTTGCTGTGAAATAACAAAAAACTTGCAAATGTCGGTACATAAAGATGTTAAAAAGAAAAACGATTCACTGAGAATTCTGGGGGAATAATTCTGCAGACTTCGATTCCTGGCACAGTCCAAGCATCTCTGCAGGAAAAGTGTAATGTAACAGGGTTTTAACGAGGTCCAGAAACAAGGCGCTGGCACTCTGGACAGTCTTTGAGGCAGGGGGCATCTTTCACACAGTGGGTCATTCTAAAGCGCTGGCCTATTTGAACACTGGAAGATATTCACACTACGTGGGCACAAAGAAAACACTCACAGGAGCGTACAAATGCTGAATCATTTGCATCAAATATAGAACAATTCCCTTCTTTCCACCAACATTTGATTTGGAGCCAAGGTTACAGAGTTTAAACTTCTTTTTCATCTGGGACAGCTGAGCAAACTAAATAGTCCGTTTGACCTAGAATACTATCTGATTAGATGGTGTTACTCTTTGCATTATTGTCACTTTTATGTTATTCTGGATCAACTAAAACTGAGGCTGGTATAGAATTTCGCAACAGAAGGACGCAGATCAGCCAGCGATTCCAGATTTATATCCACATAATGGAACATTAGATTTGATTGTCTGTAATAAAACTCCACTTGTGCTTAGGATGAGATCTCTGTATGGGAGTGATGGTATGATTAGACCAGGGCGATACAGCTGCCATAAAGGATGTGCCTCTGTTATAAAGTGGAGATATACATACAGAGAGGGAGGGATATAAACGCAGCAGGCATGCTAAGCACGATCAGAGCTCGGGTCCATTCTGTCGGCTAAATACACCCGGGTGTGTAAGAGGACAGATTAGACCAGGTGTCAGAACAGCACGTGCTCAGCGAGGTCATATTTCTGTGGATCGGCATTAAAATACAGTATCTGGCTGCAACTTAATCCCCGCTGTGTAACAACATTGTGTGTGCAGCGTCTGCTCGGGCTCCCTGCGGACTCTGTGACACGTGTGGAGCTGACGTGCTCCGCGCTGGTCGAAGCAGTGAAAAGGACAACTCAGCTGGGAAGCTGTCAGACTGACTAATGGGAAAACCAACTGTCCTGAACAGTTCTTTGTATTTGGTACGCGCTGTCTGTCTTTCTGAGTGCGGAGGAGACAAATGGAGGGATGAAATAACAAAGTGTGACAGGTTAAAGTGACACAGGCGGTTCTTACCAGCAGCGTTTCACCAGAAACCCCCCTGTTGTTGAACACCACACATCTGGAAGAGAAAAACACAGATATGTAGAAATTATTGGACTCTCCTACATGATATTTACATGCTGAAGTGCTCAAAAAAGTTCCACTTTTCTGTCTCTAAAATGAAGATATCAAGCTGTTGTTATTCTCTTTGATTATGACTTGTTGTTTTTAAGGCAGGAGTTCACAATAAAATCCAGAAAATCAACATTTGTTGCTAGTCCTTTAGAGACATTTGAATTTATTGCATGTTTCAGTGCTGTGTCCACTAACTGTGTTTTTCTACACTGTGAGCGCCTACAACCTCAATTCCAGGGTGCTTCTCACTGGCACTTACTGTTGCTAGGTTACACAAGTTATCCTGTAGCATTCTGCGTTCCTCTGTAGGGACCACCATTTTTTTAAATGCTCTGTATGTTGCAAATTTGCTTTTATTTCATGGCAAATGTAAAATCAACTGATAGAATCTGTGCCATTGAATTAACAGCAGCTCTAGACCTGGAAACTCTACCTTTAAAATTAGTAAGTTTCAGCCCTATATACGGGCATTTGCATTCGTTGACAAAGTTTTTTTTTTGTGATCAAATATTTTATTTTTATTGCAAATTAGGGTAGGATACAATCATTATTAATTACTTTTTTTGAAACAAAACACAAAAAGAAAATAAGGAAAAGAAAAAAAAACCCTCCACCCCCCTCTCCGGTCCAACAGGAATGGAGTATATAATATAGTTTAGACCTGGAAACTCTACCTTGAAAATGAGTGTTGTTTCACCCTTATATGGGCATTTGCATTTGTTGAAAAGTTGAGCAAAAAACAAAGTAAAAAGACACAACCAGACCCTTGATTTTTTATCATATAACTGAACAAACTGCACTGATTTGTTTGTCAATATAGATTTTTATATGGATTTTGGCACCCCTGTGGATAAATCAGTACCTCTTATCTCAGCTGATTCACTCTTGAATAAAAAGTAACTTTTTTTTACCATTATAATCTCATTCAAATGTTTGGAAACACAGCACTCCCACAGAAAAAGTTTCTTTTTAAAAAGGCCAATTTTGGACAGGTGCTATAAAATGTTTTGACTGATATTTACCCTGTGTCAGTGGTTCAAGATGCTAAAAATATTAGGATCTCTTTCTGATGAACAAAGCAAACTTCAGAAATGTTATTCTAATTTCAGGATGCTTTATAAACACACTGTGAGACTCTAAAAAAGTTCTGTTGTTGACTTGCTGGATAAAGAAGATAACCTGTGAGTTAATACCGCCCTTAAGTCAGTTGTTTGTTTCGTAATACAAAACTTGTCCACAAAGATTTGATGTGCTCAGGAGCTTTTTTCAGCTTATGCTTGTTGTTTTGGGGATTTTTTGTTGTCACTACAAGTTACCACCTGTGCATGTTCAACAGAACACAGTGGCCTAAATCCCTGTAAACAAATGTTCCCGACTTTTAAAAGTTGAAGTGGGAATATGATGAGGTGTGCAGAAAGGGACCAGCTGTGTGAAGAGCATTGTGTTTGTTCCACAGAGCAAAGGCATCTCCTCGCCCCTCATCTCTCTCCAGTCATCCATTATCTGTTGGAGTCAGACTTGCAGTTTTTATCGGTGTAACTCAGCACCAGGGCGGGGCTGGACGGGGGTGTTTGACTAAGAGGACTCGGGAGGTGGTGGTAGTGTGTGTGGGGGGCCGCTTAAACACACACTGCAGCATAGACTCGGAAGCTGGTCTGGGGCTAAGCTGCAAAGCTTGTACCGGGATAAGCTGTAATTCATTAAGCTACACAGACAGGGGTGAGGGGTTGGAAGATGCTGAGTTTGCCGGCTCTCTTCCCATGCTTTCCCAAATCTGGGTGAAAGAATGAGTGCAGAGAACACAGAGAAAGGGCTTGTTGGAGAGAGGGAGAAAGGGGGTAGAGAAACTGCCTCGCTCTGCAGCTCTTCAAGCTTGTGCTACGTTTGGCTATTCACGAAAGCAGCTCTTGACAGAGAGCTTGGCTGCACACTTTATTTGTGCACATCACCTGAAATCACCCCAAGACCCTAATGCACCCATTATGTAAAAGTTACAAAATCGGGACTAAAAAGTGTGCGTCAGGATTTGCCTTTTGACAGATGTCTGTGATATTCGGACTTTAACTGGACAGATTTTCTGTGTGTTACATGGCTTGAAAATTACAGCACAAGCTGAGGAGAGTGTCAGCTGTGTGATTTAGTGCCCTGAGTTTGTCCCTCGGCTCTGGAATCTCATCCAGGGTGTCCTGCCAAGACCACCCACCTATAACCCAGATCCCGGCTCTGTTGGACCATGTGCAGGATGTAGGACTCTCGGCTGGTGCCCGTCAAACCGGGGAGGAGGAGGACAGTGGGCCTGGTGGCGGGGTCGGGATGAGCGAAGCTTTCATCGTTGTCAAACCAATCCAAAGAGATCTGTCCTCCATCTGCTGCCTTAATGAGCTCACTGCGGAGACAGAGCAGACACGCAACTCAGCAACAAAGATCTGTATCTTTATTTATCTATATATATTCATCCTGTCTGAACACATGCAAACACCGTCACAGGAGAGTTTTGACAACTGAACACATATCTTACATCTGCTTTGGAGTAGTCAATAAAAATAATCTGGTTCAAGTCCCCGCCCAATTAATTCCCTCTCTTCAATTACAGGTAAAGCGATTACTTCATTGGATCCACCGCAAGCGTTGCCAAAAGGGAATCAGATATGCGAGTACAACGATCACTGTCAGCCGCCTTGTTCCCCCTGTGATCATCTTGTCAGTGTGCTTTGCATCATCACACAGGTTAAAATGTGGAGAATGGCACTGCAGCAGTGGGCTCTCATAATCGATCAATTTTCAGGCTATATAACCCTCACCAAGCAGATGAGGTCATTCAATGCCAGCTCTATAGTGCACTTAGAAGCCTGTAATGGACACACACACACACACACACACAGCAGGCAGTGAACCAACTTGTCCAGTCCAGTGGTAAAGACATCAGCATGAAATTACAGAACCAGCATGAAATATGCACCTGGGGCCAGACTTTAAAGTCAGCCGGGGCCAATCCTCAGTGACCAGTACGCAAAGTGGGAGGAGACCTTCTGCTAATCCTCGGAGCGGACAAGATGAGTGGAATTTCACCCCAGACAGCCAATGACAAATAAGTCCGTTTTCACAGCGCCTGTCCTTGGGTCAACCTTAGGTAACTTCATTAGGAAGAGGGGGCGTCCTATTGTCCCTGGAGGAAATGTGATAGTAATGCAGAGAATGGCACCGTGTTGCTACGCTACCAAGAAGATACCAGGACTATAGAGTGAATGAAGACCTTTTGGATTAACTCGACTGTCCCAATTGAGCAAAGAGAACTTCAGCTTTATAATGCAACAATATAATACTGATAATAGTACTAATATTTTTTTGATTAAACATTAGAATATTTGTGAATCCGAATATCTAAATGAACCTTTTTAAAGTCTATATTTTGGGGTTTTCTGTTTAAATTTCACATTTTAATCTAAGAGTGGACAAAACAAAAGCACATTTCCTTGATCTTTTCTCAATTATAGGCTCACAAACAATGCACACCATACAAATCACCCACTTCATGAACAATTTTCATTGTGTCCATACACCAGTATTACATAATTCAAGAAGAGAAAACTGTGCAAGTTTGAAAAAGTCCAAACGGATGTGATAAATGATGCGAAAGTTTAGTTGTATAACAGGTGGAAATGAAAAATAAGTCCCTCTTAATTAAGTAATTGTAATCTGCTTTATGTACGCAGGGGGCGAGGAATGCAGGGCCAATTAATTTTTGACAGAATGTACATTATCAGGGTGCAGGCAGAGCAGCCTGAGCCAGCAACAGTTCACAAAGATCCCTTTCTCCTCTAAGCTCTTGAATCCCTGCTCAGAACAGGACTGGGATTTGTCTCCAGTTGTGAAACTGGGAAGAAAGACTTAAAGAAATAGGCGATGGAAGTTTCCAACTACCCAAGCACATTTTTGAAATTTCTCACAAATGCTTCTCAAGGAGGACAGTGGTATTTTATTACTGTAGAACTCCTGCTGACGTATTAAATCCTTATTTACTCTGACTATGTCAAACCCAAACTTCTCTTTTTTGCATTTGATGTAGCATTTTCAACAAATCTTTAAAAAAGTTATAGTAAAAACTGAACCAGGTGCAGTGTGATGAAGCTAAGGACTTACTTTCTATAGACGACCCCGGGTTTGGCTGTGACAAAGGGTCTCAGCAGAGTCTGGATGCGGCTCTCCCAGCACCAAAAGGTGGGGTAGTAGGTCTCTGTCACCACCGGGCATTGCTCCCTCAAAAACTGGTAGAACTTCTTACCCCCAGAGATGAGCTGTGGCTTCTACAAAATAAAGGAGAAGAAAGTGTGGCATAAGTTTGAGCTGGAAGAAAAGTTAGATTTTCAAATATGAGGGCAGTAACATCACTGTTATACAATATTTCTAAACTTTAAGACATGTTAAGGAAGTCTCATAAGGTGACATTATATTTATCCATGCAATTCACACTTAAACTAATAAAAGGTTTCAGCTGTAATGGAAAATTAGACTGAACTGAGACAAACCACTGCCTTCTAACATGAAGTGTTACAGGTAAAAGACAAGCATATCTGTATGAACAAGCATTCATACTTATTTATCTCAAAAGTCAGAAATACATAAGAAAATAACTAACTACTGGGAAGAAATAAGCAAAGGAATAAGAAAAATATTAGGTTATGAGCTCCCCATGACCTTCGAAGTAATGTACCTGGGCAAAACAAAAAAACTAAAAACAGAAACTTGACTGAAATACTCCTTGCAGCACCAAAGAAGAATCGGAAAACTGTCTGGACACGGTGGAAGAACTATATGAAATGGAGAAACTAACACACGCTCTACAACTCCAGCAAGAAACAAACACCCGAACGTGGGAAAAATGGATCAAATATAAATCTCCTCTCATTACTTTAAAAAATTGACAACTTTGATAGAGGCTACATGGACAATTTAATTTTCTTCTCGGTGAAAGACACCATGTTTTGTGTTTGTTTGTTCCTATATTTGTCTTTGAATGACGGTATGCTTTGTTCCTGTTAGGTTTAAAAAGTTCAAATAAAATTTAGGTAAAAAAATAAATAAATAAATAAAAATAAAAATACATTAACCCTAAATGATTAAATAAATCATTTAATTGACTTAATTTGACTGCATATTTATTCTTTTTGTGGTTACATAATTTGGTTTATTGCTCATTTTGTTGGCTCCACTTGAGGACAATGTCAACAAAGTGAAGACTCAACCAGTAAATTAAACTGTTTGTTATATTTATAAATAATGTTCTTCTTTTTTCCATATTTTATATTCAACCATAAACGTCAAATCTACTCAAGGGCTTACCTAATGCACAGCAATGTCATTGTGAGTCTATTTGCATACATATGATCCAACCTACCGGCATTTCAGCTAACATACAGTCAGGTTAGCCTAGCTTCCTCAATGCAGACATTCACACTTTTAATGAGGGGTTATTGTTGTTACATAAGTGCTGCACATTAATGCAAACGCTGTGTGCTTCTATTTATATATTCTGATGAAATTGTCTGACTGTGCAGGCGTGTAACATTAGCCCAACAGTGGAGAGACGCAGACCCTCCATCAGTAAATATACCATAGACTGAGATACACCGGTCAACCGAGGATCCTTACAGGCAAGAAGGCAGCGACGACGCGCCTCCACAAGAAGAAGAGCCGGTTTTAAAATAATGAAACATAACAACGATTAAATAGTCCATACATAGTCACAGCCCATACATCCGCTTTGCTTACCTTCGCTACTGAAAGCAAATAGTAGCAGGTGTATGCCGCGCTAAAGCCCAACACCAGAGACAGTCCTACTCCCGAACCGAACAGCCCAACTTTCACTTGATTTTCTAAATAATGCGACAGGTCTCTCGTCAAAATGTTGAAATTGAAGTCCAGCGAGATCATTGCAAGGTCCCTGTAGTCGACAGACAGCGAGGACAGCGGCCAGCTCGGTTGAAAGTCAGCTGTGTCTGCCTGCAAAGCCCACTGTGAAGGAGACAGTCAAGGGGACCTGATGTGGAGGGGAGATAAATTCGTGCGAGTATCAGCGAGCGGTGGCGCTCTTTGACCAGCTTTCAGTGGACGCTGCTCATAGACAGTCTGACGCCCCCTGCAGTCGGAGTAGGGGAAGTGCACCATGTGGAGGAACCAGACTTCTAGGTTTCTTTCCTGGGCTTTTTTAAGTGTGGGAAATTTAAAAGTAATACATTTATGAAAGAATAATTGTATGTGTATGCAATCACACGTGTATTTTATCACTATATACGTATGTTAATCATCATTTACTGAAAATCACTTGGTGTGAATACTTGCAGGGTTACATCTGTTTCTTTTTAATAAGCATGGGAAAGCAGAAGTATGGCCTTGAATGAATGCTATAATTTCACTCACAGGTTGTTTCCCCATCAGTGTGACATTGAACTGATAAGCAGGAACCTGATGATGAACTAAGATGTCTTTGCTCTCCCAGTACAGACCACAGGTGCTACCTGTACCCCAAGGCATAAGCCAACTAAACGCCTGCTTAGGGCCCCATAGCCAATAGGGGGCCTCCAAGAGCAATCAATTTTTTTTTTTTAAATGAACATTTTTTAATTCTTTGTATGTATGAGTGATGCTTTCTGTATGATCAAATATACAGTACAGGCCAAAAGTTTGGACACACCTTCTCATTCAGTGTCTTTTCTTTATTTTTTATATGACTATTTACATTGTAGATTATCACTGAAGGCATCAAAACTATGAACATGTGGAATTTTGTAATCATAAAAAAAAGTGTGAAATAACTGAAAACATGTTTTATTCTAGTTTCTTTAAAATGTAAAATGTAAACAAAAACTTACCTACACCAACTGCCAGCATTTGACCGCTTCCTGTTGCTGCCATTTTTCACTACAGGTTGGATTTCATTTAGATACAGCCAACATCACATAACATCAGCTCAGTTAGCTATCATGATCATGTGACTTTAAGTTCCATGGAGGACTACTTATTTACTGTGGATAATACAGATGGTATGGAGGCCTGTGTGTGAATGTGTTCGTGTCCCCCACATCAAAGACATTGCGGACAGCCGCTGCTTATCCAGAGCCCGCCAGATCCTTTCTGACCCCACACACCCCAACCATGGACTGTTCACCCACCTGGCGTCTGGCAGAAGGTTCTGTAGCATCTGCTGCAGAACAGCCAGATTCACAAACAGTTTCTTCCCCCTTGCCATCAGACTGCTAAATGCCAAATGACCCTTCATATAACCCCCCACTCTTAACTTGATATTAAATTCATTCATGGAGTCACAATTAAACTATTAAAGATTTCAGCTATAATGTGTTTATTTTTTTAATTTAGAGCCAAAAGTTAATGAAAATTTAGACTGAACTGAGACAAACCACAGCCTCCCAACATGAAGTTTTAGAGGTATAAGACAAGCATATCTATATAAACAAGAATTCATACTCATTTATCTTAAAAGTCAGAAATATATTAGCTCTAAATGATCAAAATAAATCCTTTAATTGACTTAATTTGACTGCTCATAAATTTGACAGCAAATTGTTTCTTTTTGTGACTGCATACAGCTGTTACATAATTAAGTTTATTGCTTAGTTTGTTGGCTCCACTTGAGGACAATGTCAACAAAGTGAAGATTCAATCAGTTAATGAAACTGTATAGTATATTTATAAATAATAAGGTTTTACAACTTCCACCCTGCTGCACTGTGTTCCTGTTTTTAGGATTTATAATGTGTAAAGAAGAACATATATCTTATTATATATACTTTTATGTATTCCACTACCACTCTACCTCCAGTAAGTGCAATTTTACTCACCATGCTTCTATTTTACCCTTTGTTTTTATTTTTTTATTTTTTCTGTATATTAAATTAAACACAATTACAGCTGTGATATGGAAGCCAAGCAACAACATTTCATTACAGAGAGAAATCACTGCTGTTTTATTCTATGCAATAACAAATAAAGAAAGTCTAAGTCTAAGAATATACATAAGTTCATTATTTTGATGTTCATAGATCAACAACTGTTTTTTTCCAACATATCTATACCCTAGAGAAGAGTCCAGGATATCTCACTGTGTTTATTAATACTGTGATTGAGTTTCCATTCATTTTCTAGGTTAGGAATGCGTGGTGCTGGTGCGCATGCGCGCCTTGGACTACTCTCGTGCTTGTTTTCCCAGCCTCGAGTCTTCGGGCTTTGTCGTTTACCTCCGTAGCTAGTTGTTGCTCGTCTGAGAGGTCTGAACGATGATTGACAATAATGGCGACGCGTTTATTCTGAGTTGACTCCAGGGAACCATCTCTGGCTGCCAAAGGAAACATTTTGGATTAAATTTCAGCCCGCCAGACAAAAACTACAAGGATTATCTACCGCCAAAAGGACTACATTTACCTCCGCGAGAAGCACTTGCTGGTCGGGAGAGGTTTATCAAGCTAGCATTGCGATAGCTAGCCACTCGGCTCGTTAGCTTGCTAAGTTGAAGAGGTGGCATTCTTGTGTGTGGAGTGGAGGAGAGGGGCAACCAGCTTGCAGAGAACTGAGATTTGTCTGGGCTAGCAATGTCCCCGCTTACAAGATTTGGGAGTAACTAGTTTTTCTCCTCGGAAACGCTTAGGAGGCTCTGGTTTGCAGTCGACGTTAGCTTGTAGGAATAGTTTTGTGAGGGTCCAGAAGCCTCCTTGAATAGCTTACTCAGCTAGCAGGCTAGGTTTGAGGACTGTTCGTTTCTTTCCTGTTAGGACTTGCTTGCTCCTTTGCACCTGGAAACTGTTCACCAGTTCTTACCTTTAGCTGGCTAGCAACGACTGGCAGCTCGCTTACTATATACCCCGCATTTTTTGGAGTATATCGTGAGACCAGCTCTTAAATGACCACCGGCAGGAATAACCGAGCGATGATGGAAGGAGTTGGAGCCAGAGTGGTCCGCGGACCTGACTGGAAGTGGGGGAAGCAGGATGGTGGAGAGGGACATGTTGGCACCGTGAGGAGTTTTGAAAGTCCAGAGGAGGTGGTTGTTGTCTGGGATAACGGGACAGCCGCGAACTACCGCTGCTCAGGAGCGTACGATGTGAGGATACTGGACAGTGCTCCAACAGGTAACTTTGCCTTAGCTGGATCTATCTATTTCATCAAATCATTCACTTCCTATACAAGAAAGCTTCAGTGTCTTCACTTTTAGAGCAAATAATGGCCATTTTCTTGGGCTTTGGAGAATGCAAGCACAACCAGATCATTAAAAGTTACTTGTTGCTGTTCTGCAAAGGAGTAAAATAGTTGCACTTCTTGTTTTGTTGTAATTTTAGACAGACATCTTATGCTCCACTGCTAGTGCTTGACTGAGTCTTTGATCACATGTTTTCACAGATGCTTATCACAGACAGTTTTGTGCAAGATATGCAAAACAGCTGGATGTGACTTACAAGATATGCGAGACCACATTTAAGATAGTATTCACATACCAAGAAGTGACTGCATCTTGTACATCAAAAGGAAACTACTTCTTTGTATAGCAATGGTTCTCAACTGGTGGGTCCCGACCCAAAAGTGGGTCACGATCTGGATAGGTCACGAAAGTAAATAGTTAATGCGATTTTTATTAGATGTTTGATTTACTCTGCACACGCAACTTCAGTAGTTGCCGTCCTCATGTTGTCCCCTTCATGTGCTCTGAAATGCACTTTACTCAATTAAACAAGTGGATTTATGTTAAAGATTAGAGTCTTTTAAAGTTGTTGTTTTTTTAATACAAAAATTAGTTTGCTTGGTTTGAATTCTATAAAAGTGGGTCGTGACTGGAAAAATGTGGGTCCCAGAGTGAGACCAGTTGAGAACCACTGCTGTATAGGATGTGCTGTGTAGTGTTTGTGTATGCACAGACATAAATATGTTATGACCAAGTAAACACTATTGAGCTTCATCTCTCTTCACTTGTTGCTGCATTGCATGCCAGTACAGTTACACTTCATGGTATGTGTTCCACCTGCTCAGTTTACCTCTATCTGATGGTGCAGTTGACTCTTTGTTGTAGGTGAAGATGGTGATAAGGTGGTGTCTTCATGATTAAGCGGAGGGTTTTGTGGTCAAGCAAGTTCGTAAATGTAAACAAATATATCAGGTTGTATATGGACATGCCCCAACAGCATATTTAGGGTCAAAAATAAAAAAAAGTTGCAGCAATACACAATACACTAAAACACACAATACAGTCATAATTTATTAATGCTGACAAAACTGCCCCCTCAGGCATCAAGCATGATGGAACCATGTGTGACACCTGCCGTCAACAACCCATCATCGGCATCCGCTGGAAATGTGCTGAGTGCACCAATTATGACCTCTGCACAACTTGTTACCATGGAGACAAACATCACCTGAGACATCGGTTCTACAGAATCACCACCCCGGGCAGCGAGAGGTTAGTACAGCCTTTACCTTTACCATCATTATGCCATAACTCGTACCTACCCCGTGTGTGTGTGTGTGTGTGTGTGTGTGTGTGTGTGTGTGCACGCTTCAGCATAGACACAGGGTAGCCAGGCAATCCCTGCTCTTCTTGATTGTGATTGGTAAGCCTACCCTTTCACTCCCTTAGTTTGGCTTCAGGTTGCTTTACGTGTATGTGACATTTGAGAAGTCTGTTGTGCACCCTGCCTCACAGGCAGACAGAATCTATCTCCATGCACCCAGCCCTCAGTTGCCAGGCAACAACTCAGCCTTGTTAAAAGATTCTTTCTGACGTTTTTCAAAATGATATTGATGCAGTGCTTCCTGTTTATGAAATTTCATGAAGCGGTTAAAGTACATTAAAAGCAGCTTTTTTAAAGAGTAGACCGGATAAAGGTTTATTCACTGTCCTGCAAGTTAATTAGTGTGTAATAATAATAATAATAAGAGTAAGAATAAACACTATGGACAGAAACAAGCTGTTTTTACTTCATGTACTTGCAGCAGAATGCAACAGCCGTCCCCTGATCTTGATAGTGCTTCACTTTTCGCCATATGTCTGCCACTCAACTACATAACACTTAGGAAACCTCACTGTGTATCCTTTTGCTCTTCCATAGTTGATGTAAAGCTATCACCAGTATAAACATATTGCACTTATTGTGCCATGTAACCTACACAAACAGATTTAAGATCAAATGTGTGTTACATTAAAGACAGCGAGGCAACTCTCTGAAGTGTCAACCTTGTTAGAAAGTTGAGCAAATATTTTCTTCATTTCGGGAACTAAAAGTTAACAAAAAAAATTAACTTAAGCTCAATTCAGGAAATCCGATTCAGAGGTTTTAACATCACAGAGGGTGTGAAAACACTGGCCTGGAAACATAACAAGGCGTTTGAACACATTACAACTAAGCTTACATGAGGTTGTGTTTGGGTGTGTGTTTGTATCTACAAGGAGGCGTAATCGATGTGTATCTACCCTCAGGTTAGTAAAAATTACCTGAAGTCGCAGAAGGGAAACAATGTTTAAGGTGTGGTGTGTGGGGGCTAGAAAAGTGGTTATATCAACTAATTCATGTACAGACAGGAAGCTTGTTGAAGGCAGCTGTACTCTGTGCATTCATGGATGTTCAACGCAGAGATTAATGTGACTCATTTGTTTTAGGAATTTCTTGACGTCAAACCAATCCCGGATTTAATTTTCGGACATTAAGTGTGTTTTTTTTTAAATCTTTTAGTGAGTGTGCACGCTCGCTTACACTTGAACCTGTTATCACATAGACTGCCAGTGCTGTGATGATGTCCCATCCATTTTCAGGCCTGTTGCAGCCAAACACAATAGTTTAGTAAATGAACACATGGCCCAACAGCTGGCAGCCTTTTCAACTGGGTACAACTTCATTTCCCCTGAGACAGACATTGCATAATTGAACAATAGGTGCTGGAGATCGCCCCAATTCACAATGCTCCGACAGCGAGGTGGAGTGTTTTGTTACACCACATTAGATTCTGTCACTAACTGCCGAAGAGGGAGTGGTTAGAGGCCCCAAGCTGTTTGTATTGGTTAGATCTACACTGTCCAGCTGCCGTGTCTAGCACCAGGTCTCACACTTTTGCGAGATGGTTTGAAGCTGTGCTGGATGTTTTATTAGCTGTTTGTGCTTTTTTTGTTAAAATTATAGCTAACTGGAATTGAGACTTCAGGTTTCTTCATCATGGTGGTGCCAGATTTTATTTAAAAAAAAGGCATTTGCCTATTTAAGTACTGGTTTGAAAGTCACATTTGCAGTGCCGTGATTGGTGGGTATGAATGAAAAGGAAGGTGGTTGTCAGTGAAGTGTGACGGTCCTGTTCTTACACAATAACCTTGTCATTTGAAATGTTACGACTTGACACCAACTTTTCAATGATACACATTTCCTTAAATTTGATTTTAAAAATACCTGCATTTAAAAGACTTACTCGAAATAAACTTGTTGTTTCAAATTAACAACAAAGATCAGAGGTGACCTGTTGCTCACCCGTGTGGCAAGTTTTTCAGCGTCTGTTTGTTTCCCTGTCCTCGAACATCAGTTTGCTGAAGCAGAGACAGTCGTGGTTGTCGGGCTGAATGATAAAGCACTAGATTAGATGCTGTTTAAGCCCAATACATACAGTGACATTTTTCATCTGTAGTGTCGTCTCAGTCTCATTTGCTGAAAGTAATTTACGCACCAACTTAAGCAGAGTCAGCATCAAGAGAAGGCCAGGAAAGGACACCAAGTAGCATCCCCTCTGCAGTGCATGTTTGATAACAGTAGAATAAAACTGTTACTTGATTCTTGTCATCAGAAACCTTTTTATGGTTTGGTTTGGATTAATCTGACTTTGATTAAAGTTTTGGCCTTGAACTGAAATAACTGTGTTTTGTTTTTAAACTTTTTTATCCGAGCAGAGTTCTTTTGGAGTCCCGTCGGAAGTCGAAGAAAATCACAGCCAGAGGGATCTTTACTGGTGGCAGGGTGGTGAGAGGAGTGGACTGGCAGTGGGAAGACCAAGATGGAGGCAATGGAAGGAGAGGAAAGGTAGGGTAAAAGCCTGCAGACTTCACTCCAATCCTTCTTTACACCTTAAAGTTAGCCGTTCAGCCTGGAAGACAACAGTTGGTTACTCTGAGGTGCAAACCAAAATAAGTCCTGCAGTTGGTCATCCACAAAAAAAAGTTGCTTGAAAAGATAGTTCTGGTCCTACTTTCTCTTCCTGTTTCTTTTTCAATAGAAAGAAGTGAAAGAATTTTTCAGTGAATTCTTTTTAATTACGCTGGTGATGTTGTTCGGTGTGCACAGATACTGGTTCATTTTTTCCCCCTGCTACTTGACAAAGTTACAAAAATGACTATAAACTTGCCCCTTTATTTTATTGCAAAGCTGCAAAATTAAGTGGATAATAAATCCCTTGAGGTGAGACAGGCTTTATGAGCTTGCTGGGGGCTATCATGATAAAATGTGTGCCGCTGAAATAAGCACCTGTGTGATGGTCGCATAAAAAACAAAATCAAGAATCTTTAGGGAGGAAAAAACAAACTTGCATCCAGGATATGAGTTAATCTAAAATGTGCAGCGGCCTCAATCAAAACAGGAAAGACTCTGCCTGTACCAACATGTTATTAGCATGGACATACTGTACTGCAGGCATGTGGGAACACAAACAGTCCAGACCTATGGAGCCTAGCTAGCTGAGCACAGTTAAACTGCAGTTTAGATTTAATGCCATCTTGACGTATACACAGAGAACAACACCTCAGTTGTGAATCTTTTGACTTCATAGATGTAACATGACTTACCTGTAGCATAAGCATAAGATTTTCCCTGTTGTCTGACCTGAGCAGCCATATGAAGCAGATGTAATCAGATGTAGATGTGGTTTGTTATTTAGGTACCGATACAGAGTTCACTAGGAAACCTTTATTCTCTGCTTTCATTCTGCTGATTCCTTTGTATCTTCACAGAGGCTATAAACTTCCTTCCTTCCTTGCTGCAGGTTGTACCCGGTATAAATACATCATTAGAAAGTAATACAATGTCTGATGAGGTTGCATTTGTTTAGCACAGTCTATTTAGATTTATGCTGTAAATGTGCTGTAAAGTGCTTGTATTTTGACTCTGGTCCAGACCCCAGAGTATTCAATTTAAGAGTCCCTCGCGGCAATTTAAGACTTCATTTTGCTGTGTTATTTAATGGCATATCTCATTACTGTTTTATGATGCTGTAAGCAATATGCTCTCCAGAAAACTGCTATTGCATGTCCTGCAGCTTAGATGTTCCATTAGTTTAGCATGAATATTACCTCCTAAGGCCCATTTATCAATTACCTCTGTAAAGGGCCTGGAAATAATTTAACGATCTGATTTCTGTATTTACTTAAGGCAAAGCGTTTAATTAAAGAATTCATTTACTCCAATGCTGCTCTTCTCTTGACACTCTTCAGTTTGATGGAAACGTTGCAGCGCTGCTAGTCTCAAGTGAAAACTCTAAACTTAACGTCCAAATTTGAATTGATTTTCAGTCCCCCCGTCGTAACTCGCTGCATATTTATGCACACAACAAATAATATTCCACGGCTTAGAGGCTTTTCAAACTTTATTAGCCTAAATCTACTGGCCAGCTCAGACCACAAAAGTTAGGGAAAGCTTTAGATATAGTGTGATATGAAAACCACAGAGAGAAAAATGGGTGATCTTGATTTTGGACCAGCAGGTGAAGCACACTGGGGGGTTCAGTGGAACAGATGCTTAGGTCATGAATTAAATTTTCAGTCCTTTTCTTTTACAAATTGACCATTATTCATTTAGATAACTGATTTAGAAGTATTTTTAGAATTAAAGGGTTAGTGACATTTTTAAAGCAGCTTGGATGTTTAAAAGAATCAGAGGTGGTTCGCAGGTGTCTTATATAAGTGAATATCTACAGTAGGGCCCGACCAATACGGATTTTTTGGGGCGGATGCCGATGCTGATACCAATTATCAGGGGGGGTCCGATTACCGATTCGTCAGACGATTTTTTTTTTTTTAATTATGAAGTTAAAAAAAATGTATATATAAATATATATATATATATATATATATATATATATATATATTAGATATACTGTAGGCTACTGCTCTTCACGCCGACAGGAAGACCGACTGATCAAACTCGGACCAGAAAAGCGTTGCCAACTAACCCCCTGCCGATTGGTACCTCCACGTCTTAACTCACGTTGCATTTCCAGTCCGGTCTCATCTGGAGACATGCAGCTGCCTCAGTAAGAGAAGTAGCTCCATCATGTAATGTGTACTGTTGTTTATTCTATACCGTTACTGGCACGGCTAACAGTGTAGCAAGGCTAATAGCAGATGGCTAACTCTAACTTTAGCTTGCACATTACATGGTGCTTCACTGTTAACTTGCCGTGACCGAGACCAGCACAGCGGGGAACATCGTGAAGTGGGTTGAACTGAAACTTGTTGACTTATTGTGTATTTCACAAACTGGTTTATTTACCGTTGAGGCGGACCACTCTCCTCCGTGCGTCTCTGAGCTGCCTGCTTCAGATCCGTCACTCTGCTGGGCTGTGAGGTTGTCGTGAGGTCACTGCGCCATCTTCAGGATAAGACGGGGAACTTTTCAAATGGCGGAACATTTTCGAAGTGAAACCGAATCTTATTCTCCGCATTTTATTTCTGAAAATATCGGCGGAAATCAGCGAGTTTTGGCTGATTACCGATTACTCTCAAACGGGCTAAAATTGGCCGATTTAATCAGCTCGCCAATAAATCGGTCGGGCCCTATTATTCATTTAGATTACTGATTTAAATTGTTTTAATAACTAAAGAGTTAGCGACATTTCTAAAGTATCTTTGGATGTTTAAAAGAATCAGAAGCGGTTTGAAGGTGTCTTATATAAATGAATATCTACAGCAGTGATTTCCTGTTCTGTGAAAACAGTGGAAGTTTCCAAGTGTTGTTACAGCATCAGTTTGAGATATGCTTTGAAGTGGTGTGATGATAAATGTTTTTATTACTAGCTTTTGGCATTCTGTTCAACCACGACCAGAGTTTGTTTACAGCTCTTGATTATGCTTCAGAAAGCTCATAAATAAAGCATCCAAGGAAATGAATGCAGGGGACCTTCCTTGTATGTACATATTTGGATTCCCAGACTCTGATTTTGAGTTAACTACTCATTAGCAGAAAAAAGGATCCCATCTACTTGCCATTAAATGAGGTATAATGTTGAAAGTTAGTCGATCTGAATTTCAAAGTTCTCACAGGCCCCGTCCGCTGACTCAGGTCAGACTGTGCACCACTGGCCTTTTTCTTTTTGGTGTTGTTTTTTTTTTTGTCTGAGATAACAACACAGTAATGGTTACAGAAATTTAATTAAAAGATTCTTTGAGATTACACAACAATCCTCCAATGATTTTAAAGAGGGTAACATTTGAGGTTTTAGTATTGACTTTAGGATTGCAAACCGGAGAGAATTAAAACAAATTTTAATTGTGATCCAGAGAATGAAAACTGCAGTCTCATCTGTTCTTGATGAGTTTTTTCTGAAGTAAGGAATTTGATTTATTTTCATAGATAAAAATTGGTTGCTTTTTTGCTTCGTAACAACTTCCTTTATTTGTCAACAACTTTTTGCATCCATCAAATGCACAACCACTCGTAATGTCAGAAAAATTGCACATGGTAGAATTACTGAAAGTCATGGCAGACATCATGCTTTTCGTATATCTTCTCTGTTTTCCTCATCATGCTCTTCCTCCTCCTCCTCAGGTGACAGAGATCCAGGACTGGAGTGCAGCCAGCCCTCACAGCGCTGCCTACGTTCTGTGGGACAATGGGGCCAAGAACCTGTACAGAGTTGGCTTTGAGGGGATGGTGAGCGAACTTCCAGCCTGACCCTCACGCTCAGACCCTCCCTCACACACAAACGCACACACCGAGTCTCACAAAAGATCAGCTGTCCGATGGCTTTTGTGTCTGACCGCGGGGCCGAGACTCTTTCTTTAGCTGCCAGGCCTTTGTGGGAGCCACGCAGCCAGCATGAGTAAGGCACTATTGTAAAGGCAGCTGGAAGGGGAAGGTATCTGCATGATAAAGGCAAGCTGTTCTTTCTGCTTCTTCGGGGGAGAGAGTGAACATGGAGGTCAACTTTAGAGGAGGGGGACATTCTCTTAGGCTTGTGGCAGGGGCCGCTATACACGCGTCTCAAATGAAAACGCTTCCTCCCCATTGGTGGAGACTGCCCTTGCCTTCTATGAAAGGAGCCAATCAGGTTTTCTGGGTTTCCTAACAGATTCGCCCTTTGTCATACCAAGAGGGTAATGTTATGTAGATGCCATTCGCCTCTAGATTAAGTAAATCATGGCTGAGACCACCTATCTTGACTGGTTTATTTCTGCTGTCTTTTATTTAGACCGTGATCAAATCCTCCAAACGACAGATGAGTTATTCGAATGCAGCATGAGGGGACGACACCTTTCCCTGTATAGTAGTGTCTGCTTTTTGCTCCTAGAGAAATTAAATCATAAGTTTTCTCTTGCCTGGATATAGGAGCGCAGACCCGGGTTATTAATTTGTTTAGACTTGTTGTAGTCAGGACTTAAGTGCTCCATCAGTTCTCAGGAATGTTTGCTCTGCCTCGCGATCATCACTGCCCTCTAACTCTGCCACAGTAGCTGCACATCTGAGTCATCACAAATGATACAAAGCTCCCTCTCTGTAGCAATGTAGTCTTTCATTGTCCTGCCTCAGCCTCAGGGTGCAGATATTGAAGGGAACTACACTGACGCTACAGCTTAGAGTGTGTACACTCTCAGTTTCATTATTCATGATCATTGTTCTCCTCCACTAATGAAATTACCCTTGGTAATTATCTAACCACTTCCCTCTTGTCTCTCTCAGTCGGATCTGAAATGTGTCCAGGATGCCAAAGGAGGCTCTTTTTACAGAGACCACTGTCCTGTTTTAGGTAAGTAAGCCGCTGATCTGTGTCCACCGTCATTATTGCACCAATTCTTTCACCTATCGTTCTGGTGCAGTGAATTCAAGGGCATTAGGGGAATTTAACTTGCAGTTAGTTCAGCTCAGCCACTAGATGGCAGCACCACATAGTCACTTGGCTCCCCAACTGGGTACAGAGTCAGGTCATGCAGTTACAGTAGTCCAGTACATTACAGTATTTATTCTCCTGTTTCTTTTTTAATGAAAATCATTTTTTGAACACCCTTTAAGTGTTATTTTTAATTAATTTAAATGACCTTTATACACGTGTAAATAAAGTTTTAATGAGTGAAACCTCAATTTAAATAAGTTTCCCTGTTTTTTTCCCTAGGTGAACAAAATGGCAACAGAAATCCCGGTGGTCTTCAGATTGGAGATCTGGTCAACATTGACCTAGACCTTGAAATCGTTCAGTCCCTACAACACGGCCACGGCGGGTGGACTGACGGCATGTTCGAGACGCTTACCACCACCGGCACAGTTTGCGGTATTGACGAGGATCACGATATTGTCGTTCAGTACCCCAGTGGGAACAGGTGAGCTCTAAAATGTGCTGGCTCAGAACTGTTGGCTCACAATGAATCAGCAAAGCCTCCATATATTGAGTCTTTTTTATCGCCCTTTTCACCTCAGTTTTACCCCAAACCACCACAAATTTCTTTTTATAACATCACTGTAAAATATATTTACGGCTTGTTAAACGTATGAATCGAGAGCTTTTTGAAATCTGTGGTCAGTTTGTAGTAAAGATGTATAAAGAATTGGAGCCTCTAAAAATCAAACCTTTGTAATTGTCCATCTTAACTGTGAATTATCAGTCCGCTGTTAGTATTCAGAAACTTATCCTCACCATTCATATGTGCACAGTTGAAATAACTGCCGTAATTTTACACCATTTTACTGTAGCTTGTAAATCCTTTGACTTTATTCTTGGCCAAGGGTCCTTTATAATGAACTGTGAGCGCTTCACTTTGAAACCCTGCGTTTATGTCTGTATCTTCAGGTGGACATTCAACCCTGCAGTGCTGACGAAGGCCAACGTAGTGCGCAGCGGTGAGGTAGCAGCCGGCGCAGAGGGAGGCAGTTCCCAGTTCCTAGTGGGAGACCTGGTTCAGATTTGCTACGACATTGACCGCATCAAGCTGCTGCAAAGAGGCCACGGAGAGTGGGCTGAGGCCATGCTGCCTGTAAGAGTCTGAATGATGTTGACGTTTCTTAAATCTGCCACTTGTTTTAATGTTTTTAGGGGTTTATGATCGCAAATAGATATCTGGGAGCAATAATTTTCAACTGATTTTCAAAAGTTGATTCTGAATAGTTTAAAAGGATGTGTCTGTGTGTTTTAATCAAATTAATCTGCGAAGTACAAATTCAAATTAAAACAGCCCAGACGATTGCAGCTGTAAATATATCCAAGCACCAATATGTCTGAATATTTCAACTTCTACAACCAAACAGTTTCACTTCAACCAAACAAAGATCTTGTTATTTATATTAGTTGAAAATCCAGGACATTTTTGGGTTGTTAATTAGGTTTTTGTGCTTGTAGGACCGATAATTTCTGTGCAAATGGCTTCCACAAATCAAGCCCCATCCGTCTCGCTCTGTAACTCGCTTTTACCATCACACGTAGCGGTGCCTGTCCTTTATTTGCTCTAAAGAGGTAACAGCTGTCAGTACACGCAGAGAAATGAGTCCCCCCTCTTAACAGACTATGACTCTGCTTCAGTCTCATTTTTTTTTCCCGAGCATTTTTTTCCAGTCTCGACACAATTTTATTCTTCCCTTATTACATAGTTTATTCATTGCTGCCCAGCATGCCTCAGGTTATGTAACGCCGGTCTACTCCAATATGCCACTTGTCCCTGCCAAACTGGCCCCCCTCAGCAGCTAATGAGCCTTAAAACCCTGAGATGGGTTGCAGCTTTGATCACTAACCACGGCTGTTTGCCGCCCGCCGCTGCTCCTACTGCAGCAGTCCCCGTTATTGATGGCATCCTCCAGGACAGCCCCGGACCCCGCTCGACACACTCAGAGTGCCTCTTTCTCATATAGCCGGGACCGAGATGATATGATTCAAAATTGGAAAGCATTTTGCTCTGTCCTCTCTGTATTGCCTTTTTAGATGAAAAATAGCCTAGTCAGAAGAGGGGTCTCTTTCTTTTATATCCATCTTCTTTTGTGCGCAAGTAAATGTGCCCTGAATAATGAGAACGCGGCTTTTATCTGTAATATTTAGTTTTATATTGTAGTCAGTTTTTCATTTTTGCAACCATCTTTGTTTCTGCTCAGTGTAGAACAATTGTTTTCTTGGGCTGGTATTGTTTCCATTTTATCGTTTCCTCCACTCTCTTATTTTTCTGCTGCTCCTAACAATCTCTCTCCGTCTTCACTATGCCTCTTACAGGCTCTGTTACACAGCCCCAAAACAGCCCTTCATACACTAATGAATTTGTCCCAACATTTATCAACAGACCCTAGGCAAGGTGGGCCGTGTGCAGCAGATCTACTCTGACAGTGACCTGAAGGTCGAGGTTTGTGGAACCTCTTGGACGTACAATCCTGCCGCTGTCACAAAGATTGCCCCCTCCGGCTCTGCTGTCAGCAACGCTTCTGGAGGTCCGTACGAACACCCAGTACCAACATAAAGAAAGTGTCATCTTTGTTGTTCGCCTTTCTCTGACATTTGCATCCCGTAACTATTTGATGTTGTCTCTATTTTGTCCAGAGCGTCTTTCTCAGTTGCTGAAAAAACTATTTGAGACACAAGAATCCGGAGATATTAATGAGGAGCTGGTCAAAGCTGCAGCCAATGGAGACCTGGCAAAGGTGGAGGACATCCTTAAGAGACCTGATGTTGATGTAAGTGTTTAAAATTGTCCCATAATACGGCTGCTGCGTTTCTAGATAGATTTTTGGAGATCACCAGGATATTTCACCATTAGATTCCTTCAAAAGATCTAAGTAGATTGATAATTGGAGGTGGTATAGCTCTGGCTGTGCTCTGCTCTGCTCGCAGTCTATTGAAGGGGCTGAGAGTCTCCTAGGAGGGAGCTCTGAGATCCTCCCACTCCTGCACCTCTCTCAATCTGAAAAGCATTAAGGCCGGGCCCAGAGGAGACACCAGGGAGCATTGGTGTGCACTGCAGCACAGACCCGATTCACTCTTCGAATCAAGCTGAGATCTACAAACCCCATACGGCAGCACATTGTGTTCTGACACAGGCCACAGGCCGGGGAAAACACCCCGTTTGCCATAGGACAGGAGCCTGTGCTCTGCATTGGTTATGAGAACGAGCTATGTCAAGTCTGCAATACTGTCGTCACTCAGAGAGCAAGAGAGTGAATGAGTGTGTGTGTGTGTTTTCGTGTGTGTGTCTCAGTGGTGAAGGCTGGCCAGATGCCCTACTGCCTTTCAGTGGAATTATTTGCTTAAAGCTGAGCACACTGAGCTTGGCCAAGTGATCCGCCAGCTAGGACAAGAGACGACTCGAGACTCCCAAAGGACTCCACATTAATATTCATGCTCTTAGTTTTTGCAATGCCGCAGTTGGTGATGAAACATGCACACCCAGCCATGCGCGCACACACACATACGGACGCTTTAACACACCCTCGCAAATCTCTTAGCCCCTCAGGTGGACAGCTAATTCATTTGAGGCATATCTAATCTTAAACATGACACGACTCGCATTCATATTCACACTTTGCCTCCTGATGTGTTTACAGGTGAACGGGCAGTGTGCTGGACACACCGCGATGCAGGCAGCCAGTCAGAATGGACACGTGGACGTCCTCAAGCTGCTGCTCAAACACAATGTGGACCTTGAAGCCGAGGTTTGAAATCCTTTTAACGTTTCGCAAATGCGTCCAAGTCTACCCAAGTGTAGAAATCCACCAATGGACACAAAGCAAATGTCTAATCATCATGCGGGTGTGTCCCTGTACAGGACAAAGATGGAGACCGGGCAGTGCACCATGCAGCCTTTGGTGATGAGGGCTCTGTCATTGAGGTGCTGCAGAGGGGCGGTGCTGACTTGAATGCCAGGAACAAGCGAAGGCAGACTCCATTACACATAGCTGTTAACAAGGGCCATCTGCAGGTGGTCAAAACCCTGCTGGACTTTGGCTGCCACCCCAGCCTCCAGGTATCTATCCCTTAGTTATCATGTGAATGTTAAATGCATAGGCTTTAACAGATGATGCAGACTGGGATGTATTCGGTCTGTTTAAACATCTTTTAATACGCGTCTTTGTTGGAGGTGTATTTACGACTACACAGGGAAGAGAGTTCTCTTTAAGCAGGCTTTGACAGATTAGAAAGAGAGTGGCGAGTAACACAAGATTGTCATTTCAGGATTCAGAAGGGGACACACCCCTGCATGATGCTATAAGCAAGAAGAGAGATGACATGCTGTCTGTGCTGCTGGAGGCAGGTGCTGATGTCACCATAACCAACAATAACGGCTTCAATGCTTTGCATCACGCTGCCCTGCGAGGAAACCCCAGGTATGGAGCACTACCCTGCTCATGCTAACTATTACCCCTATTTGGTGTCTCGAGGATATCAGGGCGCGTTAAAGTGGAATTGTGCTTGAGATCCAAACGAAAGGCTTTTAGGGAGACCTGAGGTAGGACCGGGTGAAATGACCTAGTGCTTAAATCTTCAATTCAGATTGATTTCCTCTGTGATTGATTTTTCTTTTTCCTCTAGAGGAATAACCGACAAATGACAAAGAAATGTCTCGAAACGGGATTTCAGTCACAGGGCGATTGGTTCGTCTTGGTAGTCGTCAGGGAAGTAAGCTGTTTGGAGGCAGAAATGTTGCAAAGCTTAGTTGTCGTTGACAAAATGCACTGTCAAGCTCATGTAAGGGCTAAGGCATAGTTTGACTGGACTGTATGTCTGCTGGAGTGAAATTAAACAACATGCCCTTGAGCCATACTGGGAATGTTTTTTACATGTTCAGTTGCAGGGATGAGGCACAACAGCTCCAGTTAAATACTTTTGGCTTGTTAGTTTTGAGTTTTAAGGATGTGGTCGAAGTCAGGTTTTTCTGCTGCACACATTTACACTATGTCTTTGGTGATATACAACATGACTGCATCAGTGTTGGCTTTCTTGTGCCCCTTTCTTGTCATACACAACACAATCAGAAGTAATTCTGCTAATGTTGGCTGCTTTGTCGCAGATATTCGTGGGCTTTAGCAGTCTTATGTGTCTTGTCATGAGACGCATTTGTGTCTTTCAGCTATTTACCGCTTTTTAAGATATTGTGATGTATTTGTCAAGCTGCTACCTTGAGCTGCAGTGGCCTTTAAACAATGTTTGTGATCTTTTTACACCGTTTTTTTTTTCAGTTTTTGTTGTGTGTCTCTCTGTAGGAAGTAAATTGATAGAGGGAGTGAATGAACTTTGAGGGCCCAGAGCAGTGAAGGAAGTTAAAGTGAAAATCTAGATTTATATTATTTTAAAAGCATCCTAAACCTGAAGTATGAACTGATCTATAAAAATGATTTATCACCTAGCCCTAGCCTAAGGTTGATTCAGACATGCTAAATCTAAACTCTTATTACCATATCATGTCTTTCTAAGCATCGTAGACTCCTGGTTTAAAATCAGTCTGAGAGAGGAGTGAAGCTTTATCCCTTAAATTAGAATCTGACATATTTTTTTTTGTCTGTGTCTTAATTTCATTAAAAAGCTTTATCGAAACTTTGAGAACGTTGGTCAAATCTATAACCGCCGCACTTGATTTTCAGCGTCTTAGCAGCCAGACGACACAGGCCATGGCAGAATTACTAATCTGTGACCACTAATCCGTTGCTTAATCATCCTCCTTTGGAATGACAAATTTGGGCTTACTACCTACAGGTCTAAACCAGGAGACAGACTCAGTTTAATCATGAATACAAACAAAACTCACAAATTTAATTAACTGGCAAAAGATCCTATTGAGGCATCAGCATTATATATAAAACATGCAAAATTTAGATTTGATTTTATAAACTGTAGTGCAGATAGAAAGTAATGGTCACCTATGGCTTATGATTGCAGTATATTTAAATGTTCTTAGGAAACGTGAACACCTTTAGATCAATAAGATTAATCAACTTCTTGTCTATAATATTTGTCCTTTAATTTTTTGATCTAAAATAAATTTACTGCTTAAATTCGTCCACAGATTCCACTTAAACAGAAACTTAAAGTATTTTAGAGCCTTAAAACATGGAGCGGTTCAGTTGAAGCACCTCAGTGATCTCATTCTGTGTTGCAATAAAAATGTACTTTGGAGTCACTATTTAGTTTGACATTGATTGAAGTTAAAAGCAGGCCTATAGGCTTCATCCATTTCCCTAACAGATGGCGTGGTCTCAAGTTGACATTATGCTACCTTTGAGGCCTTGAAAGCATCTGTCTCGTGTTTATTTCTTTTATTATTGAAGCTAATAGCCCTTGAAATTCATTTGTTGTTTGTTTTTACTGTTATTGTGGTCCATCACCGTGTGTTGAAAGCACAAGCTGGCCCGAAGCGGTCGGCCTGTGCATCAGTTGCCCCGTCCTTTGATCATAGCGATTTTGTGAGTCTCTTCTCCACTCTCTGGCAGTTTTTATTCGTCTTTCTCAACCATATTAATAATAGTCCAGTAAGACAGCAATCTGTATCAGGTGGATCAGCCCAGTGTGTCTTCAGCTGATGGACATAGCGTTACAGGGTCAGAGTTTTAGACTGGAGCCATTTCTAGAAAAAGTTAATAGCTGCTTGTTGTGCTGAGCGCTCTGGGTGTGTAAATGTCTGCGCATGAACATGGTTATCCTAGGCGAAATGTCATTCCCCTTCACTGGCATTCATTCTTTTGGCATTGGGACAAATGGAATTGAGGTCAGAGAGCTGTGGAGCACCTGCCACCTGCCACAAGCATGGTCAGACTCAGCCCTCCACCTCTATGGCACACACTGCAGAATGGATTGTCTGAAAATCAGTGGCTGTTTCCTGTGCGGTTTACTGATCGGTTGATCCGCTGATTGGTTTAGACATTAAAGTAATTACATTCATTTACAGAGCGGTGTTTATCCTGGCAGGTGCCTAGTAGTCTTCATCAAATTGTGTTTGCGAATAAGTGAAATAAATCTACAGATGGTGATGTGAAATTTTCTGTTTCCTAAAATAAATGGGAAAAAAACGAGACAAAATTATGACGATAAAAAATAAACTAATCGAAGCTCAAATGAAAGTCTTGAGGTGGTAATAAAACATGAATTTAAAAAGAATACATGTCAATAAAGCAGAGCATAATAATCATTCTACTTAAGTAACACTTCATTTACCTTCATGACCATTTACTTGAGCAGAAGTAAAACTACCAGCTTGTTTGTCAACTTCAGTAAGAGTAAAAGTACTTTATTTTTTATCATTACTGTTCACTCACTTTTAGCCCACGCCTGTTGGGTTTGAAGGAATAAGATACACCACCCAAATTTTGTGGGACTGCATCCTTCCAAACTTGTTGTGGTAATATAATCAACAGCATTAATAAGTGGAGTGATTTTGACTCAGCACATATCCAGAGTGAAACTGTTAAAAAGCTTTGCAGCATCTTGTGTCAAGATTGCAGTTTGCAGATGATTCTTGCACACCTTCAGTCATGACTTTCTGTGTAGAGAGGACTGTTAATACGGGACAAACATAAAGGCCTTATTGACTGTAATGAGTAAAAATGGCCGCCGGTGCAGCAGGCACAATATTCTTGATAAATGCCTCGAACAAGCTCATTTTTACTCAGACAGGAGTTCTTAAAAATGTCGCAAAATAAAACACACTCCACTGAAACTATCTTAGTTAAAGTTGTTGTAAAAAGTACAAGTTCTCAAAAAAACTGCATAGTTATGAGTAAATGTTATTGGTCATTTTCCACCCCTGATAATTGTAAAGACAGTTAAAGCAAAAAACAAGTCATTACAAACCTTTTCACATCATTTAAAATAAAAAAAGAAAAATAGCTTGACTGCTCTGTCTCCTTTCAGCAGGATTTTTAACAGCTGATAATCTCTTAAACTCTAATGTAACTTTATTTTATAGATAGTTTTTTTTCACCAATTCAAATATCATTTAAATTTCATTAAAGAGTATACATTTCTAAATATCACACACACACACACTCACACACTTACAAAACTGGCCACACAGTCGGCGTTTAAGCTTTACAGACAGGAAGAAAAAAGCAAAAAAAAATACAAAGCAGCTTCATTGTCTTTTATTCTACAGCTTTAAAACTTTATTGAATAATAGTCGACTTATTAAGGAGAGGTCACACACTGTTAGAAAATTGCTTGCATCGTAAATATTAAAATGCAGTGTGTGTGTATGTGTGTGTGTGTGTGTGTGTAATGCGTTTATGTAAACCAGGACTCGGAATACAAAGGCGCAGAAAGCTGCTGTAGGACTCATTGATTAAGTGGCGAAAAGTGCACAGTACAGTATTTTCTGTATCAGGGCCCTTGTTACGTTGTGTGCATGGGGTGTGTGTGTTTTGTGTGTAAGTGTGTGTTCCTCACTGCAGTCCACTCTCTGTCCCTTTGCCTTCAGAGAAACGAAGATATATGTCGCCTTCTCCAGTCTGCCCATTTACTTTTATTTCACACTCGAGCTCCCGCAATATCAGGGAGACAGTCCACGAGTCCTAAAGCCCTCGAAAATCTCTCCCCTGGTTGAAGTGAAAGTACCTTGTCTGGTGTGTTTTTAGTCGAAAGGCGGCTGTTTCAGTCGAGTGCTTAGAGGAATTCCTGCTATAACATCATACTCCTAAAAAGTACCTGCGATTATCGTCACGATGAAGAGCTTAGAGTTGAAAGTTGATCACAGAAGGGCTCTGAATAATATTGAAAGTCCGCCCCTCTCGTTGTTATAAATCATTATTATTCCTGATAGCGGGCCCACTCTCCTCTCAACTTGTGTTTAGATTCAGCCGCAGCACAGAACGTTCTGCAATAAAACAAGTTAAACAAGTCTTATCCTTCATTTCTCATCAAAACTAATACAAAAAGAAAAGCCGTAAATACTTTCTGCTTTCTAACGCCTTCTCTAGCTTTTTGATTCAAGTAGAGAGTGTGACAGAGACCCCGGTGTGTGTGCGCGTGTGTGTGTTCGTGTGTAATTTGTGTTCTGTGGCTGGGTGGGTCTTCCAGCAGTGGAAAGAAGATTGAGGAAGACTCACAGGAAGAACCCTGTGGGTGACAGATGATTCTTTCAACTCTGAGTCCCAAATACAGAGACAAATCAACTCTACCATCAGGGGGGCAGCAGGGACTGGGGAGTTTTACAATATTTCACCTCGTTCATTACACACACACACACACACTCACCCACACACACATACTCGGCGACAGAGTGTGAAGGTATTTCCTCATAAATTAGGCCTTGTTGTTAACTTTTACAATTGCTAGTAAATTGAAAGTGCTCTTATAACCTGTAGTAACGCGTTAAGGGCAGGATTTTTTCGGACATCCACATCGTGTGTTCTCTCTGTGTTTCCCACTGCCTTGGCCTTGCCAGGAGAGCCTGGTTTGTGTCTTTTCCTCGGGCCGCTCAAAGCCAGTAGCTGCTACAATACTGTAAACAATACGATTAATAGCCCATGACTCATAAAAGAGCCCCAAACAAGCCCTGCAGCAGCGCTCTGTACCTTTCTTTCTGTGTCACCTCCTCGTAATATTTGCCCTCCTCGTGTAGTGCTCCGCTTTCTTTTAATGCGGGTGATACACAGGTAAGCCCTGTATGATAATTATAACACCTGAGTGGAGAGAAAGTCCTGTTAGTAATGTGCTCTAAAATGCAGAATCACAATTAATTGAATAAATTGGGTCAAATGTTTGCATTTAGAAAGACTCTACACTATGTTCACATTGTAGGTGGTTGCCATTAATTGAATTACAATTTTGTCACTCAGTTCAAACTAGTTTCAACAAGATTGACTCAAAATCGAGTAAGCTTGGTCCTCTTATATATCCCCCTTTATGTCATGGTTATGGTTAAAAGTAAAATTTAAACTTAAGCTCAGAGAAAAAATAAAATCAGGAATAATTTTCAGTCATCAGAATCTGATTTGTCTCTACAAGGAAATAAGAAAAAGAAATATGTGCTTCGAGTGAGGAGCAGAATTTAAATGTATTTCTAAATACCTCAGACACATCCCCCAAATGAGTGTAAGAAATCAGCAGAATAAGATTGACTTTGTTATAAGATTTTCAGGGAACTGATCTAATTATGTTCATTTTCTCAGAGTTTGGTGTAAAGTTTCAAATTAAAAAGCTACGCAGCAGGATCAGGGCTACCGAATGACCGTTGTCTTTGCTAAATAAAAGAAGAGACGGAAAAGGAGTGATTGAAAAAGAAAGGTGTGCAGGTGATGCAGTGTGTGTGAATGCAGTTTGGATCTGCCAGCCCCCCGTTCTGCAGTAAGAAGCGAATGAGTGAGAATGTAACTGTCCGCTCCTGTGATTTGTGCGCTCAGCTTCTGTCCTCTAGAGCATCTGGCTCCCATCTACCCCAGCTTGTCTAACATCCCTGCAAGAGGCTTCAGGGAAAGGAGGCCAAAGATTCTGAGTTTGTTTGTGCGCATGCTGCAGTCTATAAACGACTATCCTCTCTCTGCTCCCCCCTTTTTTTTTTGTTTGCTGCACTTTTATTTTGCCGTTTCTTCTGAGTCGCTGTCGTACTCTGTAAAGCCGCATTAACGTCCCCCCCCTTTATTTATTCTTTTGTCACTCCCACCCAGAGCGTGATTGACCGTTAGTATCCTGTGTCAGTCAGTTAAGGAGGTGTCCAAGCAAGACAGCCGCACATTCTCACAGAGGCATGTGAGTGCTGTGTTTCTGAAATAGCCCACGCTGCATGTCTACCCTCCCCTGCTATTTTTGAACCAGCCATTGATAGTGTGGTCAGAATATCAATTCCGCTGAAGGCAGAGAGGTAACACTCAGTCAGAAAAGTGGACGACGGCAAAGTTTTGAAGCGCAGATTTGTGTCTTTATTCATCAAAAAATAAGACATTGAACATAAAAGTCACTGCTGAACAGTCCAGATGTTGTAGGTAGAAGAAAAGCCATGAGCCAGTCATCATCAAGAAGAAAGCTGCTGTCATTACAGTGATTGAAGACATCAAAGCAGAAGGAGCTCCTGTAGTCATCAAAGCATAGCTACAGCTGGTTGAAGGGGACCAAATCCATTCAAGAGGTGATTTGGTTCCATTTTACCAGCTTTAGCAAAGCATTGTGGAATCACTGTTTGAGAAGCAGACACGGAAACTGCAAAGAGGCACTGAGCAGAGAAAAGACCATGTTACAATGAAACATGAAAACATGGCTCATCACACCGTTCTCTTCACAACTAGTTAAAAAAGTACACTGCTGGTTTTCCTCTGGCCCGTTCACCTTCACCCACTCTGCAAGACACACAAGTACAGTCAGCACAGTACACCCCATTTCCCACAACACCATAACAAATAGGTACAGTTGATCAACCTTACCTAACTTTCTCCTTCCCTGCCTCCCAGGCAGCCTATTTATCCTCCTCGCTATCTTTTTAAGTTTTATGTTGCCCCCCTCCCCGAGAGTGAGAGAAATTGTTCCCTGAGAAAAGGATAATAATAATCTGTGGCAGTGCACTTGAGTCAAATGTCCTGGAGTCATGAAGCAATTACAGCCTCTGACAGATGGGCCCTGCTGCAAGCACGCTGCTGCCGCGGTCATCGAGACGGCCAACAGACTAACGCAGAGGCATAACCACATACACAGGCTCGCTCACTCATGTTCCTACAGCAGCACTCTGGGGTGTCAAGTCACAACATTAATTTAAACCAGTCATTTAAGTCCCAGAGACTGATTTGTCGTGTGGAGAGAAGTGTTTGAACAGTGACTGAGGGCAGATTATTTTATGTCTCTCTCAGGGCTCGACACTAGTACAATATTGTAACGTTTTCAGCTAAACATCCACCCCTTTTCCCGATACAAAAGTGATCACAGTAACACCTGCACTAAAGAAAATCCTCGGGCTGTTCTCCTGTAAATGAGGCACACATAAGATCAGAAACATTTCTGCTTGTAGAGCAAAAACAAAACACAAACCCAACTTGATAACACCATATGGTGAAGTCATGTAAATGTCTGTTTTCACCCATACAGCTGCAGTAATCACTTTTTTTAAAACTAGCAATTTACGTATTAGGCAAGTATGCTACTTCCAAAAAGTTGTCAAGATACAATTAGGTGAGGTTTATTCGGCCTTTATTTAGCTTTCACTTTTAATCAGCTGTTATAGTTATTGACTCCTACTGCCAGGCTAAAAATGAGCTTCTCAGAGTGGCCGGCGACAGCTGAGCGATATACAGCACTGCTTGTAGACAGGAAGGAGTTCAACACAGGGCCAGCTTGATATGGCACACCAGAGGCAGGTCTATTTGTAACATACACATGCACATTAATGCTTGCGCATGAACACACACACACAGTCTCTCTCCGTCACTCAGAGTCAGGTGGCCGGGCGGCTCACCTCGTCTAAGGGCCATAACAGGGCAAAAGCAAGGGGGGACGACAGGCAGCGAGCATTTGATAATGTCAGCATCTGCTGTGTTTGTCACTCAGACACCAGGTCAATGCTATTGAGGGCCTGGGAGAAACATGCAGTGCAAGCCATGCACTCTGATGGCTTGACAGAAAAGAGAGCTAGACAGACAGAATATCATATGGGCTCGATACATCAAGCTGGGACGAGTAAAACTTTAAAATGTAAATTAATTCTAATAGTTTGCTCAATCATAAAGAAAAATCTATTTTGGATCTGGGCTGAGTGTCCTTTTTTTTACAGCTCTGCAGTTTTGCTAATGTCTAATTTAAAACTGATTTGTTTCCATGTAGAAGCAGTTTTAAGTCTTTAGTTTAAACTTTGGATTGTTAAAGAGCAGAATTTAAGATTTAAGAGAATATCTTTCGATTTCTTTTGCACACATCAAATACAGACTGGAAGAATGTCAGATGAATTTAAAAGCTACGAGGTTTTTGAATATTCAGGATTTAAACACTCATAAACCCGAGTTAAAAGACAGCTGTGTTCGCGCTGATACCGGTCATGTCACCACATCTCAGTCAATACAATACACTCACGAGGAACAGAGTCATCAGTCAGAAACTCGGCCTATTATTTCGTCTCTAAATGTCCTGTATTTCATTAGAAAAGAGCTGCCATACTACCAAGGTGCACCTACGCTTTGTCATTGCTCCACTGCGGGAGAAATTTGTGGGCACAGCTACAGCCCATGCTGCAGCCTCCACCAACTCTGTAATTTAGATAACTAAATCTAATTTAGCTAAAGCGCATTCACTATATGCAGGCACTGTTTAGCGTAATAGGTTAATAAGTCAACAAAGGTTTACTGTTCGGAGTGTGCTGTTTTAGTTGTGTATTAGGTATTACTCAGCCTCTAAACATCGAATTTGATCGTCATACCGCAGATAGTTATTGTAGCACATAAACAGGATATTAACCTGCATAATTATCTATGTTAAGTTCATTTATAATATCTTACACATACTTTTTTGAACTGTCGCCTAAATGCAGTGGAAAGAAAATCTGTGGTGCGGCTGTGGCTCTGCATTAGAGGGGTTTACAGAGAGGCAGACCTGAACTAAAACTGGTACAAGCTTTGTCTATGATCCAAGCACAGGCCAGAGAGGGGGGTCAGAATAGGTGACAGTGCTTGATATGAATAGCTCGCCGTGCAAACTTCTCCCCACCTCTCTCTCCCCCCTCCCTTCATTTCTCTCTGCGCCCCTCTCCATATTCTGTTGCCCTCTTTTTTTTTTTTGTTTGAAGCAGTCAACAATTGGAATCAGCTGACAGGCCAGAGTTGACTCTGATCCTGCATTGTCACTTTTTGATGGTCTAATCTGACTGCCATGCGGCCCAGCAAAGCATTTGGCAAGCATAGCAAACGTGAACAATGAGAGCAGGAATCAGGGAAAGGGAGGGGAGGGGAGCACGGGGCAGCTGGGTTGATGTGGGCTAGGGGTGCGGATAAGGGCAACGGCATAAAGGGGTGGGTAGTCATGGTTAAACACACAAGATTGTTAGCACGGAAGCCATACGATACAGCAGTAGGACAGAGCCAGTTTGTGACAGCAGCAGCAGCAGCAGCAGCAACCTCAGTGCCTCTTCATTCTGCCTCCTCAGCAACTATGTCCTGCTCTTTCGGTTGCATGTAAAAAAAAAAAAAAAGAAAGAAAGAAAGAAACAATGGCAGAGTTTCGGTCTAATTCACCTGGCTCTCCTTTCTCCTTGAGCCATGAGGGAGCACTGGAAAAGATTATGGTATTAATGGTCAGGAGCAGCTCCAGCATACCACACTCTGCTTGCTAAAGTTGGTGCTAAGTTGCAGCTGACTGAATCTCAAGGGCTGTAATGCAGTAAAATCACAGAATAATGAAAGGAGGCCCTGTTCATATCAACCGCTGTTTGCTTTACTTTTGTCTAAGCAGCTAAATCAAACTCCAAAAACACACACACACACACTGCTGACCGAGCAGGCTCCAAACATGATTGCTGTCATTCTATGCTAACTTACGTAATTGTCTAATGAATTGGTGGTGGATCTTGGATGAGAGGTTTTTTATTGGCCAAGTCAGCCAGTTAGAAGAAGGCGGTAAGTTCCCTACAGCGGTTATTGCTGCAGTGAGACTGCCCAGAGACAGTATAGCTAATGTATGAGCCCTACCACTCACATTCATACTCTCTTTTCCCCCCTCTCTCACTCTCCCTCTCTATCACTTCCTCTCTCCCCCCCTCTCTTTCTCTACACTAATTCCCCTTGTTTTCTCTCACACCACAATCAAAGTCATATTAAAAAATCTGCAAAGCACAAAGATTTCTTTACAAACTGCTGTTTAACATCTCATTTCCAGAGCGAGGATTCACACCTCACCAAGAATACATACTTCTTTACATTCCATAGCTATCATATGTTCATATGGGTACATAAAGAAGTATGTACACTAAGGAGGTAATCTTAGGTACGAAATGTTCTCACCTTTCGCCAAGGTCAGGAAGTTATGAGCAGATATTTTTCCTCACCGTTCTCTCTCCCAAGTATGGTAGTCTGCACCGTAAGGTGACTTTGAGTGTAAATTCAGTTCAACACTCAAGGCTTTCACTTGGTTGCCATGTAAGGCTGAACAGTCATTCCCCCCGCCCCTGAACATAACAGAAGTTTTGCAGTCCATACCATAGTCGACTGTCCCAGTGACCCCCGCTGTCCTCCAGACAACTGGGAGAAACCAGGAGGATCAGGGGGGAGGAATACAGCTCCTGTTTTTTTTATGGCAGTCAGGAGGAGGTGGTCTTTTTCTCTTTCCAGGAAAATGTTGAGGAAGATTAAGGGGTTAGACAAAAAAAAAAAAAAGAAGAAGAGCAGCAAAGAAGTTGAAGAGTTTTTCTCCTTGATAGAAAGTCCACAGTGTGAGGTGCTGATGTGCACCTTGTCTGGTGTGATGGTCATTTGCCGTGTCCTGGGAGCAGGGGAGCACCTATAAGCCGAACGGCCCCGCTGACATACTAAACACGTTCACTTCTCTCCTCCCACTTCTCTTTCGGTCGTCTCCCTCACCGCCATCTCCTATTTCACCTGACGCTTTATATATCCTTTCTCCTTTCCTACCTCGCACTTGTACCAATACGTGCTCCTCTCTTGCCTGTCGCTCGTCTCTCTTGTGTCAGCAACGTCCCCAGCGGTTAGCCGGAGCCCTTGCTGATGTTTGAAAACGAGGGTGATCCAAGTGGAACAGGAAGCTATTGTGAGCAGGATTTGGGCTTTAGGCGCAGAGGCAGGCCATAGGTCACATGAAGGCGCTAATGCCCACTCAGCACTTGTGGATTGGTCCTGGCTGTAACCCCCACCCACCACCAGCACAAGCACCCGTGCCCCCTCTTTCTCTCTGAACCTTGTTTTCCCACTAGATTGCTGTTTTTACGGTCATCTATTGTCACTTCCTTTTTGTCCCGATCTAACTTAACCTGTCCGAGTTTGCAACGCAGCTGTTCTACGGCAGAAGCAGAGGATCGGATCAATGGCCATTTGCATGGTGGCGAGAAATGTTCAGCAAGTCTCTAATGAATCTTTGCCCCAGACCAACACATTCCACAAGTTGACACTGCCTCCAACCATGCTAAGCTAACCAGCAGGCTCAGTGCTGAGGGAATGGGAGTAAAACAAAAAAATGGATTAGGGGAGCCCGGCTTAGGCTAGAGTTTGGAGCCTTGGTGGCGGAGGGCTAAATAAATGGGAAAAGTGGTGCAATGTTTTTTTTCTTTTTTTTTTGCAGTGGAGGGATTTGGAATAGCAATGAGCGTAGGTTGAACTGGAGGTGACAGTTGGTGGATGAGCAGAGTCCTAAAGGTGTGACGTCCTGTTTAGGAAATGTCACAGCCACCCGAGAGGGTGAGCAAATGGGACACAGAGGGGGTGAAATTCTTTCCTACACACAACGGGGATGGAGGTCTGGGAACGTGCAGCAGTGAATTAGCCCAGTGGTTGTTGTGTCTGTTCAGGTTTGGGCTAAACACTGCAGTACTGTGTGCCCCGCATGCCCTGCCTAGACTAAAGCAACCAGGTATACTCGAGAGAAGAAACTGGGTTACTACCCTAGCCTAAGTGCTGTGGGTTCAGCTGGTGACACACATCTACTCAGCCAACCATTGCTGCCCAATATCCCCTCCCGCCCCTCCCACCCCCCTCCACATCTGTGTTAATACACTTCTCACAGCTGTGTGCTGTCAATCCCCCCCCCCTCCTCCTTGTTCAAACTCCCAACCTGCCCGCTGTTTATTATTCTGATGCTTCGTCATCGCTCTGGTTTGCCACGTTCCATCCTTCCGCCCCAATCAGCTAACCTTGGGCTCAAAAGTGCGACGTTTACTAAAACTTACCTCCCATCAATTAAGAATGGCAGTGACCTCCCCTACCCCTCAGTACATTGAAAAGTGGTTGGGTTAGAGCACGAAAAAGATAACTTGGAAAAGAGAAAAAGAACACATCAAAAGTCCAAGTAATGATAGCATCCTTAGTCATGGCGAGAAAAAAAAATCTTGGAAGGTGTCAGACGCAGAGGGCGAATTGTGCGTAAGGGAATGTCTCTCCACACCAGTGCAGGTCTGAGTTAACGAGTCCGTCATTAGATAGCGGCAGGGCTGCAACCATGAAGCCTAATGAGCCAAAGAGCTCTGCTGCTGCAGCATGTCCGGCCAGTGCCAGGAACACAAGAGGGAGGGAGAGAGAGAGAGAGAGAGGAGGGAGAGAGAGGGAGAGAGAGCAAGACAAGAGAGGGAGGGAGGGAGAAGGAACAAGATAAGAGAGATAGAGTGAAGAGAGTGCAAAAAAAAAAAAAAACAGAGCTAAAATCCATGTGGGCCATAGCAACTCCCCAGCCTCCCTTATCCCTGGTCCACCTTCTCCTGCATCCTCTTCCTCTCTCTACTTTTTTCTTTTTACAAAGCCTTTATTTCTTCCTTTCTTTTAAGAGAAGAGGAACAAGAGTAGGGGAGGAAAAAAAAGCCCAAAGGTGTTCTCTGGTTAAGTTCTGTCCCAGTGCTGCTGCTGCTGCAGAACAGTCCACTCCCCCTTCCGACTACGCGACTCACAGGCAAACCATGCGGTTAATAACTGATCGCATCCGAGGAAGAGAGAGGGAAGAGACGGGACAGAGGATGTCAAGGCCCGTCAAGGAAACTCCGTCCAAAAGCGAAGGAAGAGCATATATTACCTGTCAGATCAGTTTCTTATCTGAGCTGCTCCTCCTCTCGTCCCCTCCTCTCCTCCTCTTCCCGTAGTGAAGAGAGCCATAATGACCTAGAGAGCGCTCCAGCTGCTGCAGCCATCGTGTGTGCCGGGTGCACGCCTGACTCGCTGAATCAGCTTCTATGATTGGGGGGAGGAGGGGTGGTGGTGGGCGGGTTGAGTGCCAGAGTCAGGGAGGGGAGGAGGAGGAGGGGGTAAAAGGAGAGAAAGCGGGCACACACACACGCACAGATACACACATGCACACACATTCCCACACAATCACAAGTCATACCTTTAGAAGAGGAAGACGTAGAGCTGACTTGAAGAGCTGCTGTTTGAAAAAAAAAAAGTGGGGAGGAAGAGAGAGAGAGAGAGAGGAGAGAGAGAAGAGGGAAGAGGGAAGGAGGGGTGAAAAAAAATCTGCAGCACTCTCCTCTCCATCATGTGCATTCTGAGGGAGAGAGCTGGGAGGATGCCCTGGTCGGTGCAGGAGGCAGAAAGTGTACCAACCGTCCTCCCACCCTGCCTCTTTCTTATTCCATCGACACACACACGCAGCCCCAGAGCTTTATCCTGCTCCTAAAATGCGCTTTTATTATTCAGTGGAACTTTATACAGCAGCTTGGAAGAGGGAGTTTACTGAATGTTTGAGAGCAGAATTGGGATGGAGGTATTTAAGAAAGACGTGCCTCTGCAGTAGAAGACAGCTGTACTTTTAATAGTCCCTCGCGATCCATGCAAATTTGATTACCATTGTCAGGGGCTGGGGGGACAGAGGATATCGCAATATGTTTCGGTATTTTGTGTTTAGACTTCCTGCCCTTGTGAATTCTCAACCGCAGCTTATGCATTCTTGATGGCGCATCGCAAAGTCCACCTTTTCCACCAGGATAAGATCAAGCAGAGATGCTGCTGCAGTTTGGAGGGCAGAGAGCACAGGAAGAACACAGTGGCAGCAAATTAGGTACAAGGGGTCAATCTTCCTGCCCCGCAGTGTGGAGGGCTAAGCTAAGCAGTTAGCACTTTGTGGGAAGCCAAGCATTTGAAACACGCCTCGGCCCCTGTTGCCGGGCTGCTCATGTGTCTTGTCTCACCACCTCCCTGACCATATTTAGTCAAGCAGTGCAAAAAATAGTTCCAGCTCCGCTCCACTCCACTCTGCTCTTCTCCTCGCCTCACCCCCTCTAACCCTCTCGTCCATATCCCCCCCTCAGCAACTGTTGGCTGCAGGCTCCGGGAAGCCTCCCCTTCTACTCCCTGCCTATTGATTCCAGCGGCCTGGAAGGAGAGAGGAGCTTTAGGCCAGCTAGCCCCTGCTACCATTTGCCATGCTATTTTTAGTAGCTCCAAATAAAGTGGTCTCCCATGCTTCCACTTGTGTATTCTTGATTCTTCCCCCTCCTCCTCCTCCTCTTCCTCCTCCTCCTCCGCCTCCACCACCCCTGCTTTACATCCCTCACCACCAACTCAAACGCCTTCTCTGATACCACCCCCTCACTCTGTGTGTCCTTTTGACCCCCCACCCCACCCCTCCAGCCCCCCAGTCTCTATCATTCTTCTTTTTAAATAGAGCTGGAAGAACACTCTGCTTATGGAAGAGCTTCCGTCCGCTCACCTCTATACTTGGAATAACTGCACATTCGACAAATGGAGGAGAGAGTACGGGTGACTGTGTGGTGAGGGAGGGAGGAGCGTGGAGAGTGATAGACAGCAATGAGTGTTATTGTCTTTTCCTCTTTATTTATTGATTTCTACTGCTTTTAGCAATGCAGGCAGACGAGTGGCAGCCTCACCTCCAAGGCAATGAAAAGTTTGGTCCGCTTTCCCTCTCCTTTTTGAGCTCTCATTAATTTTCAAGTGTCTTTTTCAAGCTTTCCCGAGGCGCGGCCACTGAAGAATCTGTTTAATTAGTTGGTTTCATCACGGGGCACATCTATACTGTACGAAAGCAACGTCCTCTGCGCCCTCCTCCTTTTTTTCGCTCTCTCCTCTTCAATCCTCTTATACCTCAATGACAGCAGACAAGTCCTCTTACAACCCCACATGCATCTTAACCGCAGAAAGCCCGAGGATGTGGGAGCTAAAGTTTTTTGGCTCTTCAAAGTGATCATATTGAAACCAGACTGTTGCACTTGTAATGAATGAGATTGTAAAAATCACACAAACACCCTAAACGCAGCGTGAACATTTGTCAAAGTGTGTTTTCATGAGCCAGAGAAATGTCACACAGTTCTCTGCTCGCTGATTTGATAAGCCTTTTAACGAGCTCCCAGTCATTCCGCCCTCACTCTCAGTTATATCTCGGGCCTTTTTCATGGTGGAGATAATTCTGCATAGATTTAAGTGTGCAATTTAATTAATGTATTGCCACTGCAATTTATAGCTTTTCGATTACATTATCTTTACGGCTCTTACAAGAATTGACCATTTGCGAGGTAAAATGGATTCCAAGCTAATGTGTCTGCTCAAAACTTGACCTTACATGGCCAATCAAAGTGCAGAATTGCAGCGACGTAAATGGCAACCGTGAAAGTCCACCGGTTATTATTCTGCGGACTCTTTGTTTGCCTGCCAATTAGACTGACCTGCTTGTAGTTTAACAGTCTGACTTGATTCTCTTCATCCCCTGAGTGTAATTCTAAACTTACCTAACTTTTTAAGTTTCAAAAAAATCATTCAAGTTTTTTAATTTTCTACTCAGCTGGTCAAAGATTTCGTGGTCAGTCGCTATCCGCACTGACAAAGCCCTTGTGTGTTCTCTGTGTATCCCCTCAGTGGGTCTCCACCCTGCCCGTTCCAGCCACCCAACCCACCAGTTTAATCTCAATTACATCCCGACATCCCATCTGCCCCTGAAACTCAGCAGCCCAGCTTACATCTTCCCTCCATGATGAATAGCGAGGGGCTGAATGTTTAGCTGAGCAGTTAATCGATCAATAAGAACAGGGTCGACTAATGGATGTGCTTTCTTTCAATGGATGAGGGGGTGGGACGGTTGTTCTTCCACACGAGTTCGGCTTTAAACATATCTCCATTCAAATAAAGTGAAAACAGGCTGTGGGGATATCATCCATTTGCATGTTTTTATGACGCTCTGTGTGGTTCAGATGATGAATCATCGGTGGGAACTTTAATATTAGAGGCTAATCATTTCTCTGTTGTTATTTAGGAACTGTGACTTGATGTTATTGGGATTATTCGCATCAGTTAACAGAAAAGGGGTGAACCGAATGAATTCTACAAATTGATCTCAATTGGTACAAATAGGAAACATAATTAATTGCACGAGTCTTTACCCTTTGAATGGTTTCTTTGATTGCATTTCTAAATTGTCGGTAGTAAGGGAAGTTGTTTTCAGATGTTTTACAAAGTCACCAAGGGATTATACATTTTTTTAATTAATAATTATTTTCATTCCATTCCCTCTTTTTCTTATTTTGGTTTAAGTCAAGCTATGCAAGCTGATGGAAACATGCACCATGAAGTGTGTTGGTGGCAGCACCACGCTGCGAGGATGATTCTCTGCTGCAGGCCACGCAAATCTTGTGATGGCGAATTTGTGACAGAGCTTGAAAGTTCAGAATGAAGTTTGGCTGCTAATCAAAGAAGAATAAAGCAGTGTACAAACTCTTTTCATAGGTGCTTCCACTTAAAACTGGCTAGAGGGGATGGATCTAATTAGTAATGTCTTTCTTTTGCTGTACTGATTAAAGCCCCTGTGAGGAGTTTTTAGCTGGTGATGAAACAAAGTGGAATTGAAACTGATGCCTCTTAATGACCTAAAACAGCAACAGCTTTTAGTTTGACTGTTCTTACACACTTATGCTCAAGGTCTACATCAGGTGTTGCAGTATCAGCTTTTGAGTATAATCTGGCAAGATATTCCATGCAGGCTGCTGACTGCTCCTTTTATTCCTCGCATGTTGTTATATTTAAGAATATATAATATTTTTATGAACCAAGGCCTATGATAACAGATTTATTCTTATGAAATTACAACCTAACTCTAATAAAATCTATTACTTTCTCTTGTGACTTTATTCTCATTATATTGCAGCTTTTTTCCTCATAATTTCATTTTTTTTCACCCTTAATGTGGCTCTTATTGTCCTCCATGCTGAGTGGTAAGGCTGAGCGATAGACCCAAAATTTACAATACCAAAATTTACGACAATAACCGATGTGATTTTACCCATATCGGTATATTCTGTGTCAAAAAAATAAATAAATAAAAGTTGGTTTTGGATGTGTGTAGGTAGGCTTTGGTCTCATGTCCCTTTAAGACACTGTCCTACGTCAGAGACGTGACTCCACCCCATCCAGTCCGTAACCAAGAGGGAAAGACAGGTGAGGAGATGGAGGACGGTTCAAAAGTTGGAACGGCTGAAGTAGACGAAGTTAATGTGGGAGGGGGTGAGCAGCTTGTGGAGTAGTTATCGTCCATTTATCGTTATCAAGGAGAACTGCTCAATATATCAAGATATTGATTTGAGGCCATATCGCCCAGCTCTACTGAGGGATAGGTCACACATGGAGCGTGCTCTTTTGAAAACCTTTTATTTGATTGTCACTTCGAAGACTGTCCGTGAGTGATAGATGTGACTGTTAAGAGAAAGCAGGATGAGATTTGATGTCACAAAATTACTACTTTCATGTTCAGGACAAAGTCAGCACCTAAATAAGAGGTACTGATTTACACAGCAGCTGCCGAGATCAGGACAAAGCCAGAATTCCTCACAGAGGCTTTAATTTCAGAACGCTGGATTACTCTCGCTATGATTTGGATTTATAAAACTGCAAAGCATCGGAGGGTTAAAGAGAACTGGGTATGAATTTCCTCTGATAAGCATTGTTTTTTGAGAACTCCTCTGTTTTGTTTTACAAAATGAGAGGCAGGCCGCCTGAAATTGAAAAGTTTTGTAGTAGAATTGCGGGTATCTTCAGATGGTGTTGAAGTCTTTCTTTCGAGCACCAAGCATGCTAGCTGCTCTTTCAGCTCGTCTTTAATTCCTCTTTTCTGTGTGCCTGCCCACCAGTCAACATCATAGAGGGATTAGAGCTTTTTCTAATGAGTCCAGTTTGTGCTTTTTGAGTAAATCTCCATCAGCCCGGCTCTTCCTCCTGCTTACTCTGTCTGTCTCATCAGTTCTTCTCCTCGCCCTCCCCCACACCGCCTTGTCCGTGCCCCCCTCCCTCATCCCACTCCTCCCTCCATCTCTCCTCATCCCTTTACACAGTGCATCATTTGAAGAGGTGAGGCTGTTGAGCGCTTGGAGGAATAAAAGTGATTTATGAATGGGCCAGCCTACCTGGGTGCTGGAGGGGGAAGCCAGTGGCAGTCAGGCTCTCTGATCCAGCAGCCCATTGTTCCCTCCAGCCTCACTGCAGGGGAAGCTCCTTTGCCTCTCCTGTCTCTCTGATCTTTTACCATGCCGTACCGGTGCCACATGTTACCGTTAAGTGACTCACAAACTGCATGAATACCTACGCACTGCAGGGGTGTGTGTGTGTGTGTGTGTGCAAGACCATTTACTCATGACTCTCACACAAACATATCCACACCGTTCTGCTTCTAGTCTATAACCACTAAAGTTATGTTCTCTGATTATATTGTTGCGCTTTGCATATTTTAGCCTTTTAGGATTTTTTTAGCATCCCAGATTTTGCATGTTAACACAGGTGAGGACAGCCAGATGCACCAGCCAACAACCCTATCCATAAAATAAAGGAGAGGTGACAGGAAAGGTGCTGAAGCTGCTGAGGACAATGTATGAGCTCCTCCTTGTCACCATATGCTCAGATGCACTTACAAACAACACGCACTCGCTCACACAAGGATGACAGTATATGAGGATTTTACGGGGTCAAAATTGAAGAGGGATGTCTCTCAGCCACAGCCATTTGGCTATTAGCGTTAGCGCGTTTATGTGCCACGTGTGTAATATCTCGGTGTTTACAGTGTAATATATGATAACTCCTGATAGATAGCGGGAAGGAAGAGGAGCTAAACTTGGTCAGGGGGAAAGAGTATTCACTAGTTCCCTTTTGTAATTCATTAAAAGATAACTCATTGCTGAGATGTGTCAGAATAACGCATGTAATCGAGATAAACTGCACTTGGTGGGTTCTTGTAGCCCACAATGGGAGGTAATTTCCTTACATTGGACTATTGTTGTATCACACTCTCTGTAGTCTGGAGAAATCAGTCTGATACTGCAGATTTATAGCTCGTAATTATATGTCTCCTTAGTATGATCTGTTATTATCTTCAGTTGTTCAATTAGACTCTGCATTATGTTGCTGTAGCTTGTTCTAGTTGAATTACTCACTGAAGAGTGTATTCTCATTAAAGATGTTGCACAGTTGCTGGTTCATTCAGCGAGCCAGGGTACCAGTTTGCTGCAGCGTGCGCTGTGACCTAATAGAAAAGAAGTCACCCAATCCTAGAAGCCCTCCCAGTGTCCACCTCTGTCTGAGCTGGGACCAGTCCAACAGATCAGCCAGAGGACAAGCTGATACAAGCCCCAATCCCCCTGTGACCAATCAGAACGCCTACACTTCCTCCTAGGGCTGGGCCAACGGTGGCTCGGAGCCAATAGATAAGCTCAGCCATGCTGTAATGCTCTGTCTGTCCTGTGGCATGCTGAAACATTGAGTCCTGGCTGCTATGTTGCTATAGCACATGTTGGGGGGGAGGGAGGGGGGCAGAGAGAGAGAGAGAGGAGAGGATGGATGGATGGAGGGGGAAGAGAGGAACGAGGGATCAAGGGATGGATGGAGGGAGAGAGGGAGGGAGGGAGGGGTGCATCCCTTCCTGAAGGGACTCAAGGACATAAAGAGCTTTTGGGAAAGTGACTATAGCATGCAAAGAGAAAAGCTTGCATTGTGAAGCCCCTATAAGCGCTGATGGTACAGTTTCTTCCTCACTAGCCAAACCTAGAAAGAGCAGGATTTATTTGTGGCACTTTAAGTGCCTCAGCAATGCAGGTAATAAATATGACAGAGCAAGGTGATATACCTCAACAACCCAGCTGTCAGGCATCTTTAATATTTTCTCCCCCCATTTAAAAACAAATGTAGTTTATCTATTAACCTGATGTATTGGGATAAGTAATAGAATTTATTTTTGTTTTAGGTGATACTTCAGCAGCAGTGATGACACCAGTGTTTTTAATGAAACGCCAAGGAGCGAGCTGCATTTTTCTTAGCTAAGAGAGTTCACGTAAAAGATCAGTATAAACCACGCAGTAGAGCAAATAAAGTTTCACACAACATGAAACTCAAGAAAACCTGTCACTGTCTTTATAAGCTAGTCACCTTTTGTGATTGAATATTGTCATTGCCTTTTATATTTTTCTATTTCAGACTTCACAGCCTTTGACTTTGTATCAAAATAACTCTGTACATACACATGATCTAAGTATTAGCCCAGATTTTATAGAGATGCCTTGGTAATACATTTCTTTAATATCTACTTTAACGACAGCGTTAAATCTTTTGATTTCACTATCATATACAAAGCAAATAAAGGATCAGAAAAGGAGCTGGTCTTCTAGAGCAGATAGTTTTAATTATTTCTAATGAGGTCGCAACAATCACTGCAGCAGTCAAAGCGTGGTTTTTTTTTGCTGCTTTTAGAGGTTTTTAATGCAGAAATAACATGCAGGGATTCTTTTTTTTACATCAGTTGTAAAGCAAAAACTGTGAAAATTTGCACATCTTAAAAACCAGGTTAATTACCGCTGTACAGTAACGTGTAGGAATCACTTAGATTTAGACCCCCACCCTCCCAATCATATATTTTTTGTCAGCCAAAAAGGTATAAGTGTCCTTAATGGACTCCAAGGGACACATTCAGGCTGATGTTCACCTCTAAACCAAGCTTAGCTGTTGAATAATGCAGACCAGGTTACCGTGGTAACCTGTGCAGACACTGAAGTCAGTGGCCCCCATGTAAATGCAGTTTGACAGGTCAAGGGGATGAGGATTTGTTTTTGTTTGTGTTGTTTGGTGAGCTGGTGCTCGTGTTTGTGTGTGGATGGTTGCGTCCAAACATACAGGGAATACTGAAAAAAGCATCAGCTCCATTTTTGGGATGAAGCAGAGAAGGTTATAGCTGAAGAAAACCTTCATTGCAGTGTTTCTAAAGAATCATGTTTGTGTCAGGAAAACACTGAAGTTTCTATAGCACACTAATGTAAAGCACATTTTTACTAGCTCTATTAACAAGTTGGCTGTTAGACATTTTCTGTGCAGCTCTGGGGCATATGCCCCGTTGTCTCAGTGCTTAGGGGAGGCAGGAGCTGATACAAGGCCCTTTTGATCCCTATTATTTCCCACTGCAAACAATAGATTTTAATTACCAAATTGCTCTTTCAGCCACAGCGTCTCCCTCTGCATGTGTGCCTAGAAGTGTAAATGCTGAAAAGTCAGACTCATCAGCTGCAGTACGGCAGCCTGTTTGTGTCACTTTGGATCTGCTCTGCCAATTACCGAGGAAGAGAACTTGATGGTGTGTTATCATTGTTTTGTCTGTTGTGTTTAAGCGGCGGTGCGGCGGTTACTGCTGTGTGTAAAGGGACTCTCACAGGTCACAACATACAAAGATGAGCGTTTCGCCGGGAGTGTGAGGGCGAGTGCGATGTGTTTGTGGGGGCAGAAAGGTGGGAGGCGGGGCCGGTCAGAGAGGGGTGATTTAAAGTGCTGGATTTGCAATGAGACTGTAGATCATGGGAGCCTCTCAGACTGTCTGCCCGTATGGTGACAGTGTGGCATTCTGCAGAGTGGCTGTCGATCGAAGGACCTTCAGCACGGCTGAGTTCTCCACAGCAAAAGCCGGAGTCAGTCCCCCGCTTGTATTTACCGCTTTGAACCTCTGTGGAGGAACTTGCAGTTAATTTCACCGGGCAGGAGCAAGTCTGATGTTGTTTCAAACAAACTGAGGGGAACTTCAAAGTTGCCGGAATGAACTTTTGGCTTTCTTGACAGGAGGCTGTTACAATGATTCTGTGATGTTTAGCCGAGCTAAAAACTTGAAAATGATTCCATGATACAAATGACAAAGACGTAGCGACTCATCACGAAGGCGGCTGATGACTGAGCAGGTTGGAATTATGTACATATTAAAGTAAAGCCTGAGGCTATGAGGGTATCTAACAAAGTGGAGATTGGGCCAAAGACATTTTTTTTCTGAAATCCACTCACGTAAGCAGCAGCAGTGAAAAAAAAACTTTCTAAAAAGGTCTAAATTACCCGAGGCTTGTTACTTTGGTTAAAACCTAATCATCATCATGAGACAAGAGACACATTTATGTTTTCCGCTGGTGTAAAGCTTGAACTGTGAAGAAGCTGCTGCTCTCTATATCAATGAGTCGTACCTCTGTGCCTGGGACAGTAGAAAAACAAATACAGAGCATGTCATGTACTATATATAATCTTCAGGTTTCTAAAGTGACGTTTTAAAGCCTTGTTGTTTTACCAACATTTGAGCACAAAAATAGACCTGTAATGTGTTTTACTGTGATGAAGGATCAGGGCCACAGTGAGGAAAAAAAGGTTTTTAATCAAGTGAATTTGGGAAAAAAAGGTCGTTATAACATGAGAACAAAGTCTCAGTATTAAGAGATTAAAGTTGAATTATTATGAGAATTCAAGTTGTAATTTTATGGAAAAGAAGTTGTGGTTACAGGTGATGGTCAATCGATGTGTCGGCTAAAACAACAGATAGACCTGCATTGAAACGTGGGAACGTAGGTCATCATGTTTAAAATGTTAACCTTAAAATCCACAAACTCAGTTTTTTCTCTACAAGGCAGCCCAAACACTCAGTTATAATGTACAAAACAGACCTAGAAATGGCTTATACTCCAAGACTGTGGCCTTATTACCAGTGATATGAAGGTGTGAACACACACACACACCAGGGGCCGAAAATACTTTTTATTCTGTGCTGCTTTTAGATATAAATTTATTCATATTTAGCTGAATAATCCATGCATTTATATAACTTTGTTTTTGTTGTGAGGTTGCCTGTTTTTCCTTCCTTTGGTTGAATTTTAACACCAGAGAGAAATGAAACAAAACATAGTTGTACCTGTGGGTATAATGATGAATACAGTTCATTCATTAATATATATAGGGGTCTTTAATGTGGTTAAGCACAAACACAAAACATTTCATACCCATCTGGTAAGCTACAAAGCTGACAAGTTGAATAAAAAAGATACTGAAATTGCTCATTTTTGTCGGTTTTGTTTCTCTGACTAAAATCTCAGTGTAACAGTCAGTTAACACTCAGTTTGAAGCCCTCGTGTGAGCCAGGCGGTGATCTGTAACGTGTTCCACCAGGCTGTTTGTAGGAAAGGAAGTGAGCGTGGCGTAGGGTCAGAGAAGATTGCCTTTGCTCTGTTAGCAGCTCGTTTAAGATGAAATGACTCTAATGACGCAGAAGTCTGCGAGCGCAGCCGCTCCGGTGACAGCATACTCGGGTCTGTTGGTGCCTTTGGCTGATAAGTGATTTGATCTACAGTTCTCATTTTCTGCCCTTCGTTTTGTGTACCTTGTCATATGTCAAGATGTAATTATCAAATCCTGTCAAGTAGTTTAGTCACCTCTCAACTTCCTTATTTGCACATTGTCAAAGTCTTTTCACTCTATTGTGCGGGTCGACCTGCTATGTTTCTACACAGCAGGTCAATTATTTGTTAGTTGTATGACTATTTACGCAGCTCTCATCATATTAGCAGCAGTGAAAAGCCGGGAATAAATGTACGACCTATTATGTTCTAATTCAGGTCTACTTAAGACCGTGTGAAAAGTGATGTTCAATAATTACCTGGTTGTTTTCTAGGTAATGGTGTTATTGAGCATTTGTTCCCTATAGTACGCATGATTTAGTCGTCTCTTTATTCTAATAGAATCTACATGCCCTTGCTTTATCTTTTATGACATCCCCTTCTTTTTTTCCTTTTAAAGGATGTATATCATGACTGTTATGGCTGATGCAGAGATGAGAATGAGGTTTTTCAAGGTGCCGAGGAGAATAAAGTGCAAAGGAAGAGTAGCATGGGAAAAATAATTGGGTCATCTCGAACCAATGGGACATTAACGCGCCATTGGGCTTCTCTGACTGTCTTGCTGCCTCCTTCTTCATAAATTGCTACGAATCAGGACGCCCCATAATACCAGGTGATTTAAGGCTAATTAAAGTTAAGCCTTTATAGGCCCCCACCCTCTTCCAAAACAGATGGACAAATGTACCTGAGATGTTTGAAATGCACCCAGCGTCTCCTAAACAACCTTCAAGGCACAGGCAATAGCTATAGTGATAACCAAAACATCATAGAAATGCACCCCTTTACCCGTCTTCCCTCTTCCCGGTTTATGCAAATAGTCCTTAATAAAAGCCTGCTCACTCAGGGGCCTCAGGTACAGGCAGGCAGGGGAAGGTCACATTGTAGGGGAAATTATTCTCTTCACGGCATGGTAATGAAAGCCTTTTTTTATCGAGCGGAGCCAGTGAGGTTCTTGTCCTCGGCTCTCTGCTGCACTGCTGGCCTGGACGCTACCTGTGTTTATTTACTCAGTCCACAGCAGGACGGCCAGCAGCTGATAGGACAGCATGGCAAAGTGAACTAAGGTACTAATTGCTTCAGGAGGTAGAGGAGAGGATCTGAACTTCATCTGGTTATATTTGCATGGGGATTAAAGACTGTTTGATTTATACTTGTCAGTAGAGTTATTTAGAGACAGCAGTTCAATTTTTTATTTTTTCCCAGAAAGTTTGCTCAGTTCTTTTAAAGCTGTGCCTGCATCATTTTTATATTCATGGAGGCAAATATCCCAACCAGTTTCCATGAAATTCTGTTCAGTTTCAAGACTCTTACCCACCCAGCAGCCACTGACTTAAGGTGCCATTCAAACCTCTCACACATGATGAAGAGTGTCTCCCTGGGCAGAGAGGAAAGTGGGAAAGAGGGGGGGAGTTCCATTTTGAGTTAGAGTGTCGCATTTGTGAATGATTTGTTGGGTACAGGGTTCACTATTTCAAAGGACCTGTAAGTATCGATCTGGGCCCCTCTAAGCTGACACTTCATGTATCGTCTGAAGGCATCTCATCTTGAAAAGCTGTTCCAGTAAGGTGTCTGCCTCAGGGCAAAAATCCTGCCACTATCAGGGAAGCAAGATATAGAAAAAGCTTCATTGAACAATCTGAGAGCAAAGTTTCATCAAGGCAGGAAACCTGAAATCATTTCAACTTGAGACGCAGTTTTTGCTGCTCTCCAGAAGAGACAAACACTTTTATTTGGAAACAGAGCTTACTCGTGAGGGTTTGGAAACAGGAGTGTAAAGGTACGAAATATTTCAGTGAAGTTCTCAAGTTTTTAAGGTTACGTGTTCAAGCTGTAGGCTGGCACAGATTTATTTTTTACAACATTTTAGGTGAAGCATGATTTTAAAAAAATAGTGACAAAAAAGAATCAAAAATAAAATAATTATGGAAGATCCAAAATTAACTCCTGCAAAACTTTAAGTTAGGATAGATTTCCTATTTGGCAGGTAAATGTCCAGAGCTTTTGGCCACATGACCGGTGAATAATTGTGCTGCTTTAGAAAAAAAGTCAAGTTTACAGCATGTTTGTGCTGACTTCTTGGTGTTTCTGCAACTCTGCTGTCTGCGTGTTGAAGCTTTGCAGGGTCCGACTTACGCACTTAAAAACATGCTCACTACCACAAACACCTCGCTGCTGTTTACCACCAAGGATTTTTCAGGATCAAGATGATGCAATCTATACTCAATTTATTTGCACACTTTCTGCCTTCTCTGGACCCATTAGTCTTTATTCTGTAACAGACACACACAGGGGTGATCATAGAAAACCACTACAGACAAATAAAAATAAAAAAATAAGTGTGCTTTGAGTTTATCTAGCTGGAGAGTCGAAGAAGTGAAACTGGTGTTTCATGTCAGGCTGCATGTGTGTGTGGTGGGGATCTTGAGTTTGAATTGCCCTTACTTTAATTCCCAACTCTATGTACACATCTATGCCAGATCAAAAGTGCATAACCAGAACACTTTAGTACAAATACATGAACCTTTGCAACCCCCATCATGATTTGACATGCGGGATTAAGAGCTGCACTATATATTTTTTTTCAAGACTTTAAATTTTCATCAAAAGTCAAACACTTTTTTCTAAAGTCTGACTAAAAAGTATGAAAAAACACTCTCCTTCTGTCTGCCGATTGAGGCCGATTAAAGATTTGGTTCAGAGAATTAAACGGACGTTCTATTATAAATTTATCCCAGGACAAAAATGAACTTTGATGGGATAAATATGGAGCACCTCTCCCCATTGGTGTCAATCTCCTCCTCTATATCTCTGACCACAAAAGCGCCGCCTACCACACTGATCATTTTCAGTCCCCGTGTATTAAAGCCTTTTATTTTCCCGAGGCAGGTGGCACCTTTTGGCGACTCATTTCCGATGCAGAATTTGGAGCTTGAAGCCTTAGTTAATAGACGAGGGTATGCCAAACACGTCTCCTACATCAGAGTAACCATATGTTTGTGTGCAGCCATTAATCTCAGACTGGATGTTGACTGTTCCTGTTTTTGCCCTGTCCTACCCAAGTTATTGTCCCCCGACTCCCACTTCCTGTTGTAATAACGTCCACTGACCACCACACAGATGGCTGTCAGCAAGGCGAAGGCGGCAGAAGGGCCCTGTCGACCCGTACACGCAGACACACGCGCGCAAGATCACACCCGCACACACACTCTTTTACTCACACTTCCACTTTCTTACATACACTGACAAACGCCGATACGCGGCGAGCTGAGGGTGTCAGAGAGCGTCCTGGTCAATGACAAATTGCAGCCCAAGACAACAGGCCCCTGTGCAGCTCTCCTGAGGGACTCTTGAGATCTCTCACAGGGTGACCCAGTTCCATCACGTCTCCCCTTCTACCTCTCTCCTCTGCCTTTCCTCTCTCCGTAGCTGCATTTAAACAGACCGTAGCATTGGTTTTCAGGTTCAGCTGCAATAAGGAGATCCTCACTTCCCTCAAATCCTCTGATGTCTAAATGTTAACTCTCAGGTCAGCTGGGCACACTCACTATTTCCCTCTGTCTTCTCTTGACATCCTGCCTCAAGGGCCGACACACAGCTTCTCTTATACCCCCCTCAGTCACTGCAACATCACTTAGCAAAGAGATAAAAAAAGAAAAAAAGAACTGGGATTTATTCCTTCGTTCTTAATTTACTCTCTTTTTTTTCTGCCTTTACAGCAAATAGCTTAACTGCAATGCAGCAGTGCCAGTATGGGGCATTAATATTAATGCCTGCCCATTTCGCCCAGCGTGGCAGGGAGCCTGTCAATCAAGACTTCTATTGGAGGGGCTCCCTACTACAGCACACACCTGCCCAGTGCTCAAGTGCACAGTTCTGACTGTAGAAGGCGCCAGTCTGCTCCTATAGTACAGCAGGCCTGCATTTATTGGCCGGTTGTTCTACATATAGGAGGTATTTCCAGCCAATCCAGACTGCACAAATGTTGTATATTGCACCAATAGGAGGAGGGGAAAGAACAAAGGCTTTATGTGGAACAATTGCCCTTGATTTTGGTGTGAATAGTTGTAGTTAAGAAAAAAAAAAACTGCATTCCTGTGTTGTCTATCAGTCTCACTTGAAAGGCAGTTAAAAGAGCGCTGTGTTTAACCACCGGGAATAAGTTTAATGTTAAAGCTTGAGGCGAGAATCTGATGTGGCAAGGTCTTTTCTTGAATAATTTGCTTGTTTAAGTCTCAACTCCTGCCCATTGGGAGCACCACGGATGAAATTACTCAAAAGTCCCCCCCTGAGATGGTAAATCTACAGTACGCAAGCAAATAATTCCTTGTAACAAAGGCGACACATTATGAATGTGAGATTAGGCAGAATGGGTGCGGTTCCTATCACATTTAAGCAGTGCTCCTCTGCATTAAGTGGTTGAAGATAGCTGCAAGCAATGCAGGTGTATGTGTGTGCGTAAGCCTCTGTGTGATGAGAGGTAGAGAGAGAGAGCGAGGGAGCCTGGGATCAGTGTGCTGCGCTGTTCATCACTGCAGCAGTACACCAGCGCCGGATCTCTGTCCGTACAGAGGTGCTGACTGCCTGCTCCCCTCTACCCCCACCCTCCTCCTCCTCTTCCTCCTCCTCCTCCTGCCTCCCTGCCCCTCTTTCTCTGCTTCCTCAAGAGGGAGTGCTGATGATGCTGTCTTTCATTACTCCAGAAGGATGGAGACAAGCCGTAGGTTTAGCAAAAAAGACCCGCAGGGAACGGGCCATCCTGATTGCCTTTAGTCTGAAAGGCTGCCAGCATGTTGGTTTGCATTTCTTTCTTTGCTCTCTCTCTTAATAGTTAACAGTTTTCATTGATTGTGCGGGGCTGTGGCCTTCCTCCTCTGTGCTGGAGCCCATTTCCTCCCTCTCTGCTTCTCGAGACCCTATTTACCTTACCTCTGTGTACGTAAACACTCCTGCGCTCGCCAAGGGGCTGCTCAGCTATATCAAAGTCAGAGTTAAATCAGCCGCCTCCTTTTGTCGCAGTTCAAAGATATGCCCTGCATGACTATTCAGGGTTAATCAAGGTCAGAAGTTTCCCCCCAGCGATGCTGCTTTAATGCTTATTGAAGGTACATTGTGTACCCAACTATAGACAGGATACAAGAACACTTCAGGGATATTTATGGCTTTTAAGTGTCTACCTTTAAGTTCTATTCGCACAAATAGAAGAGATAAAAAATTTCCCCCATGGGGGATCAATAAAGGAATATTCTATTCTATTCTATTCTATTCGATAGGTTTGCAGCCTTTGTTTCTCATCACATCCCCTCAACTGGCCATAACACTTAATAGGGGATGAGTCTCATTTCAGTGTTCTCATGTACCATATGCCTGGATGTGTGCCCAGGGACTAAAGCAAGAAGAGGAAGAGGGTTGGGGGCAAAGAGATAATGGATGAGTTCAAACATTCAACTTAAGCAGTCGTGCTGTGAAACATAGTTGACTTTAGTAGGAAGAGGAGTGTTAAATCAATCTGTTTCTTCTCATTTCAACTGTGTGAGAGATTAACTCCAAGTCATTTTACTCCCCTTTCCTTGGATTAAATAAGCAATGAGAACACATGTGACTGTTTCACTTGTCCAACTTGGAATAACACAGTAGGGAGAGACAGTCGGTGACACTATGACTCCCTCTCAGCCCTCCTCTTGTACAGTTTCCTTTGCAGCCGTGTCTCTGTGGCACACATCCTCCAAATGACCTTGAGTGGCACAGAACTGACTCGCTCTTCTCACCACACCAGGCCACCTCTGTTAGACAGCCCCCCCGTTCAAACAATGGATTTTCTTTCTCCTTTCTAACCCCGTCCGGTTTTTACTCAAGAGAAGACCTGAGTGGACCCTGCTAAATCTCCTGTAATTACCATTTTGCCTCCAATGATAGATGCTTTTTGCGCATCACCAGGGGAAATGTGGCTTCTCTTTTGAACTGAAGAGATGGTAAAGAAGGGGGGGGGACGTGTGCTCCAAAATAACACACAGCACTTGTACCACTCAAAGCTTGATGTAAATAACACTCTGCTTGAGAAAGCAACTCCTCCCAAGTTGATTTAGTATTCTTGTCCCTGTGTGAGAAAATGGGATATGCTCTGCTGTAGAAGAAAAAAGAATAGAGGGAAAGTGTACGGGAAGATGGTGTGTATCAGCAGCAGAGACACTCCGATGTGTTTGCTTACAACAGCTCGTGTCTGGCCATAAGCTTTTATACTGTGTCTGAGATATTCAGTCAGAGATGGATTGATTTTGGCAGTTTATATCATAAACTATCAAATTGACTCTACTGTCTGAACCTTCTCTGGCTTCTTCTGTAATGTTGTCCAGGTCGGCCCATTCAAACACTAGCTCTCTCTCTCTTTCTCTCTCCTCTGTGCAGTGCCATGCGTGTGCTGCTGTCCAAACTGCCGAGGCCTTGGATCGTAGACGAGAAGAAGGATGACGGTTACACTGCACTGCACCTGGCTGCCCTCAACAACCACGTGGAGGTGGCTGAGCTGTTAGTGCACCAGGTAATAACGCACCAGCGCTCGCAGACGCGTGTTTTAATGCCTGCTTGATTACTTAGACTGACAACAGTTGCCGTTATTCATAGTGTATAAGAGCCCCCCAAAGCAGCCTTGAGCATAGCTGCATCAGCTCAGCCTGCGCTTCTGGCTGACTAGAGACCATTAAGAGCAGCTTCCACTGCACTCCCTGCAGCCAGCAAGCTGTAGACCAGTTCAAGCTGCTGTAGCTGCCATTTTTTATTGAATCCATACGGTTCCCAGGGTCTCCAGGGGTATTCTTTAGTGCCGTTAGGCCCTCATATCCTCCTCCCCTTTCTTGCAATCACACCTTCGTGCTCTTTTCCCTTTTGAGATTGCAGGTTTAAGTCTCAGTAGACTCAAACATGCAGGAGTTTACTGGAAAAAGTCACCTGACCGAGTGGGAACTGGGTTAATTAGGATGTGGTGCAAGGCAGCAATGTTGCTGCAACATTCAAACGCATGAATGCTCGCCGTGCAGGCTACCTTTCACTGGGGGACGGCCTTTTTTTTTTTTCTTTTTTTTTTTTACAGGTCCCTGCAATGGGCTGGTTCGCAGTGATGGCTCAGCTTTCTATTCAGAAATTGCACCACACTACAAGGTGCACTGCAGATTCCCTGCCAGCAAGCCCAGCCAGTCAGTCTTATTACTTGGGGATTTCACACCCTGCCTGATCACAATGCTTATCTTCCCTCCACATCTCCTCAGTTGATTTCTTTGCAATTGGAAATGACAATCACATGCAGGGTTATTGTAGGATGAATTCTTTTTTTCAGGCCCTTAGGTGATACTTTGTTGGTCCGTGGGCTTGTAGGAAGGAGGATTCTGTCATCGCACAAGTAGTAGGAGGGGTTATTGCTATCTGTCAAGTGCTGAACAATTATTATACTCTGAATTTAGTTTGCTCCTTTCCTTTTTTTTTATTGCTGATCTCTCATCTGTCATTTCTCCTTATGCTGGATAGATTCTGGTCAATGTGTGCACAAGTGGAAAAAAATGTTTATTTTGTGTTTGCTCCTCTCCTCTTCTCGCCTCCCAGGGCAATGCCAGCTTAGACATCCAGAACGTCAACCAACAGACGGCCTTACATCTTGCAGTGGAGCGTCAACACACCCAGATAGTGCGGGTTAGTGGATCCTTTTCCTGCTTATCCCTCTTTTTTTCTTCTCCTATATTGTTCTTCTTTCTCCTTTTCTTAGCTCTCTCACCTTTACGACAAATTGAAGGTCCTGTCTCAAGTTATCTCTCCTCCAGTCCCTTATTCTCTGCTGTACTGTCCTGTTACGTCACTGCAACCCACATTTAATTTACACTGGTGGATGTCCTGCAGTTGTATGAGGTCCTGCTTCAGATTAATGCTGTGTAAGGAAAAAGCTCTCCGAGGCAGTGTCTTGGTTTGAGTCATTTGGCGTAGTGTTGGATTGAGATTGCCACGTTGCCATCTTGTGGACTCAAGCAAAAATGCACTCCATAATTGGGGGAACACAACACCGAGGCATTTCATTGTCAACAGCTGCCTTATAAATCAGCGCTTTGGCATTTGCATTGTTGCATAAATTTAAAGTTGTTTTATGGTTGTTTGTTGGCGCTCTTACCTCACTGCCTGTTCTGTGTTTTGTCTTTGCAGCTGCTGGTGCGTGCGGAGGCCAAGCTCGACGTGCAGGACAAGGACGGGGACACGCCGCTTCACGAGGCACTGCGTCACCACACGCTGTCCCAATTGCGACAGCTCCAAGATATGCAGGAAGTCAGCAAAGTGGAGCCCTGGGAACCCTCCAAGAACACAGTACATATACATCTATTATTAACATCATTGCTTCTCTTTGATAACAGTCATTTACCTGGGTCAAGCTCTGTAAGGTATCATTAACTATCACAGTAAGGCGTTCATGGATGAAAATGAAATAGCCAAGAGCAGCTGTTAAAGAGAAAAGCTGTTGTCAGCAAACTGAAAACATTAAACGTACCTGCTGCGGTTTATGCAACTTATGCTACAGAGAGCACAAAGTCTTTACTCAAGGTTCTGTGATTGTGTAACCCTTTAATCACAAAGTCTTTAGTTTGATTTCGAACACATAAGAACAAAAAATTCTGAAAAAGGTCTTATTATAACTTTTGAGAGGCTTTAAATTTTAGATGGGACTGAATACCTAATCAAATCAACACAGTTTGGAGAGTGGCATTTGGATTTTTTAGTCTTTTTTGTGGATTTGCTTATCCCATGACAAAAACATTGACAGTATCTTAACAGGCACGCACTCACAATACATATTCATGAAATATTAGACACCTAAGTCAGTCGTCACGGTGCTGCTGTACAAAATTGTATTAGCTTAACTCTTTCTTGGTCATGTAGCTATCTTGAAATTCTTCTATTTGATTCAAAGAAGTCAGAACATCCAATTATAGCTTGTAATAATACAAAGTATCAGTAATCTCCAGGGGTGGGAATCACCAGTGGCCCCACGATACGATATTGTCACGATACTTAAGCCATGATATGATATTGTCACGATATTTAAGTCACGGTATGATATTATCACGATACAATATTATCACGATACTTAAGTCACAATACTTAAGCCACGATACGATATTATAACTATACCTGGGCAACGATACGATATTATTGCAATTTCTAACATTTTGCAATACAGTGAGTATTGCAATACAATATTGCGATTTATATAATTTTTTCAACTGTTTAGCCAATTTAGCATTTGTCTTTCCTTGTTGTTTGTCTTATTTACACTGTATTTTATTTTCATGTAGCACATCTTGCAAACCTTATAAACATATGTTGTACTAACTTTCTCCTACTCGCTAATGTCACCTCTTCCAACCTCACTGGACAAACAATTGATTTTATTTTTCCAATGTCTTAGATTTGACTTACTTAACAGCAATTAATTTGAAAAATGGATACTATGTCGCAATACTGTGCTGTATCATTTTTTTCTCCCACCCCTAGTAATCACAGCATCAGACTCTGTTGCGTCTCTGTTGTGTTAACATTAAAGTTGGGATCGCTGCGGTGTCCTTTTACATCCTTTTCAGGACTTTAAATGTAAAAATAGTGACATACGCGATTTATGAGGAATAAAATATGAACCGTTTCTCGATTTATGACAAATTCAGACAGATCCCACTCAGTCCTCTCTCATCCTTATCACTGGACAGCCCAGTGTGCAGACAGCCGCCCACCACCAGCAGAGAGCAGTCAACCAGCTCACTGCCGCCTCTCCACCAGCCTGAACGAGTTTGTCCTTTCTGTAGAGGCCAACAGGGGCATGTCAGACCTGAACCCTTTTCATGTTAACACCACACCACTAATCCCTACAGGGAGGAGTTTAAGGCTACAGCGCCTCGCTGCCAGTACAAACTTACCTTACTTGTCACCTCCTGTCCACCCCCCTCTTTTCTCCTCTCCTCCTCTGTTCTCTCCCCTTTCCTGCCCTCCCTGGTCCTCCAGCAGAGGAGCGGAACAGACAGCAAGCCTAATTGAGATATGTGCAGTTGGGTCACTCTCCTGTAGCCCCTCCCTCCCCCTCGCAACGAGAATTGAATTAGCCGGCCCGATGGCTCCATCAGCCGAGATGTAAAAGCTACTGGTTGAAGACAATCAGACATGGAGGGCCCAAATTGCAAGACTGAGAAAGAAAGAAAGAGAAAGAAAGAAAAGAAAGAGAGAGAGAGGCTGTGAGTTTGGATTGACTGAAGGAGGTGATGAGCTGAAAGAAGCATTGAGAGGGAGATGGTACAGTTAATAAGATTTTGGGTGGGGGTAAAGGGTGACACTGCCTGACAGTCGTCTGAAGGCATGTCTTTGATTGTCTAATTAGTGCTGATCTTGCAGGACTTTGACATGCTTTATCTGAATTTAACTCTGCAGTCATCTGAATAATATTCATATCTGGACTCTTTGCTCCGCGCATTAATAGAGTTCCAGTTTGTGAGGTAGAGATGACACTCTTTCCACTGGATTTAACTTCAAAACAACCACCCCTGTCATAAGTCAAAAGCCTGACATGCCCATGATTCCTTTGTTTTCCTGTGTCTGTCTGACTTCCTGCAGTTAATCATGGGCCTGGGTACCCAGGGGGCAGAGAAGAAGAGCGCCGCATCTATCGCCTGCTTCCTGGCAGCGAACGGAGCCGACTTGACCATTCGTAACAAGAAGGGCCAGTCCCCTCTGGACCTGTGTCCCGACCCCAGCCTCTGCAAAGCTCTGGCCAAATGTCACAAAGAGAAGAGCAGGTAAACATCACTGAAAGGAATAGTTTGACATTTTGGGAAATACACCTTTTTACTCTCTTGCCAGGGGTTAGATGGAAAGATCAATACCACTCTGATGTCTGTCTGTTAAATATGAAGCTGGAGCCAGGAGACTGATAGCTTAGCCTAAAGACTCGAAACAAGGAAGCAGCAAGTGTACTCTGTCTCTGTCACTCACTTTGGACATAAGGGTCTGTCAAAATAATGTAATGTAATGAATCATCCGAGCTGTCTCTTCAGTAACTAACACATCAAAAGTGTGTCCGATCTGTACAGGATGATGTGACAAATGCTGAAATGTATGGTTTTTGAAAGGGGGCGGTTTATGTTGTATTTATGTTTTACTGCAATCAATGGATTGTTGGAGTCTCGAGTCTAGTGGTAACACTTCATTTGACGCCTATCTCTATAATGCATTATAAATATAAGTATAATCACGTTATAGAACTGGATAACCATAGTTATAAACACTCATAAATGATCATAATGCTTTATAGCAACAATCATAACACATTATAAAGCATTTTATCATGACTTACAAGGTCAGGTATTATAATGTGTTACAAGTGTGTACAACAGTTGCATTGAATTATCTATGAGGACATTACCTGACCTTGTAAGTCATGATAAAATGCTTTATAATGCGTTATAGAGCGATGTCAAATAAAGTATTACCAGTCTAGTATTAACCAAGTTAGGACACACAAAAAAAACTCACTTTATGCTTTTGCATGTAAAAATAAAGCTAGACATGCATAATCAATCAAATGACTAAAAAATTAATCACCAATATTTTGATTGGATTGACGTCTACTCCGCTTACTCCACTTTTATTTTTCTCTAAGGCTTCGTTCACACTGCAGGTTATGATGCACAATTCAGATTTTTTGTTAAATCCGATCTTTCTGTGCGGTCGTTTACATTACAACAACAAATGTGGCATCTAATGTGAACAGAATGCGTCCGTGAAATGACCCGCATGCGCACAAAGCACAAATTGCTTTCCGCGCCTGTTCGTGTTGTCGAACAATGGTGACGTTTGTTGCATATTGATGACGTATAGGTCGGTTGAACGCACCTGGGCGTCCACACTACAGTCACATCGGTTACATATTCGTTTTATATCCACATACAAAAGAGGCCTGAGTCAGATTTGAAAAAATCAGAATTGCACTGTTCAAGCTTAGATGAAAAAAATCAGATATGTGTCACGTATGGTTAAAAAAATCAGAATTGACCTGCAGTGTGAACACAGCCTAACTCTTTGCCTTTTTTGTCCCATTTGACACACTGTAGTTAAAGCCCTGCAGCCTCCTCCTGCTGCTCCTGCGGTGGAAAATACTGACACCATTTTGCTCTTAAGAGGCAAATTTCACTCTTTAAAAACACTCAGACTGCTCTGTTATGTGCACTCTGAGGCAAAAGCTGAGTATACAGGTGCAGCTTATCAGACTAATGTCAGTGAATGAAGTCATCACAAAAGCTGGAAGAGTGCTATTATGGAGTGTGCAAACCACCACAGACCCGATCAGAACAGCTTTACGTTGTTAATTTGGGCTTTTTTGAAATGCACAATGTGATAAAATCCCATTAACTGTTGAATTTCAGTGAATAACTGCAGATAAAAACAATGCCTTAAAGCTTTAGGTTTATCTATTGAGCCTGCTTTTCACATTCATGTGACAAAAATAGTTTGTAATCTTTAATCTGACACCGCAGTGCCTCCAAATAGTCTTCAAACAAGCAGAAAACTGTCTTTAACTCAAAGAGATGAAAGATAAACTTACAAGACAGTGTTTGGTGCTTTGAAGTATCTTCATGCGCACACACAGCAACTGTAAGAACACCCGAGAGAGAGAGAAAAAGAAAGAGAGCACCATCGCAGGAAAATAATCAGACGACCCTATTGATTTCCTTTCTTTGCTCAAAATGTTTCATGTTTCCTTTTCTTGCCTTTTCCGCCTCCTGATTCTTTTTTTAGTCTCCCTCTGTCTCCCCCTGTTTTCTTTGTTCTCGATCAGCCTGGGCTGTTTGTAATCTCCTCCTCGCTCACACACACTCTATGGTTTTTATCCTCAATGTTTTCAGCGGCCAGGTGGGCACCCGCAGCCCATCTCTGAACAGCAACATCGAGTCGTTGGAGGAGTGCATGGTGTGTTCCGACATGAAGAGGGACACTTTGTTCGGGCCCTGCGGACACATCGCCACCTGCTCCCTCTGCTCGCCACGTGTGAAGAAATGTCTCATCTGCAAGGATCAGGTCCAGTCGAGAACTAAGGTAACAAACACGACTACCACCACCTGTCCGACGAAGAAAGCCATACATTAAGGAAAGCGAATGCACAGTGTTACTCTCTTTTGTTGTTGTTTCTTTGTTTGTGCACAGATTGAGGAGTGTGTGGTCTGCTCCGACAAAAAGGCAGCCGTGTTGTTCCAGCCCTGTGGTCACATGTGCGCTTGTGAGAGTAGGTTACACCCTTCTTTTTTTTTTAAATCTTGACTTCTTCTGAATTAGTTCCAGATTAGAAAGTGTGTGTTTTTTTGTTGTTGTTTGTTAAAACACAATGCGTTCTGTCCTTCACCAGACTGTGCCAGCCTCATGAAGAAGTGCGTACAGTGCCGGGCTGTGGTGGAACGCCGCACCCCCTTCGTTCTGTGCTGTGGAGGGAAAGGTATGGAGGATGATGCCGCTGATGATGATGATGATGATGATGATGATGATGACCTTAGTGAGTGAATCTTCCACACATTCCCTTTTAATTCCCTTTTCTTTCCCCTTCTTTCTTTCTTTTCTTCCTGCGTATTTCCGTTGCCATGTTTTGTATTTTTTGCTTTAATGCTGCCTTGCTTATGCGTCTTACTCTTTTGTTTGCATCACTGATACACAAGTTTGTTTCTCTCTCATCATAGTAGAAATGTTTAATAATGAAGACAGATGTCTGAATCAGTCAATCTTTACTCTCTGAACTCTTCCTCTCTAATAGATCTGGCATGTTTTAATCATTGCATCCATTTTGATCTTGTCTTTTGTACAAAGCTTTTTCTAGATATTGGCTGCATAGACTGCAGCTTTATTGATGCTTTGCTGCCTCGTCTTTAACTCATCGTATAAGTTTTGTGCTTGAAATGATAATCTTTTTATACACAGGACATCAGAAGCATTTCAAGATTGTGATTAGTCCCTTTGCTAAAGGATGTAATAATTGTCTAAATACACAGAAAACCAGGCTACCTTATCAAATCAATGAATTCATTTGTACGTTTATGTTTAGCCCTGTTGTCATATTGATCTACAGTATGTATGAGTGTATAAAGAACTGATTTATATCAAGAGCAAGTTTGAAATGCTATACATTTTTATGTACGTATTTTCAGGTGCATAGAAGCCCCGAATTTCATCTAATCCAAAATATGCAGGTCTTATCAAAGGATAAGGGCTGTATCGTGTTGCCTTCACAATCCATCATCTTGTCTCCAAGTTGAACCCGGTGTTTAAAACGCCATACCCTCTTTTTTTTCAGTGGTGTTACCTCACTGCTCATTATTTCTGTCGTGTTTTCTCCACGTTTTCTTTTTGAGTTAAAAGGGAAACTGTTGCAAGTTCACTAACTCCATGTTTATCCCTGTATTAATAATTTTACATTTCTCCACGTGTCAGCTTGTTGGCATGCAAATTTATGTGCAACGTGTTGCCAAAAGCAAGAAAAAAAAAAGAGGCAGAAGCAGATCCAAACACACATACTCTCATGCAAGGGGCAGCATTGATTGTTTATCTCCTCTCCCTTCATTTCCAGTAACGCTGTGTCTGTTACAAAGGCAAATCTACAGCACAAAATTCATATCACGCCATGATTACTCAGACTCCCGACTACTCGATTGGAGCAAATGGTTTTCATTTTGTCCGTCAGAGGAGTGAGCACAGTCTTTAGATCCATGCTTTCGCATTGGCTGATCGCAAAAGGAGAAAGTGGCCGCTATGCATTTAACTCTTTAACTCCATGTAGGGAAATTTCCCTTTCTTCCCTTGTTTCAACTTGGTAGCTTTCCTTTTTCAAATTTCTCTTTCTTGAACCTCCCTCTGAGGCTGTAGTTTGTAGATTTGGTCCGCAGACCAACAGTTGAGCTGGCGAGGAACGGCTCCTGCTATAACACTGTGACTGGTTATTCCCAGCAGGGAGCTCTAACAGTATGGCAGGGGGATCGCAGGATCTTCTCCAGCCCAACAATCTGGCCCTAAGTTGGTGTAAGTATAACCTCTATGATCCCATCCCTTATCAGAACCCACAGATCAGAATCCCTACAGTGCTGCCCTGGCCCTCATCCCCCTCCCCTGAAACCCCTCTCCCTTTCTCTTCCAGTGACACACACACACACACACACACACACACACACCTGAAACAGTACAAACTGATACAGAATGAATATGGTGCACATGCAAAGACACACACTGGTGTAATCACATATTCAGGCTGTTTCTCACACATGCATCCTGTGGCTCACACAATGCCAGCAGCATTGTAGGATGTGTTGTCCGGTGCTAGTTGATTTTTTTAAAAATGATCATAAGCTTCACATAGATAAATTTAGCCATTTTTAAAAGTAGATGCAGCAGCTCAGACCGCTCAAGTCTGTTTGATCTGCCAGGTGTGAGAAAATTCAGAGTGCATGTGGTTTTGTTCAGAAATCTCATGTTTTAGATTTACTGTAGCTCCCAGCTTGTTGCACAAGTCGGAGTAACAGACTTTCTGTTTTATTAGTAGCACATTTTTCATTTTGAGGAGGCGAGATTTGGCCACTGGTTCAAACTGTTACTTTATTTCATCTTTTTTTTTTTTTTTTAACTCTCACCATACATTTGCGCTCTTGTCCCCCCAAAACAGCCAGTGGAAACATCCCAGCCTTACAGAGAGACAAGGACAACACCAACGTCAACGCTGACGTGCAGAAGCTGCAGCAGCAGCTCCAGGACATCAAGGAACAGGTAAGCTCCACCTGCGCTAGACAGCGGCGATCAGCAGGCGCGCCGCGAATAATCTCATTCAGATGTGTTAAAGTGAATCTGAAAATGTTGTTGCAGTGTGAAGCAGCAGTCTCTGAGTTATAGGTTGACTGCTCCCATTTGGCTGGGTGTTACAAGGGTGGAACCAAAACAGATGGTGAATGTCCAGCAAAGCATTGATGAATACAAATGTTGCAGTTAAACAGCAGATAATGACTGCGGAGCACATGATGCATCACTAAACATAAATTTAACCACTAATAGGGGCTTCTACTCATATAAGTTGGAGCTGAGATCATTAGAGATTTCTGACATTTTTGTCTGTCTTCAGATCAAATGAATAAAGTCATTAAAGAAAGAAACAGACGAACACGCTTGAAATAAATTCCCAGCTGGTGTCTTTGGTTAGCTGTCAACGTTTGAAAAGCTTTTAAACCCACGACTTCATCAGCTAGCTTTCTCTCTTTATGCTAATTCATGTGTATGTTTCTTGTTTTCCTTGTACTTTATACACTTGTAAAAATGAGAGCGTGGCTTTGGTGACTCCTCAAGATTAATATCTTTATTTTTTCACTTCAAATGTTTTAAATGATTGAACTATCTGGAAACTTTCTCAGATTCATAGTAAACTTCATGTGTTAGTAAATCTCTCCAGCACCAATCACAGCTTTGTTTGAAGACGACGCATGGAGCTTAGAGGGATATTGCGGCATAAAATTAACTTAGGGTCAAACACACCGTAACACAGAATAAGACACCCCGTCGAGAGATGAATGTTGCTGACTGTTTGCTTCTCTAGTTATACCAACTTTACTCACGACTGCACAATAGCAATACACAGCAGTCTCAGGAGCTACACACAAACCTCAACAAAAATGCCACTCTATATCCACAAATAATGCTCAGAACAGCACCTAACCTCATCAACAGTATATATAGGGTCCCTGCCATAGTACTAGCCACCAAACATCTTTTTAACTTTGCCTGATTTCTCACACACAACTCACCTACTCTCTTCCAGCAGTTGCTTGTTTGTAGGGAGACCTTGGACAAATCCATCACCGACTGCTGCGAGGTGACGCAGCTCAAGGAAGAACATTTATGATAATTTCTTCATGGAAATACAATCAGACCGAGACGCTAAGGCAGGAGAACTATCGCGTCTGCAGTGCAAAATGATTAATATGGTGATTATTACTTCAAGGAAATGATAAAGAAATGATCATAAATGTTCTTCCTTGAGCTGCGTCACCCAGCAACAGTCCATAATGGACTGGCCTGAGGTCTCGCTACAAACAAGCGGCTGCTGGAAGAGAGTAGGTGAGTTGTGTTTAGTCTCTTTGCTAAAGAAATTAGGCAAAGCTAAAAAGATGTTTGATGGCTAGTGCTGTGGCTGGGACCCTATATGTACTGTTGATGAAGTTAGGTGCTGTTCTGAACATTATTTGTGGCTATAGAGTGGCTTTTTGGTTTAGGTTTGTGTGTGGCTCCTCAGACCGCTGTGTATTGCTATCCTGCGGTCATAACTAAAGTTGGTATAACTAGAGAAGAAAGCGATCGGCAACATTCATCTCTCAAGGGGGTGTCTAACTCAGTGTTAAGGTGTGTTTGACCCTAACTTAATTTTACACCAGAATATCCCTTTAAATAAGCTCATGTAGAAGAAACTGTTGCACAACCCTCACTGCACCACCACATCTGTTTATAACATAACGATTTACTGTACTGAATAACCACAACGACACACCCTGTTTTCTTCAAAGACAAAGCCAAGTGCGTCTCGAGTTTCCAGAAGAGTCAAATCAAACAGAGAACTGATTTGTGGTGTCATAAAGTTTATGTCGAAGATTGTTCAGTTGTTGATCCTTTTTTTGTACTAAAAGTTGAAACGACCTCATCACACCAAACATGACCTCTTATTGCATCACCCTGTCTGTCTGTAGACCATGTGTCCCGTGTGTCTGGACCGGCTGAAGAACATGATCTTCATGTGTGGCCACGGCACCTGCCAGCTGTGCGGGGACCGAATGAGCGAGTGCCCCATCTGCCGCAAGGCCATCGAGCGCCGCATCCTGCTGTACTAGACCCCCTGAACCCCACCCTCCCTGCAGACTCTCTTCCTCTTTTCTCTTAAAGCCTGCGCTGACCGCACCTGCAATGCCACAATCACACCAGCTGCTGCTGCTGCTGCTCGATCATCCTCACAGCACCCGAGTCAGTCAGCCAAGGGCGTCCTCACATGTCTTATTGGACACAGCAAATGCTCTCTTTACGGTTTGATTGTGATCAGATGGAATACCTGTTACAAAACATGGAGAAAAATACCAGTTGACTTTTACCACTTGTGCTGTTCTGTCATCACATGTACTAACTGCAGCCAGAAAGATGCTCGCAACACAAGCGTTGCCTTTTTTTCTTAATTTTTTCTCTCTGCCTGCCATCTTCTCATCCTTCTGTCTGTGTTATTTTTAATTGTGAAGCTTCTATCCTCTGGTTGAGTCTTTTGCAGCTCTTTTCAAACTCATGGTTGTGGATATTTACTGCAGAGGTATGTCCCAGATCTGGATTCCTTCTTTGGGAAAAACTCAGAAATGTTTGGAGGACTGGCTTTGGAGGTCCGCCTGCTACTTTTTCATGTAAAGTTCTCATGCACCTGCCGCAGTCCGTGCCAGCTGCAGTCAAGTTTTATTGTATTTGTAAATCTTTATGCACGTGTTCTGGTATTGGAAGCTCCAGATGTGGAATTTTTAAGTACTTCAGTTTTCATGACAGTATGGCAAAGTTTGTGACACATGACCGTTTTTTGCACCAGTTAAAGGTTCACTAAGTGTTTGTGCTTCATGTGCGATCAGTTCGGCCGTTGTGGCGCGCTGTACGCCGACCGGCCGAGAGCAGATGTTGGCAGTTTTGCACTAAAAAAAGCCGAGTCAGGCTGGTTTTTTTCTTTTTTCCTGTACTGACTTCAGAGGTCCACTTCAGCCCAGTGGTAAAACACAGGGCTGTTGTAACTGCCAGGTAGCACACCACACCCACACGCTGTTTACCGAGAGGAACGGCGGTGTCGCAACACCTGCTCGATCGTGAATCCCCGTCAGACACGGCGTCGGAATCCAAGGAAAAAAAAGACAAACTCATTCAGCTCCTGTTGTTCCTCTTTGTCATTCACACAAACTCACATGATGCAAACACTTAAGTGACAAATTGATCTTGTCGCAACTTGATGTTTAACTGTTGAGACTTTGTGGTATTGTCTGATGAGAAAAAAATTGTACAATTCAGTGAACATTTGCTATTTTACCATTGACAACTCTGTGCCATTTTGCTTCCAAAAAAATCTACATGTGAAATAACTTGTATGGGGGATAAGGTGCTCTTTAATTCTTTTTTTATTTATGTGTATTATTCTTTCCTTCTTTTCTCAAAATCAACATTTATTGAGCTAGAGAGTACAATCTATGAGAACACTAAGGTGAAAATGTAGATTAAATTATTTTGTAATGCTGCCCAAAAGATAGGATTTATAGGTATATCACTGCCTTCCTAATATGTAGCCTCAAAATCTCTCAAACATTCTGCTTTGATATAAATGTTGATGTGATGTTTCCCGTTGGCTCGGCTCTCTGGAAGCGTTTTTTTTCCCTCAAAAGTGGTCTCTTAAAGCCTCCTGTGTTTATTTGTGAAACAAAACAAACAAAAAAAGACATTTTGTTGTCAAAAGTGTCAAGTATCTTTTCACCAGTGTTTTATTTGGGAGGAAAGCTAATGTTTTTTTTAAAAAGAGAGACAGAACCCGCCTTAGCTCTTTTTAAAAGGCGCTCGCTCGCCCATGCGCAGACTCAGCTTTGCTTTGCTTCGTGGGAATTTCGCAACAACACACAAGCATTATTTTTCCCCCTTTTTATGACTGAAAGCGACCTTTACGAGTACAGTTTTGATTCTTTTCATTGCTCATGATAACACTAAAAGCTAGAAGCACTAATACGCTTTACTGTAGAGCTGTCTTGTTATGGTTGTTATGAAAAAAAAAAGCCTATTTTTTACTTTTATTTTCAATACCTGTAACTGTCCTGTTGGAAATGTATCAGTAGTTTTTCTTTGGCATGAATGTTTGACATATGCAGTACGATCATGAAACTGTTCAGTCTGTATTGCTATTAAGTGCTTTTGAAACAACCATATAGCTGAAATAAAGTCCTCAACGAACCATGGGACGTTAAAAGTTTGTTTTTCTACCTTTTTTCTCCTTCTTGTTTTTCTTAGTCGAGCTGCAGCAGCGCATTAGCATTTCGTTGCTTTTCCCCTGCTGTGCAGCGTCTGCCTCACAGAGGAGACAGGGTGGCAGAGATGGGAGGTGTGAGGTAATTGAAAATGCTAACACCTAATAATGACTCAGCACCAGAGTGTGATAGGTCAGCTATGCTAATCAAAGAGGGAGAGAAAAGTCAAGACTCAGGAGAGATGAGGGTAGACACAAATAGTGATGCATCTTCCTCGCTGAGCGCCGTGACAGCCGGACATTTTACCCAACGCTAAGAAATTATGACCAAAGGCCGTTTGTGTTCCAACTCATTGACCGGTCCATTCATAACCCGTGGACATCTTTGGGCTTGCTTCACATGCAGCCGCTCATAACAACACATTCATCATGCTGCCATCCTCTCACTCAGTCACTGCACACAGACTGTACTTGTTCAGGAGGCTCTGACACCTCTTTATATCCCCTCTGATCTCTGGGAGCTGGCACTGGGCCTCCACTGTTGCTCTGATGTCTCTCCATGGCGGCACTTTGTCATTTTATACTCGGGTAGCTGTCTTAAAAACAGCGGGGCTCACCTGGTTTATCTGCCACGGTGATGGACAAAGTGAGTGGCAGCTGTTACCCACTCTGTCCCTGCTGTTACACTGCGAATATATTCACAATGTGGCCGTAAGTATATGGACTCTTGTTATATCTGGGTGCCTTCATGCTATTGCAACCTCATTTAAAAACTTTACTATTATGATTGACACACTTTTATTTATAGTAGCTGTGTATTATTTATTGTTTTGGCATCACTTGTCATGTTCTTTGTTGTTTGGCAAGGCCGAGACTCAATTAACTAAAGTAGTACAAGTGCTGTTAGATATCTGCGGTCCACTTAAGATGGTACACAAGCTGAAAAAGCTGTCCTTACACTGTTACTACATTCATTACCCAAGTTTAGTTCTAGTTTATTGTTTTGTGTGAACATTTTATACCTGTATAATGTAGCACTTTATGTCAATCAATGACTGAAAACCTGAAAATGTTGAACTGCATGTCAAAACATCTTGGATTCCTGTCAGAGTTTTACAGACATAAACTGAGAGACGATTAAAACCCTGTCCAGGCTGAGTAAAAACATCCAGAGGTGAACGTCAGGACCAGGCCACCTGTCAATCATTCTGACTGGCTGCAGACCAGCCCCACCCCACTGACTGACTGTCAGGCTGCTGGAGACGCCGCTATCTGTCCCCCAGCTCACGTCCCGGTCCTGGAGAGGATTCCTGACCGCAGAGCCTGCAGGTTTCGGCTGCTCCGAGGGGCTGCAGTGTTTGCTGACTGGACTGCAGGGGTTGTAACTCCCACACCAGGGGGTCAACTAATCCACCCACAGCTCCCCCCTTAACCCCAGCAGGGTGTGAGTGATGGTGGCCCAACACTGCGGGCTTCACTGAGCAGCAGATAGAGACGAATTGAACCCCTGGAGAGGAGAGCAGGCAGCCCCGATCAAGGGAATGACTGTGACCCTGCTGCAAGTCTGCTGTGATCAGTGAGAGGAGTAAGGGAGCATCCATCTGCCTGTGGACCCACCAGGGGAAGTATAACCCTACCCCCACCCCCCATTCAGCACTGGTTCTGAAGTTCTGAATCAACAGAAATAAAACAAACCTCACCACTTCGACTGCAAAATGAAACTCTGACAACACGTGTTTGACATGCAGGTTTCAGAGCACATCACAAGGTGGCAGTACATCCTATGACTGAATACTTAGTGCCTGTGAAGTCATAGATCCTCGCAGTCCTGCTCTTCAAAGGACACATCAACTAAATTTACAACATGCCCTCTATTTTGCTGTTACAGCAGGCTTCAGACACCATCATTCATCCGGAGGTTGTTCTTCAGCTGCTTCCTGAGCTCATTTTGGAACAGAGTTGATGATTCTCACCTTGGTTGGCGGCAATAAATATATCTTCAATTTATCAAAACTCCGAGCTTGAACCTGACATTTTGTGATCTGAGTGAAGCTCATTTCATTTTACAAATAGGACACATAACACTTATATAACTGTCTGAGACTGGAGCCAAGAACAAGATCACAGAGTTTTTAAGAAGCTCAAAAATTCCACTTTTGAATATTTATGTGGTGTCCTTTTAGTCTTCCAGTCCCAAAAAGACTAAAAGCATATTTGGTTTGAGATTCAATTTTTCAAAGTCTTTGTATTCGATTAAATTGAAAAAGGTTTTATCTTTAAGACGTTTGGTTATTAAAATAAAACACAAACATGAACCTGCATTGCTGAGGTAGGTAGAGAAGACTGACCTTCTAAATTTGGAGGGTTAGGGGGAGTTTATTGTCAAACAATAATTTTTTTAGATTTCAATCAATGTAGAAGTAATTATTTATCTACAAATTATTTTGCATTTCAAGATGAAATTTAAGTCTTTTTAAGTCTTCGTTACCCCTTAAGGCAATTCTTACTTGTGTCTTTATTCGTGACTCAAATTAATTGTGATTAAAATATAGATATAAATGAACAAACTTCACCATCATGACTTTATTATTTACCACTCAAATAAATTCTGAACTGCAACCAGGATGGGTTGAAACCAAAGAACTTATTCTGTAAAAAGGAATGAAATGTCAGGTCAGAGTCAACACAAAATAAAGTTATTCAAGATGATTCTGATTATTCACAGACCTCTAATGACCCCTGGTTAATGCAACAACCTATGATGGTAGAAGGTTAAGAAGACTATGCTATCTCAACTACTGTGTGCCACAAAGGACAAAATGGCATCAGTGTCAGACTGTAATCAAAGGGCTAAATCTATAAGCAAGCAAGTGATGCCTTTAAAAACATTACACATAATATACAGAAAAGCTAATATCACTTTGAGTCATACCAAAACAAAACAGTAATGTCATATAGTCAACGCGTCTAATTGTTTTAAGCAGTTTTGAAGCATTGGTCTCAGCTCTGTGTGATATATCTCTACAGTGGATCAAACTAATGAAAGTTGTGTCAGTATTGGTTCATACGTCCTCAGCACAAATCAATATTTGGATCTGACATTGTTTGGCTCAATGAAAATTTGGATAAAGACAGTAAATTCAGTAAATCCAGTCTTCACTGGAAATCTCCTGTTTCTTAGAGGACAATAATATTTTTTTTAAAAATGAAAAACTACAGATTCACATTGGTAGCGAGGAAAAAAATCAATTCTTGAGTCACACAACGATAATAAACAAAAACGTCTTTGCATTTGTACTGGCCACCTGGGCTTTCCTTCCATGTTGGAGGAATTGATCGCCGACTGTCTGAAGGTCCTCTCTCTCTCTCTCTCTCTCTCTCTCTCTCTCTTTCTCTCTCTCTCTCTCTCTCTCTCATGTCATCCAGTTCAGAAGTCCGGCTGAATTTATTGTCACAGTTTATGGTCGGGTTGACTGAGCAAAGTGCAATCTGGCTGTCTGGACAGACTCTTCAGGGACCAGAGAGAAAACAGGGAAGGGCCTCAGGATCTCACTCTGTTGCATTCTGGGACCATATTTTCAGACTTAAGGACAGATAATTGGACACATTTGTCAAAATAAGGTCTTCAACAGTTTTGTGTTGTGCATGCAGGAGTAGCAGGCTGTCTTCATAGTCAGCATCATGGGGTTTAGAATAAAGAAGTCAGAGAAGTCTAAGCTAAGATCTTCATGTCAGTGAGCGCCTCCTAATGTAATATAACCCTGCATGTGTTTGTGTGTTTCTACGGGTGGGTGAGGTGTACCTGAACACAGCGGCTCCACCTCCACAGTAAAGCAATAAAGTAAGTTATCCTCTGCCACACGTCCCTCCTCAAAACATATAGGCCCCTTACACGCTGATTGCTTTATTGATATTGATCAGGGCAAAGTGTCAAACCACTCGTCCATGTCTCTCTCTCTCTCTTTCTCTATCTCTGTTTGTTGTTTACGCATTTAGAGGAGGACTTTTAACAAAAACAACACACACTGAGGCCCTGTGTGTGTAGATGTTACTTATTTTACTTATCCAATTCAATTCAAACTGTATTTGTCCCCAAATAAAGCAGGAAAATTTTGGATGTAATAAATTTTTCTTAATAAAAAACCACTGCAAGAATATTTATTCTTTAATTGTTGGCATTTTAATGTATTTAAAGGCGGTTTTGTGCAATACTTTTAGAAAACAATGTGCATGTTAAACAAATTAGGACTGAAGTTACAAGTTATATCTTGTGTATTACTGAATTATTTTAAGTTTAAACAAATTAATCAACTGTTTAAATCAGTGTACTAAATTTCAGATATGAATATGCGTGTTCTGTCTTTGTAAGAAGTTTTTTGTGTAATAGTACATTTATTAAATTTTCTCTGCAATCTGGTCAGTCATAGAGATTTAATCCTATTTTATTTAATTTATTATTTTCATATTTTTATATTTTTGCTGTGCAGAGATGATTGATAATACATGACAGGGTAATATAGGGAGAAGCAGTAACAATAAGAAAGACAGAAAAGATGTAAAAATTAGCAAACCAAAAATGAAGGTAAATAAATGACAAATCGTAAGTACGTGAGTGATCAACAGGTAAGACATTTAGAAAAGACTAAAATAAGTAACCATGAAAAAGAGCGTCCTGAATTAAGGTTGTGTGTATGTTTAGTTAAATTATAAATATGCATAAATATATATCTATATGAATGAAAAGTCAGGAGTAAAAAGTGCGCCCCGTGTTGTGTTCCTGCAATGATTCTAGCTGAGTAAAACCGAGCATTCAGCATTCCCACTCCAAATATTCTGTGGCTTTTGACCTATTGGTTGTGGCTCCACTCAGTGCCGTCCTTATCATGCTGCACGATTGAAGCTGGAGCCTGAGTGCCGCATTTACAGTGCAAATGTTATCGTTCCAATGACACTTTAAACAACCTTTATCAATATATAGTCATTCAAGGTTTATGAGCTTTGAT